TCCCCCCATGCCTCGCTCACATGCTGCACGCACTTGCACAGCATGCAAACGAGGTAAACGACGATGCGAGCTCCCAACAAGCTCACAGCGTCTCGAGGGTGGTGTCCCCCTCGCTCCCAGTGACGCCTGTGCTCGATGCCGTCGTTTGAAATCAGTCTGCGTACTCGATGGCACCTATCGATATGCCCACCTACACACCCTCACTCCTTCCTCGGCATCCGCAGCAGGTGACGACGGGTCTCCAAACGGCAAATCTCACAACTCGTTAATGTCTCATCCCCGCAATCTCGAGGAATATGAAGGCTACTTCCCCCGCTTCCTCCCCCTCAGTCTCATGCGCGAGTTCCACCGACAGGCCCTCGAATCATATCAGCCTCCCCCCATTCGTGACCCTCCTCCCGAGTCCATTCTCGATGAACTCGTATCCGATGAGTTGGCACAGGAAGCAGCGATATGGTAAGTGTCAAATTGCGATCCCGCACGCGTGTTGGGCCAGCGCGCAAACGCGATGCGATTACTAACACCCAGGTGCTCTGAGCGCGTCCCCTTGTGGGTCCCATTCACTCCGCCCATCATGGAGCTACGACGACTCCGCCAGAGCGCAGGGGGTGCATCTCCCTCGTTACTCTACCTGGAAGCGGTCCAATACCTTGCCGCGGCAGAGTTTAGTGTCATTCCGCACCAACTGTCCGATCCCCTGTACACCCTTGTGCGCTCATGCCGCGCCGACCTCTTCCTGAAACCCACCGACATCCACGCACCCCAAGTCTTGCTCTTTGCAGCGACGTTTGTGGGCTTGAACGAATCCGTCTCCGACAGCCTCAATCCCCCGGCCGCGGAGATGGCCGCCTTGGCCCTCCGCTCGTCCAAGACGGTAGGGTTGCAAGGGCGAATCTCACGCGTCCTCGCCGCTACGCACGTTGCGGTGGGCTATCTCGGCGACGACGACAACTATTTTGCCAGGTATTCCAGTCTCGAGCTCCCTACAATGGCTGAGCTAGTGGCGCTTCAGGTGCAGGTGGAGGGCGCCAAATTGACGCCAACCCAACAAACGGGCTGTTTGGCTGTCGTCCTACGCTGCCGAGCATGGATACACTTCACAAGGTGTATTACGCAGTGCGCCGAAGCAGAACGCGACGAGGAACCCACGCGCCTCGCGTCTGTCGACGATGCCCGGTCGAAATGGAGGGATGCCTGCTTGGCACTCGACGCCGAACGCACAGCCTTGCTGGAGCACACTCCATCCATTCTTGCCTGGCTCGAGTTGGAAAATGCGGCGCTTGACCAGGTGTTGTCCGGTATCGCTTTACAGGTCACTCTAGGCTGGGGCTTTACCCCAGACTTTTTCCACGATGTCATCAAGAGGACGGCGGGCTCGGCCAATCTACAGGCCTTCATCGCCATTCATGGACCGACATTAGCCGAGACAGCAGAATGTGCGCTAGCCTCGACGTCCAACCTTCCTCGCGGCGAGCTATACCCCACGGCTCTGACGTGTACGTATGGAGTGCGCGCCTTCCTCACCGGCCTCGAAGTGCACGCCGGTTGCCTCAAATTCTGGGGAGTGGGGCCACCCCGCGAGGTTGTGTGGAGGTCGGTGATGCGCGGCGCAGCGGAGACGATCCGCCAACTCAAGGGGGGCGGCATGGTGGTACGCATCTCGAATGCCGTAGCGGCTGCCGTGCGCGAAACAATCCCGCGATGGAAGGCGCAGGTCGTGAATCGCACTCAGCACGCACCGAGACGCGCAAGTCCCCCGTCCGACGTAAAGATGGATGGGTCGACATATGGCTCCAACCACAATAGCGACGGCTCGGACCAGGCGACGGTCGCGTCGTTTGCCGAGTGGATCGCAGGTATCGACTGGCACCAGTCCAGCAACGACGTCGCCACGCCCATGTCGTTTGGAAGTGGCAGCTCCACGGGGTATTGAGAGGGAGGGAGAAGGAGGTTGATGTCGGGGATACGCCGTTTCGCCAGATTAACGGAGACCGGGGCGACATGGAGGAGACGAGGGAGGACGTAGCTTAGCAGTGTATATTTACGCGTAATCTGTGCAGCACACTGCGTCTCGGCCTCGGCGTAGGCCAGTTTTACGCCGGTGGACTGTGCGCGTCTGAGTGTCCACCATGCCCGCGTCGCAGCGTCGCTGACCATCCCCGGCCCCCGTTTCCAATCACCGACTGACGCCATTGACATCTGCCAGAACATCTGGGGTGCATACCAACTGGGCACACCGCCTCGCGTGGTCCGCAATGCTGCCCCACCTCCACACGATGGTGCACAACATCGTTCGAGCTGGCTGTCCAACCGCCTCACAGGGTGGGCCTTCACTCGTCCAAAGACATCCGCTTCGTAGCTGTCAAGCGTAATTCACACCCCGGGCAGTGCCGAGCGCGCTACAGTGTCGCGCTAAGCGGCGCTCGTCGAGCTCGCCTCGCTTGGGGCGCTTCCGCTCACGCACCGAGTCCGCGCCTGCACGACCCTCTGCTGCACTCTGTGCACCCCCGCGCCCGGGGTGGGCATGCTCCGATAGGGAGGGGCGATGCAGAGGAACCCGAGAGGTTCAGCCGGCTCCGACGTCCAAAGTGTCGGCTCCGGAGGTTTTCACGCCGCCAGGTACAGATGTCTAGATCAGGAGGTACGACTCTGCACTTCGCACTACGCACCTCGCAAGCCGTGTCGTCGATGCTGCCGTTCTCCGCTGGAGTCTGAGATCACAAGCTTTGTTAGTGCAAGTGCGGTAGTCACACGCTGCTGCGCCAACTGTGTCCCTCCGCTCATCACCTCGCACAACATGTGACCGTTCCTGTGGGCGACGCTATGCGTCCCCGATAAGCGGTGCAGAATAAATACATGAACTTTGCAGAATGGCTTGCACGCACCGATGCTAGATGCCACTTCGCAACGGTCGATCAGACGCATGCCACTGCCCAAGCTATAAATCAGCTATAAATCCACGCTCTCGTCCTGTCCAATGCATCCCACCCCCCAATCCCCACAATGCCACCCTCAGCAAAACGCGACTACCAAGCGCGCATGGCGCACACCGTGCTCATGTACTTGTACATGCTGCTGTTCATGGGCTCGTTAGTCGTGTCGAACCTCCTCGGCATCTTCAAGGCGCCATGGACGCCGTACCGCGCCAGCATGAGCCACATCAGCCCACAGGCGGCCGACGCCGCGTCCTACGCCAACTCGGTGATGGACGGCATTACCCTCGTCTACTGGTTCATCTTGTATGCCTCCGCCTCGCTCCGCTAACCCAGCTTTGTGTGCCAGCACACGCGCCGCGCGCTGCACGTCTGGGTGCAGCTGCTCGCGTACGCGGCCATCTGCGCGGCCAACCTCGGCCTGGGCGTGACGCTCGAACGCGCGGCGTTCGAGCCCTGGTTCCGCGCCGCCGCGGTGCTCGCGTGGGTCAAGGCGGGCCTCGCCGTCGTCTTCGCCATCAATGTTGCCACATACACCGGCGTCGTGCACGGCAAGCCGGGGTTCCGGCGCGAGTTCGCCCCAGCGTGGCGCGACGGCGTGCCGCGCCGCCCGCCGGCGGCGCGCGGCGCGCAGATCGCGCAGATCGTCCTCCTCTCCCTCCTTCTCGCGTACACCTTCGCCGTCTTCGTCTTGCAGTGTATCCTCGTAGACGTAATGCGGGAGGTACGCCGGCAGCGTGAGTCCCGCCCCAACGCCGCTGACAGCAGGCAACACGGCGCTGCTGTACGTGCTCCTCGCGGCGCAGGCCGCGTTCTGCGTGTATCTCGCCTTCTACCTTTTCCTGCGCCGCGCCGACCCATTCTCCCGCTTCGTGAGCGTGCTGGCCGACACGGCGGTGTTGGCGCTGTGGGCCGCACTGATCGCCGCGCTTGCGGGTGCAAGCGTCGCCGTCGTCGTAGCCGGGATCGACGGCGGCACGCTCCAGGCGATCCTCGCGTTCGTATGTGCCGGGCTCACCCTCGCCATCGTCGCGTTCGAGGTCATATACACTGCTGTGCGCGGCGGCCAGGGGAGGTGGCACAGGCGGTTCGCCACTCCGCCGGAGGTGGACGAGGTCGAGTTTGAGATGACGCGCACGCCCAAGCCCAGCCGTGAGACCAGCCCTCGCAAAGAGGGCGAGGGACCGCCGACGCTCAGCTACGTGTAGCTTTACCCACTTAGAAATGCGAGTCGGCCCACTATAATCCACTCGTAAAGCCAGAATTAGCCTCGCAGCTGAATCACTACAACAGTTTGTAGCTATAGCACACCTAATCAATCCTCCATACATACATTTGAAGACGCGCCAAGATGGCCGATGGGAGTTCCCGCAGCCAGTGTGGCGGTGGCGGCGGATGATTGGCGCCCTGTCCATCACTTGTACCTGACGCCTGGACTTGTGCTCACGGCATCACCAGGTTTTGGTTAATTACTAAATGGCCAAGCTGCTGCCTGCCACATGTTCCGGACCTTCTGGGCGTGCTGGGCATCGCGTCACCTGGTGCTCGTCTGACCAGACTTGCGCGGCCATCCCTGTATCCCCGGATCCATCCCAGTCCCGGGTACTGTGCAGATCACACTTGATATTGTTTGCCGAGGCTGTCGGTGCCAACAGCATACTTCCGGCCGTCGCCCAATTAGCCCACCCTTCGGACCAGTCACGGATGTATCACCTGTCCTTGACAATGCGGGGAGAGCTTACGCCAGGCCCGACCCAGTATGGGGTGCATGTATCTCTGCCCGTCATCTGGACACTCACCAATACTCATGCTCGCAGGTGTTAGCGGGCTGCCGACGCCCGACGCCGACGACGACTGCCGGAGCGCGCGCACGCCCAAGCCGGGCGAGCACGCGGCCTTCGCGACCCTCGAAGACGCTGGGATCGACCTCGCCGCGCTCCCCCTGCCTTATCTCGACGTGCGTAGCGCACGTCCGCCGCTCATCCCAGAATTACCCGTACCCCGCGTTCGTCCTCGTCCCCGGCGTGCCCGTCAACAAAGAGAAGCACGGCGGCACATTCAGCCTGCACAACATCCAGCTGCTGAGCCCGATCTGGAGCAATCCCTGCTGGCGCCGCATCAGCGGCGGGTGCGAGAACCTCCTCGAATGCTTGTCGGCGGAGAGCGCGCGCCGGCTGAGCTTCTGGCTCAGCGGCGCGTTCGGCGCGTTCACCAGCACGAGCTGGAGCGCGCGGCGCGCGGAACATGCCGACGAAAACAACCCCATGTGTGCGCCGCCGACGGTGACGCTCGAGTTCGAGCTCGGCGCCCGCACGCGCCTCACCCTCGCCAAGACGCTGTTTCCGCTCTACCAGACCGGCCCGGACGGGCGCAGCCTCATCTCCACCCACATCCTCGCCGTCATCACTGCGACGCCGCATGGGCGCCTCGAATTCGCGCCCCGGCCCCTGCCGTCGCCGGCGCTGTCGACTGACAGCGGCCCGACTTCAAGCTCCGCCGTTCCCGCGGAGGCACCCGCCGACGAGCAGGGCAAACTGCTGTACCTCCGGCACGACGGCAGCTGGGCGCCGCGCCGCCAGCGCACCGGGCGCGTCAGCAGCTGCAACTCCCTGCTCGAAACTAACGATTGGGCGCGCTCGCCCCTGGGCCCTAGGGAACAATGGCCGACCAGCCTGCAGCTCGTCGGTATGTTCAGGAATGAGATGGTTGCCCAGGCTCAAGCCATTGGAGGTGGTTCGGGCCGCAGGGCCGGGGGGCCGGGAGTGGGGAAGTGGGGGAGCCCAACTTTGTGCTGATGCTGACATCAGTCTCCTTCGTGATGAACATCCCGTTCCCCGGGTCGATGTGGTGGGGCGAGGACATGTGTCTCGTCTACAACCAGCTGTATGCCGAGGCGCTGCCAAACCACCCACACCCGTTCGGGCAGACGGGCACAGCAAGTTGGGCTGAGCTCTGGCCGGCGCTCGGCAGCCTCAGCGAGCTCGTGCTGAATGGTACCCCAGTCGCTAAAGAGGATGGTGGGTACACGTCAGACGTAGCTGAGACAGACCTCTGTCTTGTGGCCGATGCGGACGGCCATGTCCGCGAGATGTATCGCCTAAACATCTGGGTCCCCATCAAGAGCGGGAAGCGCACAGAGGCACTCATCCATCTCTGGGACGATCGCACCACCAAAGTCGTTTCTGGGCGCCGCGCCCTACTGCTATATACGCTGTCGGAACGCGCCTCGACCTGCCGCACAGTGGGGGACTTCGACCGTGCTGTCCTGGAGACGGTGGAGCCGAATCCGCGCGACCTCCCCTTTGCGCTCCTCTACCATGTTGAGCGGACCAAGACGGACGCGGCTGGCCCGCGCGAGCGTACTTTCGTCCGTCTGCGGTACGCCGGAGGCGTGGGCGTGCCGCACGAGCACCCCGCGGCGCCGCTCAGCCTTGACGTGCCCATGGCCTTGCCGGATGGCGAGGACGCCGGGAGCCCGCAGCCCCGTACGCAGACGGCTCTTGGTGAGTAATGGGCGGTTTGGTGTGGGGAACCAACACTGAAGTCTCAGAACCCTGGCCATTCGCGGAAGCCATCGAGACTGGCAAGCCAGTATTTGTGCCAGATTGCTCCGGCATTGTCGAGGGCTTCCCCGTTCGCGTGTGGGACGAGTTGCCGACGTCCGCCATCGTCATCCCAATAGTGCGGTTTACCGATGCCGATCTGCCCTCGACAGTAATGGTTGTCGGGTTGAGCGATCGCCTCCCCTGGGACGGGGTATACCAGCAATTCTTGCGAGAGTGAGTGTGCCCCGCGATTGTGCTGATGCAGACTACGCCTGGAGCTTGCGTCGCACTACGCCGCCGTCAAGACGCACGAAGATCTGCTCGCGCGACGGCGGGAGGGTGCTGCTCGCGCAGCCGTGCAGAATCTCTCCTTCGCGGCTCTGCGCCACGAATTGGCCGCGATGCTCGGGCTCATTGCCGGACCGCTTGATGACGCGCTGGACGCGACTGCCGACGGGCCCGCACGCACAGCGCTGGAGACGAGCCGACGAAACCTTCTGCGCTTTGCGCGTGGTCTCTCTGCGCTCACGGAGATGAGTAGCATCGACTCGAGGCGGATCAAGGGTTCTTTCTCGCCCGTCAACTTTGGGAAGCTCGTCGGTTCTGCCGCGCAGACATTCCGCCCGCCGCCCGATATTGATTACCTTATAGAGTGCGACACGGGGCCGCACGACGTCTTCGTTGATCGCGATAAGCTTGAGCGTGTGCTCTTCACGCTCGTTGGCAATGCGTTCCGCTTCACCTCCTCTGGTCAAGTCCGCGTGCGTGTGTTTTACGAGGGCCAGGCCGCGGTACTCGCAGTCGAGGACACCGGAGTCGGGATGGACGGCCGCACTCTTGCCCTCCTCAACTCGCCCCTCACTGTGCAAGAAGGCATTGATGCCCGTCTAGTCTCTCTCACGCACGCAATCACACTGGCGCGGATGCACGGCGGCAGCCTTCACGCCGAGTGCCCGCCGACCGGCGGGAGCAGGGTGACGCTCACCCTCCCTTTGGGCAGCGACCACTTGCCGCACGAATGCGTCAACGTTCCGCTCGGCCCGATCGATGTGCTCAAGGCTTTCCACCAGAGTGTGATGGATGATCTTGCGCACTGCCAGTGGGGCTGGGTGGGCAGTGCCGTGCCGCCTGATCCGGCTCGCAGCTTCCAAAGAGCCATCGAGGGTGGCGAGGAGCTGCCCGTGAGCGTGCAAATCGACCCTGAAGATGTCGTGTTGATCGTTGACGCCACACTAGAGATGCGGCAGTACCTGCGCGGCATCTTTGCACCGTTTTGCCACGTCGTCGAGGTGACGAGCGCGGCAGACGCGCTCAAGCACATGGAAGAGTCAGCCTTGGACAAGGCGCCTGACCTGGTGATCGCGGATGCCCACTTGTCCGGAGTTAGTCCTGTACAGGCTGAGCTGACCTCAGATGTCTGGGTTCGACCTCGTCGCGGCGCTGCGGCAGGGCAGCAGATTACAACAGATGCTTCCTGTGATAATGATGACAGGTTCCCGAGAGGAGGCTCTCCCCGAGGTCGCATACGGCGCCGACGACTATCTCGCGCGTCCGTTCGGGGCTCGGGAACTCATCACTCGTGCTCACATGCAGCTGCAACTGGGCAAAAAGCGACGTGCGCTGGAAGCGGCCTACGCCCAGCGAACACAAGAGCTGCGTATCCTCAACGACGCGATCCCCGTCGGCATCTACCGCACCACCGCCGACGGGTGGTTTGTGTATGCCAACGCGATGTGGTATGAGCTCACAGGCTACCCGCGTGGCAGGCAAGTTGTGAACTGGGGCGACTACGTGGTTGAGGCCGACAAGGAGACCGTGCGACAGCGATGGTCCGAGTTTCTTTCGGGCCCGGCCCGCAGCGTACACGGCGAGGTCCGCTTCGTGTCCGGGCGCGTGTGCAGCTATACCTCGCTGCGGCTCGATGGGATCGCTGGCGCACCAACCGGCATTCTCGGCTGCGTCGTCGACATCACGGACCGCATCAAAAACGAAGAGCTTCAGAAACAGCGCGTGGAGGAAGCACTCCGCCGCCAAGCCGAGGCGGAGGAGGCCAAGCGCCAGCAGGAGGAGCTAATCGACATCACCTCACATGAGATCCGCAATCCCATCAGCAACATGATGCAGTGCGCGAGTCTCGTGCGCGGCAATCTCCTCAAACTCCAGGGCGAGCTTACACGTATCGGATATGCCGCGCCCGCCCTCGCCGCCATAGAAGACGACCTCGAGGCGCTTCAAAACATCTATAACTGCGGACTCACGCAGGAGCGTATCTCGAACGATGTGCTATCCCTTGGCAAACTCCAGCTCGGCCGGCTCGAGATCTTCCACGTCGCCACCGACATAGTGCGCGAGACCAGCAAACTCGTCGGCGTCTTCCAGGCTGAAGCAAAGATGAACCTCGTTGATCTGAGCCTGGACATCGGGACAGGGTTCGAAGACATGGGCGTGCGCGCTGTCATGATCGATCCTGTGCGGTACTCGCAAATGTAAGTCCATTTACAGGCATACCTAATATCCAGTGTTACCAACTTGGTGTCCAACGCAATCCGGTTCACGTCCAACTCGCCCCAGCGGCGCGTCAGGGTGATGTTGGACATTGGCGCCTCCCCACCGGACGAGGGAACCACCACCAAACCGTCTCGGACGGCTGCGTCGAATGGTCCGCTGTACCTCTTCTGCAGCGTATCGGACACCGGGCCGGGCATGACGCCTGCGGAGCGTGCGACCCTGTTTCAACGCTTCTCCCAAGCATCGGCCAAAACGCACACCGTTTTCGGCGGATCTGGGCTCGGCTTGTTCGTCTGCAGGAAAATTACGGAACGCATGGGTGGGCGCATCGATGTCGAGTCACATGTTGGGCAAGGCAGCCGATTCCAGTTCTTCTTGCGCGTTGAGCGTGCCGCCGCGCCGGCTACCCCGCCAGGGCTGGTTTCCGGCAAGCGTGAGGTATCCGCACATGTCCTGGTCGTGGAGGACAACGTCCTCAACTGTAAAGTGCTGGACCGGCAATTTAGCAAGGTCGGCATTCGCGTCGAGAGCGTCGGAAACGGTTTGGAGGCGCTGGGCCGCCTCACGAAGAGCCAGGCGCCCGGCGCTACCGACGACGAGCGGTTCGACGTTGTGCTCATGGACCTCGAGATGCCTATCATGGATGGGTACACGGCCACGCGGCGGTTACGCGAAGCCGAGGCGGTAGGGAGCGTGCTCCCGACGGCGGTGATTGCATTCAGTGAGCCGGAGGTGGTATCGCGCTGACATCAGCCGGGAATGCGCGGCACGCGCAGATTGGCGAGAAGATGGCCGACTTTGATGATGTCGTGGTCAAGCCGTACCGGATTCACGAAATGCTTGATCAGATCGAGCGCGCTGTGCGCGAGGGTCCCAAGCGGCGGCCACTGCGGCATGCAGTCAACGGAAGAGCGTAGGGGCGGCAAAGCGTGGGTTGCGAGGGCGAGCACACTACCAATCATGACCTCAAGAGCCCCCTGCGCCAAGACTGGGCAGGAATTAGTGTTGTATTTCTATGTATCATATGGATGTACTTGTCTTATCTAGGAGCAGAGTTGGCAATGTTGTTTAAGTTACGACGCACTTGCTTATTGCGGCAGACCATCTTCTCATATCCCACGCTCGTCAAAGGGCGGCGGGGCCTCCGGCACACGACGCCTTGACATCGCGACGAGCGCGTGAGCGCGTTTGCTCCAGCATACCATCATGGTGGTGGGCAGAGCGGTCTCAACACGGAGACGCCCGAGCTCGGAGGTTGGTGAAAAGGCCCTTCGGACTCCTGCCCCAGTCCCAATACTATCATCACCGACCGGCTATATTGTCACCGACCCCGCATCCACAAATGTCACCCCGAGGCGGTGGGCATCTTCTCTGTTCTTGCGATCCACTCCTCTGAATCAACCTTCTATTCTCTCTCACTTACACTCCTTTACCATGCCCGCTATTCCCTACGCCCAGTGCTACGCCAACGCCTCGAGCTTCAAGGGCCGCACCGTCGTCATCACTGGCGCCGGGTCGGGCTTTGGCCGCGCGACCGCGATCGACTTCGCGAAGCATGGCGCGCGCGTTGTCCTCGGCGATGTCGACGAGAAGGGGATGCGCGAGACGGTCTCGCAAATCGAGCGCGCGCACGGTAGCAATGTCGTTGTCTCACGCCGTTGCGACGTCACAAACTGGGACGACCAAGTCGCTCTCTTCGCGGCCGGCGCCCAGGCGTTTGGCAGTATCGACGTTGTCCTCCCCAACGCCGGCATCAACGAGATGGGTCGCTTTGACCCTCGCGAGGACGGCGACGTGACCAAGCTTACCAAGCCCAACCTCAAGACGCTCGACGTCGACCTCACTGCTGTCCTGTACACCACCCGCATCGCGCTCTGGTACTTCGTCAACGACAAGCGCAGCGACCCCGGGGTGCGCGCCATCATCTTCACCGGCTCCATGTCCACCTTCTATGGCTCCGAAGGCGTCATGTACGGCGCTGCTAAGGCGTAAGTCAGAACGGGCCGGCGATCTACACCCTAGCAAGTGTCGGATAAGCTGACCTCAGGGGCATTCTCGGTATTCAGAAGGGCATTGAGAAAGTTGCTCGTGAACTCAACATTCGTGTTGCCACCGTCTGCCCATATTTCTCCAGTGCGCCAGCTTGTACGGGGTCCACTGACTTGCAGAGACCGCTATCCTCACGTCCGACTTTGTGCATCCCACCCCGAAGTTGGGGTACGCCAAGGTCGAGGACGTCGTGTCCGCGTTTGTCGCGGCCATCACAGACTCGGACCCCAAGACGAACTTTGGCTGCTACCTCATCCCGGACCAGTGGGGCGTGTACCGCATGAACTCGCACGGGCAGTTGTAAGTGGAATGCCGTCCGAGAGGCAACCAGAGGGGGCATTGCAATCCGCGCTACAATGGATCCCAGCTAACTTCAGTATTGGCGCCGAGGGCGCGCGTCGTACCAGGGAGGAGATGAAGGCGCTGTTGAGCAAGGGTAAGCTGTAGTTGTAGAGTAAACATGCAGTCACACAATATCAGGTAGCAGCCGAGCCGCTGGTCAAGTTCGAGTACCCGTGCGGTCAAGCGTGGCCGGCAGCAGAGATTTAATGCTCGCGCGAGCGATCACATAGCTCTGTGATATGCATGGCAACCTTTAGCTTCATCACATGAAAGACCGAGAGGTAAGAGCTTGGCCATCTTATCACGGGTATGGTGACCGTCATCTCGGAACAAGATGGAAATGTGGCGCCGATCATCTCCGATTTCCGATCGTCCACATCCTTATCAGGCAACGGCAGGTGGTGTCTCATGTTTCATCCACACATCGCTCTCGCTCCTTGCCACTACGTCTCTGCCGCCTCATCCTGAATCCCTTCTACTCGAAAGACTCTGCCACCGATCTCTGAGTCTCTGACGCTGTGACGCAATGAGTTCCGGCTCGTTAATCGCATCCGCACCTGGCTCACACGACCAGCACATCAACCCCCCCATTCTTCCATCACCGACGTCCGCCACCCTCTCAACCCTCGATCACTCTGCCTATCCGCACATATTTGAGGGCGTACTCAGCTACGCAACTCCCGAGACCCTTCTTGTGGTGGAGCGCACAGGCCGAGGCGTTCGCGAGCTTGTGCACCCACATCTCTATCGACACATCGCCTTGGAAGCTAGCGCACATGGCCGCGGCGCCGTTGTCCGATTGCCTTGCGAACCATATCGCGTTCTCAGCTCGTGGAATGACTTCCCGAAAAGAGACGAACGTGATGACGGCGACTGGGGAGATGAACCTTTGCGGGCGGCGTTGGCAATGACACAATGCATCGATCTTGGCGCGCCCGTCCGGTGGCAGACAGCACATTTTCCCGCCCCCGCACTCCAGATATTACGGACAAGCCTCGCCTCTGTTGCTTACTTTCCGCCATGGCCTCCCTCGCCTCCTCGTGCGGTCTTAGCTCCCAAAGGCTATCGGGCCTTCTCCGACTGGGAGCGTGTGCGCGCGCGGGTCTTCGTCACGCACATGGACCTCCACACATCGCCGGCTCAGCCGTCTTGGCTTTATGATCTCGAGTACAGCGACGAGGAAGAGGGATCACAGTTCTATGCGTCGCGTCCCAGCACCGTGCTCCAGGTGCGAATGCCTCCCGAAACACGACGGCTTGTGCTACACCTGCACTGGGCGGGCGCGCTGCGCCCAGGAATCGACATCCAGATCTCCCCGCAGGGCCTAGAGGAGCACGCAGACGTCGTGGTCGTCCTGCACCCACCAGCAGCGGAGAACACGGCCGACGAAAGTGCTGTCGACGAAGGGTGGTTCGCCACGCTCCTGCAGCACCTCGTCAAGGTCGCTGTGCAGCGGCGCGCGCGCATCGCGATCGTGGGCGTCGAGGCGTGTTCTGAGCCTGATTTGGGGATGCGCCAGCGCCCTAGTTATGTGCCCAAGTGGCAGCGCAAGCCGCACAAACCCCAGTCGCCCCGCCGCGGAGAGGATCTCGTCGCTGCTGTCGCTCGCCTCCTTAATGGCACGTGCGAGCGCGCATGGTGCGACGTCACCGGAGAGCAGATGGAAGCATGCCGGGCCATGTGGGCGCTCGGGGCATCTGATGTCGAGGGGCTGAGTGGCCAGATCCGCCTTCTGAGTGCAGAGGAGTGGGCTCGCACAGCCGATCCGCGGGAAAGTGCGCCAATGCCCATGGCAAGCCGCGTCGGCGCCGCGTCGCGTATGGAGTAGTGGGATGCATCTTCATAGTGGGCATGACATATTGCTTGGCAAGACACGGCCGGACCCGGTGCCGCCGAGGTGGTGAGCGCTGGCGACGCTTACGGCGTCGCGCATTACGCGTCGGTCGTCAGGCCGATGGTCACGAGGGATGCGAGGAATGAGTGAGGCGGACAACACCGAATGCCGCAGGGACTTGTTATCGCCTCACACCGGCAACCATCTACTCACATCCGGACGATGCCCACGGGAGAGTGGCATTCAACTACGGCGTTGACGCTGCATCCATCCTCTCATTGTTCTTCCTCCCAACCATCATCACAACAGTCCCCATCAACAATGACTATCGGCGCCCTTCCTGAAACTATGAAGGCGGTCGTCCTTGAGGCGCCGCACAAGGTTGCCGTCAAAGACGTGCCCACCCCCAAGCTTGAGAAGCCCACCGATGTGATCGTCCAGACCACAGTGGCGGGACTTTGCGGCTCTGACTTGCACATCTACCGCGGTCACCTTCCCATCCCCCTTCCCATCACAATCGGGCACGAGGTCGTCGGACGCATTGTCCAGGTCGGCGACGAGGTCAAGAAGTGGAAGGTCGGCGACAATGTCATTGTGCCGTTCACGGCGACATGTGGTGCGTACCCTGCGAAGCTGAGGTCCAGCCAGTAGCCCTCGCTGCCCCATATGCTGATGCCAGGCGACTGCTTCTACTGCAAGAAGGGCCTCATGGCTCGCTGCACCACCGGCATCACCTTCGGCACGGGCCGCGGCCTCGAGGGCTGCCAGGCCGAGTACGTTCGCGTGCCCACTGCCGACACGTTCGTCTTCCCGCAGCCGGACGACATTCCCGCGTCCACCCTGCTGCTCATGGCCGACATCTTGCCGACGGGTTACTTCGTCGCGTCGGGCGGCAAGCGCCTGCTCATGGAGAGCTTGGGGCAGCCGATGAGCGGCGACATTGTTAAGGATGTCGAGGCGAAGAAGGAGGGTGTGTGCGTCGTTATCGGCTGCGGACCTGTTGGTCTGTGCGCCATCTCGTCGGCCATGCGCATGTTCGAGAAGGTGTTCGCGACGGACCTCGCGCCGCACCGCCTCGAGGCGGCCAAGCGCCACGGTGCCATTGCCCTCCAGGACGATGAGCTCAAGGCCGCCATTATGGAAGCGACGGACGGCCGCGGCGCCGACGTCGCGCTCGAGGTTGTCGGCCACGCCAGCGCCATGACCAAGGCCATTGAGCTCGCGCGGCCCTTCGGCATTGTCTCGAGCTGCGGCGTCCACTCGGAGCCCATCACCTCGAACGGCTACATGCTCTTCCACAAGAGGTACGTCTGTCGAATCGCACCGCTCACACCAGCCTCCGCTTCCAGTGGGGCCAGTGCTCTGTGCCTACTTATTTCCCCGGGGCGTTGGGAGTGCTGCGCGACAACAAGGAGATCTTCGCTCAGTTCATCGAGCAGAAGATCGACTTTGCCAAGGCCGAGGAGTACTACGCCCTGTTTGAAAAGAACAAGGTTGGCAAGACTGTCTTCGTGCTCGGAGATGAAGGTGTCTAGTCTGGTCGTAGCGTCGCATTCAGAAGCTTTGGGGATTTGTGATGCATGCTTGTGGACATGTGAGTGTGAGCACAGTTTGGCTGGTCGTGGAGCGACAGACTTCTCTCCCCGACAGCATGTCGCTCCCAATTGATCACCGTGTTGAGCGCGTCGCCCGCGGCGACAGTCTGCATCAGCTTCATTCTCGCTCCAAAAGGGTAGGCTGAGCAACTGAATACTCTACTGACGAGAGTGGGATTCGAACCCACGTCCGAAGACTGCGGATGTCAACAAATGAACACCTGAACACAGCGCCTTAGACCACTCGGCCATCTCGCCGTGGAGGAATGTGCAAACCGGGAGTCTATGAGTCCTGCCGGGAGAGAAAGATGTGAGCCAGTCGACGACATGCATACCCTGCGCTGACGGAATGGAACTGCGTCGAGTCGGCGATCGGCGAAGCTGGCACCATGTGTCTCGCGCGTGCTGATTGGCTTGACGGAGTTGGGCGGTTGTGTGTCACTGTCAGCCGGCATGTTGTCGATAACCGGTGTTGGTCGCGCCCCTCATTCACCCACTGCTCCTCAGACTCGGACAATGACTGAGCACGCCGCCTCAACAACCGGGGGCAAGGCTACTCCCAAGGTGCTGGCGTTCGACGTCTTCGGTACCGTGGTGGACTGGCACTCGTCAATCGCACGCGAAGTGGAGGCTGTCGTGCCGGGCATTGACGGGGACGCGTTCGCGCTCAAGTGGCGCGAGGGATACGCACCGGCAATGGCCGCAACAATGGCGTCTGGACAGTTCAGAGTGCTGGATGAGCTTCATATGGACATCCTACGCAAGATCGCGCCGCGGGGCCTGTCCGAAGAGCAGCTGGCGGAGCTGAATCGCGCGTGGCATCGCCTCGACCCGTGGCCGGAGTCGGTAGCGGCACTCGAGCGGTTGCGCACACGCTTTGTCATAACGCCGCTGTCCAACGGCGGCATCGGACTGCTCACATACATGGCTAAGCGCGCCGGCTTGCCGTGGGACGTGATCCTCAGCGCTGAGGTATTTGGCGCGTACAAGCCCGACCACCGCACATACCGCGGCGTCGCGCGCGTTCTCGGCGTGAGCCCGGCGGAAGTGATGTTGGTCGCGGCACACCATACCGACTTGGACGCGGCGCAGGACGCGGGCCTCCAAACCGCGTACATCGAGCGCCCATACGAATTTGGCCGTGCGAGGACTAAGGACGTGACCCCACAGCCCCGTCACACCCTCCACTTCTGCGACCTGGCCGCGCTCGCCGATTACTTTGGTTGTTAGAATATTCCAAGCACGCTAAGCACGCTGTGTATGTATGAACGGGGCAGGATGTAGGCGGAGCCCTTGTGCATTGCGAGGAGGTAGTCGGGAGTAGGGGCCAGAGGAGGCGAGCTCAGCAAGGCAGACGTCACCTGCGCTCGCTTGAACGGTTGAGCAGTGTGCTGTGTCAGCACTTGACCGCATACCACATTCGAATGTAGCCCTCCGATCCTCCGGATGTTGCTGATGAGGCACGTCGATCCGCTCGTCTGATCTTCCGCCAGCAAGGCTTGGCAGCATCCGCGAATCAGGCACTCTTTTCGCGCTCTCCGTCGAACTCTTTCCCTCCCAAGTCGTCGCTAGAGCTTGAGCCACCAGCCAGCGCATCTCGAGATCTGGGGTGGCGAGCGATGGATCTTGACTCGAGCGTTCCGCTGGAGTGCAGCACTTGACTTGACACGTCGGACAAGCGGCGCCGAGGAGCCGTCTACTCGGGAGTATGCATCCGGTGATCAGATCGCCGCCGTATCTACTCACTTCAGCACTGCTTCTCTTCTCTTTTGCATCTTTCTCATCCCACTCTTCATCGACACGAACTGTCACCAGTCGGGATGAAGATTCTCGCCATCTCCTACGGCACCGAGGGCGACACCCGCCCCATGGCAGCGCTGTGCCGCGGTCTCATGGATGCAGGTCACGAGGTTATGCTGCTCGGCGACGCTCCTGGATTGGTGACGGCCAAGGCGCTGGGTGTGCCCAACATGCCTTTGCAAGGCGACCTCCAGGAGCTCATGCGGACTACGGCGGCGGATGCGACCGGTCCGAAGCTTATCCGACACACCGGAGAGCACACGAGTGCGTGGATGACTACCGCGCTTGCCCAGTTCCCCGTCGACCTCGTGCTTGCCGGCGGCATCAGCGTGTTCGTCGCTGAGTCCGTGGCCGAGGGCACCGGCACCCCAATTATCCAGACTGTCCTCACGCCGGTTGCGACGCGCACGCGCGAGTTCGTGTCGCCCATCATGGCTGGGCTGCGCCTGCCGCGCTGGGGGTGGCTCCACCTGATCACCCACTCCCTTGTGTGCTGGTTGACCTGGACGATCTTCCGCTCCGCCACCAACGCCGCGCGCAAGGAGCACGGAATCCCTCCAAGAGGAAAGCGCCGCACGGGCGATCCGCAGGTGTACGGGATTTCACCCGCCCTCCTCCCTCGGCCCGCCGATTATCCCGACAACGCACTCTACGCGGGGCAGTGGGTGCCGCCGTCCGAAGGCTACTCGCCTCCGCCCGAGCTCGAAGCCTTTCTCGCCGCGGGCGAGAAGCCCATCTACGTCGGATTTGGGAGTATGGCTGGCGTGAGCAGCGACTTCCTCGCAAAGCTTCGCGATGTCATCGGGGATCGTCGCGTGATCTTTGGCCGCGGGTGGAGTACAGTTAGCGACCTCCCTCCCAACTTCTTCATCGTCGGGGATGTCCCCCACGCGTGGCTGCTTCCACGCTGCGCCATGGCAATCCATCACGGCGGCAGCGGGACCACACACTCAGCTTGCGCCGCAGGCGTGCCGTCCATCATCCTTCCCACGGTCGCAGACCAGTATTTCTGGGCGCGGCACATGGCCGACATCGGCGTCGCGAAGCACGAGCTCCGGATGCACAACCTCGACATGAAGAAGCTGCGTGCCGCGATTGCATTCGCAGACACCGACGAAGCCCAGGAGCGCGCGCGGGCACTTGGCGAGAAGATGCGCAAGGAGGACGGAGTAGCCACAGCTGTCAAGGCCATCGAAGCTTTCGCACGGAAGTAGCACCGCGGGAAAGAGCCATGTGACGGCGCAGGCCGCCGTACAACATGATGCAACCACACATGTGGGTGAAGCGTGTGGAAATAACATTGCGTCGTCTGTAAGACCGGCCAGGCATCTATTTCTCTCTGACGTCCACTACGTGTCTCCTAACTCCGGGCAACCCGCATTTCGAGCGCGCCCGGGGATCACACGCGAAGGTTGACGGTGTTACTCTACAGTCGAACAACCGAGACTACGTGTGTCTTCCAGATCTGGAACTTACCCTTTGACTCTTAGCGTCGCAGGTACCGACATGCCGACTCGGCGATCGGCGATCGGTAACTGTCATGTCGTCATGCTCACTTCATCACATTGTGCGCTTCTCGTTTAAACCACATGCTCCTCTTTACCGCACCGCGCGTTCGCTGACAGAATTCATCGGGCAACGGCGGAGATGCCGTGACGCCCTTCATATTTGTAGGAGACTCCTCGACCCCATCCACCCCGCACCCCACAACAATGTCGCACGACGGTCTAGCCCTCATCCAGCCCGACGCCGCCAAGCGGCACCTCGAAATGGCGAATCTCCCCCTTCTTCCAGCCGCGGAGGACGCGTATGTCGTGGCGGTGCGCGCGAGCGCCGCCTGCCGCGGCGAGCTGGGGTGGGAGAACGCCGACCCCCACCTCTTCACGCACCGCCCGCAGCGCGTGCCCGGTCCCGAGGGCGCCGGCGTCGTCGTGACAGCACCCGCGGGCGCCGAGTTCCAAGCGGGCGACGAAATCATGTGGGCGCTCGACGCATGGGCGTCGGGCTCGATGCGGGAATACACGGCTGTGCCGGTCGGCGCGGCGGCGCGCCGCCCGAAGGTGTCGTGGGCCGAGGCGGCGGCTATACCGCTCAGCGCGGAGACGGCGTGGCAGGGCCTCTTCGAGCAGGGGGGTCTCAAGGCCGTATTTGACGGGCAGGCGAACGCGGGTAAGCGCGTGCTCGTGACTGGTGCAAGTGGGAGTGTTGGGTTGTGGGCGCTGCGCTTCGGCTCGGCGGCTGGTGCATACATGGTGGGAGTGGGGAGCGGGGCGCGTGCCGGCGAGATGCGCGCCAACGGCGCCGCCGAGGTCGTCGACTACACGACGACCAGTGTGGGCGAGTGGGCGAGGCCGGGGCAGATCGACCTCGTCCTCGATTGTTCGGGCATCGACCAGGTTGGCGCTTGGGCGGCGCTCAGAGACGGCGGGACATTTCTTTCCGTCGTGTAAGTCGTAGGCGGCTGTGAACGAGATATCTGCTGACGCCAGGACGGACCCCGTCGAGACGCAGCCCGAGGGCAAGAAGGCCACGGCCCAGTGGTACCTTGTACGTACACGCGTGCCGGAATTGGCGCAGATTGCCGACCTCGTCGACGAACGGGGGTGGCTTCCTGCTATCGATAGCGTACACGAATTCAACGCGTTTCAGGCCGCGTACGACCGCGTCGACGGTGTTGCGACAGGAAAGGTTGTTGTGTCGATTTCAGCCGACTCTTAGGAGGTTGATTGTGGCGCCTGCGTGAAGGCCTCTCCATTGTAAGGGCTCTATGTAATCTGTCCCAAAAAGCTCATGTCATACATGGATGGCATTGCTATCAGCGCGTCGTCTGTTTGCCCATCTATGCTCTCTACTGGCACTGCTTTGACTCTCAACGAATGGACTCCATCTTCCCCGCCCATCCAGTTTCCATGGTCTCAATTGCAGTACGCTCTGGGCCTAGATAGGCACGAAACTCGTCGAGAGTCATGAAAGTGATCCGAGACAAAGCCTCCAAAGCCTCCGGCCCCGCCATCCTGGGATTTCGCCCCATTGTGCTCCTGCAGAAGTGACGGAAGCGCCTGACAAGCCCGTCCCACACCCCTTCTCCCTCATTAGGCTCCCATCCTGGCCACCCATCAAAGATTTCGATTCCCGCCACAGTAGGACTATGTCCGTCCGCAATGTGCAGAGCGACAGCGTATCCCAGGATTCGGAGCATGTGATCGACTCCAGCGCTACGGCTTGCGTGGTCGACAACTGGAGTGTCGGCCCGATGGAACACCAACACCATTTCCGGCGCACTCACTGGGCACAAGGCGAATTCGTCGGGGCGAGTATCGTCCAGATGCACCGATATGTTGATGACCGCGCGGCGCAGGTCGACCTTCCCGGCGCTCGGCCATCTGAGGAGAGAAGGCGCCTGCCACTCGGCGTAGAACATGTGGGGGAGCGGGGTGAAGAGAACCGTGGTGTCGGGGCTGGCTGCCACAGCGCGTGTGGCTCCGACAAACGATGAGTCCAAGGCACGCTCGCCGACAAGATTATGCATGAAGCGCACGGTGAGGCGGGACGAGTCGAGCGACGGTGCGATAAAGATATCGCATGCGTCGGGAAGAGACGTATCGTAACGGGTGCACGAAATGCGACGTGGTTCGGGACGGAGCGTACGGACGCCTACGAGGTCCACAATGCGGACGCGGCTGAGGTCATGCGCGGCGGGGTTAAAGACCTCGCCTCGCGCCATGCCTTCGAAAGCGGGGATGCGGCCAGATGGCGAGGATACGATCACGGGCATCTCAAGACAGTCGCGCGCCAGCGAGTTGGTAGAAGAGCTTACGGTTCTCTCGTCGGCTGCAGAGGTTGCGGCGGCGATTATGATGCGGCCAGCGATGAGCTGCGTGTCCGCCTTGGCGCGGAACTCTTTTGAGGCTGCGCGGAGGCGTAGAAGCGCATCGCGTGGCGCGAGGTTGATCACGAGGTTGACTAGGTGTGGGTAGATGTCTGCGTCGAGCATGGCGAAGCCGAGAGGTAGTGAGGTAGAGGAATATAGGATTGTCGAGGTGCTACTGAGCAGCGGGAGGATGCGACTGATGTGAGCCGAATACGTTCCGTGGCAAGGCTGGATGCATGCACCCGGGCCTACTCTTTCCGCTCTCCAAACCTGCCAGAGTGGCAATTCCAGACAGAAGAGATCTGACGCGCAAGTAGTACCTGTGGGAAAAAAAAAAAAGCAGCAACGATTACAAATGCTACGTGTGAGCGTGTAGGCTGACACTGTGCTGTAAGCAGATCGGGCCGGGAAAGGGGATGACCATGCAAAAAGAACACCCAACGATTCCAGGTGTGTGAATCGAACGCGCGAAAGGCGGCATTTTCGTATTGGCACGACGTCATTGCATAGCAAGGAGGCGCCTCACCACGTGGCTCAACAGGGGCGATGGTTGTGTGTACGGGGAGTGTAGGATGTTTGCCCTGAATGCCGAGCCTTGCTTCCCCTCGTCCAGTTCCTCATCCCACACACCTTCCTCCCCCCCCCCTCCCTCAGTCAATTCACTCGACCCATCCCTCTTCTTCTTCTTCATCCTCCTCCTCCTCGTCTTTCATCTCGTCGTCAACATCACTGACGTCCTCCTCGACGCTCATATCACTTCCCCTCATCCTCCTCCTCCTCCTCCTTGCCCTCCTCTTCCTCTGCTATCCCAGCGCTACCCATTCTCACCCTTTCTCCTCATCTCTCATCTTCCCATTCACCTTCCGCCATCCCTCCCCCTCCCCGCTACCTCAAACACACTCGTTGACCCTCCTCCTACCCAAGCCGCCATGACCCGCCCAACGGCAAAGGCGGCTATCGCGACTTTGCTCGCCTTGGCCGCCCCCGCCCTCGCCCAGCTCGACCAAACTAGTGGCTGTCTCTACCTCACTGGAAGCTCGCTATGCCCAGGCTGTACGCTACCGTTTCCTTCCTCTCGCTGACATGCAGTCGAGGGGTCGTACGTGGCTGTCGAGAACCAAACCGCCGCCTACCCATTCTTCTCTCGGGTTTACGACATGCAGGACTTTGATCGTCTTGGCCTCCAGTACATCAACAGCGTTGGAAGTACCAAGCTCGACGACATCATGGGTTGCAACAATGCCGACTCAACCGTGATTCGTTACGAACGCACTGTTCTTTGTGGAGTTTGGACCAGTTCTCCAGGCTCCTTGGCTTGCATTCAATACTACCGTGAGTTGAGGCAGTTGTCAGTGTTAGGGGCACTTGCCTTGCGAGGCGAGCAGCGAGTGGTTCCAGCGGGCAGTGTGACGCGGACGGAACGGGCGCAACGGTGGCAGAATTGCATCATGTTTGAGGTCTTGACGAGTGGGCCCCATGATCCTGAGAGCACAGAAGCGAGACGTCGTGCAGCCGAAGAGTTGTCGCTTGAAGAATGGACAAAGTCATGGGACAGTTTGTGTCGCACAGCGCTGCTCCAGCTCTGCAGAGTTATGCGGGGGTCTGCAGCATGCATGCTATGAGGAGTTTATCTACTTTGCACGGCTCCCCCGCCCAAGTACCTGGCTAACAAACAGAGGGACCGACGGCCGTTCTTCCTAAGCAAGTTTGCGCCACCACATGCGACCAGAACCGCCAGTCGATGCAGGATATTGCATCCAACTCGACTCTTTGCGGCAGGGACCGCACGGGGGGTGCGCGCGACAACGAGATTGCAAACGACTACGCTGCGTGCACCGCTGGAGCTTCCACCAACACCGCGACCTGTGTCTCCGGCGACATGAACGAGCACAACTGCGGCTTCGCCAGTTCATCTTCGCAGGTGTGCACGTTCTGCTCTACTACTCCCGAAAAGTGCTGCACTGAGCGTGAGTTGTTATGTGTGCCCATGGTTACCTGATCGACACTTCGGGTGCCTGTTTGCACTGCACTGGCCCTATATTGACGCTATCAGCCAGCTTTGACATCAGCGGCTTATGTGGTCTCGACGCAACCGCGTTGTCTTCCTCGGCTGCCGCCAACACTGCCACGGCCTCTGCCGATGCATCGCGACCGAGTACCGCGAGCAAGGGTCTTTCCGGCGGTGCTATCGCCGGAATTGTCGTTGGTGTCGTGGGCGGTATTGCCTTGGTGAGTTAAAATTTCATCCCTCCCAAGATACTAGGTCGTTGCTGACTTTCAGATCGCCTTCCTGGCATTCTGCTTTTGGCGCCGCAAGCGCAATAACACCAAAGCAAATGGTCGACTTCTCGCATCGCCTGAGGAGAAGAACCATGGCACTGGCTGGGGCAAGTCCACCCCCGACACTCCCGCCCAAAACTCGCCCGAGATTCGGGGCGGTACCATCAGCGAGGGTCCTATTGAGCGTTCTCACACCAACACGACTCTTCCTGCGGGTGCAGCCGCCGCAACAGGGGCGGGTGCTCTTGCGGCCACCAATGTTGGGCATGCTGCGCACACTGGCGTGCCGGCAGCGACCAACTTCTCCTCCGCTCCTCCTCCATCTGGCGCTCCCGCTACCGGCAACGTCGCTTCTCACCCATCTGTAGCCGGTTACTCCTTGGGTGTTGGCGCTCGTGACAATGAACCCCACGCTATTGGCACTCCTGGTGTCGGCTCCGTTGGCCATGTTTCCGGCACTCATGCCACTGGTTCGTCGCACGGCCACGGCGGTGCTCTCGCTGGTGCCGCTGCGGCCGGCGCTGCCGCTGCGGGTGTTGGGGCTCTCGCTGCCAATAAGCAGCGTCGCGATGCCCCGTCGCCCCCTACCAAGCGCAATTTCTCGCCTCCTGCGCCTACCAACGCGCCCCATCAATCGCTGCCTCAGGCGCAACCTTCGATCACTCCCACGGCCGATGCTTTCCCCCACGTCCCGTCCTCGCCCCCTAGACCTCTGCCCGCGCCCCCGACAAACACTTCTCCTAGGTCGCCTCAGTCGGCGTACACGCACACTCCGACGTCTCCTCCTCAGACTTCGCCACCTCGCGGCCCCTCGAGTATCTCCGCACCCAAGGCGGCACTCGCTGCCGCCCCTTTGATCGGCGCTGCATCCCAGCCGGCACCAGCAGTTCCTGCCTCTTCGAGCGCTGCCAATATGGCCGGAGTTGGAGCCGGTGCATCTGCTGCCGCTGCCGCATCTGCCGCGGCAGGCGCGGACACGACTCGCCTGCCTCGCCTCGAGCTTCCCAAGGGCAGTGGCGTGTGGATCGAGGAGGGCTCGCGCGTTGTTGCGCAGCATCCCTACAATGCTGCGCTCGTCGACGAGCTCAGCCTCGTACCCGGCATGCTCTTGATCGTCCACGAGATCTACGATGATGGGTGGGCGCGTGGTGTCGTCGACGCAGGCGGAGACCCCAACCAGGTGGGACGGATCGGCCAGTTCCCTACAGTCTGTGTTGCCAAGGCATAGACATATCGGACGACCCGCCTGTATCGAACGTTGTAGTCACGTACCACCTGCTCGCCTAATCTATGGACCTTGATGCGCCGCGACGAGACTGCAGTGTTGCATCTGAATGACTAACATTTCTACACGAATCGCCTCAGCACTTCCTCGCTTACTCCAGCACTGATACGCACCCGCTCCTCATACTCCTCCCAGACGATCTGTCTGCTCTCGAGCCCACGCAGCGCCCTTCCCAACGCCGGCGACCGCCAGGCTTTGGCGTTGGCGAAGCGAAAGTGTCGCCCTAAGCCGGTCGCCACATGCCCGTCAAACCACCCATCTCGACACGCCATGCTGCGCCACGCGGGAAGACAGTCCCAACCAAACTCCTCAGGTAGCACCAACACCGAGTCGAGGATGGTTCTGAGCATTACTCGAGCCGCTGCCACAATGTCTTCCGTCTCCACCCCTTGCAGATCCCGCGGAAGGGACAGATCACGCCAAGTGCACTTCTCCACACCGACAAGAGTGACGGCCACACCCTGTTCGATAACGCGGTTCATGAGTGCGTAGCAGAGGTTGCCGAAGAGGCCGTGGGCGCGCAGCGGGTCATGGTACGTGTCCGGCACATCGGACTCGGCGATGCTCGGGGTGCGTGTGTGCCCGATCGGAGAAGTAGCGGTGTGGCCGGACGAGCGGCGGGGACGCTTGGCGGGGCGGGTGGGACTTCGGGACAGGCGGCGGCGGCGGCGAGGGCTCGACGCCGGCCCGGTCGACCAATCTCCTATGGCTTCGACATCGTCGATCGGCGATTCCAGTACAGGACGGATTGGATTGAAGAGGACGACGATGTCGGCATGCAGCGCAACCTCGCCGATGGTGACATCGGCGTATCGCACCCGCGGATAGGTGGGATCCCACGACAGATGCAGCACCAGCCGCCGCGTGCCCTCCGGAGGGTCGATGTATAGTCCCGGAACGTCGTCTTCCTCGTGCCACCGTGGATGCGTGAGGTGGAGGTAAGCGACGTACACGCCGTCGCCGACCGGCTCCCACCGCTCGGGCGGCAGCCACTCCCCGCCTTGCTCGACTATGCGTGCGGGCGCATCGGGGAAGCGTGGCATCGGCCATGTGCGGTATGCGAGCGGGTGCCGCACGACGCGGAGGGAGGGAAACGCGGCCGGGCGCCCGTAGCCGTACGCCGCACACAGGTCGAGGACGCGCGTGTGCGCCAGGTGCCCGGGCTCCTCATCTGTGCATGGCCGCAGCGCGCGGAGACATGTGAAGGGAGGTTCGGGCGCCAAGACGTGCCCGCAAAAGCGGCCGGCGCGGAGCGTGACGTGTCGGTAGAGGAGCGGGGTGAGGCGCGCATGCAGCGATCGGCAGGTGTGCGAGAGGCGGCGCAGCGTGGATGAATCGGCGTGCGTGATGACGGCGTCTAGGAGGTGCGGATAGGCTGACGCGTCCAAGGCGCGCATGTCGGAGACGAGAGGGGAGTGGAGAGGAGAACACAGGAGACCGTTGAGGAAAAGGAGAGAGAAATAACGAGCACGGCAGGAAGCGAAAGAACGCGCGATGCTGCGGAAGATCTTTGGTTCCACGACATGATCGGCAGCGGGGTCTCCACAAACCCGATCCATCTACTCGATCTCACACTCAATCGTCCTCTCTCGCACGTGTCTGGTTTTAGTTACACTTGCTCTAACAACTCCTCGACGATTGACGCCGCAGCGTATCCGCACATCCTCGACCAGATCATCCTTTTCTCGCCGTATGCCGCGCTCATTGCACTGCGCGGCGCGTGTCGCGACCTCCGCCGGCGCGCCGACGAGCAGCTGCTGAAGCGACACGTCGTTGTCAGCTGTGGTGCCACGGGCGCTCCTTGGCAGATCCGCCTTCCGGTCTTTCGCGACTGGAATGGCGGCGCTATCAAGCTCGAGTGCGACGTTGTCGACCTCGTAGGCATCACCGCGTCCAGCCTCCTCCAAAGGTCGCCCAAGATACCGACTCTTCGGTTCATGTACAACACCAAAGGCGACCGTGATATCAAGATGGGTTCAGTGCCTAACAGCGCAATGTGGTTGGAGGTACCGATTGACACATTCGTTGTGTTTGCGCCGCTTCCTTACATACTCAGGAACACACTGCCCCGCCCCGCGCGCAGGCCGCTTCGTCGTGTGGTGCGCAACATTTCACTGCACCCCGACGACGAGTTTGAAGGCCACCCGAATGCTTGCATTGACAAGCTTAATCTGCTGGAAGAGTCGGTCTGGGTCTTCCACCTTGCGAAAGATCCCGTACGGGCGGCTTCGCCGTGGTCCGGCGAGAAGCAGAGGATGGGACTCGGCGCAATGCTGCGCCGGACCTTCGATTGTGTACGCGAGGAGGTGGCCGCGGGCGCCAGGGTCGTGGTCGTCGGGCTCGACTCCGTGCCGCCGTTCATCGTCAAGAAGTTCGAGAGGTCCGCTTTCAAGCTACTTGCCAAAGTCATTGGTCGGGATGCGGACAAGGTGGAGCAGCTTACCTTTCCTGAGTACCGAGCGCGCGTAGGCCTGGAGCGCGCGCATCTGGAGATGGAAGTGAGTCGATAGTGCCAGCTCGCTCTTCTCCTTGCGATCTAAGACTGTACTGAGATGGCTGCATCCGCCCCAAACAAACTGTACTTGATGCAGATGGTTCTAGCGAGGTCGACACTTGGGATAGTCACTCCCATGGCCGCTCGAGATCTCCGAGGTCCGCTGGGCGGAAGCTTTCTTAAGGTGCAGACACATAATGCAACAGACACTTGGCCCCGGATATGACTTGATGATAAACTTCCCAAAGATGTTCAATGTGACTCGCACGTCGACGTTTCCGCGAACCCATCTCCTCTCTACCGCCACCTATCTCTACCACGACCTATCTCACTCCGATCTCTCCACAAACGCAGAGACCGCCGATGGCCACAGGGCAAAAGGCACGGGCTCAGTCGTGACTTCGTGATCTCCCGGTCTCAAATACGCATGACCACTTTTGAAGTTGTGCAGCGTGTCGCATGAGAGCATTGAGCTAGCTGTTCTGGAATATGAGGGGAGAGAGGACGGAACCTGTTGAAAGTCGCTGTCCAGATACTACAATACGGAGCCGGAGTGGCAAAAGATTGTGCGCTGGCTTAATATAAAACGTGAGCCAAAGTGAGTGGATTGGATGCACGAGCCGTTCTCTTCAGTCTAAACTTATGTCTTCGCGTCCATCTCTCCACGCTAAAGAGTCTCTGCGACCCTCGGACAATGCCTGGCGGGCACACCGTCGCAAGTGAACATGGTCAGTTTTGTGATGGCGAGATGATTGTGCCATCCTCATTGCCAGATCGGCTATGCACACTTCACATCATCCTACATGGCGTTCTTCATCTCGCGCAGCTGGTGCATGACCTTGATCGGGTCATTCTCCCCCGTCGCCTTGCTATATGTCAGCTCATGCACACACACAAAACTCACATCTCCTCTGGGCGGTCGAGACGCATGAACACGTTCCACTCCTTTTCATCACCGATCGTCGACTTGCCCGTCGTGCACTTGTCCTTCTGTGCTGTCTCGTACAGCCTGAGTCCGGTCAGCAAGTGCTTAGTCACAGCCACCTCGTACTCACTGCCTCAGTTTGGCGTTGTTCGGCTCGATGGTAAGCCCGAACTTGGCCGAGCCGATGGTGTACTCGTGGCCGTTGTAAACGAGGGTGTCGTCGGGCAGGCGGCCGAGCTTTGTGAGAGCTGCGTGCATCTCAGCAGCGTTGCCTAATGTGAGCATTTGCGAATGTCATGGAACGAACCCTCGAAGAAACGGCCACAACCTGCGAGGAAAAGTGTGTCGCTGCGAGTCAGTTCGGCAGGTGGATGCACCGGCGGGGGAAGGTGCTGTGGGTGCCCACTGTACTACCTCCTCCATTCCACTCACCCCGTAAACACTCCCCGCTGCCCGGTCTTCTTGTCCTCGAGGAAGAACGCGATCGAGTCCTGGGTATGGCACGGCGTAGAGTGGCACCTGGGATCAGCTCTGTCCCCGCCTGGTATAGGACGCACGTAACGTTGATGTTGTCGCCGATGGTGAATTTGTCCCCGTCACCGACGATCTTGTTGGTGCCTGGCGACTTGTCCGAGCCCGCGTACGCCGTCAAGCCGGGGTTGAGCTCGAGCTGGTGTGAGCGACGCCGAGGAGTGGCATAAGTCAACACGTACAAACTTGGCGTTGCCGCCTGAATGGTCGGCGTGGTGGTGAGTGGTGATGAGCGTCGTGAGCTGGTGTCAGCGCGTTCATCCATCACCCACCTTCACGCCGTGTTCCTTCGCGGCGGCGGTGAGCTTTGGCGCGTCAAAGGGGTCGACGACGGCACCGGTCTGCGATGGCTCGTCAATCACGAGATACATCCAGTTGTCGGAGCGGGCCTGGACGGGGATGACCTGGGATTAGGTGGACTGCGGAGATGGCTCGCAGCGTACCTTCATGGTGGTTCTGGCTGTCAGCTACCACACCTGGGAGGCCGCATGTTGGCCAAACACACCTAGCTGATGTGGAGAAGAGACGCTTGTTGAGACGGGTGAGGGGACGGAGCATGGATGATGGTGCAGACACAAGACTGAACTGTGAGAGCGGCGACGTGTGGTGGACCTCCACTCTGCCCACATCCACTCGCAGTACGCCGATGACGAACCGGGGGCAAGGTTTCCATGTCACCCTCATCTTGCCCAAATTTGATCCCGCCAGACCGAATCCAGCGACCCCATCTGGGTCCAGGCACGACTATTCATTCCTCAATTCAATCGCGTCTCGCCCCTAATCCCCCCTATCCGGCTTTCCCAACACGCTGCTCCATTTTGTAATCTCTCCAATCTCCTCCATCTCCATCTCCCTCTCCCACCCATGCTCGGCCTCAAGAAGAAGCTCTCGGCCCTAGTTCCCACCGACGTGCGGCCCCTCTTCGCTATTGCTGACCGCAGGCGCGCTCCAGCCTCCAAAAGGCGCTGACGGTCGAGTGGGACGGGGGGCACAAAGCCGTGCTCGTCGACCTCGCGCCGCCGGAGGCGCACCCCGACGTCGAGATGGCCGGCTTGAAGAAGCAGTACGGGCGCCTGCCGGACGAGGACGAGGAGGAGGCCATGTTCCGCGCATGGGATGCGGCGGAGGAGGAGCGCGCGCGCCAGCGCGAGAAGGAGGCGCGCACCCGCCGCATGGTGCAGGAAGCGCTTGGGGCGCCGCGCAAGGCCGAGAGCGTGCTCGGCCTCGACGCGAGCGACTTCCAGCCGCCGTCACCACGCGAACCCGCTGCGCGTCCGGAAGAGCGCCGGAGCAACAATCCCTTTGCCGCGCCGTACCGCCACGACGAGGGCGTCGACGCGTACATGCGCGATCGGCGGCCCGCCGCGCTCGGCAAGACGTGGGCGTGGGAGGGGCGGAGCGGCGAGCCGAGCCCCACCACCAGCAGCGGGAGCCGCTCGAGCGGGTCCAGTGGCGACTTGGCAGCCCATCCCGAGAACCCCTTCCGGTAACGAGCGCGCTTCGCAGATCACTGGTGGCGATAGCCGAGCTCGGACCTGCTTGATGCCCCCCTCCGCGGCCCGTCCACAACCCCCTCCCGCGATCCCCCGGACACTCCCGCCTCCACTGATAGACGTGCACTGCACTTGGCTGCCTCGACCAGCCGCGCTTGATCAGATTTTCCTGTTGTACTCCATATTCTACTGTTTCTTGTTGCGTTGCAAAAATCATGCTGCACAGGGATTCGGCGCTCCGCGATCCGCGACACTCCTGACGGCGATCACCTTGCCAAGACCACTGCGCACACGTCCGTGGGACACACCTCGTCGTCCAGCCCCGTAACCAAACGTCCTCTCGCGCAACCATCGTTCCAGCAGTGCATGGCCTACAGCTATGGACCAATGTGCCATGTCCCACTTGGGCATTCGTCGCATCGGGGCGGTCGTCGCGTGTCGTGTAATCGCCAGCGAGAGAGCTCAACGCAGCTTCTTGTCCTCAAAGTAGACCTTGAGGTGCCGCATCTGCCACACGCCAGCCGCGAGCAAGATGCAGATCTGCATGATGACATACCACACCGCCTTGGTGTTTGTCGCCTCGCTCGCGTCACGGAACGTCGCTTCGACTTCGCGCATGTACCGCTGCTCGCGCTGGATGTCGGCGACCTTCTGGTTGAGCTCCTGCAGCTTGGTCGCGAGCGTGTCTGCGTGTTGCTTGTCCCCGCTGCTGTCAGCTGCGTCACGCACGCACTCACGATGCGTCGAGCTTGGACGACCCCACCGTGATGTCGAGGTACATCTTGATGTGCTCGGTGCCGGACATCCACCCGCCCGTCAAGTTCGAGTGCAGGCAGATGTTGTGGTCGGCTGGCGTTAGCGCCGAGGCGGAAGGGGCGCACCGGCATCAGACGAGGCAAAGGTGAAGCGGCCGGCGTGCGGCCCGCGCGTGTTGACGACCGTGTTGCCGGAGAAGAGGTCCTATGTGTGAGTGAGAGGCGAGAAGCGGAGCGCCGGGAAGACGTACCTCAACGTTGACCGTGATCCCGAGCTGCGGGTTCGTGGTCCACTGCTTCGTCGTCTCGTCCCACAGGAGTGCACGATAATGTCCTGATGTGAGCGAGGCGTTTGAGAATGCCAGGTGGCCACGATACTCCAAATTAGGCCATCTCCCGTCCCAACGCACCTTCGACAATAGTGTCCGACGGCAGCTCCTCGAGGAAACACCGCTTCTCGTTCGACTCGAAGTAGAAATGCAGCGCCTGCATGTGTGACGTTGATGATGATGGCGAGTGGAGCGACGAGCGATGAGCGACGGACGGCGAGAAAAGCGCAACACAAGAAAAGCATCAGCATAACAGCAACGGCGAAGCGTCAAACGCACCTGCACGGCAGACAGCAATGGCACGGCGGCCAGGAGGAACGAGGCCAGCCTCATGATGGTGGATAAATGGGATGAAGTAGATGTCGAGATGCGACTGACGCGTGGGATGGACGTGTCACTTGGGCGATCGTCCCACGTGGCTTTCATTAGCTTGGGCATTAAGAGTGCAGCAATAGGCCGTCAAATCGCAGCAACCTAATGTCTGATTAACGGAAATTACTCCTCCCTGAGCCAAACAACCGCAGCCATTGGACAAACCCTCCCACGCCCCCCGCCGCACTTTTGCGTGCACGCGTCCGCAGCCGCATACTCCTACATCGTGGTACAGATACAAGCGCGACTACAGTACAACAATGTCTCGTGGTTGTGGTGTGCGCGGACATGGAGGCGGGCGAGGAACATGGTTTCACGCCGGACGGCCAGGCTGGCAATGAGGTGCGGCTAGGCACCAGTACGGTTATGCGGTGGCGGTGGCGCATCGCCGTCTCATGTACTGTTGAGGCGGAAGCGGCGCTTGAGTGCGCACGCGCGAGGTTCGTGCAGGACCTCGACGGGGCCGGCGGTGTCAATGCCGGTGTCGGCCGGGAGGATGGCGCGGGCGCTGGCGCGCGAGCGCGACGCGACGCTACCGAGGATCCACTCGTGTTCGTGCTGCTCGGCCTCACGCATCCACTGGAGACAGCGGCGGTCGATGGGCGCCGTAGGCGCATGTAGGCTCGCGGCTTTGGGCGTCAGGTCGGATACGAGGGGGGTGGGGGACGGGGAGGAGGCGGCGTCGATCGAGGCGGCACGGGCGTGGCGTGGTCGCTCGTATTTTCGGAACCAGAGGTGAGCTGTCGACATAGGGGAGGGGGAGGGTGCGGTGCTGGGGCTCGAGATCGAGCTCGAGCTCGGCGTCGAGCTTGAAGAGCCGGGAGAGTAGCGCGAGCCTGAAGACGAAGTGGATTGGAGGCTTTGTAGAGACATGGAACTTAGGCGCCACGACGAGGAGAGGTAGGGCGTTTGGTCAACGAAGAAGGGGTGGCTGGAAAGGCGGGGCGCCGAGGTCGGCGGCGACGGCGCCGCCGCCACCTTGGGCGTGTATGGGTACGCGTTGTACGAGGGGGAGTATGGCCTCGCCATGGCGGGGTGCGAAAGAATTACAGGATTCACAGAGAAAAGATGCAGGCGATGGCCAGCTATATTACTCTACTTTACGCTTGCGCTGTGCTACGCGGCGCGGCTGCGAGGCTGCGCGCGTCGCACGATGCGTGGCGACGGCAACGAGCATTGTCCGCTGACCTTGCCGCTCGATCGCTGGCATACTGTAAAGGTTGTCGGTGGCAAGGGCATTGTCGGGTAGGACGGTGGACGGGAGGCGGGTTGCAGGAGCGTCGCAAGAATGACGAGAGACGTCCCGATGCATGTTTCATGTCTGATGTCGCCCAGCATGCCCAGCACGCCGGGGCGACATTAGTCTGGGCGTGTTGCCGTGCGGGAGGCCGTGTTACGGCGAGACAGAGGCGAGACAGAGGCAAGACAGACGGCATCATGCCGGCATGTATTGTGGCTCCTCGAAATGCCATCTGCCATCTCGCATCAGCGTGCGCATCGGATGGATGTCGGTCGTCGGGGCATTTCTCGGGCGGAGTGATAAACTGCCACTCGTGGAAAGTACACCTGGACCTGCGGGACTAATTTTGGCGTCTATCTTGATCAAAACGCGAATTACTCAAACCATCTCTTCTTTTCTTTCTCTACCTCCTCCATTCTCCGCTGTCATGTGATGGCTAGTCTCGGCATCCCCTCTTTGCTCGCCTTCACCACTCACACGTCATCACTGACTCGACGCGTCTGCGTCCTCCCCCCCCCTCTCTCTCTCACCCCCCCTCTCCTCTCCTCTTCTTTCCTCACCACGCGCATTTGCCTAGAGCCCACCTCGTTCACGGGGGGCCCTTACTAGTCGCCTGGAAGATCAACGGCTTAGGTCTAGACAACCTGTGTCGCGTCTGCTTGCAGGCGCGGCCGGCGGATCCTCGTCCACCCTCGTCTGCCCTCGTTCTGGGCATATGAGGACTAAACGAGGCGAACATCTCTTCTTCTGTCTTGCGTTTCTGTATGTCGTACTCTGGCTCCGTTGCATGTGTGCATGTGTGGATATGAGCGGGTGCGGAAATTTGCTCCAGGGTTGCGACGAGCTGTCGTGGTCGGGTAAGGGATGAGGCGACGACGCGCGGAAGCAGGGCGTATACTCTTGAGTGCGCTCCTGGCTACACTTTTCTCCGAGACTGGACAGCAGTGGATCAACCCGATGGTTCTCCTACTATTCGGAGCGTAAAAAGCTGTCCGGGATGAGATTGGGCCCGTCGGGACTGCTGCCGCGCAGATGCCGCGCGACCACGCCTTGGCCTCGCAGTATGCGTGGCTGTGAGTTTTCGGCTGGGGTGCAGGTGTTCGATTACTCTGAGCAGATGGGAGAGGTGGACTCACACCTGCCTGTCTCAACGCTTGATGTGCATGTGTGTTTATGTGATCGCTGTCGATTCGACCATGTGGCCTGGTGGCCATGTGTCCATTTGGCAAGGTCTACTGTAGTGCTACATGGTTTGGCCTACTCAACTTCAGACGCGAAAGCGATAATAGACGTGACAGATCTGCACTGTCACGACGCGACTGATCTTCGCCCCCAGTGCCGGTCCCTCTTCCCCTCGCGAGCTGCCGGCCAGCGTGACTAGGTCAGCTCACCGTACCACCATCGATTCGTGACACCGTCTTGAAACCGGCCCGGTCAGAGGGGAAACAGGGAGCTTGCTCCGCGCTTCAACAGAGGCAGAGCCAAGAGCCAGAGTGAGGGATCCAAAGACTGGCGGCAACACGCCACCGCACGCACGAACAGTCACATACAATGCATACAATGAGTCAATGAAGAAAGAAAAAGTCGAATCCCCATCCCTAGTCCTCCCCCAGCAATGTGCGCCGCGTCTCGTCAAACCACATGCGGCGCTTTATGTAGTGCACAACCACCGTGCCACCCCTCAAGTGGGGATCGCCGAGGTATCGTTGTGCGAACGTCGGCTTGGCCGCCATGAGGGCGTCAACGCGCTCCGCCATGTCCGCGCGCGTGTGCGCGTGAAGCGTGCCAGCCTCGTCTCGCAACTTGCTCATCGCCGAGCCCTCGACGAGCGCCTCAGCCGCCTCGTCAAAGCTCAACCCGCGCAGTGGAGGACGGTAGTGATGTCCAAAGTGCGACACGGTGCTGAACGCGTCTGCGCTAGCTGGATACGGGCGGCGATCGGCTTCAGTCGAAAAGCTCAGCGAACGCTCAGCACGCACACGCGCCACTTCGTCGGGGAATAAGAAGCCGTGGCTGTACACCGTCCCCGCCTTGGGGTGGTCGTAAATCCATGTGCGCTCCGAGAACCACAGTATCTTCTCCTTGTCCGGGTGTGTACGTAGCCACTTTGACACGAGCTTGTCCTCCTTGCCGTGGATATGGTCGCGCAAGTCCTCCGTGTCACGGATGTACTCGACGAGGTCGCGCGACAGAGCGTAGCACTCTCCTGCCATGAAGCGCTCGCGAACGAGATAGCCCCAGTAGGTTTTGTTGCGCGGAGTCACGCGCAAATGTCGTTCCAACTCGCCGAGCATGATGAATGCGTCGTCGTCGGCCTTGGCAATGTAGTCAGGCTTCTTCTCGCCGCGGTAAATGGGCATAGGCTCCTCGCCGCGCTCGCGCTGCGCCGCAAACTCCAGTGCGCTCGCCTCAGACCGCGGGTACGACGGGTACTCGTAGTCGGGAACCGTCGCGTTGTCGGCCGCCCAGGAAAGGAAGGTGTACGTCTTTCCCTGGTTCATGTTCTCGTCCGTGTCAAGGATAACAATGTCCTCGTATTCTAATGTCAGCGGCACTGTCACGGGGGAGCCAACTCACCTTCCACCTCCGCATCAACCATATGCTTGAACTGCGGTCGTGGGCGGCCCATGATGAAACGGAGACGAACACCCTCGGTCCCCGGGGTGCGTGATCGTGGATGTGAGGCGTAGCTTTGGCGGATGAGATTGCGACGATCCACACCAACGTCGTAGGTGAAGACGGCGACATAGACCGTGGTCGGCTCGAGGTCATCAACGCGCGGACCACCATGCAAGTTCTCGCGATGCGGCGCGTAATCGTAGCCCGGATATGGCCATAGTTCGTGTTGGGCGGACAGAGGCTTGACCACCGAGAGCGGAGGAAGGTAGCCCCCAAGCGCGTCATTGTCCCAGTCGGCGTCTTGGATTGAGAAAACGGTCGGGTAATCCTGCATGGCGTACTCACGCCACGGCAAAGCGGCCTTGTCCGGATCCAGGATGTATTTGATGCTGCAGCCGAGGCAAACGGCGAATATTGCGAACACGAAGAGGAATAGCACGACAGCCCATGGCTCGTTCTGCACAAAGTCGGCGGCCTGCGCAAGGTATTCCGACCCAAAGACGGTACGAGGCTTTCGTCGGGTGGTGGTAAGGTAAATCCTTTCCCGGTCGTAGCCGCCGCGTTTCCTGCTGCTGCTGCTGCTGCTACTGCCGCCGTTGCTGCTCGCGCCGCCGCTCAAAAGCGCCGTGTACTCGTACTCGCGAGGGTTGGCCATCCTGTTGAAAGGCGCGAGAAGCCAGCCCCATCTTCGTATCCCAAAGGGCAACCTGGACGGTGCTTTGCGTAACATTGGCCGCACAGGTGGTGGGCGCCCGTGAGCGCGCCACCACCATCCTGACGTCGTTGTTGGAGAGTCGTCGTCATCACCCGCCGAGCTGTCAGAGTAAGAGCGGGTGCCCGTGCCCCAGCTCATCTCCTCGCTTGCCGACAATGAGGTTCGCGGTGTGCTGCCGTGGCCGCTAGACGCGTGCCCGACATAGTCGAGGGATTCGCGGAAGGAAGGGGGAGGAGTCGAAAGAGGAAGAATGTGATTAGGATCTTGTGGGAGGGGCAGTAGTTCTGAAGGCGTGGCCGATGTGGGCAAGACGGTGGCCGGAATGGGTAATGGAGAGAGGACTGGGGGTATGGACGCGCTGTGCGCCCGCGCGGGCAGAAGACGTTCTGGGGCCTCGTTGTTAGCCGATGATGGCGCGTTTGTGGATATGGATATGGACGCGGGCATGGCGCTGCGAGGGTGGAGGTGTTGATTGCTTGCGGGTGACGCAGTCGAGCGAAGCGGCGCGTCATCTGGTTCGCGCTCGTCGTCACTTTTTGACCTCTTGCGTTCCTGCTGCGTCGACAGCGCGCGACGCGCGCTCAACCAGTCGACACCGCTGGAACCAGTGGAAGGGGAAGGTGGGGGATGGCCGTTGCTGCTGCGGCGAGTTGAGGAATTTGATCGCGAATCACCCGACATTGGCTCCTGCATGAGCGAGGAACGGCGACGAGTTGGATTGGACGTGGAGGTGCGACGGCGATGGAAGGCCGAGAAGGCGGCGCCGGGGCCTTCATCAAATGAGGCGACAGTTGGCGAGAGGGCAGAGGTGTACGAGTCATGGTCGGGCGGGGAAGGCGCGGCACCCCCGCCGCCGCCTCTGACGGCGCTGGGCATCCGAGGAGAGGACATGACCGAGGTGTTGTACGAGGTACAGGCCTGCACCGGACCCGGTGAGGAGAGGACCGAAGACTGGGAGTGAGAGCTCGCGGCGGTGGGGTGTGGAGGGGAGGGGACGGAAAGGGTCAAGGAGGGGCGTGAGGTGGTCGATGGAGCGGTCGCGGTGGTAGTCGTAGCCGTAGTCGTCGTGGTGAAGGATTAAAAGGGGGCTTAGGAAGAGAATGGTCGAAGTGAGTGAGCGAGTGTGTAGTAGTGTTTGTGTTTGTGCTGCGCGGAGATGGCGATGGCGAAGAGCGACCAAGATTCGATGATGAAGAGATGGAGAGATGCGAGTTGGAGCAGTTGGAGGTGCGCAGCAGCAGCGGTGCAAAGGGAATCCGCCCCTCGCCCATCCCCGCCTCGCCGCCTCGCCGCCTTGCTCCCACCCCACCCCACCACTCTGCCTCCGTCACTGTGCCTAGCCTCTCCACTCATCCCCATGCCGGCCCCAGCCCCATTGCCGTCTACCTCGGCGTTGCCTGCAACTCGATGGCCATCGAACAAACGATCGTGCAGCACGTGCGGGATGTGCATTGTGTTTGGCCGGCGTCCAAGGGAAGCCCCGGTGGCTGTCGGCTGCTCTCGCGCTCTCTCACGAGCTGGTCCAATCGCCCAGCATGCCCAGGGCGCAAGGGAGGGCTTGAGCACCATGCGGCAGACGCCGTCAAACCAGTATCGTGGCTGATGCGATGGACGATACGAGGTGCTACGGAGCGCACGGCCATGACCTGAATCTCTGCCGTTCTGCACGTCGTCGCTGCTCACGATCTCTCGGGCTCTCGCCGTCGAAGCCTTTGTCCATCGGTGTGTACCATAATGACAGCGCGCACCCCGAGATGGATACCAGTTTGTCCCTGAGTGTTCCTCCAGGCCCAAGGCCCAAGGCACGCTCTTCCACATGCACGCTTCGTCCAATCCATCCTCTACTAAATAATGCACTCGGACGCCGCAAACCCGCAGACTCGGCGAGCCTGGTGCAGGTGAGAGAGTCAGCAACGCCAACTGCCGGGCTCCTATACGGACAGGACAGCCTGTACGGACTGTGCAGCGAAATAAGCACGCTAGTTTGCTTCGCGCTGTGCCTGTGTGCGTGTTTAGTCAACTTTCCTGGCGAACCCAGGCGTGACTTCGTCGAACACCTCAACACCTTCAGATCCACTTCACGTCTATCCCTCGAAATCCACTTCCAATCCTTCACGTCTATCCCATACATTGTATGCGTCTATCAACTTAAACAGCGACCTCGAAGCGGTCGGCCGCAGACTCGTTGCCCTCCTCCCAAGCGGCGACCTTGACGGAGCCGTTCTTCTGGACGATGACCTCGAGGATGAGCTGCTTGCCGTCGGCGACCTTGACTTCGACGGCGCCCAAGCACATCTTCTTCTGGAGGACACCTGTCCTGACCTCCTCGGGCTCGTCGTCGCTGAACTCGTCCTCGTCGTCCTCGTCCTTCGGGGGCGGGTCCATCTTCTCGACCTTGACGGCGTCCTTGCCCTCCCAGACCTCGACGGCGACGCGGCCAGCGCCGGCCGCGACGGGGATCGCCACTCGCCTCCGCGCGGGCAGGGGCGCGCCGACCTCCATGATCTTGACGAGCTCGTCGCCCTCGGCGCCGGGGAGCGCGAGGCCGATCGGCGCGGCCGAAGTGGGGAGCGGGTTGGCGGCGAGCGCCAGCACGTCCTCAACCTTGAGGCGCGAGTCGAGGTGCGCGAGGTGCAGCGCCTGCAGGGCACAGCCGATGGCGATCACCTCGGACGGGTCGCACGCGGACGTGACGGGCACGGTGGGGGGGACGAGGTAGGAGAGGTGCTGCTGGAGGCCGGGGAAGAGGGTCGAGGCGCCAGCGAGGAGGACCTCGTCGATCTGGCAGAGCTCGAGGCCAGCCTCCGAAACAACCGACTTGAGCTTGTCGCCGACCTTGGAGTAGACAGACGAGACGAGGCCGTCGAAGCGGATGCGGTTGACGGCCGTCGAGAGGTCGTAACCGTCCTTGAGCGACTCGACAGCGCAGGTGGCCGCACCCGACGAGGCCGAGAGCGAGCGCTTGGTGTGCTCGATAGCGAGGCGGAGCTTGGCCTCGGCGCGCTTGTCCTGCGCCGACGAAGACTCGGAGCAGGGCAGCTCAAGGGGGATCTTGGTCTTCTTGGTGAACTCCTTAGCAAAGTGCTTGATGAGGTGGTCGTCAAACTCGCGGCCGCCGAGTTTGTCGTCACGGCCCTTGCCCAGAACGGTGTACTCGCCGTCGGCGACGGCAATCACCGAGATCGAAAGCGAGGTCTCGCCCATGTCGAGAACAGCAACCTTCTTGTCGCGCACCTCCTCCTCGCCGGCGTTGCCCTCCTCGGGCGAGCCAAGGAGACCGCGCTCCTTGCGCTCCTCGGGCATGCCGACACGGTAGCCAACGAGCACGGCGGCGGCCTCGTCAAGAACGTCGATGACGTTGATGCCGGCCTCCTTGGCGGCGTCCTCGAGCGCCTTGGTCTGCTCAGGGGTGAACCAGGTGGGGGCCGAGACAACGCAGTGGGTGGGGGTGGAGCCGAGGAAGTCAGTCGCCGAGGCGAAGAGGTTCTGAAGGAAGAGGGTGGTGATCTCGGGCACGGTGATGGTCTTTTTCGCGGGCGTGGGCTCCTGGGGCACGGGGGTGGCAGTGCCCGAGGGAGCAGCCGAGGCGAAGCGCGAGGCCGGGGTGGAGGCGGGCTTCGGGGGAGGAATCATGATGTCGACGGTGTACGCGGGGGTCTTGGACTCGGGGATGAGGGGCGCGGCGAGGATGGCAGTGTGGTCGACCTCGTCGTAGGTGTGCCCAAGGAGGTTGCGGAAGCCCATGATGGTGTTGTGCCCGTTCTTGACGAGGTGCTGCTTGGCGCCGTTGCCAATGTACACCTGGTCCTCGACGTACGAGATGGCGCAGGCGATCTGGCGCTCGCCGTCCTCGTTGGCGATGCACGACGCATGGCCCTCCTTGTCAATGACGGCGATGGACGCGTACGACTGGCCAAAGTTGATACCGAGAATGACTGGCTCCGACCTGGGATTAGCTGCTGCGTGTATCGGTTGGCGCGAGCTTGTGCCATCGCAATGTCCGGGCGCGCGCGCGCGCGCGCTCGCACTGGGAGATGCGCGGACGAGCCGTGTTTAGTTGCACACACATTTTTGCGATGAGAACAGGAAGAGGTAGAGGAAAGAGAGAGTGGCGGAGAGAGGGGGATGGTCGCTCCTTGTGATGTTGATGCTGTGCTTGGCGGAGAGAGCCAGAGACACGAGCTTTTGGATGGTTAGAGGTGGATGAGGGTAGGGTGGGTCCGTTGCTCGGAAAAAGTTGTCAACTGCTTGTACCGCAAATCCGTCATTAGCATCACCACACAACCCTGTGAGCAAGTGCCACACTCGCAATCCCTCGGGTTTAGCATACCACGCGAGATTCACGTGCCGTGAAGTGGAGACCCCGCATAGCTCACTTGAGACCTGAGACGTGTGTGGGGGTTTGTTTCAGTGTTCAGGGGCAGGGGGGCTAAAGGGGAACCCGAGTGTCCAGGTTAGAAACGCCACTGTCATGCCCTTCATCCTTGTTCCCTTTACACTCTCTCCCATCCTCCATCATCATCTCATGCCGCTCATCCCTTCCATCTACGCACCACTCTCCACTGTCCATCACCTCTCTCGTGAATTGTGGCGCTGCACATGGGTGAATGATGATGGAATCAAGTGTGACAACGGGGGGAGAGACGGGTGAGCCCCTATGATCCTGTTAATCACGAGCCTGATGGCCTGATGGATTTGATCCATACGATCCGTCATCCTTGTTGGCGCCTTCTTTTCCTCCCTGGAACAATGTTGGAGGGCGTGGGATTGGTGCTCTGCCTCTTTCCACACCTCATGTCATGGCGCCATGTCTCGGTGCCCTCACATGTTGCCCGCAGCCCGCTCGGATCACTCGGAGGCTAGCAGTTCACTGGGTCGCACATCTGGCACATCTGGCACATCTTGGTACGCCAAACACATGTCTATGGTACCGAGAAGTGCGATTCCCTGTGGTGGCCCCCCTGCGTTGGTATGAAGAGTAGGTCCGTGCTGGCGACGAGGAGGAGGAGGAGGAGGTAGAGGAGAGTACGGGAGGATGACAAGGCGAGGAGCGGTGAGGAGGAGGCATCTCACAAAGCCGAGGACCGAGCGCCGCTTGAACCGCCCAACAAGTCATCTGCTTCGCCGCCACCCCTGCCACCCTGCCACCCCGCACTAGCGTCCCGCACGCGCCTCCTCCATTCCCCTTTCCATCCCCTCCACTTGTCGCTAGCGGTTCACCGCCATCTGCCGTCTGCCATTCTGCTCGCGACACTCGCTCTCGCTCTCACTCTCGCTCTCTCCGCTCTCTCCGCTCTCTCCGCTCTCTCCAACTCTCTCCCTCCTCCATGGCCCCCGGACCCCACGACCCGCTCGCTCTCCCTCAATCCCTCGTCAACTAGCATTCCTTTGTCCACTTGACTTGCCTCAACAATCTCGCCCTCACTCATACATCTCTGCACCGTCCACCGTCCTCCGGCATCCTCCTGTCATCCCATCTTCAAATCTCCACGCCCCTCCCTGTCGACCTCCTCCTCCTCCTCCTCCTCCTCCTCCTCCTCCTCCTCTGCTTCGTCAAAGCCGTGCCCTCAACCTCCATCCCTCCGAACACGTTGAGCACACTCAGCAACTCACTGGTCCACTTCACCTCCACCATCCTTTGCTCACAACTCCCCGGCCCGCTACGCCCCTCTCCTCCAACCAAGTCCTCAGTCTCGCCTCTCCTTCATCTCGACACGTTGTCATCACTTGCCTCTAGCACCTGTTCCCTCTGCTCTCTGACCCCTTCGGGCTGGTAGCTACTTCCGCACCCTCGCGAGCGCAAGCAGAGTGTACAGCGCAGAAGTAAGACATATCCATGTCGACTCCCCATTCCCCAGCATGGAGGCATACCAAAACCTTCCCATACGCGACGCAAGAGCGCACGGGCAATGAACCGTACGTGGGCAGGGTGGTATGGCAGAAGCGCGGCAGGCCCTACATGCGCGCAAGCTCACAGCAACAGGTCATTGCGAGAACGGCGAGGATTGGACGCTCTTCCCTCTCCGCGTCCGCCATTCTCCTACAGCCGTTCCGCCAACACAACTCCTCGGAGCGCACATCACGATTTGCACACCAGCGCCAGTTCAACGTCAATACGGCCTCCCCAGTCTCCAGCCCCCAGCCTCACCCCCAGCATGGCCAGCCTCACGCCGAGCCAAGCTCCCAGCTTTACGCCGAGCTTCACTCCAAGCTTCGCTCAAAGCACCGACTCGCGGCGGGGCTTATTCCGACGCACTCACCGTGTATCGACCTCCATCTCACCCCCAACATCGATTTCTATCTCACAGACACAGTGGCAACCCGCCATGCCCTCGGCTATACTGAGCGGGGAAGATCAGCGTCCTGCGGCTGCACCTCGTTCGGTCTCAGACTCTGTCATGCCCACGCTTCAGCTAAAGCCTAAACTTCAGCGTAAGAAGTCGAACGCCTCGCTTCTCTATCAAGGTCTTGGACGTGGCTTGTCACGCGTAGGTAGTGTTATGCGCCGTGGAGGTGGTGGCAACAACAACAATAACAACCCCATTGCGCCCGCCGCAGATCCGCAAACTCCCGGGTGCAGCACGGCGCCGAGCAGCATGGCATCGTCACATTCCACAGGAACCAAAGGTCGCAGGGCACCAAAACGCAGCGTCAGCACCACGCTCCAGGATTTGTGTGAGGAGGCGGAGAGCGTGCCCGAGAGAGACGCAGTCGGTAGCGAACGACCAGTTGCGGTCCAGCGGTCTGCTCCACTTTCAATCTACCTGCCACCGCCGCCTCCAGAGAAGGCAAACGGCGTCAGCCGTCCCTTTAACGTACAGGTGAGTGAAGCAATCGTCATCTGTGGCTGACCTTAGCATGAGCTGCACATCACACCAGAGCTCGACGGCCTCCCTGCCGAGTGGCTCGAGTCGCTCAAAGCGCAGGGTGTGACAGAGCACGACCTCCTTCTGATCACCAGTGCGCAGCGCCGCCAACGTGCCGTGCCTCGCCATCCCATCATTCGCACCGTGACTCCAATTGACACCAGCCGGCCTGCCTCGCCAGGGACACCCAGAATCTCGAGCGCAGCAACATCAGCTTCGCCCGTGAAGACGGAATCGTCTGCGTCCATAAGTCCTTCCAAGGGCGCAACGCCCCCCAGCAAAGGATCGTCGTCGCCCCAAGCTCGGACCGCAACCCCAGGGCGCACAACTTCTCCTGTGTCCGCTTCCTCGGCGCGAATTCCATCGTCGAAACTGACTGTCCCGGTACAGCAACCACGGGGAAGAGGCCGCGGAAGAGCCTCCAACAGCACAGCTCCACCGGTAGCGAACCGCCGAAGTCTCAGCGCACCTCAAGGAGCCACCGTCAAGCGCTCGGCGAGTCTTTTGGGCAAGCTCCTGGACGACATAGACTCGAAGAGCTCGAGGCCATCGAGGCAGATTTCTCGGGCGGAGCCGCTGTTTCCTCTCGCCGGAGAGAACGAGGAAGAGGTTAGCGAAGCCTCGTCGCGTCCGGCGTCTAGTGTTGACGATCAGCTGCAGCGACGTCTCTCGGATGACCTGCGCGGCTTTCACGATATTTCGATTCCAGGTGAAGATGGGTGGGCTGCCAGCATTTTGGCCGCTTGGGACAGGGACAACACACTTGTGCATGAGGTCAAAGGACTGGCACCGCCTGCCCTCGCGCGTCGCTTGACTCAAGAGGGCCCTCACCGGCCACAGCCTATGCCAACCCCAGAACCGGAGGCAGTAGCTTTCACCTCGGCACCAAGCCGGACACCGACGCCCGACGCCCCGAGCTACGTTGGTAGACTTAGCAAGCCGCGTTCGGTGTCGTCGCTGGCGATCCCGTCTGTGGATGTTGACGACGTAGATGACTCAGGCAGCAGCTTCTACATCCGCCGGCGGTCGAAGAGCTTTAACCAAGACATAGTCGACCGCAGCACCCTGTACTCCCCGCCCCCGCCGCCTCCTCATCCACAGCATGACGGCTCAAACGCTGGTGACACTCCACCTACCGCATTCCGCTCCCCACATGGGGGAAGACTAAGAGCCTCGCGGGACTCGTTTGGAGTTGCTCATTCCATAAGCACACGAAGCAGCTTCGTTGCCACCTCGATCGCCAGTCAGCGAAGCCAGGACAGCCGTTATCGTCGTCAAAGCGACGTGTCTTTGGACGAGCGCTTGCGCCCAGCAGACTCGCGTGCGTCTCCTGAGCCATCGCCGTCACGATCATCTAGCGAGCTCAACCTTGGCACACCGCCTACGTCCGATTTGCCAGCGGGTGGTAATGCCTCGACAACCCAGAGCGACTCGAAGGACTATTCATTGATCCACGAGCGCCTCAGCGTGGCTTCGGCGGTCGAAGTTGCCCGCTGCAGACCTGTGAGCATGCCAACAGCGCCGGCCGACCAGCCGACCTCCGTTCCCATCGAGCACCACGAAACGCGCCACCTCTCGCTCCAGAGCGACCGACATGGTCTCCTACGTGAGCACCCCGAGGCTCCTTCGAGCATCGAGTCGCCCATCTCGACCATGGTGCACCGGTACTCGCCGATCGACGAGGATTTCTATGACCAGTATCTGGGCGTGGGGTGGTGTGCAGCGTGCACCAGCTCGCAGAACCAGGGCATTGGCAACCTGCCGGCCGCAAGCTCGTCGGCCCTCGGTCTGAGCCTCAACACCCCGCTCGAGCATACCTGCACCCTCGGATTGGGGCGGCACGCCAGTGTGCGCTCGCAGGCGTCTTCGTACGGCGCCGACCGGGCGTCTGTCCTCAGCGTTGGCGGCACCAGCCAGCTCAGCCGCATGAGCTCCATTGCCAGCAGCACGCATTCGTACAACCTCCACGAAGTCACAGTACATCGCGCTTACACGCGGGTGCTCCGGCGCGTGCCCGAGCGCAGCGAAACGCAACACAGCTCCGATGCTCCCAGCGAGCTGGGTGGCTGTGGTGGCAGCGAGGCCGACATGAGCGCCGACATGAGCGCCGATATGAGTGCGATAAGCGCTGATAATTGGCACAGTGCGCGGCAGAGTATCCAAAGCGGCTCGAGCGCGATATCTGCGCTTGAGGAGGCGGCGTGGCGCGTCGCTATACGCGAGGGGTGTGTCTGATCTAGTGGTATTCCAGTCGACGACGATAAGACAGTGGTATTACAGTAATGGGAGGCCCGAGTCAAAATGGACCATGTTGGAAGTTTCTGTTTGTTCAAACGGATGTAATAGGGTATACAATGCATGTTGCTGCCAAAGGATAGAGGAAGATGATGACACTGACATTGCCAATCGTCAAACAGCTCTAACTAACGATGCTCTCGCGCGTACTCGACAAACTCGTCAATAGTCGACGGCCACGCGGCTGGCGTCAGCGCAGTGCCAGGTACGAACAGCGACTCACCCGACTCATCGTACTCCTTAAATTCGGCGTCGATAGTGCGCACGAAGTCGATAAATAGGCTCCAAGTGTCCTTGCTCACGGCCTTGTTGCGGCTCTTCTGGAAGTCGAGCCACAGCTGGAACCCGCTCTCACCGAGGAGGCTTGGATTCTTCGTGGCTGGTCCACTGGGCGACTGGCCGGCCTCGACGTGGCTCAGTGCGGACGGCTTGGCAGCCATTGCCGGAGGGATGAACAGCTGCCACATGCTGAGGGCTGAGGTCAGTGGCACGGATCGACGGAGAGACTCGGGATGACGCCAAAGAATAGGGCCGAGCACACCATGGGCTAGACGTACCAGTGTCGAGGGCGAGCACGCGTGCACCCTCCGCTTTGCTCAAGTCGAATGTGTGCATGTACACCTTCTTGAAGTAAGCTGCGTCCGTGTTGAGCTTCTTTCGCAAGTGCGGCAGCGCAGCCTTCATCTTTGTCACCGAATCGATGCTGCCGTCAGCGGCAGCTCGCCGACACAGAATGTGTCGCGGATTATGTGTCAAACACACCCGGGATCGATATCCGTCCAGCCCGACACGAACGGCTCTTTAGCAAACTCGCCGATCGACTTGGACCCGAGGTCGCTCGCAAGGCAGAACAGCACGATGTCACTCTCGGGATCGATGTCAAGCTCTTGACACAGATTCATGAATCCCTCAATTGTGATGAGGTTGCGGCTTGGATCTGGAGTGAGCGATCCAGCCATAACTGATCGGCACAACCAGTCAGGTTCTCCTGATCATCTTGTGGCACCGGCCTCGCTCGCCACACTCACCCTTGAACCGCTCCCAAATGTCGCCGACCTTCTTCGCGTTGCCTGCGGTCGAGCTGCTTGGCGCACCGCCACCAGAGTTGAAGTACTCATCGATCGCTACGTTGAGTATCCACCTGTACTTCTTGAGGGCCCGTTCAGCATCCTTAGCACTTCTGTTAGCTGAACTCAAATGTTCAGATGGGAATGCGTTCACAGCGGACAGGCATAGCACAGGTCCGGAACCACCCGAACGAGGCGTATGACCGCCAATGTGGACTGGCATGCTGTGCAAGGAAGATGCGACATGGCGGACTGGTGCGTGGTGCGAACGCGTACAGGGAGTCTTATCGGCCGCAAGTGAGACTCGATCGTCTCCGCTACCTCCTCACTATCAACCCTTCCCGGCGCATATACTGGCATACGGCACGGATATGCGCGCACTCACTTGGCACCCGTAATATCGCGGAACTCGGAGATGAGCGCCTTCTCCTGACTCTTGGTGAGGGCACGGGACTGGCGTCAGCCATGCTCTTTTGGTGTAGGAGAGACGGGCGCACCATGGTGGAAGTGAGGGCCGAGCCAGGCGGGGCGGAGACGGGGGTTGGAGATGAGGGGGAAGGCTGCTGAAAGTGCAGGCGTCGAAGCCAGATGACCACCGGGATGGAGAGGGAGAGGGCGAGTGCGGTGAGAAGTAGAGTGTCAAAAGAGGTGGTGGCCATCCAGATATGGAGGCGGACGAGATGGGGCAAAGGAGGAGATGGGGATGGAGAGACGAGGAGATGAGATGATGCAGCGGAGAATGCTCAATGATCGATGAGGTCGCTCGCTGTCCGCTGTCCGGCCTCCACCGGGCCCTCGGCGCGTGCCATCGCCATTTCATTATCTCTCTCAATTAATCAGGATTATTTATCCTCAGTATCGCGTGGTTATAGCGTGGCAGCATGGCTCAACGTTCAGTCCCGCGTGCACTTTGACCCTGAAACACCCCCCTGGTTTGAGGCACACGCCCACACGTCCCACGACCTCCACCCCTCCACCGTGGCGCGCTCTCCTCTTTCAGGCGCGTCCCCGTTGCTCCCCTTCCCTGGCGTGCCCTCCTCCTCCCTCCCCACTCCCTCCACGCTGCCCAACGCTCGACGCTCAACGCTCAGTGCTCTCCTCTCATCCTCGTCTCCGTCTTTCTCACTCGCTCACTCTCATCCACATCCTCACCATGGCCGCCGTCGCTCCCCCCGTCCCCGTCCCAGCAGACGACATCGTCGCCTCTTCCTATGTCGGCTTCGACTGTGCGTAGCCATCCCCTCCTGCCAGTGCCACGCCTCTTCCTCAAGCGCGTCTGCTTACACTCAGCTATCACGCGCCAGATCGAGCACAAGCTCCTGAAGCGCGGCTTCCAGTTCAACGTCATGGTCGTCGGTACGTGTCGCGCGTCAAGCGTGGTGGTGATGGAGACAATATTTTGTCTTCTGCGCCAGTGCAAGGAAGGAAGAGCGCATCTCAAGGGCTAACTGGTAGGCCAGACGGGTCTCGGCAAGTCGACCCTCGTCAACACTCTCTTCGCGTCGCACCTCGTCGACTCTAAGGGCCGCACTGAGCCGGACCTCGGCTCGCGCGCCACCACTGAGATCCACGTCAAGAGCCAAGGTGAGTCAAGAGTCGCAAGTTCACATCACGTCGAGCTCGGCCATGACCCGGCGGCCCGTGCATGCGCGGCACGGTGCTCACCGCAGCTATCGTTGAGAACGGCGTCCGCCTCAAGCTCAACATCATCGACACCCCGGGCTACGGGGACCTTGTCAACAACGACAACTGCTGGGAGCCGATCATCAAGTACATCAAGGACCAGCACTCGGCATACCTCCGCAAGGAGCTCACCGCTATGCGCGAGCGCTTCATTCCCGACACGCGCATCCACTGCTGTGTTTTCTTCATCTCGCCCACAGGCCACACCCTGAAGCCTGTAAGTTGGCTCGCTCGTCTCTGAGATGGAAGAAGCCACGCTGACAGCAGATTGACATCACCGTGTTGAAGAAGCTTTCGGAGATTGTCAACGTCGTCCCAGTCATCGCCAAGTCGGACTCGCTCACGCTTGAGGAGCGCGCGCTCTTCAAGCAGCGCATTATGGCTGAGCTTCAGTACCACCAGATCCGCCTGTACCCGTTCGACGGCGACGAGCTCGACCCCGAGGAGCTCGAGCTCAACGAGCGCGTGCGCGACATGCTCCCCTTTGCCGTTGTCGGCAGCGAGCGTAACGTTGTGATCGACGGCAAGCCCGTGCGGGGGCGTCTGCATCGGTGGGGTGTTGTCAACGTCGAGGATGAGAACCACTGCGAGTTTGTCTACCTGCGCAACTTCCTCACGCGCACCCACCTCCAGGACCTCATCGAGACCACGTCCCAGATCCACTACGAGACCTTCCGCTCCAAGCAGCTGCTTGCGCTCAAGGAGTCGTCGGCCCGCCAGGCCCAGCAGACCCCCACCCCGGGTGTCGCCTAGGCGTAGTAGAAGGAGGAGCGCGGTTTAATTGTTCGGGCCGCGGAAAACGTATTCTAGTAACTATTCGAGACACCCGGCGTGGAATACCAGTTTGTGTGATGCACTTATGACCTGATGCGATGTGGAATTGAGTGTATGTGCGTGTGTGTGTGTTGTGCACGGTGTGGAGTTGCGGCGCACCACGCAAGTGAGACGTCGCGGAAAGTGAGCTTAGATGTGTCGTCGCCAGTGGCATTACGGTGATGGTGAACAACATCTACAATCTGGCCTCTTTTACAAGTTTGAGTCCGCCTGCCTTCCCTCAGCCTCGGCGATAGCAGCCACGAGCCCCGCCGCATCCGGCGTCCTTGCAACCGCATCAACTCTCCACCCGCCTTCGCGTAACGCTGCCTCGGTCGTCTCTCCAATCGCTGCAACGCGGGTTCTCCCCTCCACTCCCTCGCGCAGCCTGAACCCCGCCGCCTCAAGGTGGGGCAGCACGAATCCGGCAGACGACGGCGAAAAGAGGGCAACCCACCCCGGCTGCGGCGGTAGGGCGCGCACAGCTGCGGCGAGGCCGGGCGCCTCGCGTGTCTCGTACACCTTGACGCGCTCGACGGCGCGCCCCGCCCCGCGCAGGCTGTCCGTGAGGAGCGGCAGCGTCTTGTCGCCCGCCAGCACGAGGTATGGTCTATACCCCGCGCCCACCGCGTCCCCCGAGCGCGAGGAGCGTGGCGGCGCTGCGAGGATAAGCGGCGCGAGCGCGGCGGCGCTCACGGCCGTCGGCGCGGGCGACGGGACGAAGGCGGGGGGAAGGGAGGCGTGCGCGAACACGCTGTGCACGGCGGGGCCGGGCGACCAGACGGGCACGGCGGACCATGGTTCTGGAATTAGAGGTAGTCCGGGGATGGCTTACCATCTAGCGCGCCTACGCTCGCGGCGACGGCATCGGCCGCGCGGATCCAGGCTTCGGCTGCGCGGCGCGATGTAATAATTACCGCCTCCCAGGCGCCGCCGCCGCGCGCTAGCACCGGCTCTAATGCGTCGGGAAGGAGCGTGTCCTCCAGTGCGGGAAGAGATGTTACTTCGTAGCCCGCGGCCGCGAAGGCCGGCATGTACGTGTCTCCCAGGGCTGGCTTGCGGAAGAGGAAGACGCGCATTTGTGAGATGGAGACAGAGTGTTAAGCCGAAAGGCGGCTGTCCAACCCCCACGGGACGGCCTGCCCCACGCTATCCCTGAAACGTAATCAATCAACCCCACTTTAACCTACTCTCTTTGAGCTCGGCGATCGGCAACCCGCGAGCCAAGCATGAGGCAACACAACAAAAGAGAGAGGGGTGTGTGGATGCCAAGGCCGTTAAAGGATGTCATCATGGAGGCGGGGTTTCCGACGGTCCAATCTGTAGTCAGGCACGTTTGTTTGCCACAGTGCATCTGAATTTACGACACGAAGCCGTTGAAATCTGCTGGTTGCAGACCTCAGCCGGGATTCGAACGCTCGAAGCGGTGAAATCTACTGGCTGCAGACCCCACCGGGATTCGAACGTCGTACCTTCAGATGACTGCTAGCAGCTCTAAGCCGCTTAGCTATCACCTTTGGGGGCCACACAACAGTGATCACTTTCGGGGCCATAAGTAGTGCATCATGGGTAAACAGCGTTCATGTCCACTTCATAGTTTGCTCTGGGCAAATCACCTTGCCGCACCACACTTGTCACATGCATGGCAAAATCGGGCCTCAATGCTGCTCAGTGCTGTCCAAGGACTTGGAAAATGGCTGTGATAGGCATGAGACCAACCCCAGAGCGCATACTGACCGCATCATGCAGAATGGCTTCAAGAGCAGGCAAACCCAGAGACACTTCTAACTATGGCTCCCCTTGCGGCGACTCACTAGGTCGGCAATCGCTGTCGCATGTAGTTGTGCCCTCTTATTGCACGACTTGGCGTACTGTCAGGCCTTGCGTCGTATGGAAAGGCGGAGGCTGGGGAATGGTTGAGCGCAAAGGTGTCCGTACACCGGATGAAGCCCCACCACCCGATGACTCGAAGTCGATAACTGTGATAGACATAGCAATAAGCAATAAGACTATGATACATGACGGGTAGAGGACGAGGCTGGAAAGTCGAGAACGCTCTAGGGAGGTAACTCACCCTAGGCACTCGTCGACCTTCAAGGTCATGTCCACGCAGAGAATGTTCATCGCATGGCACGACGTCGCCATCGCGAGGGCCGTCGATCGCGAACTTTACGTGTTGTCCCCCTCTGACGACCAAATTGATGGGCTATGCATACATGCATGTACATACAATCCGCAATCAGCTGCCGTCTTGCGTGTCGATCCTTCTACTCTGATGCTCTATGGCTTGTCGACCCTGGCGCGCGCGGCACGCATTCGAGGGGTGCGCAACCGCGTCATGAGGCGCTGCATGGGGCGGAAGACGAGGCGCGCAAAGCCGGGTGCAGCGCCGACGCTCACAGCGACACGGAGGGGCATGAGAGCCTGGTGGTCAGCACTAGTCCGCTACGAGGTGTGGAGTAACAGAGATGATTGGGCATGCAACAGAATCCCGGTGGACTAGACACCAAGGCCCTCTTCCTTTCCACCGGCATCACTCGCGCAGCGTCTTCCGGCCGCTCTCACTCGAACTCACCTTGACAACAACATAGGCGGCGACCGCATCCGCGACGGCGCCGGCGGCTTCTCTCCCGAGCCCGCCTTCCACCGCGCTCCCCTTCTCGAAGCCGAACAACCCGTACTTGCGCCCGACCTTTTCCACGCGACGACTGCCCTCATCGTACCAGCCGCGCGTGACGTGCGCCATGCTTGCCCACGGACCCTCGACGTCCTCGCCTGTCGTCTTCTTGGCCATGTTGTGCAGGTAGTGGAGGAAGGCGGAGCCGGCGCCGAGCGCGCTGAAGATGTAGAAGAGGATGACGAGGGGAGCGAGCGCGGTGAGCTCATGCAGCACGAGGAAGGAGGCGAGGAGGGAGGGAAGGGGCACGCCGGTGCGCGCGCTGAGTCGTGCAAGGGTTGGCGCGTAGGCTGCGAGCTTGGAAGGCAGCTTGCGGCCGGCGACTATTGGTGGTGCGGAGGCGACGGCGGTAGAAGTGGAGGAGGAGGCCTGTTTGGAGGCGGTGGAAGGAGAAGAGGAGGTGGACAGACGCGGGGCAGGCGCAACGGTGCTCGCTAGTCGTGATGGGAAGGATGGAGAGAGGCGGGGTCGAGAGGCGACGACGGGGCGCGCAATTGCGCGGCGGGCGCCGAGCGCCAGAGTCATGCCTGGGCGAAGCATGGGGACGGCCTCGATGTTCCAGGGAGTGGAAAGGGGAGAGAAAGAAGGAGAGTAAGAGGCGATGGAGTGGGATGGTAAGTTGAAGAGAGAGCAAGTGGATGTGACGATGAATGATGAGTGTGAACAGAGAGTGTGGGCCTTGGGCCTTGGGCCAATCGCCGTGGAGGCAAAAGCGCTCTGCTGCGGTGAGTTTTGCCCACGCTCCACCCAGCATCCCGTGGAGGCTGGAATACCCGGCAGGCCCTGGATAGACAAACTACAGTTACACCTCGTCACGGGGGCCAACCACCAGAGCCCAGTTACTACGCCCACCACCCTCCCCCCGGCTTGCCCCTCCGTCCCGCTCTCGTCCGAAACGACGGTCCGCGCTTCGGGATCCTGACAGCCGGCAGACGCGTCCGCTCCACCCCGGCCCGCGGGAATGTCAGCGCGCTTCTCCCCCTCGTCCCGCTTTGTTTGAACGTTGAACTACTGCCGCACACAACAGTTCGATGACATGAAGATACTGTACAGCAAGTCGTACAAACAAACATGCAGCATGGCTGCTGACCTCGTCTAGTTCCGCAAAATGCTGGGCGGCAGCCGCGCACCAGCCATGAGAACGGCTTTGAGCCATCCCACATTCACGAGCTTGCCACTCGCTCGCTGCGATTTGGTGAGGGTACGGCCGTCCCGGTCTTCGACCACAACAAGGTCATGCTTGACTGCGACCAAGTCACCAGGTAGAGTCCCAGTGATCGTCACCCGCGCCCCCATGGCTCGGAGGCAGAACGGCAGCAGCGTGTTGATTTCATCATGTCCCTTCCAGGACGTGCGTGCGGGGATCCAAAGGACGCTACTCCCTGCAAGCGGCTGACGCACCGCCTGTGCAGTTTTCGGATTCCATGACGCCGACCCCCATGCAGTGTCCACCACCTGGACTGCTGGTTCGCGCAGGAGGGCAGATTCGCCTGGTGACACAAGATATGCTCGCCAGTCAACATGACCTTTGAGAGAGTCATCGACGTAGCGTGGCGAGAGTACCGGAACGCCCGCAGCGAGCGACGACATGAGTTTAGATGACACGGCGCGCTTGGGTCCAAGTGACACCAAGTAGGGAGTTCCTTGAGCACTGATCGCGTGCCCGTCTTCGGTGATGTCAAACAGGTCTGTCCAGTCGTTCGCAACAACACCGCCGTTCCGTTGGATTTTCTTGGCAACAGCGTCCTTCTCCTCAGAACCTGTCACGATGAACACCTTTCCAGCGAAGGCAGCAATGCTGTCGGGGAAGCGCTTGTCAAGCTCCTCACGAGGCACCCGGCGATTCGAGAAGCGGCGAACGATGTCTAGGCCGAGAACGAGGAGGTATTTGCTTTGGATTCTGTGCACCTTGTTGTTGGCGTTGACAACTCGTATATCACCTTGTCCATCGTACTGCTCCACTAGGTGGAACATGTGACTGGGGTTTTTCTCGCAGACTGGCTCGCCCGGTCGCAGCTCGAGGAGCCGCATCTGTTCAAATTCCACACACTCCGTGTGGCCATCATCGAACATGATGTGATGGCCACTAGCATCGCGGGCCACGACCGTGCCAGCGTAGAAATCGGTGCTGTCACGCCACTGCGCGAGCACGCGAAGTGGCGGGATATCTGGCGGCGCAGCCACAGCCTGAGCCCCTTTTGTACGCGAGGCCGAACTTGCAGGCCGAAGGGACCTGGGTCGGGCCCCAGCGGCGATCGTCCGGGTCCGCTTGTTGGGTTTGGGTGGAGGTGCACGAACAGAAGTGGACACAGCTTCCTTTCTGGGCCGCTTGCTCAGTTTGGGCTTTGGGGGCGTTGCGGGCGCTCTCTTAGCTTTGCCCTTCGAGGGACCGACCGCAGCCTCAACCGGGCGGTAGGTGGAATCCTCCACGTCCTCCGGCGCTGAGCTGCTAGACTCTGAGAACTCGGGAGATGAGGAGCGCGTCTTACGCTTGTCACGCACGGGGCGGCTTCCAGCTCGTGATGTCGCTCGCTCATTTGGAACTGCAGTTGTGTGTCGCATGCCTACAGGCGTAGACTTGCTGCGCGCGATGGGAGCACCTAGTTGTAAAGACGGCAGGGAGGTAATGAGTTCCCCTGCTAACGATTGCTGGTCCTCGCGCTCAAGTGTGCCGGGAAAGGTTGTGTCATCGGGATCATCGGGGGCCGAGCTGCTTGAGGTCGATGAGGTACGCATGGAAGAAAAAGGCTCAGCTCGCGGAGCGGACGATGAATCCGGTCGCGAGGCGTCATCGGCACTGGCTGCGGAGGCTGATGCTTCCTGCGTTCCAGATCCGCCATGAGAAGGCGGGCTGCCACCTTCAGGGTGCGACAGCGGAGTTGGAAGTGGTCCTTCAGATGCTTGCAGTTGGTGAGGTACGTGAACGCGAGATGATGGGATGGCCGATGGGCGATTATAACGCTTGCCGTACTTGTAGGGGCTACGGCGCGGCCGCTGTGCGGGGAGCAACGATTCTTTTGAACTTTCCGGCTCCAGCGGGCGCTTCTTTGTTGGGGTCAACATTGTTGTCGCTGTTTCTTCTTGAGTCCTGCAATGATTGATCGGGGCCGGCTGTGGAGCAGGAATCACGGATGTGCTGGCAGCTGCGCGTGCTGATCGACGGGGTCGCTCAACGCTTGAAGGAGGAAGGATTGGGGGAAAAGGGTCACTGGCTGCTGCTGGAAGTGACCCGTCAGAGACATGGCCTCCGGCGTCCACGAAGGTAGGCTCTAGCTCGCCATCGAGTTCACGAGGCATGTCAGTCGAGTCGCGACTCGTAGCGGTTGTGCTCCTCGCACAGTTGCCTCTACTCTCGGCCAAAGGAGACGAGGAAGGAACCGCACCGGAAAGCTGCCTGAATGGTGATGATGTGGAGGGAGGGAGAGATTTGACCTGCGTTGCGACAAATGTCTCATGTTGCGGAGACATCTGGCCTGGCGCACCAATATCCTCGTCGTCGGGCATGCTCTCCTCCCATAGCTCAAGCGAAGAGGGCACTGCTGCTGACCGTGCGTTGATGCTCGCAAAGTGACCGCGTGGGACGGGTGAGGACGGTGGCGGTCGATCGTCAGAGTTGAGCTGTGTCTGGGAGCCTTCCGAGATGACAGTGTTCAACTGAGTCTGACTGATGCCGGATCCTTGACCAGCAGCAAAGAGCCTCGGGGCTGTGGGAAGAGGGCTGGAGCTGTTGGGCTGCTCCGCCGTCGCGCTGGGGTATACCTGGAGGACTGCGGAGTTACTATCCTCAGCGACCTCCCCAGCATTCTGATTGGTTTTACCGGTCCCGCTGTGCTTATCACTGCCGGCCTCCTGTGTCACATTATGATCGTCCTCGTTGAGGAAAGTCGGTTCCTCTGTGTAACAGGCCGGATCGCCTTCAGCTGAGAAAGTCTGCTTCGGGGACAGCGATGTCGCCCTCATCGTGGTTTCAAAACGTTCGCGAGGCTTGAGGGGGCGGGTCGGCAGCATGTCGTCTGCAAAGTCACTACTTTCATCCGGCGAGGGGGAGCGATTTTGAGCAGTGCGAAAGTTACCAATTGGGCGGGTGAGAGGAGTGGGCGAGGGTGAGGGCGAGGGTGAGGGAGGGGGGCGAGCAGACGATGACGGGCTGCCGACCTTCGTGAGGGACGGAGTTGGGCGATCAGTGAGCTTGTTGGTCGGCGAAAGACGTAAAGGTTGTGTGGTCTTGGCGGGTGTGGTTAACATGGTCGCGTGTCGGGATGGAGATATAAGCTGGCGAGTAGATGATGTGATGCCGCCTGGCACCGACTGGGTAATGGGACGGAGGGGCGCGACAAGTGAGCGTTTCGAGGCGCGAGTCGGTGTGCTGGCCGCCTCAGGATTTGAGTTCGGAGGCGTGGAGATGTCAGACCCGCCACTACTTCCCCCGTCGTTGATCTCGCTCTGCGCCGAGTCAACCTCATCTTTCTGGGAGTCGTTTGCGAACTCTGGGGTCTGGGATACCAAATTGGTAAGTGTAGATGACTTGCCGGACGCTGGGGGCGGCGGCTGAGATGTCTGCGCCGGAGGGTGGGAAGAGGGGGCAGGCAGTGAACTCACGGCCTGGGGCTGAGGCTCCTCCTCGATATGACCCAGAGAGGAGCGACGGAGAGACGAGCTAGGTGGTATGGGAGCTGTATTGCTTTCCCATGCGATGCTGCCATCCGACTCGGGCTCCTGGGTGAGATCGGAGGAAGGTGCGACGAGCGGCGGATGGGGAATGATGGGCGTGGCGCGAGGGGTAGGGGCGGCACTCGGCCCGCTTGGAACGCTTGATGCGTACTGTTGCTGAAATTGCTCGAAGATGGCGGCGCTCATGTGCGCCGCCGACGTTTGCGACGACCCTGCCACTGGTGGTTGCTGCGTTTCGTCCTCAAGCGACATGGCTGCAGATGAAGGAGTCGATTTGAGCTTTCGCAGTCTGCGAAGCGTAAGCAAAGGGCTTCGTTTGAGCCAAAAAGAAAAGACAACGTGTAGATGTGGTCCACTCACCCAGTGGACCGCACGCCACTGCGGAAGGTAGGGACGGACATGACGAGATGATAAGAATGGACAGTGCGGACGCGCCCAGTCAGAGAAGTGTGCGGAATGTAGGAGTGCGCATTCTAAGACTTAAAAGCGCGTTAATGTCTTAATGTCGTAGATGCGGAATGCGGCGTTGATGAAGCAGAGTGAAGAGATGATTGATGGCGAGGATGAAATCGACGAGTTCAAGTGATTGATGATTGAGCGACCGACATCGAGTCCATTGGATCGGTGATCGTGTTGCACCCGTGTTTCACAACAACATGAGCGGACATTGCGGCATGCCCGCCCGCTATCGCCGCAGAGTGGAGGTGTACAGTAAATAATTGTGGCAATCTCTGCAACTGCCTAGCTAGCTAGCTAGCTATCTAGCTAGCTGCAAGGTGTCGAGATGTCAAAGTGTGAAGTGTGAAACTATTGGCGTGTCATACTCGCTGATTGCGCTTCCTTTCGTAGCACGCTCTCCTGCTCTGCTTCCAACTCCGCTCGTCTCGTCCACTGGAGCCGCGGACATTACTGGATCTCCGCTGTCGTGTTCATAATCAACAAGCGCGTCTCCATTTCAGCATCTCGAACATCTTGCCTCCCACTTTGGTCGTCTGGACCGCTTTCAAGACGTTACGTCCCACTCTTTTCCGCCGACTGTTACGCCCGTATAGGCTAAGGTTAGCTCACTGACACAGCTCTAGCTAACTGCAGCAGGCATCGACATACGCGCGCGATGCCCGCCGATGTCGCTCAGGACGCTCTCACATCCGCCGCTGGTGCGCGCGGCGCCGGCGGCAAGGTGCTAGGCGATCTGTACAAGTGCGTTGCTTTTGGCCGTCGCTGACTCAGATCGACGGGGAATGAGGCGGTCGACGCCCTCGCCTTCCTTCACATGCTAGAGAGACTCAAGGTAGCGTATGGCTGTGTCGCGTCTGACATCAGCTCGAGAAGCGTGCAGGCTGGGTCCGGGAAGGGGTGAGGCGGACACTGGTGGAGAGCTGACGGTCAGGTGAAGAAGCCGGAGAGGTGGGCTACTGCTTGCGATTGAGCTGATCTTAGCGTCTCCGATCACATGTGCCGCATGGCGATCATGGCCATGATGGTCCCGTCCACTGCTGAGCGGCCGCTGGACATCCCACGCTGTGTCATGGTACGTATTGCAGAGCTTCAGCGTCGGTAGGCTGAACTGACCGCAGATGGCGCTGGTACACGACCTCGCCGAGGCCTAGTAAGCTCCCTCACTCTTGCGGTCCCCTGATAGCAGTGTCGGCGACTTTACGCCTCTCGAGAATGTTCCGGGCCACGTCAAGGCGGAGCTTGAGGCGAAAGCCATAGACTCGTTTCTGGACGAGATGCTGTCTGGCGATGGAAATGCGCAGGCGCGCGCCCGCTTCCGCGCTCTGTGGGAGGAGTACGAGGCACGCGAAACGCCTGAGTCCAAGCTGGTCAAGGACCTCGACCGACTTGAACTCGCCCTCCAAGGCGTAGAGTACGAACGATGTGAGTTAAAAGCGCGCTCAAGCTGACGGGGCAGCCCAAGGTATTGACACTTTGCACCCATTCTTTGGCAGTTCCATTCGTGAGATTCTGGCTCGTGTCAGGCGCTGATCTCAGCGCACCTCGAGCATCCAAGCATACGGAAGTGGGGTGAGGCGCTTATGGAGGAGCGCAAGGCGTTGTGGGAGGAGCGAGGGCGGGGTGAGGAGGAGCAGCGCGAGCTGAGAGGTGCGCGTGTTGGCGCTGCGACTGATGCCAAGAAAAGGGCCAGTGGCAAGTAGGCTAGCGATCGAGAAGTGATCTCAATTCAGCATAGCATGCCCTGCATTACATCTGTTGTATCTACGGGCGTGAGCCATTGAACAATTAGCGTGCCGAGGCTGCCGGGGGATTATTAGGTGATTCCAGCCATGCGACACATGGCTATTAACTGATCTGCGATCTGCGAGATGCAGACCAGGTCACCACAACACCCAGCGCGCGCCACCGACTTTGTGCATGACGATGGGTTGATGGATGGTGGAAGTCGGGAGTCGGCAGACCCGAGCCCGGACCGGGATTAGGGATTAGGCAATATGGCAGAACCGACGATGCAGATGAGTGACGATTACACGTGCTCACGATTGGCCGACGGTTCGGTCATGTCATGTCTTTTCCTGGCCCGAGGGAGGTGGGCGATCACTAAGCTCACCCAGGCAAAGTGACGTGTGTTTAACTCGGTCAAGCTTGGCACGTAGAACTGCATGGAAACTTTTTCTCTCGTGTTTGCAGACATCAGACATGGCAGTGATGAACAGCAGCGACAGTGACGAGGATGGGGATGATGACAGCGCGGGGGTTTGTTATGATGGCTGAGACGATCGAGATGACACACGGGGAATGCGTTGGAGAGAATGCCGGATGGGGGGATATAGCGCTTTTCTGATTGGGGGGAGACGACCTCCACTCTAGTCTCTGGGCGGGACCGGACCCCACTTGACCGGGCCGCCGTGGGTCTCTCTGTGGCGCTCTCTCATACTCTGCGGTGGGCAGCTCCCACGTAGCGACCACTTCTTGAGTGGGCATTTCCACTCCTCACCTTTCTGTTTCCTCTCTTTCTCTCTCATCACCACTCACAAAGGTAAGCTTGTCCCTACACCGTCCCTCTCCCTCACCCCTCCCTCCTCCCCCACGGTCACCGGCATGATCACCTTGCGCCCACCTCATCCTCATTACCAACCCTCTTTGGTCACCCATATCGCGCCGGCGGCCTCGACATCGGCTCGTGGTCGGTGGCAGCGCCACCGACACTTCATGACCAACATAGCAAAGATACTGACACATAGCAAAGATGTCTCTTCGTGCCACCTCTGCTCTTCGCAACGTCGCGCGCCGCGCCGCGGTCGCCCCTCGCGCCGTTGCGCCCGTCATGGTCGCTCGCCGTCACAACTCGGGCGTAAGTGACACTCTTTTGTGCCCGGATAAGACAGACTAACGCGGCAGCAGGCTCCCCCTCCCCCTCCTCCTCCCAAGTCGGGCGGTAACGGCATCTTCATTGCTCTCGGTGTTGCGGCCCTCGCCGGCGGTGGCTACTACTTCTACTCGCAGCAGGAGGGCGGCGCTGCGGCCACGGCTGAGAAGACCAAGGAGGACTACCAGAAGGTCTACAATGCTATTGCTGCTGGCCTCGAGAAGGAGGGCTACGATGATGGCTCGCTCGCCCCCGTCATCCTCCGTCTCGCCTGGCACGCTTCGGGCACCTACGACAAGGAGACCAAGACTGGCGGCTCCAACTACGCCACCATGCGCTTCCCCTCCGAGGCCGGCCACGGCGCGAACGCCGGTCTCCACGTAGCCCGCGACTACATGGAGAACATCAAGAAGCAGTTCCCCTGGATCTCGTACGGCGACCTCTGGACTCTTGGCGGTGTCGCCGCCATTCAGGAGACTGGCGGCCCCACCATCCCTTGGCGCCCCGGCCGCATTGACGGTGTCGAGGTCAACCAGACCCCCGACGGCCGTCTCCCGGACGCCTCGCAGGGCTCCAAGCACCTCCGCGACATCTTCTACCGCATGGGCTTCAACGACCGTGAGATTGTCGCCCTTGCCGGCGCCCACGCCCTTGGCCGCTGCCACGTCGACCGCTCCGGCTACGACGGCCCGTGGACCTTCTCGCCCGTGACCTTCTCGAACCAGTTCTACGACGTGAGTAGCCGACCGGCCTTTTGAATCAGCTAACCTGCAGCTCCTCCTCAACGAGCCCTGGCAGTGGAAGAAGTGGAAGGGCCCTGCGCAGTACGAGGACAAGGTGAGTTTGCTTGTTGAAAGTCATGGAGTATCGAGGAGAGTAGGGTGGCATCGAGTAGGGTGGTATCGATGGAGAGTGGGGAGGAGCGGAAGCAAATTGGAACGGAATTTCGGCCAATTCCGATTCCTCCACCTTCACCATCGTCCTCACCATCATTGTCCTACCCTTTATCGTCCATACATGTCTTCCAACCATCCACGACGCTCGCGCGCAAGTCATGCTGACTAGCTAGAAGACGCGATCCTTGATGATGTTGCCTACCGATATGGCTCTTGCGTAAGTACGGACGCGCCAGCGGCCACTTACACGCAGCACCGACCCCAAGTTCAAGCCTGTCGTCCAGGAGTACGCCAAGGACGAAGAGACGTTCTTCAAGGACTTTGCCAAGGCCTTTGCGACTCTTCTCGAGCTTGGTGTCCCCGAGGAGCAGTGGAAGGGCAAGCAGCCCATGACCATCGACACGGCGTAATCTGTAGCTATACCACCGGTGTCTGAGATCATGAGTGGATAGCATGTGGATCAGTGCATAAACGTACACGTGTCGTAGGTTTTTAGGAATAAAATGGATAAATGAAGTATGGACGTTCCGGAACCTCCAGCGTTTAGATGGCGATGTGTTTTTACATCTCATGCATGTATGCATGTACAACTCGCCATCCTCTTATCCTAACTCGTCGCCAAGATGGATGGATGCCCACCCAACATTGTAGTGCAAACAGTTGAGTCCCGGTAGTATAGGCAGTCCAGAATCTCAACCTTTCCGCTTCACGCCACCCACCTGTAACATGACTCGACTACTCTTGCCACTCGCCGCGTAGATGCTAATGTCTGATCCTCATATCATTCACGGCAACGCCAGCTGACAGATGCAGCGCCATGGCCACACATGGAGGCTGATTGCAGGAACCTCCAAGCTAACAAGACCCAAGGTCGCACTGGCGGAGAACGCAGATCAGCAGAACCAAGCACTACCAGGTCAAGTGGTAGTGGACGAAATATCTCCATGCAGACGATGATATTTCCAGGTTTTCATCCAAAACCAAGCTATTCTCCCCATGCACACTTGACAATCGTCCAGACGCACACAAGTTTCAGCACGCGACTTGCGCACTCGAGCACACATTTCATTTGACGTGTTTCTGCCAACGTAATTCAAGAGATGCAGCGTCAGGCCACATTGCAGACCAAGCTGCAGTTGGACGCGAAAACGTCAAGACTCCAATTTCGTCGCTCGCCTGCCCGGGTAATGTTGTTTGGGGTCAGGAAAGTGCAGGAAAGTGAATCCCGCCCATCCCGTAATCTCGGCACCGGTCCATGCCGCGAGGGGAGCGCGTCCTCTCCTGCTGGATTGGCGCGGTGCTACCGTGCTCTGCTTGTTCCACCTGCTTCGCTCCAGCTCCTCTTGCATGCATTGAACACGCGAATGCGCGGCGGCTCGCTCACGGCTTTCCTGGCTGGATCATGACGGGGAGCACAGGGTAACTCCAACGAGGGAAACGACGGGTAGGAAGCTTGGTGCCCCGTCGCCACGCCCACCGCTGCTGCTTCCGTCATGCTCTTCTTGTCCTTGTCATTGCTCGCCTCGACCCTCCTGTTCTCCCCCCCCCCCCCAACCTCCCCCGCGTCTCATTCTTGCATCCGACGCCGCGCCTCATCCCAGGCGGTGTCTCAGCTTCAGTCCGCACTCCTCACCCGGAAGGACGCGCCGCCGACACTCTGTTCCAGCCGCCGGCAGTGCGCAAAACGCCATTCGCACACACTTGCACTTCTCACTTTCTTAACCTGTTCAGCACCGCACGCTCGCATACACACGTCCACGCCTACGCATACGCCCACGCTCCCATACACGTCGTCTTCCACGTCCTCTCCCACGACCACGCCCCCCCTCCGCTTCACCCCCCATGCACATTCCTTTGCTACCAAAGCACCCTATAGTGCGGCCAACAGCAACATTCCTCTTTCTCGCACTTATCCTTTACTCTCTTCTCGCGCACTGGCAGCAGCACGGGGGCGGGAGACCAATGTTTGACGAGAGCCTCGAGCACAATGCTTATGTGCATGAAGAAGACCGCCCGCCTCCAGACACGCAGGTCGGTGCGGTCGAGACACCTCACAAGCCCATGACTCCGGGGGGAGACACGCGCAAGGTTGTCGCGCACTTCATGGTAAGCGATCTTCGACGAGGGCTCTAACAGCAGCTCGGTAACACGTACCCCTTCACCGCGTTGAACTGGGAGGAGACGTTCGATCTAGCCGAGGAGAGCGGGCTGGACGGGCTCATCCTCAATCTGGGACGGGAGGAGTGGCAGTTCCGGCAGGCGCGTGCGGCCTACCTCATCGCCGCGAAGCGCCTCAAGGCGCCCGTTCTGGGCCGCAGCCCGATCCGGCTTGCGCTGTCGCTCGACCTCAACGTCATGTCGTCGAGCGAGTGGAGTGACGCCGTCGCCCTCACCACCAAGATCGCCGGCCTCATGGGCTCGCCCGCGCAGCTGATGCACAACGATCGGCCCGTCCTGACCGCCTTCGATGGCCACGCAGCCAGCTGGGGTGGCAAGGGGTGGAAAGGCTTCTTCGATGAGCTGCACCAGAAGATGAGGTTCCATGTCTCCTTCTGGCCAGCGTGGTTCCAGCCGCCCGACGATTTGATCGATAACATGCTCATCGACGGGCTGTTCTCATGGAATGGTGCTTGGTGAGTACATTAGGTCGCGACGTGCAAGAATGCTGGAGTGGAAGAGATTCCATGCTGTCTGTGAGAGACAGCTTCTCAGCGCGGTGTCCACCTTCCTCCTCTACCTCCCCTCTCCCACCCCTCCCCGGCACACCAACTAACTCCAGGCCCATGGGCAACCGACACATTTCCCTCTCTCACGACGACATGGCCTACATTGCGTCCCCGAAGCCCTTCATGGCGTCCGTCTCCCCGCTCTTCTTCACACACTACGGCAAGACTGGCGAGTGGGCCTTTGATAAGAACTGGATCTACCGCTCTGACGACCTGCTCTACCCGAGCCGGTGGGCATCCATCCTCGCCTTGTCGGACGCGCGGGCTCCCGAGATTGTCCAGGTCATCTCGTGGAACGACTATGGCGAGTCGCACAACATTGCGCCCGTGCTCGGCGCCGAGCCGGGCAGCAGTGCTTGGACGCGTGGCATGGACCACGTCGCGTTCCGAGAGATGACCGCATACTTTGCGCGGCGGTGGCGCGACGGCGAGCCTGAGGTCGCTGATGAGCTGGTTGTTTGGATGTGGTATCGTACCCACCCAAAGACGCTGGAGGCATCCAACGACAGTGTTGGGCGGCCGGATCACGCCAACTGGGCGCTCGACCTCATCAACGCCGTCGTACTTGTTCCTGCTGGGCTGGAAGACGTTGAGCTTATCGTCACGAACGGGCCTTCGGGCCATGGCGGCAAACACGCCAAGCACCTCAGCTCCGGGAAGTCCAATGCTGTCACCATCCCATTCCAGGCGGGGAGCGTGCACTTTGAGGTCAAGTCGAAGTTGGGCACACACATGCGGCACGCGGCGCACGAAATCTACCGCAAGACAGAGCAGTACAACTTCAACATGTGGTCCGGGGCGTGGCGGGCCAAGGTCCCGCGGGTTACCAAGGAATGAAGGAGGAGAAGGCGGAGGCATCGGCGCGATGCGGGAGCAGGACCACAAGTCGGCCGAGGCGATCTCAGCATGTCGGGCATGACGAATGATAGACGTTAGATTGTAACACTGTATCATTGCATTGAAGGTCTGAGCTATCACACGCAAGCTCTAGTTCTCGAGAAGGCGCCACTCCTTCGTAATCGCGAGCGGTACGTCGCTCTCCACTTCCTCCGCCCCCACTCCCTCAGGTCGGGGAATCGTGCGGACGCTAACACTCCCATCATCCACACGCACGACACGCGCGAGCACGACCCGCAGCTCGGGGCTGTACGTAACCATATTGAGCTCGGTAGCCTTGTGTCAGCACGTCCCTACTCAATGCATACCTTGTACGCCGCGACGTCGCCGACGCGAAGCCGCAGCGCGGGCGGGAGCGCATCGAAGGTGCGCTCCGCGCGCGCGAACAGCGCCGCCGCCGCGGCCTCCTCTGCCGTCCACTCCCGCTCCTCCTCGTCCTCTTGCGCATACACCGGCGACGCGCGCGTCGCCTGGTGGCGCAGGCTGCGCCGCGCCTTTGCCTCCGCCTCAGCTAGTGCCTGCACCTGCGCCCTCTGCGCTTTGGCAACCGCGGCCGTCTTGGCCGCGCGCGCGTCGGCGCGCCGCCGGTCGTCGTCCTTCTTGAACGCAAACTCGCGGGATGTGACGAACACGTTGCTTGGCAGCGCATCCATCTCGCTCGGGGGCACGAATCGGCGCTGCGTGGGCATGGTAACGCGGATGGGTGTGGCGGGGGGCGAGGGCGTCGCGGGCGCCTGCGCCTCGCTCGTCGGCCCCGTCTCGCGCTTCGAAGCCGCGACCTCTCCCGGTCCAGCCCCTGCTCCTCCAGCGCCCGCTCTAGCTCCTGCCCCGGCGGCGGGGCTGGCGCTGCTCGCGTCGTCCTCGTACACCACCCGCGTGGCCGCCACGCCGAGCATAGCGTCGCGGAACCCGCGCTTCTTATTGGGATTCGCGATGTCGCGGGGCACGAAGGCGGGGTCTACCCGCGTTGTCGTCACTTGCACGGCGGCGGCGGCGTTGGCACCAGTTTCGATCGGAAGCGCGCCGGCCGGGGAGGAGGGAGCGGAGAGAGCGGCGGCAGCGGCGGCGGCGCGCTCACGGTCGCGCTTGATGCGCCGCCGCACGTTGCGGTTGTGCGTTTTGCCGCTGCCCTGGCCTGGTGGGGCGGTGGGGATGGGGCGAAGAGCCGTGGGGAAAGTGTGGGAGATGGAGACCGCTGTCGCCGAAGTGGATGACGAGTCTGAAGTCAAGAGCGCATTCCGCGACCTGAGACGGGGACAGGGGGCAGCAGCGGTCGCAGATGGGTGTATTCCGCTTGAGCTGGATGACTTGGACGATCTGGACGATCTGGACGAGCTCGATAACCTCCACGGGCCGGACGAGGTGGATGGACTCGAGCTGGATGACACCGAGCTGGAGCTTGATGAGAGGGAGCTGGACGAAACAGAGCTAGACGAGACGGAACTGGACGAGACGGAGCTCGAAGAGGCAGTCTCCGTGTCCGAGTCGGACAACGATTCGCTTTCGCTTGAGCTTGAGCTTGACTCAGAGCTCGACACGGACGAGGACGACACGCTCGAACTCGAAACATTTCTCGTCTGGCTCCTGGACCTTGACCGCACACCGCCGTCAGCTTTACGTTTGCGCGGCGAGTCGCGCTTGGCACTACGCTTGCGCTTCGCCCCTGCTCCCAGGCGCACGCTGGCGTCAGCTTGTCATCCTCCTGGGCACAGCACTGGCTACACACACGCTGTCGCGTATGTTCCCGGAATGCAGCCAACAGTGCACACTTCTTCGAAGCACATGTACTCACGTCACGATGTCGTCGGGGTTGAGAATATCGGCGGCCGTGTCGGGCAGGAGCTCGAAGCCATCGATCTCCAGGAGTAGATCGGTGCCGCGCACCGCGCCGCCGATGAGAGCCAGCGCGACGCCTTCGGCGAAGGCGCCGATCGTTACGCCCGGTTGAAGTGGGAGCACGACCTTGCGCTCGGGGAGAGGCGGGAGGATGTGTAGCTTCACGCGCATGGTGTGGATGTACAGTAGATTGCGAAATTGAAGATGTTGACATCCAAACATTCCATGGGGCCCCGTGCTATTGGCCGTGCTTACAAGACAGAATACAAACGGCAACAAAATCGAGGAGGCCAAACCGGAGGGACCTGATAAAGACCTAGGGTGAGGTCGTTCTGCATTCGGCGCTCGAATCGACACACCTTGCGAGCCCGCAAACAAATGCGCCTGCCTAGGTGCCCGTTCTTTCACTAGACGCATCGCCTATGATTTTGTTACTATTTGGGTAAACATTGATGTCAATCCCCTCCATGAGTTCGTAATACAGACGGCTCTGATGGTGATTATGGGCCACGCCACAAGTAACCTACAGCTTATGCTCAGAGCAGCTTCCGCGTTTATCCTGCTTCTATTGCGCAGATCCTCAATCGATGGTGTTACGTGCCAACAGCCTATCTGTGAATACAGTCAAGCAGATTCTGCTGTGGTAGGTGTCCTTTGATATTGGGCTTACGGGATGAATGAGGTGTATCGATTGCGGACGCAGCTGTTGAGTGCAACCTCCTGCGTACGTGGGTTGCGTGTGCACGGGCTTTGACACCACGCGGCGGGTGAGAAAAGACGTGAGGCCACTAAGAACTTTAATGCACTTCTCACTGTAGCAACTCTCAATTGCTTGCCAGCAGCGGCTGCAAACGCTACACCCGGGCCCATAGCTGCTACTCAACCCTCGATCCTGCGTCGATCTTTTATTACTTATTCATTGCGGCGCTTAAAAGACACGGAACCTTTGATTGCTCCAAAAGACATGGTGTCTTTGATTGCGATGGGCAGGGTTCGCAAATTGTGTCACCATACTCGAATCATAAGGTGTCTCTGACCGGTATCTCTGAACGGTGTCTCTGAGCGGTGTCGGAAGCGCTCTGAGCGGGTCTCAAATACGTCGGAATGGCGTTGAAGCGATTCAAAATGCCTCGAGGTGATCCGACATTTGAGCTGGAGATCCGAACCACCTCGAACTGCCTCGAGCCACCTCGAACTGCCTCGGGTGGCCCCGAACATGCGAGGCACCAGCTACATGCATGCAGTGCACTTTTCCAGCAAGCGTAGCGAGAGGGAAAATTTCATGGTGGAATAGTCAAATTATTCAGGGATAAAAGGTTGTGCCCTCGAGATAAAGATCGAGTTGTTCGACCGATAAGAATGGGCGCGAAACGCTTTGACGAGCCCCTCTCCCCATTTATACGATGCGTCGGCTTCACGCAATCAGCACCCGCGTCGCACAATCATGCCCCGTTTCCAATTACAATGGACAGCCATAACAAAACGACATCAACCAGGAGACGGTCTGACATAACGTAGTATACATAATACAAGCCCAATGTCACTCCCCTGCTCAGAAGTACACGGTCGCACCGACAGTGGCTGAGAGCCCGATGTCGATGTGATTGCGACGAGCTAAGCAGAAGGAGGCCATATCCTCAGCCTCTTCCTCATTATGACCTGCCCCCACTCCACTGTATCCGTTGAAAACAATGGTTGCAATGATCAAACCCGACTCGCAGGTCGTAATTTCCGGAACTAATGCTTTGTAGCGGTCCCCTGTTACCTTGATACGGCTGCGGTGGACGCCCATCACGCTGCGCGCGGTGCGACCCGCCTCGCTAAGGTAGCTTATGGCGCTTCGTTCAGCCGCCGCCCTCGCAGTTGCCCTTTCCTTGGCCCACCCCCACCCGATGGTGAGAGAGCCCACGGAATCCGTCAGCTCCAACGAGGCCTCCCAGGAACCGTGCAGCGAGCGCTCGGTGACCACGAAGCAGCACTCGTTGCGGGAGGATAGTGCGTGTAGAAGAGCTGTTGGACTCTGGAGCCGAGCGGGGGACGAGGAAGAGGGTCCTCGGTAGGAAGCGCCCCACGCAGGAGGATTGTCGAGGAAGTCCAACGCCATGTTGCGCTGGGGAGATCCAAAGCGAGGTGCATCTGGGCTTGAAGAGACGGCCTCCAGAACCGAGGGAACAAGAGGGAGCAGCGCGAGCGACAGAAAAGTTGTCAACGCGTGAGCCTCCAAGAGGCAGTGAAGGTGATATACCACCACCTCCAAAAGCCCTGCTGCCATGGACGCGGAAGACCAGTACGCGCGTTCTCGCTCGACGAGGGTGTTGAGACCCATCCTCCTGAGCAGCCACGATTGGCACGAGTTGTGGATTAAGAACTCGTTAACCGCGTCCAAGAACGAGCCGTGGGACCCGTGCATCTTTTGATCGCGCAGTGGAAGAGCGCGCTCAAGGATGTTGTAAGCGTAGAGATCGTAGGCCTTGGACCCAGGCTCTTCCTTCGGATGCTGAGGGTTCGACGGGTTTCCTCGCCAACCTCGGAACAACTGGGCGTAGTGTGCCCCAGCAACGGATGGCAGGTAGGGGACAGGGGCGTCGAGGATGTTGGGCAGGTAGAGCGTCCTGCACCAGTCATACCGAGTTTTTGTAAGTTTGTTGGAAGAGTTCCTCGTCGTGATATCCTCAGGCTTCTCTCGGTGGTCCCACGCCACTGTTTGCCTGGTGTACCAGGGCTTGGGGTGCGTGGTGAGGAGCTCCACCGGGCTCTCCTGCGGGAGGGGACTTGGCGGGACAGCGCTCTGCATGGGGGCTGCGGTGCAGAACGCTGGGTCAGGAAGAGCTTTGAGGCGCCGCTGGAACTCGGACGACGTCCAATCGGGGGAAGGTGTCCTAGCAGGGGAGGATGGCGCCCGCGATGGTGACTGGTTGGGGGCCGGGTCGTTCACGTCGCTCGCAGGCGGTGACAGGTCGGAGACGGATGAGAAGGAGGAAGGGAGGGAAGGCGTCTGCGACTGCCTCAGTAAAGAGCCGGACTTGTCGCTGTGTCGGGCGGCCGTCGCCGGTTGGGGTCGACAGTATGGAGAAGAACGCGGCTTTGAGGGCCCGCGGTCCACTACAACCGCAGGACAACTGGGCAAGAGCTCACGCAGCATGGCATTCGCGGCGCCTCGTGCCCGCCAAATTCTGGTCTCCAGCGGCAGCGCAAGATCGAGGCCGGAAAGGACGTTGTGGTGGAAGGTCTCGTACACGAGGTCGATGATCTCCTCTGTGCGCTGCACCGTGAGGTGGGCCCTAAAGCTGTCAGCTATAGCTCACTCAGCAGATCGCCCAACATCCTTTCCGTTACTCACTGCAGGACCCGATCCGTGATCTCCAGGTGCTGTTTGGCGAAGAGTTCCGCCCTTTTCGTCCTCTCCGCCTCCTCCGCATCTGCATCTTGTCGTGCTTCGTCCCACGGCGCGGGATAGTCGAAGTGGCTTGAGTCTTCGGAGAGCGAAGCCGGCAGAAAGGGCGATGACATTCGTTGGAACGGAGAAAGACAGGAACTGAGAGAGGTGGAAGAGGGAGGAGGGGTGAAGAAAATCGACAGGTGTGATGAGAGATGAGAGATGAGAGATGAGAGATGTCCAGAAGAAGGAGGAAAGAAGAGCAAACGAGTGTTGCAATGTTTGTTTGGGAGGCGTGGGCGGCCACCTTCCTCGTCTAGGAGTTGCGACTGAGCAGCAACCATACTTTACTGCTGCTGGGCTGCCTCAGGTCCTCGCAACATAACAGGTAATAATTAGTGGGGAGTTACGGGAGATACAGGGCGATGGAAGGGAGCAGCAGCGACGAGAGCAGGGAGCAAAGCCAGTGATCAAGGGATGGACGAAGGCATCTGTCGTACCTTGGATAAGTGAGCATACGGCTCGCGCACCGAGTGATGACGCCAGTAGCCGGCGGAACTCAATCGCGCCACTCAACAATGTGCCTGCGCCGCCGGTCTTCCGCAGTCCACTTGCTAGCTTGCTAGTATGACGGAGGGCATGATCTGCGCGTCAACTGGGCATCTCAGCGCCACACAAAGCACGCCGTGAGCTGCAGGAATGCAGTGGTTCACCCTAACCGGGCAGCATCAGGCCACCTCCGCCAGCTAGTACCTTGGCTGTGTAGTGCCTTAAGACGACTCCCGTTCACACACTCAGCTAACACCAAAGGAGGAGCAACTAAGCGGGAGAAGATCAGACTGGGGAGTGATTGGGATAATCAGGGGGAGGAGAGCACCGGTCCTGTGTGGCGGCCCAGTATCAGAACAGCCACACTTACCGGGCGACACGTCAGGCTCCGCCACGATTACGGACTTGGGTCAGAGACGAAGAGAAGCCAGACGCTTGCGCTCTTCCCAACTCACGCACTCCGACTTGTGCAAGACGCCGGAGTGAGGATGGCATTTCGGGGAGCGGCGTTTTCGGGGAGTGTCAGTAGTAGTGGCAGGGGCCGCAACGACGTCTAGCGGCGTGCTCGCGAGGGATCGAGAGAGCGAAATCAGCTCGGTTGCACAACATTTCCCTGGCGTGTGCTGATGAAGGATGATCTCGTGTTGCATGTATGTCTCGACCAGACGGAGAACAGGGAAGGAGCTGTGAATCTCTTGAGGAGCCATGGGACATGATAGGCATGGTATGGTCAGGCATTAGGTTCGGGCGGAGGGGTGTGTGCGGAATAATGGAACATGCGGCACGCGGCTCCCCCCCTTGTACGTCCAGCGGTCATCGCTGACTGGAGCGAAACAGATGCCGGGTGCTAGTTTGAGGTCCGCCCCATCGCGGTTTATGCACCGCTCTGCTCATGATCAGCACACTGAACCGCTGAACGACCTCGCACGAGTTTCACTATGTAAAATAGCAGTTAGCGAGGAGAAGACGGGGGTTATCAACTTTGTAATATGTGAAGGCGAGATTCCGACGTTGTGGGCAGGCTGATCATGCCACCGGCGAATCGTCTTGATGAATTCTGGAACGATGATGGTGAGTGAATGGACGTCAGCCTCGGCAGCGGTGAGCCTCCTCCGCAGCGAAGGTATCTCCACCGTTAGTGACAGCTGCCTCTTGGCTTGGTTGGTCAGTAGCAAATTAGACCATGTACTTTGTTGGAAGTCTATGAAGTAAAGTCCACCGAAGTTTGCGATGATGAGGTGACCAACGATGGGTGCCAGAAAATGTCACGTGACATATCAGGACATGAAGAAGGAAGGAGACGTGTAGAGTGACCATCAAGCAACAAGACACTGGAACGGGGGGAAGCGGAGAACGATCAGCACGATCGACGCGGAGGCCCCAAAATAAAATGGGGAGGGAATCTCACTATCTACTTCATGCACGCATGTGATAAGCTCTATCCCGTGATTTTTGCTGGGTGTGATGAGTGAGAGTGGGGAGCCACGCATGTACACTGTCGTTCGGGTATGTGGTAAGCTTGCTCGTAATCTCACAAGATCGCACACTCTCGAGCTCCCAATGTATCAAGGAGTGGAATGTGGATACATCCCGGGCACGATCTGCACCGATGTCAGTCGCATTCCCTGGCCGGCAGCCGGCCTCTGCTGATCTCCTTCCCCGTCGTACCGTTGTGCGCGTCGTGCACAACAAGGATCTACGATCCCCTCACCCCCGCTCATAGATCCCCGAGCCCATGTACGATTCGAGCAGTCATATTTCATAATTACTCTATGCGCTCCACCGACACAGCAACATTGGTCTTGGAAGTGGCTCCAGGAGAGAGGGCCGTCGAAAGAGGCTGCTTCCGGCATCGCAAGTACTATGTCTGGGCCAGGCAACATCCGGGTCTGCGATCTCGAAGTGCTCTCTACGCTCTGTATTTCCTCGGTTGGAAGGAGCACATTGTTAGATGTGACAATCACGATAGCCTCGGCCAACGAAGTTGCCAGCTTGTACAGAAGCTCACTCGGCATACAGTACCGAATACCATCCTTGGATGGAAGAGGTAGTGATTGGATGTATGCGGTAGTGATTGGGCTTATAGACGCCGAAAACATGTTCTCACCAGGAATGCAATGATAGCCTAGCTTACTGGTCATGACCCAGTCCATCGCGGCTAGATCTTGCATGGTATTGACAAAAGTCCGAGGATCGCCTGTCATCATCTGACGATCGACATCAACATGCCACTCCATTCGCCAGCTTCGCGCCTCCGTACCTCGCTCGCGACATTCCTACCTCGGCCAATGGTACATGTTGGTGGCGATAATTTACAATGGTATTATTGTATCAATGCAGGGGATATACGACTGGCACCGTGCCAGGTCCCGTCAAGTCACCACATATGGCCAAGGTAAGCAGAGTCTGCCCACAGTTGCCTTGCCGCCTATCTCGCCGACACGACGGGCGCAGAAAGTGTCGGTGTCGCGGGCGATCGCACAGGCGTCGAGGCCGGCGCGTTCTTTGCAGCCGCGGCGGCAGCGGCCTCCTCCTTCTCGCGCTGCATCGCCTCAGCCCATGCGTCGTATGCGTACTCGATTGGCTTCGCGAGGTACACCTCGTCAGCCGTTACCGAGTGATCGCTCGCGGCGTCCGATGTCTTCTTCGGCGCGCCGCCCAGGAACATCTCATTCGGGTCAAAGTCGTCTGCTGTCAGCAAGCTCACACCGAGTATGAGAACACTCACTGTCTTCATCAGGCACTGCGCGGCGCTTGCCGAGCGCCTTGCGACTTGGTCGAGGTATGCCCTCCTCTCCACCCGCAACGGCGGCATTGCCGTTGCTCGTCGGGATCTCGCCCGAGCTTCCACTTCCGTCTCGCGCGAAGGAAGCCCTGGAGCCATGCTCATTTGCAGCCAAAACAAGGTTGGGATTGCTGTTGACCGACCGGAACTGCTGCGCACCCGGGTTGGGGAGCGGGCGCGGGCCGGGCACTCGTGCTCCACGGCCAAGCGGTGAGCCTGAACGCGGAGGCGACTGGCCCGCGCCGATCTTGGGCGGCATTGGGAGGCTCCGACCGGGAGAAGGCGAGCGCGACCGTTTTGGTTCGAGGGTCAGCGCAGCCACATGGGCAGCCATAGCGTCAACGTGGCTGCCGTGCGAGCTGTGGCCGTGGCCAGAGTCTGTGGTCCTCGGGGAGCGGCCAGTGTCTGGCAATGCCTTGCCCGCCCTGGACGGTGACGGTGAGCGCGACGTCGTCGCAAGTCCCTCATTAGGGGCCGCAAGCATGTCCATCTGTTGGCGTCGATCCATGCGAGTGTCTGTCTTGCTGCGCTCCTGAACCTCGCGCATTTGACGCTCCTCAATGCACCGCTCTGAGAGATCATCGTACTCTCTAAGAGTGTCCGAAAGGTGACTGTGCGCTTTGAGAAGGATCTCAAGGGCAGATTCCTCCGGAGTAGCCAACGTCCCCTGCTCGGCTCTGGGGATCGAGTCTGCTACCCGGCGTGACTTCTCCGCCTCTGATTGTGCCCATCCCATCTGGCTGTTAAGCGACTCCAACTTCTTGAGGGCCTTCCGCTGCATTTCCTAGACATCAGCATCTTCAGATCTCGACCAAGCACTCACGTGTAGCAACACGTTTGCCTCAAAGTTGTCAGGTCGGGTGAAAACGCATGCCTCATGAAGTTTGTTGGCTGTAGCCAGCGCCCTATTGCACTCATCAAACAACCGGCGCATGTCGTCGTCATGATCCGGCAGAACCGAGTAAGGAACTCCGCCGAGCTGTGGCGGCGAGCCACCCGGGCCGCGTGCGCTGTGCTTGCCTCGCGACAGCGGCTCCGATGCAGGTCGGGAGAGAACAGAGGGTGCAGGCGACGGGAGCGGGGATCTCTGACCAGGGGCCATCGACGTGATGACGGGGAGAGGGAACTCAGTGCGCTCCTGACGATCGTCACGGGGACGGCGATGCTCGGGGGTGATTGGAAGATAGTCGTCAGGCAGAGGTGTGCCCTGCTATGTTAGCATGGCCACCGAGCGCACTCGACGAGCATTGCACTCACAAATTCGGGGTCTCCTGGGCGCTTGACTTTGTTCCACAACTCGAGCAGATGTTCGCAGCTACGGTTGGCATGGTACGTGTAGGTGACGCCGGAGACAATCTCCATGGTCGTCTTATACGTTGACTGAGAGACGGGTGGATCAGCCTTCTGCTTGAGAATGCGCTCGATCGTGTCAAGCAATTTGCGGCTGGTGGCATGTCCTGTTGGTGTTAAACACGGGCGGGTATGAGCTGCGGAGACACTCACGATGGAAGTCCTTCGCGGAGATGTTGCCCATGGCAATGAGCCATACTCTTGACGCCATACGGCGCTCACTGTCGGTGCCATTCTTGAATACCTTGCGGATGCTTCTTGCGGCTTCGCGGCCTACCGCATCATTGTGCTCCGAGCCATTGATGCGGTCACACAGTTCCAGGACATCAGGAAAGGTCGTTCCACGAGTGCTGCACAGTCTCCCTAGCGAATGTCAGCACAGACCGCCCATCCTCTCTCGTTGGACAAGATAGTGTACTCACGGACAGCGGACGAGACGTCGTCGTCTTCGGGGCCATCGTCGCGTCGCAGATGAAGATTAAGATCGAGGCCTCGGGAGCGGAGACGAGAATCCTCGAAGCCGTGGCCCGTCGAGCTGGCGTGGCCAAGGGCCGAGGGAGCGCAGGGCGCGCCGTGAATGGACGGTGGCTGTGCATTGCCGTGAACAGACTGTGGGGGCTGTCCATGAATCGAGCCCTCGGTGAACTCGTCGCCGCTGGGACGCGCAACGTTTTCCATTGACGCTTGAGGAAACTGGGTTAAGAAGGGCGAAGGGACGCGATCCAAAGCGGCAAAGGTGGAGTCCTTGTTCTTAGCCTCTTTGGCGTCTTTGCTCTTTCTATCCCCCACGCGTTTCCAGAAGCTCTGCTTCTCCTTCTTGGGTTTAGGGGGCTCCGGAAGCATGGGCTGCGGTTTGCTCATGTCGGACGAGTAGGACTGCACGAGAGGCGATGTACGGGTCTGTGTAGGTTCACGAGGCTTGTTGAGCATTCCACCAAGATGGCCCGGACCCCCTCCCAACCCCCCAACCGCCGTGCCAAGGGCGCCACCGCCGCCTTCGTGGTCGGAACCGCGGCCGGATTGGGACGCCGAGCTGTAACCTCGTGTTCTGCTGGGTGCGTACGCGTCGAGGTCAGCTCCATAGCCTGGGCCTGGGCCTGGCGGTGGCGGTGGTGGTGGGAGGGTGGGGATACTGTGAAGACTGTTCTGGCTCATGTGACTAACGCGTGCTGGAGGTGTCGAAGCACCATATGCGGTGGGTGAAGGGGGGCGGGCGCCAGGCGGAAGGCTGTAGAAGTGCTGCTGCGACGAGGGTGGAGTAGGCTGCTGCGATCCATAGGGGGAGGCGTAAGGGGGTTCCGGTCCCGGCGCGTTGGCAAGCTGCAGAGCGCGCTGGGACTGTGCGCCCGCGAGCCATCCGTCAATCGAGCTCGAGTCGGTGCCTCTGCGCGATCGTGACGCGTAAATGGGAGCGGGATGGTCGTTATCGTCGTATGGATTTGCTTGCTGCATGGCCTGGATTTCTGCAAGAGTTGGTGTATGAGTTTGTGGTGGAGCGCGTGTGTCGCGGGAAGGACGAGGTGGAGGGGGAACGGGAGGCGCAGCAGCACTGCCATGAAGTGGCGTGACCGATGTCGGGGTCATGTTTGCTGCTGCCGATGCAGCAGCGTCGTCGAGTGGAAGTTGATGAGAATGGTGGCGGCCCACGTCGACTGGGAATGGAGTGACATTGCTATTGTTGTTGACTAGGTGTCGTCTGCGTGTTGGGTCGTGGTGAATTCGACTTGGCTGCGGTTGTTGGAGTGGCGCAGACGGTGGTGGTGGGAGAGAGTCTGGGATGGGGAGGGGGTCTATGCCAGTGGGCTTTGAGTTGCGGAAGAGCTTCTTGAGGCGGCTGCCCCCAAGCCCGTCAGCCATGTTGAGGATGAGTTGGGGTAGTGAATGACAGTGGATGTGATGATGATGGTGAGGATGATGACAGTTGAAGAGTGAGGATTGTGAGACTGCGAGAGTCGGGGGAGTGGGCGAGGTGGGCGATGTGGGCGAGGTGGGGAGGGAGTAAGGAGAGCGTGAGGAGGAGAGGGGGGAGTGATGATGGTGGTGGAGATGGAAGTGGTGGTGGCCGAGGGGGTTGAGAGAGTGAGAGTGAGAGGAGGACGAATGACGACGAGGTGTGAGAGTTGGCTGCAGGCGACGACGAGGGAAGGTGGACATGTCTACCTACCACTCAGCGAGGCGGTGCCGCGCGCCGTGCGGGGCGAAGCCTCGGACCCCAGGGCTCAGAGGGTGGCCAGGCCGAGGGCGCAAGGGGCGCAGGTCAGAAGGACGTGGCTCCTCTATCTTCCCTGAATCTCTCAGACTCCCCTCTACGCTTAAAGGGGGAGGCGGAGAGCTTGATTTGGTACTAATCTCCAGATCTTGCATTCTAATCGATTCAACTCTCCCAATTAGAGTTGTATTACATGAAACTCGCATGAGCGGAGTGGGTCGCTGCACGTGATGCAACTCGACGTACCATGTCACGTGACACTCTCACACTCCACCTCCAGTACCTCAGTGCCGCAGCAACCTCGCGAGTGAACTCTACAACACATGCGCTCAACTGCTACCGAACAACAAAATACGACGAAGTTCTCTTTCCAACCGTGGAGATACTCTCGTTGAGTATGTGACCACCGCTGGGGATGTGACCACCGCTGGGGAGATCCATCACTCACCCACCGTAATCACGAAGACGCTTCGCCTGCGGCAAGATCAGCCTGCGCACAGCGCCAGGTTCCCGGCTGCACATATTAACAAAGGGGATTACGCGCCTCTTCTCCTCGCCAACTACTTCTTGCAGAGTGAGACTGGCGCGTATTTGTTCAGCGATCCAGTGTGCTGCATGTGCAGACCGTGAAGAGGCCCACAGAGCGGTGCATAAACCACGATCAGGGACACGGACCTTAACTGGCACCCGGCATCTGTTTCGGCTCCAGCCAGGCCAGCCAGCGATGGCCGCTGGCCGCTCGGGGGTAAGCCGCCTGCCGCATGTTTCATCATTCCCCGCACAATCCGCTCCGCCCGAGCCGAATGCCAAATGCATGCCCATGGTACGCAGACCATGGTCACCTGCTCTCGACGCTGAGTAGTTGTTCCTCGCCAGCTCCCTCCCCTTTCTCCGTTGGAAACTGCACGCAACGCGAGATCATCCTTTATCAGCACGCAAGTGGAATGTCGTGCAACCCGAGCAGGTCCCGCTCTCTCCATCCCTCGTGGGCACGCCTCTTGATTGCTGGAATTGCCATTCTCGAGTAGCTGTGCCCCCGTGCCCGTTCCTTCTTGCGACTTCCACTGCCACACTGCCACTACCATGATCGACTACCCTTTATCGCCTACCATCCATTGGGTATGCCCAGACGGGCCACCCTCGCCCCCGCGTCCGTGCAAGTCGGAGTGCAAGGTTGGAGAATGCGCAAGCGCCAGGCTTCTGTTCTTCTCTAACGCACTAATTCTACCGGAGACCGATGTTGAGGCCGAGACTGACGAGACGCCAGCCACGAGTGGCGGTCTAGCTGATGTTCAAAGATTGTGCTCACGCGATGGGGAGCCACAAATGACCAATGCTCCCCCACTTGTTCCCCTCATTTCGCCCCAGTTTGAACCTCCCCCACTGAGCTTCTCCTTCTTCTGTCTTAACTGAATTAAGAACGGGGTTTAGAGCGCAAGTACGACCGGGACTAGACCAATTTGTTCTGGCCAATCTGTTCTTCTCTAACCCATAAACCTCGACAGGCCGAAATGCATTTAGAAAGTCGATTCCGATTCCCGCTCAATATCGGCCCATTCGACTTGAGCGCCCTCGCTACCGCTGCAAGCAAGCTTCCATGGCTCAGTCTGCCGTCCTTTCCAAGTTTCGGCGCCATCAGCCCCTCGGAAACAGATCAAACCTCCCCGCAGCCAAGAGCCATCACTCATACCGTAGCCCCTACCACCAGTGACTACGCTCGGGACGGCTGCGAGCGTAGCTGACATCGAGGGATCTGACTCAACTGACTCGGAGGCGCTCACCCCGTTCGCCGCGACTACATCACCGTCGAAGCGTTCCATGTCCTAATCAATGCAAGGGACGCGTCGCCGCTCGCGTCGTGGCGCGAGCGTGTCCATCACCACTGGGTATATATCAGAGCGTCCTCACTCTCCACTTACAGGACTCACTTCAACACTCACTCTCATACTCTCTCGCAACAGCTCACAATGGGTCCGCGCAAGCACGCCACGGGTGACAGTAAGCCCCGGTCCACCGACAACACTAACATAGTACCCGTCATCAAGCATATCCACAAGAGTGGCATCGAGCCGGCCGACCTCGGCATTGATGGTGACTCTGTGCACGATCTCGGCTTGAGTGAGTCGACAACATGCCACGCTAATAGTAGCCATTACCCCAACGCTCACGATCACCAACGAGAGCGAGGGGCCTCTCTCGCAGATCGGCGAAAGCAGCGCCAGTGCCACTACTTCGGATGCCGCCCCTGCCACGCCTGCTACTTCGACCAACGCTGATGCTGCCACTGACCCTTCAGTCACTGCTGGCATGGCCGTCGCCGCATTTACTCCTTTGGCCCAAGGCTCCACCCGCCCCCTCTCAACCCTTGACATCGACGCTGGTGTCCCTAGCTCTGCCCCAGTGCCCACCGCGCAGTTCGTCCAGGCCGACGCCCACAGCCTGGTCCCATCCCGCCTGCCTATGGGCAACGACTCGCTGGCCGGAACCCCGGCCCTCTCCTCCACTCCCGGTAACAGCTCTTCTCCTAACAACTCCTCTCCTGGAGCTACCGAGGGCTCCTCCAGCTGCTTCGGCACTCCTCCCGCCATCCGTCTGAGTGCACCTACTCATCTGCCCTCCAATCCGCACGCCAACACGGTAGGCACGTCCCGCCGCTCTTGGCGCCGCAGCCATGTCTGGGCTTCCCCAGTGCTCTCAGCGACGGAGGAGGAGCCGGCACTCCCCACTGGTTCTGACTCGAGTCCCAGCGCTTACTCCGACACCAGCCTACTCCGCGGTCACCGCAACACATCCGAGGACCGCGGCCCGGGGCCCGTATACTTGCCCCTCGGCTCGCGCAGCACACTCTCGCTTACGCCCTCGGTGAGCATCTCGAACCGCGCCAACTCAACGCCGTCGCCCTCCCATTTGTCCTCGACCCCTCCCATCGACGCGGCGCTGGGAAATGCCGACGAAAGCTCACACTCGCTCGCTCCTTCGGCGAGCATCTCGACCCGCACGGCTAGCTCGACGCCGTCGCCCTCCAACTCGTCTTCGCCCCCCCGCTCCACCGGGGCGACGTTTGTGACCGCTGGGAGCTCAAACTCGCTTCCTCCTTCGGCGAGCATCTCAAACCACGCGCCCAGCTCGACGGAGGGCCTCACGCCCTCCCACTCGCCGGGGCACTCGTCGGCCGCGACATGCGCACCAGCCGGTGGCAACTCTGTCACGCATACCTCCGCCGACATCGAGACCCGCCACAACGCTCAACAAGCGCTGCGCGACCTAGACCCCGTCACAGCGGATCTTCTCCTTACGCGATCCATAGGGCGCCAGAACTATGCCGACATCGGGATTGGCTTTCCGAGTGCCCCGCCCTCTGCGCCCGTCGTGGAAACGCGCGGCCGCAGCGGTGGCTCGCGCGACCTCTCAACGCCAGCGCGCATCCTAAGCGACACCCTGGAGCGCAGTCTTCGCACACCGGCCGCCACGCGTCTGCTCGACGCGGCCGACCTTGCCGCCGCGCTTGAGGAGGGTGCAGCGCTGCGCCACTCGCCGATGAGCGAAGATCAGCTTGCGGCGCTCGAGGCCGATCTGCAGCGCGCGGAGCGCGCACTCACCATCCACGAGGGCGTGGATATGGCACACGCCGTCACCGAAGAGCTCCTCCACCTGCGTGCTGAGGCTGAGGGCGTACGCCTGAGCCCGCCTCACCGTGCGTGGCGGCACAGCATGGCGCGCCTTCTGCCGGCGCTGCTGCCGCGCGAGTGGCGGCACCCACGCGACAAGAAGGGCAAGAGCAAAGGCAAGAGCAAGGGCAAGGGCAAGGGCAAGGGCAAGGGCAAGGGCAAGAGCAAGAGCAAAAGCAAGGGCAAGAGCAAAGGCAAGGGGAAGGGCAAGACCAAGGCGCGCAAATCAATTATTCGCGTGCAGCATGAGCATGAGCGCGCGAGCGCCGTGGTCGCGGCGCAGGCGGCGCGCGGGGACGAGCCCTCTGGCACAGACAGCAGTGACGAGGAGTACGGAACTGGCAGCGCCGATGTGTACACAGACAGCGAGGACGCCGATACGAGCTCAAGCGCGAGCGTGTCGGACGCCGGAGACAGCGAGTGGACAGGCGCATGCTCGGGCGACACGCATGGCGTCTTTGACTTCGAGTTCTCCGAGGACGAGGACGGCTCGATTCCGCGTCCCGCCGCGCACACCACCACGCCGCCCGGCTCGCCGAGCCTGCATGTCTCTGACTCCCCGGGCCCTCCCGATACACCGACGCCGCCCTCGCGTAGCCACATCCACATGCCCCGCCCGCTGACAGCGGGCGACACCCTCACGTCCCGCATTCCCGCCCGCCCGCCCACCGCGCGCTCAAACCGCGAAGACCGCAGCTCGGCGCCTTCGCCCCCGCACCGCGTGGCGCACCGCGCCGTGTTTCCGCGCAATTCCCCAGGCCAGCCGCGCCGCGCCACGCCCACGCCCAACTTCGACGCGGACGGGATGTACTGCCTCACACGCCAAGTCACGCGCGAATACGACCCGCTTACAGGCCAGCGCATCCGCACGCACGTCGCCGAGCAGAGCACGGCCGCGCACACCGAGCGCTTCGAGGCCCCCGGCGGATCTGCCGCGCCGTTCACCGACCAAAACCTCCAGGCGCGCAACACCCACAGGCCGTTCGGCCACCCGCTGCGCCGCTCGCGCTCCTCGGGCGACGAGTTTCCTCGCGCCTCCATGCTCTACGTCCCGGGCGTGATGCGTACGCCCCCGCCCGCCGCGTTCCTCCGCACCGATGCCGGCACGACGTCGCTTGAGGGACCGTGGGTTTTCCACAGCCCAAGCCCGCCGCAGATGCCAGATTTCTCTCCGCCTCAGGACTACGTGTACGGGAGCCACCTGTTGGCTTTGAACCGGCAGGGCCTGCAGAGGGGGGGCCAGTACCGCCAGCAGCATGTGCAGTGCCCGCACCATGAGCATGACCAGCAGCATGAGCAAGGTCAGAACGGTCAGAATGGTCAGCATTTCCAGCGCACCCATAGCGACAACGGCTATTACGAGCTTGCGCACGCCAACGAGGCCGAGCAGGTGAGCAACAAGAAGAGTCACAAGTTCAAGCGCCTCCGGATCATGTTCGACCCGCGCCGTATCTTGTCCATGTGGAAGTAGACAGAGCGCATAAGCAAACGAGCCACGACCACATACCATGTAGATAGCCGAATCCCACCCGACGCACACGCAGATCAGATGTACATGCATGCAGATGCTAGTTCTTGCCAAGGATGGCGGCCATGAGCTCGAGGTCGTCCATCTCCTCCTCGTCCTTCTTCGGCGTGCTTGCTGCGTCCGCCACGGGTGCCGCTGGCGCGACTGGTGCGGGCTGGATCGCGGAGAGCAAGTCGCCGGCCGCGACACCCGCACGGACAGGCGGCGGAAGGCGCCAGCGCGCAGCGTACGCCTTCCCTCCTGTGAACCCGCCCGCTGGCACTGACCCTGGCACGACGTCAGCCGTCCACACCTTGGGCTTGCGGTGCTTGAGCGTCGGCACGTGTCCCGTCTGCGTCGCGGTGCCGGCGCGCGAGGCCGCCGTCTCGTCAAGAATCCGCGCCTCCTTGTCAAAGGTCCGTTGCTGGGGTCAGCAAAGGCAGAGCATGGCGGGCGCCATGGAAAGACTCCTTCCAGTCTGGTCGCCGATCGCCACCAATCAATTCCAACTCACGTGTTCTGAGCGCTTGAACTCGGCACCGTACGCCACGGCCTCACCCTGCGCGGCCAGGGTCGCCATCTCGTGCGCGGCACGGAGGGCGATAAACTCGTCCGTCGCCTGCTTGTACGCATGGCTCAAGCTCAGCCCCTTGGCGTGAAGGTTGAGCGTGAACTCGACCGTGTCCTCGATGGTGGGGTATGCGCCGCGCTGGCTGAGCGCAGTCCACGCGGCGCCGTCGACGGCAGTCGACAGGCGGACCGTGTCGGCCTCGACAAGCGAGTGCGGGCGCAGCGCCTCGAACGGGAAATCGGCGAAGAACTGGCGCCGCACATGGTCCGCGGCATACACGATGTCGCGGGGCCGCTGCTTCGGCTCGCGCGTGTGGCGCGCGCGCGCGCGCGACGCATGCCCCTCGCGCCGCGCGTCGAACTCGGCGTCCGTCGGCAGGTCGTCGTACCCCTTGCCCTCGTGTGGCCTGTTGCGGCGCGTCGCGCGCCGCAGCGGGATCGCCGGCGGCGGGTTGTTGATCACAGGCGCGTACCATGTTGGCGGCTTAGCGACGAGCGTACTCGCGATAAGACGCGACATGGCCGCCGGGACCTGCGTGGGGATGTAGCGCACCATGGCTGAGGCTCGATGCTCGGTGCTCGGTCGATGTGTAGTAAAAGTCGGACGGAGACGCTGAAGCCAGACAAGAGCGGCCGATTGGAGAAAGTAGAAATCAAATGCGGAAACTAATCCACGTGGCAATCGTCACCATCGCCTGGGTGTACGGCGTGCAGGACGCGCGTTCAGTGACGCCTACGACAATCTCGCTGCTTCATCAACAATCACTCCTCCAGCTCCATTCTAGCCGCCATGTCGTTTCAACGGAAACAGGAGAAGGACTACACTAAGGAGGTCAATGACCTCGCTCCCGAGGCTGAGGCGCTTGCGAAGGTGAGACATAACCACTGGCAGAGCTGACAACAGGGCGGCAAGCTGAGTGAGGCAGTCGACCGCATCTCGGCGCTGGAGAAGCAGACGCGCAACGCCTCCGACATGTCCTCGACCGCCTCTTTGCTCACCCTTCTTGTCCGCCTCTGCTGGGAGCAGAACGACCTCGACACCCTCAACGCCCAGATCGCCATAATGTCCAAGAAGCATGGGCAGCTCAAGGAGGCTGTTGTGCGTATGGTCGACGAGGCCATCCCGTACCTCGACATACTGGAGGAGCGGGGCGAGAAGAGCAAGCCCAAGGGTGGGCGCTGGCTTGAGCTCCTCCACACCCTGCGCGACACAACCGAGGGCAAGATCTACCTCGAGCTCCAGCGCGCTCGGCTCACGGCCCAGCTCGCAGCGTATCACGAGTCTCTGGCGGAGTCGGCGCCAAAGGAAGACGCCGCGCAGCGCGAGGCCCGGAAGAAGAACGAGGCAAAGGGCGATGAGAAGGTCAAGAAGGAGCCCGTGACGGCGGAGGATCACTACAACGCCGCAGCGGATCTCATGAGCGACATCCAGATTGAGACATACTCGTCCATGGACAAGCGCGAGAAGACAAACTTGTGAGTGCTATTTGGGTGTGTTTGAGCGGCGAAGCTCGATACGGAAGGAAGGCTCGGCACGGAAGAAGACTGACCCTCAGTATCCTCGAGCAGATGCGCCTCGAGTCGCTCCGCGGTAACTGGAACAAGGTCCGTGTCGGCAGCCGCAAGATCAACCGCGTCTACCTCAAGGACAAGGACGCGACCGACCTCAAGCTCCGATACTACGAGCTCATTGTCCACCTTGCCCTCCAGGAGGACAACTACCTGGAGGTTTGCAACGCGTACCAGGCCGTGTGGGACACGCCGGAAGTCAAGGAGGACGAGGCGCGCGAGCTTGGCGTGAGTTCGCTCTTTCTGACACTTCAACGCTGACACCCAGGTCATCGAGAACATAATTATGTATGTCGTGCTGGCTCCCTACAGCAACGAGCAGAGCGACATGCTGCACAAGCTGTATGCCGACCACAAGCTGGAGAAGGCGCCCTTGCACTAGTAAGTCCCTTTGCCTACCCACATCTATCCCGCTCCGCCGCTCCTGCTCACACCAGTGCGCTCCTTAAGTGCTTCGTGACGAAGGAGCTCATGCGCTGGCCCGGCATCGAGGACCTGTACGGCCCCGAGCTGCGCAAGTCGCCCGTCTTCGCGCCCGATACCACGCTCGGCGTTAAGACGGGGCCGCAAGCTGACGAGGAGCGCAAGCCAGACCGCACGGTCTCGCCCGGCGACGCGCGGTGGGACGCACTGCACTCGCGTGTGGTCGAGCACAACATTCGCGTCATCGCAGCATATTACAGCCGCATCACGCTGCAGCGGCTGACGGAGCTCCTTGACCTGCCTGCGCTCACCACTGAACGGACACTCTGCAAGCTCGTGACGGACAAGACGGTGTATGCGCGGATCGACCGGCCGGCGGGCATCGTCAGCTTCCAGCGGCCGCGCAAGACCAACGAGACCCTTAATGCGTGGAGCACGGACATCTCTAAGATGCTCAGTTTGGTCGAGAAAACGAGCCACCTCGTCTCCAAGGAGTATGCGATGCACGAGGCAGCGCAAGCGGGCCGCAAGAAGGTCAAGGCGTAGCAGTGTATTTTAGACTTCTAGTAGACAGCAGAGAGAGACGACAGACAGACAGACATGCATGCATAAGTGTACGAGCCCGTGACAACCGGAGACTAGTGTTACAACTGGAAAGCGCTAGCGACGTAGATGGCCCGCTGCGCCTCTGATCTGCCCGCCGACAGCGCCGACGGCATTGCCCACTACGCCTTTGAACTGTCCTGCGCCGACGCTCCCGGCCTTGATGTGGCCCTTGAACTGGCCCCACTTGCCAGGCTTGTGCAGTCCGTGCTGCCACTGGCTTACGTCGCCGAGGCCGAAGGGGGGCTCCGGCTCCAATTCGTCCTCATCTTCATCTTCGCCCGAGTCAGATGGAATGTGGGGCTGGCGCGACGCCATGATGCTGCTTGTACCCTTATGGCTGGAGGATTGGGCCGCAAATGCGCGCGCCTGCGCCAGACCCACGTATCGCGGCGTGCCCTCCGACAGGCTGAGCGAGGTAGCGCGCGACAGGTGCCCGTTGCGCCGCGGCATCGAGGAGAGCATCGTGCCATGCTGCGAGTTCCGCGGCGACACACTCGACGGCACTCCTGCCTTGATGACCGCCATGGGCGAGGTGCGCGACGACAGCGAGTTCTTGCGCGAGCGCGTCATATCCGACACCATCGGCAGTGGGCCGGAGATGTGCGGATTTGAGTCAAGATCCTTGGGACTGGAACCTATCGGATCGGTCAGCCGCCTGGGGTGTGCTGCCGCAGCAGACGGCCCGGCGGTCAGCCACATGTCGCTGGCCGATGTGGCTCGAGAGCGCGAAGTAGCGCTCATAGAGCGCTGGTGGAATCCATGCATTGTCGATGAGGTAGTCAAAGTCGACATTCGATCGCGGTACGCCGATTCGCGGCGCTCGTAAATGCGGCTGACAGACGAATCCACAGTCGGCGGTGCACGTGGGATGAAGCCAGAACTGCCGCGGTGGGTGACCTCAGTCCCGCTGCGGCTCGTTGTAGACCCCGAGCTCATCGCACTGTGCCGTTGAGAGGAACGGCGGTCGGACCCGCTGCTCACTGAGCTCATGCCCTCGACGCGCGCGAACTCCTCTGCTAGCGCGTAACTCTCGCCGTACGCTGCCAGCTGATCGGCGAGCGTACGACTTGACAGTTCAGAGTTGGGAAGCTGCGCAATACTCAACACGTCTCGTTCGTCCTGCTCACGTGCGTCACAGGCCTCTGCATGATTCGAAATCTTGCGCTGTGGTGGGCGAAGAGGCCGTCCCTCGTGAATCGGTCCGTCCAGCGTGGACCGCTGGGAGGATGACCGCTGCGATGAGGACCGTTGCGACGCCGAACGGTGTGGTACGCCACGCGGTGGGGTCGGCGTAGGCGAAGACCTCTGTGAGGCCGAACGCTGTAGAGGAGACCGCCGCTCTGGTACATGCGAAGCTAGGAGTCTCTCCGACGGCAGAGATGAAGGGCCTGCACGCTCTGAAGGCAATCCGGAGCCAAGGGCGGCCATGGTCGCCGCCTTGATCGAACTCTGTCGCGTACGATTAGTCTCAGGAGTATCGGGCAGCAGCCCAAGAGATCTCAAGTCAGTGTCGGGAGGTACACGGTTGCTGCCGGAGCCTGGAGGTGTCATCAATCTTGACGACGGAGGTGTGGAAATGGAGTCGGTGAGCTGCGAGCTCACACTCCCACCACGGAAGTGGCTGAGATTCCCGTCGGACCCAGGAGGGAGGAGGGTGTCCGCGGTGGAGTTGCGGTTGAATACAGCATTGCCAACTGGCATGGCGCCCTCGCCCGCGGTGGGCGATGGTGGGGCGATGTCCAAGGCATGCGGAGGCGCGGTAATGGTCACATCGCCCTCGTCCTCGCTATCCTCGAGACGAGCTTTGTCTTCGAACGGCGAGGGTTCCGTGGCAGGTGTGGTGCTCACACCAGCGACCTCATCAGATTCACCTAGTGAAGCGCTGTCGCTAGATGGCCCGCCGAGTTCACCGGAGGTGTCCGTTGGTGGTGAATTTCCACTGGGGACTACCCTAGATCTTCGCCTCGCCGCTGTCGAGCCAGGCATGGCAGGAAGGGAAGGCATGCGGCGTGGCGCATCTCTCGAGATAGGCTTTCGCACCACCTCGGTGACACTTCGCCGCACGGACGCCTTCCGCGCATCCTCGTCACTCTCTTCTCCCCATGTGTTTGCCAAGGGACTGGGGCTGATCACCCCACCGACGTTCCTGCGGCGCGAGTCCCAACCTCGCTCATTTGATGCAGGTGGCGGTGGAATACTCGTTGCTGGACGTTCGGAAGACATACTGCGCGAGGAAGGGCTTGTGGGTAGATCGCCAAAGAAGCGCGTCTTCGTGACTGGCGCGGAGATGGAGGCTGCAGCCTCGAGCTGGTCACCAAGCCGTAGGACGTCCGTGGCCATCTGCATCATTTCAGGATCCATGCTCGCCCTTTTGAGGCGCGCAATGCTCTCCTCCAACTGCTCAGTGGGAACTGGGCGAGGGAAGGACGGTTCTTGACGCTTCGGTGGACTAGGGCTACGGGAATGTGGCGACTGCCCGCGTCGGAACAGCTTCAGTAAAGCGCGCTTCTGCGACTTGGTGCGCTGTACCGTCTCCGTGGTCCTGTTGCGCCCTCGGCCGAAGATACCAGACGAGGGAGTGATCGGTGACGTCAGGTCTGATTCTGTGATGGACGGCGAAGAATCCTTCTCGGTCTTGCGCATCGCCGTGCGGAATGCTACACCAGGGTGTGCGGCCTTCTCGAGTATGGAAGGGAGGGACGGTCTTCTTGATGACTTTAGAACGTTGTAAGACGAAGATGGGGACAGGGTTGGGTTGGACGGAGATTCCTGATCGGGGACGGGCGTTTTGATGCCACTGCCGTTGGGGAGGCTGGGTCCTTCGTCATCCACTATGCTGTTGGAGGCTGGCGATATGGGGGATGGGGATGGGAGGGCGCAATTGGGACCATCGACGTCAACGGCTGGTGTTGGCACCAATGACAGTTCTGGTCTGCCGGATGGGGTAGTTGTGCCATCGCTGAGGAAGCTGGCAGCGCGGGTAGTCGAGCTGCTGTCGTCTGGCGATGGAGCACTGGTCCTTCCTCCTCGGAAACCCATCTCAAGGCTGGAGCGGAACAGGCGAGCCTTTTCGGAGGCGACGCTGACCATGCTGCTAGCCCGCTCCTTGCCCTTCCGCGATACTAGCACGTCCGTTTCGGACGCGGTACCTGCGCCGTTGATGCCCCCCGCGTCCGCTCCGTGCACGCGCGCAGACGCATCCGGTTCGGAGACAGCAGACATCGAGGACCCAGGCCGCTCGTGGACGTGAGACCATAATCGGATGGCGTGTACAATCTCGTTATACCCGCTGATCTCTGCCAAGTCTTCCGGTGTCAGGCCATTCTTGTCCAGCTTGTCGGAGACAGCGCCACACCCCAGAAGAATCTGGACAACGGCTTTGTGCCCATTGGCCGCGGCAAAGTGGAGAGGAGTCGAGCCTGCTGGTCAGTGCGCCGCGCGCCTGTCACCGCCAAGCGGTCACTCACCGACTGTTCCAACGGCGGGAACGTTGTTCCCTCGTTTGCCGTTGTCTGAGTAGCGTCGGGGAAGACGAGGGGCGTTGACGTCTGCGCCGCGGTCGATGAGCATACGCACTACGCTTACGCTGCCGCCCGAGCACGCCGCATGGAGGGGGAGACAGCCGTGCAATAGCGAATTGACCGGCTGGCCGTGCGTCAGGGCGTAGTGCACGAGTCCAAGGTTTCCGCTCGCGGCAGCCGAGTGAAGTTCGAGATTTGGGTCTGGTGAGCGCAAAGGGGGAGCATGGTAGTGAGGAGCGACACGCGAGGGGTTGATGGCGAGCGATTCAATGTCAGTTCATGAGACGGCGCGCGGAGGAAGAAGAACGTGTGAATGGTGGCAAGGGTGCTGGGTACACGGGGTAGGGCACATGTTGGCTCCGAGGCCGGGCATCGCCGTCCCCATTGCCATACCCGAAGTCTCGGCGATGCTGCCGGTCGATCGGAGATCGGCGCCAGCCACTTGGGTCTCCTGCAGCGTTGCCGAATCGCTGGCATCTCGCCGTGCGCATCCTTCTTCGGGTCCGAGAGATCAAGTCCAACTCACAGTCTAGCACGACGTCGTACTTTGCTTCGACCTTCTCCGATTTTGTATTGCTGGAGGGCATCCGGCCTCGGAGCGCTTCTAGCTTTGTGGCCGTGTTGACCGTAACGCGCTCGGCAGCCGACTGTGAGCCGACGGCCGAGCCCCCTACTGGGGGCATGGCAAGTTGAGAGTGGGCAAGGAGCGGTGGACAATAGGGCGCCGCGCTGCGTGCGCTTCAAGTGCAGCAACAGCAGGCGGCGGCGAGAGTGGGATGGGTGGGGGAAGGTGGCGGGTCGGCGTGCTGTGTGTATGTGTGTCACGAGCGCGAGGTGAGAAAGATGGTGTGGGCGATGCCGGGAGTCTTGAGAGCGCCGAGCGAGTGTCGAGAGACGAAAGAGATGAGAGTTGAGAGTTGAGAACGAGAATGTCGGGGGTGATAGCTGGCTGGCTTGATCACTCTGCGGTGTGGCCTTGGGCGGGATGGCCTGGGTGGCTTGAGCACGGATACTAGAGTGACAAGGGGAAACCGTCTCGTTTGACGAAATGGACAGGCCAGTGGCGTTGGGGTGGTCAGGTCTCGTCGACCAACGTGGCGAGGGGGATGGAGGGTGCGATGAGGAGATGGGTAAGAGTGGAGAGGAGAGACAGAGAGATGGTGGCCACGAAAGGTATGGGGCTGGGGATGCGTCTGCGAGTTGATGCCACCCATAGCCGCCCAGAGCCAGGACGCCGGGGGTGCAGAGTGCAGAGAGGCCGGCGGTCAGTCGAGTCTCCTGTTGGATCTAATGTGTGCCTGGCGAGCGACGCCCTTCACAGTCACATTTAGCCCTCCTCTTCATCATTCACCGGATCACCGGATCCACTGGCCACCCCATGCCCCATGCCCACATCTCCATTCGCCACTCAGATGTCCAGAACATGCACAACACCACTTCACAATCACAGATACATGTCATGCCGTCTCCTTCATAGCTCATCCCACTCATTCTTGCTGCACCTCGTTTCGCAGCGGGAGGCCGTTATCGTCATGCCTCAGGGATTGTTCCGAGGCATTCTCGTTCCCAGACCGACGCCGCGCCGCGCCGCACCGCGCCGCCATCATAGATCAGAGCGCAATGGCGCGGCGGGGGCGTGGGACTGCTATGATGCATGTCTTTTGCATCATGCCCCGGGCCCATATGTCCCATGCCCCATGCCCCAACGCCCATGGGCCATGATCTAGCCTTCGTCGTCCGCCTGCACGCCTGCCAGCTACAAGCCTGCAGCCTTCGGAGGTACGGAAGTGCGTACGACGCCGTAAGCTTAAACGAACGTGGGCTCTCGTCATTCCACCATGATCACGGGATGTGGGCTCGACTCCGTCATCCATGCATGCTCAAAGGCTACTAACTGCGTAAGAAGGCACAACACATGCAAATGCCTGGCTTTTATCATCCACGCGTGCTGTAGAATCCTGCTTTCGGAGTTCCGAGCCCAGAGAAATACTCCGAGGCGAGGATGGGGACTGGCAACGCACTTCAAGATTGCCTAAATCTTGTAATGTCTTCGGCGTGACGAGCCTCGAGGATGGACGTCGTCAAGCATCAGGTCCAACTGTCAAGATGTCACTTGACGTGCGGCATGCTCGCCTCACGGCAATTCTGTTTCTTTTCCAGCGCCTAGGAATGAACAAGGAGCCTAGGCGCCCCAGCCGTACCTACGGCGCTCGCTCGATCGCTCGGCTGGGTTAAATCCAGCGATGGAGATCTGCCAAGCCTCACCATAGCACCCGTCAGTCCATCTTGTTAGTGCCTCCTCTGACAATCTCGCCAAACGCCCCTCCGCACTCGCACGCCAGCTCGTGTGCAGCCTCGACTCGGCGCTGGCCTCATCAGGCGTTTGGCCCTCCCCGCTGCCACCGACCTAACCCAGCCACCCCCAGGCCAACCTCCCCCACCCAGCCACTTCCAACCACTACCACCAAACAAGTAGCTAGCAGCCGAAGGCAGCTGGGGAGGGAGATCATTGCCACAAGGGCAGGCCAGACGGGGCAGCAGGGCTGGTCGTGCGGCACCTACGTCTCACACCTGTCCTCCACAGCCCCGTGCGCACAGATCGTCATGATAGGCCAATGAAATGATACATCCCGCTCCCCATGCCATGCTACGCTTAGCGGGCAACAATGCCGTCGAAGCGCTGCTTGAACCAGGCGACGGTCTGGTCGGGCTTGACCTTGTGGGTGGCGCCGACGCGGCCGCCCTTGGACTTGCGGCGAGCAACGCGCATGCCGGGGCGGCCCATGATGACGTAGAAGTCCATGCCGAAGATACCGATTCCGGGGTCGTACTTGATGCCGAGGTCGATGTGCTCGTCGATACCGAAGCCAAAGTTGCCGGTCTCGGAGAAGTTACGGCGACGGAGCTCGTACTCCTTGACCTTGAGGGCGCGCTCAAGGACCTCCTCGGCCTTGGGGCCACGGATGGTGACGTGCACAGCGATCTTCTCGTTACGACGGATGGAGAACGAGCGGACGGTGTAGCGCGCCTTCGAGGTCACAGGGGTCTGACCAGTGAGCTGCTCCAGCACCTTGGCGGCACGGGTGAGACGGTCACCGGACTCGCCGACCGAGATGTCTGCCTGTCAGCGGGGCCTCGCAGGGCGCGAGGCGCAGCGCCGCGCTGCGCTTGGCGCGCGCGAGAAAACGCACTGATGACGAGCTTCTCGATGCGGAGCTCCTTCATCGGGTTGACGGCGGTCTTAGCGTCGGCCTGGATGTGAGTGACTACTCAAAACTTGACTTTGGTTTCACTTTGGTCTTCGAGGTTGCGCGCGCGTCCAGTCTGTCCTCCAGCCGTCCTCCATCGTCTCTCTCCCCATCACTGAACGAGCGAAGGCCTCGTCACAACTGGTGCGCAAACCAAGCTATGCTCGCTCGTACGACGGCACTCCTCTCGTCCAACCAAATCCGCCACCCTTCCCTCTCCACAGACTCGCGCGCAACCTTCGATCGGCCCGCGAGCGTCTCGCGCGCATACGCGTATCGCGACGTACCATTTTGAATACTGGGGTTAGTGTGATGCAAGACGAGGGTTGTGCGTGCACTTGTACTCACTGTTCTTGAGGGGATGGAAGTACCAAATCGCTGCTCCCAGGCCAAGTCCGCCAGCGTCGGCCAGCCAGGCAGGGTCGGCGGAGGCGCAAAAGGCTCCGCAGGGTGGGTCCTCATTTGATTCCGTGGATAGCTTAAACCCGAGCCGATAGTTTCGATAGTTTCTGTGCCTGAGGCGGATGTTCGCCGCGGGCAATCTCCGGCTTTGAAGTTGGTGGCAAATGACGTTTACTGAGTGCCTGATCGCCTTGCAATCCAACCTGCATCTCCATCTCCCACATGTCCTGGACGTCACTACACCCGCCTCGTCCGCTTGCTCACCACTTTGCTTTCGAGTTAAATCAATATAATGGTGCTATAGAACATGAGAGGCCGTCACGGTAGCTCTCGGGTGTAGACCGCCTCGTATTTTGCATGACACGGCTCCTACACTCTCAAGCCGGATTGTACGCAACTGGCCCCGACAATCCAATGCCCCGGCACACAGCCTTTCCAACTCCAGGCCCAGGTCGCCTTAAGCGCGAGTACACCCATAACATATTGAGGAACATGATCGAGTGATCAGTCTGTCGAATTGTCATGCTAGCGTGTTCTGACGCCTCGAGTAACGTCGAGACCATCTAAGAACTCTTCAACAGCGAGGGAAGGACCTCCACCTCACCTCAGAAATTCATTTCGTCATCACTCCCAACCCCTCCCAGACACGACTCTACCCATCACACACCATGGCGTCTCCTCCTAGCAGCAGCAAGGGCAAGGGCAAGGCGACCGCAGCCTCCGACACGGACGAGTACCAGCACGTGCACGAGTCGCACCACAGCATGGGCTCCGAGATCCCGTGGCCTGTGGTGCGCGCCGAAGAGATCGCCGACGCGATGGAGCACCGCGTCCACTTTCTCGACGACACGAAGGGACGCACACAGGCGTGTCTGAGCGAGATGGGTGCGTGTCTTCGTATCATTTACATTGCTGACGCCAGCCGGCATCGAAACAGGCATGGGGATCCACAAGGTCTCGCTCGCGCCACACACCGAGAGCACGGTGCTTCACAGCCACGTGGGCGAGAGCGAGTGGCTGTACATCCTGAGCGGGAGCGCGACGCTGCGGCTCGCCCGCAGCGTCGGGGACGTCGAGGACTTGCGGCCGGGGCCAGAGGGCGGCGTGCATGTCGAAGAGACCGTGCTGCACGCTGGCGACTACGCCGGCTTCCCCGCCGGCAACCCCAAGGAGCGGTGGGCGCACTCGCTGCGCGCTGGCGACGAGCCCTGCGAGTACCTCCTCGGCGGGGAGCGCAAGAGCATCGACGTGATCACGTATCCGACGCTCGGGAAGACGTTGGTTAGCCACGAGGAGAGCGGGGCGGAGGCCATGTTTGTTGGGCGGAGCGATTAATCAGATGGGAATGTACAGTCACCTGCCATGCCCACCAGCCATGAGGTCATGGCTTGCCAGCAGGACAAGTAACCCACATTATCAGCCACTGAAATTGACATCGACTTGTTCTCCTTACTTGCGTTCTTGCCTTCTCATCTGCTCAACAGTAACACCAACACCTCGTCACCATGACCTTCAACCCCCTCGTCAAGGCCGCCGACATTCAAGCAGGCCTCAAACAAGCCTCGCACTTCCTCAACGACAACGTGTCCAAGCGCACTCTCTGCCTCTCGGAGCTCGGTGCGCACGCGCCCTCCAAATCTCACACCAGCGGGCATGACCGACCTTGGGGTCCACTTCGTCTCCCTGCCCCCCAACAAGTCCGGATGCGTGCGTCGCTCTGACTCTCTAACCCCCTAACATCCTACAGGAGCTTCATCACCACTACGTTGACTCAGAGTGGTTCTACATCCTCCGCGGCAGCGGCAGGCTCCAGCTCGCCCCCTGTGTCATGGAGTCTTCAGAACGCAGCGGCATGGCGCCGCTCCCCGGCGCCGTGGAAGTGCGCGAGGTGGAAGTGGGGCCGGGCGACTTCGCGGGTTTCCCCGGAGCTGTGGCGGGCACGGGGCGGGCGCAGGGCGAGACGCCACTTGCGCACACATTCGTGGCGGGCACCGAGGGTATGGATTACCTCGTGGGTGGGACGCGCAATGCGTTCGATGTGTGTGTGTATCCGCTGTGAGTTAGGAGGGGAGGTGTGGGCGAGCTGATGGCAGCAAGGGCAAAACGCTCCTGCGCGATGTTGTCGGCGGCGCGCGTGCGATAGCGGATTATGGTGCGCTGCATGATGTTCCTGCGGCTGCGATGGCGGCGGAGCAACCGAAGTAGGGGATGCATTCCTCAGTACGATAGATTGTTGTGTGGCTCTGGGGCAGCACTCGCAGGCTCCCGTTGGCACGCAGGGGCTAGGTTGGCAGTGCCTCATACAGTTGAGAAACAATTCCCACATTGCGCGTCCACATGGAACAAACCGCGTACTGTCGGGTCCCATGGGCGCGACATTTCGCATAAACATTCCACTGTTTTAGAATGTGCGGCAGAGGGCACCGGCAGGTGGGACACACCGAGTTGTGTGCGTGTGTCGAGGGAGCGCCAAGTGCACGGGAGCTGAAGCAGGGCTGCTTGCTGACATCCCCCAATCGGTGTTAGCTGTCATCAGCACCTCCTGGCAATCAGTATGCGAGACCCGCGTGCGAGGCAGCCACTTGGCTTGGCCGACCCCTGTTCAGTGCAAGCACCATCGACATAGAACCTGCAATGACTTCATCCTCTACGCCTTGCCAGCCTGCTGGCGCGCCTCGTCACCGTGGACGAGGACACAGGGCCCGCCAATAACAATCTCCTCGGAGAGGTTGTGCTTCTTAATGAAGGCCTCGATCTCGTCGTTCTCCGCGCCGGGCTGGAACCAGATGCTGTGCGGCTTCTTGGCCGGGTCGGCGTAAAGCTTCTGCAGGTACTCGTAGCCGAGCTTGGGCGAGATGATCATCGAGATCGACGTGTTGGTGAGGTCGGGGAGCGCGGTCTGCGATTAGCAGGAGGGCGGGGTTGCAGGGCACCAAGACACAAGGACTCACGGGCGACTCAACAACCTTCAGGCCCTCGACGGGCTTCGAGTTGTCGAAGCGGTCCGAGGCCGGACGCACGGGCGTCACATCCATCTTGCGCTCCTGGTACCACTTGATGAGCTGATGTTAGCGGTGGCAGAAGGAGTGTGTGTGAGAGATGCGCGAAGGGATGGGCGTATAAGTCGAACGGACAACCCCAGGCCCAGCTCGTTTTTGGCCGATGTGCAATCCATGCAGTAGATGTACCACCTCAAGCAACTTTACTCCCCGCTGATGCATCTCGGCCTCGTCGGCTCCGCACTCACCTTGTTGTCGAACTTTGCCGGGTCCTGGAGCACACGGCCGACGACGGCGTAGCGCTTGGCGCCCATGAAGCGCTTAGCGGCGGCGGGGATGATTTTGATGGTGTGGGGGTCGACGTGGCCCATGGTGCTGTTTTGTGGTGTGGGTGAGGTGAGGAGAGGAGAGTGAGGCGGATGAGTAGAGTCGAGGGACGAGAACGAGTTGCGGGATGTGCTGGCGTCACCGAGGATGGAGGCGGATGAGGCCCCACCGGGTATGGCATTCGGCCTCGCCTAAATTAATTCCGGGCTGCCGGTAAGAGGACAGCTGTCACCATCGATTCCTATTAGCATTCGGAATTGAGAGGGCCCTTGGCTAATCAGTGGTGGCATCGTGGGAAAGTGTCCGTAACAGTGAGAGGGGAGCTTGCGATGCGAGAGCGAGAACGAGAACCAGGACGTTCAAAGACAATGGCAAGCAGTCAGCCACGGGAGAGTAATCTGCTGTAGACGGGTATGATACGAAAAGAGGCTTGGGTGGGGACATGACAAGATTGAAGGTAGACGGAGTGGGAGGCGGTAAAGGCGCCATGATGGAGAACCCCATCCTCCGCGGTCGGGTCGTCTCGAGATCGGTAAAGTCGCTCTCCCCTCACTGCCGTGCAATGCGTCGGTGGCTGCGCACTGAATCTCGCTTGGGTGTTAGAGTTGACCCGGAGCTGTGACAACCCCGACATCCGTTCTTGAGGCTCAGACCAGACCGTGTGGAAGCCACTACTTCGTGTGGCATGCGGACTGGAGGTACTACCAGTCTCACGCTGCGTTCTCATGACGATGCAACTCCTGCTTTCTGCCCAATGCCAAGGGCCCCGGTTCAGCCATGGCGATATCGCGTGCAGGTCGGCCGGGCAGCACGCGGATCAACGTCCAGTTGATCCTTCCATCCTCCGTCTGTGCCTTACTAAACTGACATCAGCGCGCCGTACCTCTCGATCAGCAAACATTCTGCACTCTTCCGCTCCGAACACACCAATGATAGTCGTCGTCGGCGAGACAGCTGCGCAGGTTCATCTGGATGTGTAAGTCAAGGAACCGAATATGCTTCAGCAGACGACATCGGATGGCTGCCCCACATGTGGCTACCGCACAAACATCACCATCCTACAGTCACTCCCGGATGGAATCACGTGCCGAACCCCATCCCCAGCGCCTCCTCGCGGTGCTAACACCTCACACCAAGAGTGGATGCATTCATGCCTCGCAGCCCCCGATGTCATGCCAGAGTGCCACCGCCCTCGTTTCAGAACCAACCTTGCTTGGAAGGCCGGATCTTGCCCCCGACAGTCCTGAACTCGCCATGTGGACTCAGGTCGGCGCCGGCGCGGGATTTGATAAGATTTCTTGGCGGTGGGCCCCCATGTGGTTTCTCAAAGCGCAAGAAGCAAGTCCTTAGCCACGTAACTAAGCCAGCCCACTCAACGGCGACCCAACTAATGAACTGTACATCGCCAAGACAAACTACATGAGGCATGACGTCGTTTAGCCTGCTGATGGACGGTTCCGCATGGACACGGCTTGGCGACGACGAACACTCGTCTGTTCAACGTTCTGCCGCTACTCTAACCATTGACATCGAGCTGGAGAGAGCAGGCACCATGTGGTCTCGTCTTGGCGGTGGGCGTTGCGCCTAACGTCGAGTGATGTCTCGGTCACAGCAGCGCTCGACGCAGCTCACGGTGCCCCTGCTCCGGGGAACTCTGAGCCCCATCCCAATGGCCCCAGTGAGCCCCAGTCCACTCAGCTGCCCATCTCATCCGGCGAGCCGGCCCCCGCCCTCCTCGGCCCACTTGATCTGGATCATTCAGACCAGACATAAAAGGAGGCGAGCGCTCTCTGACTTCCCCATCCCTCAACACAATGCGCATCGCCTACTTTGCTCTCCTTGCGTCTCTCGCCTCGCAGGCTGCGGCCTATGCCCCGGTCGACGAGCGCGGCCTCGCCTCGCCCGTCCTCGACGTCCGCGCCCCCCACCTGGACTTTGCCCCAATGCACCTCGCTCGCGACAATGACGGCAAGCACTCTTCGCCCCAGACCAACATGTACGCGGCCGCCGACCCTAGCGGTGCCGACGCCGCCATCTTCGGCGTGCAGAGCACCGAGAGCGGACCCAAGATTCTTGCGACCGGCCTCTCCGACGAGCGCAAGGCTGCCATTGAGGCCCTTCTCCCCGCAATGGGCGTGAGCGGCAGCGCCGGAAGCATCACCGCTATTCCCGGCGCTGAGGGTGACCCAGCCAAGGTCCTCATGCTCACTGGTGTCGGCAAGGAGCTTAATGCTGAGGCTGTCCGCCGTGCGACCGGTGTCGCGACCCGCACTGCCGCCGGCACCGCCAAGGTGGCCGTCATGATGCCGATTGACGACCCCGAGCTTATCCAGGCCGTGGCGGAGGGTGCGTCGCTCGGCGCGTACTCCTTCAACCGCTACAAGACTCAGGGTGCCCGGGACCCAGTTTCCGAGATCGTCATCGTCACCCAGGGCAACGAGGACGCCGTGAACAAGGCCGCCGTCCTCGCCAAGCACGTCAAGGCGGCGCGCGACCTCGCCAACATTCCGGGCGCCGACCTGTACCCCGAGACGATGGTGGACCGCGTCAACGAGGCGGTTGCAGGCTTGAACGGCGTCCAGGTCGAGGTCTGGGACGAGAAGCGTATGGAGGCCGAGGGCATGGGCGGCATCGTCGCCGTCGGCAAGGGTTCCACCCGCCCACCCCGTCTCATCAAGGTGACGTACAACCCCGCCGAATCGCGCGGTCACGTCTCCATCGTCGGCAAGGGCATCACCTTCGACACGGGCGGTATCTCGCTCAAGCCCTCGGCGGGCATGTGGGAGATGAAGGGCGACATGAGCGGCTCTGCGACGGCGCTGCACGCTGTGCTCGCGGCGGCCGAGCTCGGCATCCCAACCCGCATGACGGCGTGGATGTGCATGGCCGAGAACATGCCCGACGGCGGCGCGATGCGCAACGGCGACGTCCTCAAGTTCTACAACGGCAAGACTGCCGAGGTGTGGAACACGGATGCCGAAGGCCGCCTCGTCCTCGCGGACGGCCTGTCGATCGCCACCACCGAGAACCCCGACCTCCTCATCGATGTCGCGACCCTCACGGGCGCGCAGGTCGCCGCGCTGGGCTCGCGTACCGCCGGCCTCATGGGCGACAAGAAGGCCGTTGACGCTGTGCAGGCCGCCAGCACCGCTACCGGCGAGCCATTCCACTTCATGCCCTTCCCCGAGGAGATGTTCGCGGACATGGTCTCCAACACCGCCGACTACCGCAACATCGGGGCTGTCAGCAACGGCGGCATGCAGAAGGGCGGTATCTTCCTCAGCCACTTCGCGGGCGACGCCGGCAACTGGGCCCACCTCGACGTTGCTGGCCCCGCACTCAACTCCGGCGGGCCTTGGGGCTTCACCTCGGCCGAGGGCACTGGCTTCGCCATGCGCACCCTTGTCAAGGTTGCCGAGCAGCTCAACGCTTAGGCTGGCGGTTGAAATTGGAGATGCCGGGAGACGCAGTCTGAAGTAAAGGATTAGAATAGCCGCTGTTATAGTTCATGCACGGTAGTGTCATTTTACACCAGCGGCTACGTTGAGACATGATACGTACATACTGACGGATTTTACCAGCAATATCCCTCCACCAACTATGGCCCCGGGCACCCATTCCCTCGTATCCTTAGGAATTCACGGAAGGGGGGAAGCCGTGCTCGGAACTGCTGTAGGTCGGTTCGAGGGCCTGCGTACAGCCTGGAATCCTACACGAGGCGCTTGTATTCTGCCACGCCTAGGAGAGCTCCCAAGATGGAAGCTCAAGTTCAGCGGGGCAAGCTCTGAGTCGTGCTATCGGTAGGATAGGATACAGACGAAACAATTGTTACAGTACGTCTACAAAGTAGAGGTATTATATACAAGTTGGTACGTCTAGAAAAACTGCAGAACTGCAGCACAGTGAAGAGGCTCAGTGTCATGACAATGACATGTACTTCGATATGACTTATTTCGACATGTCGTGACAGATTCCGGGCTGCAAGAAAGGCAGTAGATGGCAATCTTGGAGGCATCCGGGCTGCCCGGGGTACGGTAAGCTCCGGGTAGTGGTTGTAGCGTGGCCTGCTCTGCGATTTTCGTACGGCCCTCAGATCCCATCACCTCGTACGAATCTGTCGCCCTGGTGATCGCAACGATTACCTGGAAGGAACCGTAGAAATAACGCTGCTGGGCGGCGAACTTGGCACCAGCGGTACCCATATCGGTACCGCCTGTCCAGTATCGTCACATACACTGGCGACGTTGTGAGTGAGCATACTGACAAAGGAAGGTACACAAGGTCAAACCACTCAAGCGTACACGGACAAGTCTTGATGAGCTGCAGAAGAGAGTGTGGTAATGCCTTGTTGAAGAATGGTAGAGGAAATGCATGACAGTGTACGAAAGAGATATACGAGCAGTACAATGCAGATATAGAGATCACTACCGAGTCTGCTAGAGCGATCCCCCTTATGTAGCCGTCCTGTGAGGTAGCGGCATGACGTGCGTATCGCGGAGTCTACATTCGGGTATCCTCCCAGGTAAAGTCTTCCTGGCAACAATTCGATCAAGCCTAAGCCGGCGACACTCCGCAAGCCGGTCCCCTTCCTTGCCCGGACTCCTCGATACGTGCAATGGCAAGAAAATGGATGGAACACCCTCTTGCCTGTCGTCGTGGCGTCCTCGGTCGGGTAGGCTCGTCTGCAGTCCACGAAGCTACAACGTAGCGAACTTCTGAGCCTCCTAGGTAGAACGTTGCAACGAACACTGATTGGCTGCAGTGGGTACATTTTGCAGAGCATCGAGAGCTATCATAGCCCCAGAACACTGCAGCCCCTCAGCTATGGTGTTGGCTCGCAGGTTGCCAAAAGCATCCCACCACAATGCCGATCGATTCTGCAAGGCATCGCAATCAAGATTCAGAAAGTGTGAAGAGTTAGAAACAGCAATTGACATGACCTGCATTGGCCTTGTACTCCCCTGAGACCCACACAACCACAGCGTAAGCCATCCGTCCGTCCAGTTGCTCGTCCAATCTCTCCAACAAAGTTGGGCAGGCTCGCTAGCACGGATGTAGTGCGGGGGATGCCTACCGCCCGATATCTGATGATAGATCAATCTCGCACGCTCGCATTACCCATTTAACTCGCGCTCTGGTTCCTAGCACGTAAGTAGTGCACACGACGGTTAGGCGTCATTGATCATTGAGGCTTTCACATCCATTGTACAGTATCCTCACGATTGCCGATCGTCGATCGGCAAGGAATGTGGGAAATGTGGGGCGCACGTGCAAGGGCCGTGTGGCGTGGATCGACGAACGCAGTGGATTTGCGGGTGCAGATCGACAATCACAGAAGTAGAGGAAAGGGGCTGGGGAGCTGGGGCGCTGATGTACTCCTTCCGCACGTTCGATCGACAGTTGGCACGGGGCCGGAAGATGTGCGCGGCGTGCGACACGGAGGGACCTGAGGAGGAGGACTTCACGACCCTACAACCCCACAACCCCGCGACAGCGTTGGGGTCCGCCGCGTCCATTCTCCCACGGCGGCAAAAGCGAAGCGCCTTCTGGCATCAGGTCGAACTGGGAGTCGAACCCAGGCTACAAGAACTAATGAATCAGAATCTTGTGTACTGACCGTTATACGATTCAACCGATGGTCATGACGGGAGATGAGCCCCAGTGCCGCCGCCCGGCGGCAGACACGCGAGAGATGGGCGGCGACGATGTGGCGGGCGATGAGCTGGTGCATCGGACAGCGGGGCGCTGACGGGGAGCGGGCTGCCAGAGGCTGGCCAATGCAAGCTGGGCGTTACCGAGTGTTCATTCCGTAGTCGAGTCAATGTAAGCCTTTACAGGTGGCGCAAGGCGGCTGGTGGAGTATTATCTGCGGCGTGACAGACAGGCGCACCGATGGCTGCGGCACGCCTGGTGCTGAATATCTCGCGAAGACGCGCTGGGCAAACGGCACAGCTGATCACGTCATCCCATCACGCGCCACTACGCGTTCAGACGTGTTTTAATCTGGCGACATGAGCAGTGCCGAGGCGTCACGACCACGAGCTGGTCAAGACACTGCACGCCGTTTTAGACCGTTTTTGCCTCGCTCTCTTCGCCTTATGTCTGACGACTTCGACTTCGGCAACGCGGCCCCTCGCGGCGACGACTCCTGATGTTTCGTACCCTGTGGAAACTCTGTAGATCGGCAGCGGCATGTCAGTCCATGCCGTTGCTTACGCCAGCACAGGCGGATAGAACAATGTCGACGCGACCGCGACGCGGCGCGGATATGGCATTCCGTCAACCCAGGAAAGACGAGATGCCGCGCTCTGTTAAACATGAGCGGAGGATGAAGCGAACTCCGTTCTCGTCAGCTTATGAAGTGTTTCCACTTTTGTGCTGTGCTTCCGTACTTGGCCCTAAGCCGGGGTCGCGTAAAAGACTGACTTGCAGGACTCCAATGAACACGTCCAGATCTGCGTACGCCGGGCAGCGCCGGTTGATGTCCCGCCATAACCTTGTTACCCTGCAGCGATCTGTCCTGGTGCTGGTCCTTACCATTGAGCTGGCCCAGGGTGTCGGAACGCTCCGGCGTCGCGTCGCTCACGTACCTCTCATGTACCTCAAGTCACGTCCGTGTCCCGATTCCAACTCCTTAGGGCGAGCGAGGAGGGGGAGGGAGGGATGAGGAGAACCAAGCTGCGTCGGGGAGCGTGCGCGGTAATGAGGTGCGAGTTACACCGCGCCATCTCATCATTCGCGCCATCTGTGCGGGGCGCTCGCCATCAATCGACCATACGAGCCACTGACGCACCAACCGTGCAAGTACCAGCCGTTTATAAAAGACCCCCAAACTGCTCACACGAGCATGTGACCGCTGAGTGCAGACCCCATTTCTCGATGCTGTGGGGACGTTTCGCGTTTTGGAGGATGTCTTGCAGTGAGGTTTACGTTGAGGAGGAGTGCACATGACCGTGAGGAGGGCAGACGATGCGGTCATGGCGCAAAGGCGCGAGAGGGAGAGTGGAGAAGAGCCTCGAAGCGGGCCAGAGGCTGGCTGGGCCTCTAGGAGAGGCAAGGGGGAGGGAGCAGAGCCGCCACAGAGATGGATGTGGATGATGTTTATGATGAACTGATCGGAGGTGGCAGATTGGCAGAGGCTAATTCCGGTAATTGCAGTGCTTTGCTAGACACGTCCCATGGGACTCGGTGGCGGGCGGAACCAAACAACTCACCCCGTCAAAGAGTTTCATCCCTGTCTAGGACCCTGAATCCAGGGCAGTCACCTGCGGGCGCTCTGTGGGAGCTGCGGGCTGCGGACGCAGACGACGCGCTTGCTTTTCCTTTTGCTCCCTCCTCTTCTCCTCCGACTCGGTACTCGTACTGCCAATGTCGTCGCTCCACTCCCATCGGTTGGTATGCACATGACAGCAAGCCCTCGCTCTCTCGCTCTCCGGGCAACTTGCCCCTCACTTATCCCTCGCCTGCCCCCTCCCCCGCTCGGAATCTATCGACCCAGCATATGTACTCGTTGTAGCAGGCCGGGTTGTACGTCGAGTGAACAGGCAACAGTGGATGGTGGGAGGGGTTGGAGATGTCACGGCACGACCGAGAGTGACCTTTTCCCCTGATCTTGTCACTTTGCTCTCGTCGCTGTCACTCAACAACCATTTCTCTTGCCTCTTGCTCATACACCGCCTCACGTCTCACACGTCTCACTCGTCTCGCTGCTCAACCTCAACTGTCACCCCTCGCTCACTGTACATATTCCCATTGCCACCGTCTCCGCCGTCCGCTTCGCCCCTTGCTTGTTCATTTCGCAACAAAATACCCCTCTACATCCACTCCATCTACTCCATCCGCTGCATCCGCTCCACGCACTGGCTTGCATCATCTCACGATCTGCATTCGCCAGCGTGTGTATAATAGTCGTCGAGTGCACGGCCCCCCACCCCCCCACGCCACGCACACACACTCCACTCGACTCCACCTCCACCCCCTTCTCTCGGCAATCAGCGCTGGCCGCTTTCGTCAAGCAAAACAACCTCCTTCTGAAATACTCTCTCCTTCACAACAACACAATATCCATCTCATCCTCTGCCCTCGCTCCACTGCTCTTGCCCTGTCCGCCCACACCGCCCGCCCACTCCGGACAACGCACGCCGCTGCTCGGTTCGACTGACGCCACCACCCGCCGTCTCCTGTCCGGTTGTCGCCCTCGAGGTCCGTGATCTCCACACAGACCTGCAGTGACAACGACGAATCTGTGCCTCCCGTTGCGCAAGGACGCAAGAACACTGCTTCTCGCTCCTTCTCCCTCTCTCTGCCCCCCACTGCCCGCCCCCCGCCGCCTCCCGGACGCCTACCGCCTGCCGCCGGTCTCGCTACTCTCTCCTCGATCCATTCCTTGCACCACACTTGGTTGATACCTCTGCGAGCAAAAGTTTCTTGTCAGCGCGCTCCACAACAAAGACAACGTACCACTTCAACGTCCGGCATACCGGTCACCTCGACAACCCATAAAAGTCTTCAGCGTTACAGTCACAGTCAAGCTCTTCACCTGCTTCAAAAGGCCTCCTACCGCACACCAGCACTATAATGGTCGGCAGGTTCTCGCTCCCGAGCCTGCCGAGCATCCCGGCACTGTCGGATCTGCTCGATACTTCGCCCCAGGTCTTCTATCCACCCTCACGCCCCGCCTCGCGCTCCTCGACAACCGCAACATCCACCGTCTCCTCGTCGACCGTCTCATCATGTCCATCATCGCCCCGCCGGCGACCGGTGCCGTTCCCGGATGACCGCAGCGTCCCTCCATTGCCACCACCGCCGTTCTGGGCTGGTGCAGCACATCCGCATACGGACGCACCACTTGGCGCGCGCGAGAAGCCAGTCAGCCAACTGCCTCGGCGGTTGTCGTCTTTGGACCCAGCCGGCGAACAGCAAAGACGGCCGATGCGCCCAAGTCACCGGAGAAGTCATAGCGCCGCCCCCACGTCCTTCACGTTTGCACCTTCCACAGCGCCACCATTGCGCGTCGAGACGCGCGGATTACACCCGTCTGCGTCAGCCGCCTCCCTCCCAACTCTAGCTGAGGACGATGCCGCAAGCGCAAGCCCGAGCGTGCTTATGCCTCCACCACCTATCGAAACTGAGCGGCCAGCGAGAGGACACAGCAGACGCTGGTCGTGGATGGAGCCGGCGCCTATGGAGACTGCGCGCCGTCGAGCCCAGTCGAGCGTGACAATGACCAGCGTTCCCGGCATTGGGACTTTCGTCGAGCCCCCGCTCCCAGAACGTCTGCGGCGGAGACACTCGCAGATCGTCGGCCTCCCGAGCGCCCCGGTTCTATCGAAACCTCCGACACCAGTGTGCCCTCCGACTGTTCGCTCACGCCGCGGCAGCATTGCTTCTATCACATTCCCAGACGGGGTGGTGGCTTCACCAACACCAGTGCAGTCCTCTATAAGCGTGAGCGACGTGGCGGCGCTCGCCACCTGGTCCGAGGAGCCGGTGTCGCCGAAGCCTTCCCGGCGGCGCGACTCGGTCGCCAGTCCCAGCGAGAGCCTGCGCGCACGCCTGCGCACACTCAGCAAGCTTGAAGGACGAGAGTGCCCATCCACGCCACCACGGCGGCGCAACACCCTCGCGTCACCGCACAGCACAAACGTCACCCCCGGACACGGCACTCCCGCGACGCCCGGCAGCTCGACGCCCACGACAAGCTCGCACTCACACATGCCGCCGCCGTCGCCGACGCCGACACGCCGTCGCATCATGCATCGGCACACACTCTCGCTGCCGTTCGGCGAGGACTCGCGGCCCACGACGAGCCGGCTGCGTCAGCCCGCGCAGCTTTCCATGGCGCCGGGACTTGAGGACCTGCCGCACCGCCCCCGCTCGCGCCCCGTGAGCATGCTCGGCCCGCCGTCGCCCCTCCTCGCCTCGTCCCCCGGCAGCCTCGTGAGCGACACCGGCTCGTCCTCGCCGACTGCGAGCATCGAGAGCCTCACCCTCTCGCCCGCGTGGCTGAACCTCAACCTCACGCTGTCGGCACAGCAGAAGCGCTCGAGCGTCAGCTCGGAGCGCAGCCGCGAGCGCGAGCGTCACGCGAAGCGCAGCTCCATTTCCAGCATCGCGTCTGCCGCGTCACGCCGCGGATCACATGCCAGCGCGTACGACTGGCGCCGGCCGCCGCCGTCCGTCGCCCCCCGCCCGTCCGTGTCTGTTTCGGACGAGGCTGAGGGCGAGCGGTTCCTCGACTTTGATGATATTTAAATTGCGCTTCCTGTCCATTTCTTTACCTACACGCACGTCACGTTGTTGTACATGACCCCCACGATTGAATGCATGTTTGTCACTCGGCAGAAGGGAGGATTCATACATCTCCGTGGGCGCACAGACGGCTGACCCCGCCAGAAGTCAGAAGCCAAGCGCGGACACGTGTGAAGCGCTACTCACTTGAAAACATACACACACGTAGACAACACTACAACGCGGAGCAACGTAGGGCAAGATACACAGCGACTACTTCTTGGGCGATTTGAAAAATGAGGTGATCGACTTCTGCCCGCCCTTGTCCTCCTGCGGTGCGGGCCGCGCAACCTTGGTCTGTCTCCCCCCGCGGCGCTCAGCCTCACGCTTACGCTTGCCTGGAGCGCCCTGTGAGCTCTGCGAGCCCGCCAACTCGGCGTCGACGTCAATCACCTCCGGTGTGGGGTTGACGTCGAGACGGGACTCGGGCTTGGCCTCGTCCTGCGAGGCCTCGAGGGTAGGCTTGGCGTCGGGCGTGATGGTGGGCGAGGCGTCTGCCGCAAGATCTGGCTTCGCCTCCGATTTGATGTGTGGCTTGTCCTCCTCCTTCGTATCTGGCTTGGCCTCCGCCTTGACGTCCGGTTTAGCCTCTGCTTTGACAGTGGGTCTGACCTCCTCCGCCTCTCCCATCAGGTCCGCCCTCGTGACGGGTTTCGGTGGCGGCTTTCCTGGCGCCGCCGATGCCTTCTTTGGCGACTGCTTCGCAAAGAAGCTCTTGATCCCGTCCTTCCTCTCTGCTACGGGGAGTATGTACGAGGGGTCGCTCTTGCCGATCTTCCCTACCTCTGGGACAACAGGATACCTTTTGTCAGCTCTAGACCACACGGCTGGCAGAGACTCACGCCGTAATGCCCTTGTAGCTGACAAGCAAGTCGGCCGTGCCGCCCTTGCCCTCCTTCCACCCCTGTGGCTCGACCCCGAGATCCAGCCAGCGTTCCACATCCTCCTCACTCGTGAGGATGCACGGCATCCTGTCGTGCAGCCAGGCGATGTCGCCCGCTGGTACCGTCGTAAGGATCGTGAATGTGCTCAGCGGCACGGGGTTCCCGGTGGGATAAGGTTCCCGGTCGTCGTCTGGCCCCGGCACGAACTTGGACGGTACGGGGTCGACGTAGGTGACGGAATCCCACAGCCCAGCGAAGAAGAGTATTGGCGGCTCGCTCGCCTCGCCACCTTCGGGAAGGGGAAGGCGGGCAAAGTGCGCGACCTTGGAGCTCCCCTTCTTCTGCCACTCGTAATACCCCTGTGCCGGGATCACGCAGCGCTTGTATCCTTTAAGCGCGTGCCACATCCCAACCGACGACGGGTCGATGAGCGCCTCGGAGCGCGCATTAATCGTGTTCAGCGGCCCGGTTGGTGGGTGCTTGGTCCAGTGCGGGATGAGGCCCCACTGCATGGTCTCAATCATCGCCCCTCCAGTCGCGGGGTCGCGGCGGAGAACGGGCGCCCGCTGTCGGGGAGCAATGTTGTAGCTGGCGTCAGAGCTGAGAGAGACAGGCGGAACTTCACCTCGGCCAGAAGTCACGTTCGCGCTCCCACTTCAGCCCACAGGTGCAAGCCACTTCTCCTTCCGGGCCGCCGCCTCGCAGGCGCATCGGGCGTGACCCTTGACCGCCGTCGTCATCATGGCCGTCGCCGTCGCCGTCGAAGCGCCGGGCGCGGAAGAGACGGCCATACTGCCCCTGCAAGTCGTTGAGAAAGGCGAGGTGCGCTGCGCCCATTGCGTAGCGTCCGCACATTGTGAGTGTGAGTCAGTGAGCTTTGAGCCTCGAAGGGAGATGAGAAGGAGGAGGTGCCGACATTCCTCGACGCGTCCGGTACAGTCACCCCAAGTGGAGGTGCGGAGAACGCGGAGAACGAGGATGTCCACTCCGCCCACGTGCAACGTCATTCCAAGCCACGGCGTAGCATGACGTCAACGAAGATGTGCGCACACCATGCTCCACTCGTAACGCTGACGCCGAGCGCCGAGGTCATCGAGCTGCGCTTTCGAGCAGCCCGCTCGCCACTCAGCTAGCAGCATATATGGTGAGCGCACACAGAACCTCGATTCCCATCTCCTCTCTCATCTTCATCTTTTTCTCAATCTCTCATCAACTTTACTCAACACCAACCAAGCACCATGTCTGACCTCGGCCGCCGTGACTTTAAGGACAAGGTGGGACTACCTCCTCATTCAGCACTGACTCCAGATCGCCGCCAAGCTTAAGCCTGAGAGCCAGAAGACCTTCACCGAGAGCGCAGGCGACAAGGCTGCCGGCAAGATGGACGCCGCCGCGAGCCGAATGCAGCCGCAGCACCACAAGAGCCTCACGCAGAAGATCGGGGACGCGTTCACTAGGGACAACTCGAACCGCCGTGCGGTCTAAACATGTGCCGCGTCTCGGCAGTCCCGTTATGCTCACGCCTGGTCGGTGGATCTGCGGAGGATAGTAGCGAGTCGGTATAATCGCGGAGGATAGGTCCGAGGACGACAGTTCGTTTCATGTCTATTTATGCAGATTGAGTTTTACGGCCTGGAGCCCATCACGACCTATCTCGATGAGACGGGTGATGCTGATGGCGAGCGGGGCTTCTCTGCGGCACGAATGGCGGGGAGGGGAGAGGGGGGAGTTAGTGATAGGAACGGACATGGCTAACTATACCACGATGCCCGTCAACGACGCAAGCGAGTGCCGGGGGAATCGCCGAGGCCCCGAGGGATAGCCGAGGGATAGCGAGCGAGGAACCGGCATGGCGAGCAACATGATGCACGGTAATGCGGTAGTACGGGTGTTCGGTGCAGGGATTAGACACTAGTAATATGGGAGGTTGGCAGCTATATTACAGGTGTACAGACAACCGCGCTATACCCAGTGTCCGTGTGATCGCGTGTGCCTCGTGTGACTCGGCCTACTGCCGGACATGCCGTGCACGGGGTGCGGCCAACCGTGCGGGACTTCCAATGTTCTATGCACCGTACATCCGGTAGATCGCCTGGCCGCGTCCAGACCACATCATCAGGTGATCCACATCCGTGCCAGTCATGCCAGTCAGCCATAAAGCCATGGCGCCGCCGGATCCCGGAGCAATGATGCAGCACTTGTTTGATCCACCTCATCTTTAAACGCAGCACGCGGCACGCGGCAACGCTCGCGCCCTCCTCGCCTTCCCCGTCGTTCACACTTCGCCCCAGCCGCCCCGAGGTCGAGCATTCCATATATTGTCCCACCGCCGTGAACTGGCCATCCGTCTCTCTTTATCGTCCTCTCTCCTTCTCGTCCTTTCCTCGACTTTACGATGGCAGACTACTCCAACGCCGAGATCTCCTCCCACACAAAACCCGCCCTCATCAACTATGTCGCGGCCATCTTTGCAGCCATAGGCTCGTTCCTCTTTGGCTATGTGCGCCCAACCCCCTCCCTAACAAGGCTGACAGCAGGACTCGGGCATCATCGGCAGCGTGATCAGTGAAGGCTACACCCATTTCTGGGACTACTTCAACCCCAGTGACAGTGTGAAAGGCGCCATCGTCTCCGTGTTTGCGGGCGGGGCATTCTGTGAGCTCGACTCAGCCGGTCTCTTCCATGGGCCGACCGCTGATCCCAGTCGGAGCACTAGTTGCAGGCCAAACCGCCGACCGCATCGGCCGCAAGCGCACGATCCAGCTTGGCTCCCTTATCGCCATCATTGGCTGCACACTCCAGACTGCGGCGATCAACAACGCAATGCTCATCGTGGGCCGTCTCATTGCTGGCCTATCCATCGGCGTCCTCTCGATGATTGTGCCCGTCTACCAGGCAGAGCTCTCGCCACCACACGCGCGCGGCCTTCTCTCAGGATGGACCCAGTTGATGATCTCGGCGGGCTTTTTCGTTGCCAACTGGGTTGGCTTCGGTTGCGAGAAGATCAATGGGCAGGCCCAATTTCGTGTACCTCTTGGCATCCAGATCGTCCCAGCAGTATTCCTTCTCTTGTAGGTCTTCGTCTTCTGACCTCCTGGGAGTCCACTAACACCAGGGGGATGTTTGTCCTGCCCTACTCGCCCCGCTGGCTCGCCTCCGTTGGCCGCACCGACGAGGCACGCGACACTCTTATCCGACTGCACGGCGGGCGGCGGAATGCGCGCCTCGACGTGGTCGAGGCCGAGGTTCAGAAGATGCTCGCTCAGATCGAATGGGAGCGCGAGAACGTATCTACCAATTACCTTGATCTCATTCGCAACCGTCCTAACCTTCACCGTACGCTCTGTGGCGTCCTTGTCCAGGCCATGTGCCAGTGGACGGGCGTTAACGTGAACAACTACTACTTCTCGACTATCTACGGGATGCTCGGCTTCAGCGGGACGCAGCAGCTCATGATCTCTGGCATCTCGGGCGCCTGGGGCATGATCGTGACCTGGATCTTCATCACATTCATCGTCGACCGCATCGGGTGGGTGATGCTTTTGAGCTGAAGTTAAGAATTCGAGGCTGACTCCAGACGTCGCAGACCGCTCATCATCGGTTCAGTGCTGCTTGCAGTCTGCATGGCGCTGCAGGCCGGTACAAACGCGCCGTTCTCGAATGCCAAGTCGCGTGGCGAGACGTACGCCAACAAGAGCATGGGCATCGCCGGCATCTGGGCCGTCTTCATGTTCTCGTGGTGCTTCTCGTGGTCCTTCGGCCCCGTGAGCTGGATCTACCAGTCTGAGATCTTCCCCATGCACATGCGCGCGCTGGGAACAAGCGTGTCAACGGCCTCCAACTGGTGAGCACAGCGCTGATTAGGAGCGAGCTGACAGCAGGCTTAACAACGTTATCATCGCTCAGATCACGCCCTTCGCATTTGCCAAGCTCGGCTGGCGTTACTTCCTCGTGTACGCGTGCACCTGTGTCAGCAACGCCATCGTCTCGTACTTCCTCTTCCCCGAGACCAAAAACAAGACGCTTGAGGAGATCGGGTTGCTGTTTGTGAGTTCCCCTCGATCTTTAGCGTGGCTGCGCTGACAATCAGGGCGACAAGGACGTGTACGTCCATCGCCCGACACTGGAGAACGAGAGCAAGTCGTCGGTTGAGCATGCCGAGCACATCTCTGCTTGATGGACAACCTGAAGTGGACATTAGTAGCGTACATTGTGATCATGTGTGTTTTTGTAGTGCAGAAGACGTAGCGTGTGAGTGCATTGTGTGTGGTGGTGGGCATCAAATCGCAGTGGATAGCTCCACGAACTTGCCGTGCTTGTCAAGCTCTGGCCCAGCAGCTGACAGTTTGGTGTCACCAGTTGCTGTATCGCCGGATCGCCGGCACGCCAGCCGCATGTTCTTCCGATAAACTGCATCCTTACGGTGCATAGCACCCCCTCAGCTTCGACCGTCCTAGAGCGCAGCCTCAACGTCCGAGACCTTGGTCGAGCGGGCAGGGAACCACTGGATTTTGCCTCCAGGCCGAATGAGGAACTTGGAGAAGTTCTAGCATGAGCTCCGTCCTGCAGCATTCTCACCCAGTCGATGTCCTGGACGGGCGGCTCGGCATGGCTCTTGAGGTACTGGAACAGCGGCGTCGCCTCGGGGCCATTCACGTCGCCCTTGCGCGCAATGGGGAAGGTGACGCCGTAGTTCCCCTGGCAGAAGAGGAGGATCTCGTCGTCCGTCCCCGGCTCCTGCGCCTTGAACTGGGGTCAGCGCCTCCGTCTCGCCCCTCTCTCTCGAACACGGCAGCACCCACCTGGTTGCATGGCTGGCCGATGATCTCGAGCTTGCCGGCATACTTCTCGCTGAGCGCCTGCAAATCCTTGTATTGCGGGGTGAGGCCGCAGCGGCTCGCGACGTTGACGATGAGGATGTTTTTGTCCTTGTGGTCGCCGAGCTTGAGCTCGCCCTTGGACGTCTGGAGCTGGGGTTAGCGGAGAGAGCGCTGCAGCGCACAGAGTACGAGTACACGTCGGCCATGGTGCGGTAGGCGCGGGCGAGGCGGGATGGGAGGCGTATGGATGGGCGGAGAATGGCGACGGCGAGTGCTGAGACAGTGAGCGTGATGAGCGGAACGCACGTCATCTCTGCTCATGACATGAGTGACCGCCGGTGGAGGCCGAGGCCGAGCAATCTGCCCCCGGCCGGAGCCACGTGACATTATTTGAGCTGCCACGCCACGTCCCTGCCCGTCCCAATATCGCGATCATCTCAACCTCCGTCTCTCCATCATAATCACCATGGTACGTGCCGGCGTGCGCGACGTAGCGACGGCAGACCGCTTGCTGATCCCAGGCCGACGTTAAGCGCCCTACTTCGCCCGGATCCGCCGCCTCGGGCTCGGCCTTTGCCGTTGCGCGCCCGCACGGCGCCAACGCCGTCCGGTGAGTCCTAGTCGCGCGAACGCGTGTCGGAGTAGGAGTCGATGCTGACGCTGTCCTCTTCTGATATCGCACTGCGTTGATTGCTGCACCCCGTATTCCTCCACGTCTCCGCCTTGCCTTCGTCGTCTGGTCGCATGCCGCGTCCGTCGCTCGCCTTCGCTTCATCACGTTGTGCCCTCACTCGCGCGCCCTCGACGACTCCAATCCCCGCGTCATTCGCGCATTCGCGCCCCTCGAACGCTACCCCCTGCTTCGGATCCGCATGCAGTCGCCGTGCCCCCGCTGCCCCCCGTCCAACGTCGGCGCGTGCGGCCGGCGCCGGCGGCTCGAGCAACACCATGCTCAAGCTTTACACTGACTCCGGCGATGTTGGCCTCAAGGTGTGAGTGTTGTGCGATACAGAGAGAAGCCACTTCTGCTGCCAGTCCGCTCCCAATTTTGTTTTCCGCCTTGCTAACCCCAGCGACCCCTTTGTCGTCATTGTTCTCGCACTCTCCTTTATTGCGTCCATCTTCTTCCTGCACATCGCCGCCAAGATTGTGCGCGTTTTCACGAGCTAGATCTGGGTTGTACATGCATTCGTTTCGTGGCTTCTAGACCACGGGGTACAACGTTGTCACAATCTTTGACGAGCTGATTCTCTGATGACCTCTAGGTCTATCCTCTAAACGTCGTCCGCGATCCGCGAGCAACTCAGCGGTTCATGACTTGCTGCAGCAAGATGCCCGCCCCGCGCAGCAATCCTCGTTCCCCTTCAGGCACGCTGTCGTCGATCTCGACACGCCGGTTCCAGCCCATCGCCTCGGCCTCGCCGTCGTCCTCGTTGCTCTCAGCCATTGTTGCGAGCGGCCCCTGTGGCTGTACCACACCAGGAAGAGAGTGCCACTTCATCTCGGGAGACGTCGATGGCGGTGAGCGGATTGTCTTGCCGGGGTGAACGCCCAGTCCCAGCCCCCGACCCCCATGGTACATTGACGCCCCAGCGCGGGGCGCGGGCTGCCCAGAGTGGGGTACAGCCGCCATTAGCCGATCGAGGAAGACCGACGACGATGGGTCGCTGGGCTGCCAGTCTGGATGCGTGGCCTTGAAATGCAGGAAGCTCTTCTCCATTTTGTTGTCGTTAACGTTGCGAGCAGGCGCGGGAGGAGCTGTGGGCGGGGCGGCCGTCGCGGGTCGAGCGCTCAATCGCCTCCCCATACCAACAGGCGTTGTCTCCTCCACTGCAGCGGCTGCCGCAGCAGCTTCCGGCCCGATGTTGCCAGGCCGATGGAAGTCGAAGACGGCAAAAGAACACACAAAGCCGAGGTCCTCGACGTGCACTGTGAACTCACGGAAAAAGTCGATGATTGCGCCGCTGGATGGTGCCAGGCTGAACCAGAGGATGAAAGGGGTCAGGAGGACCGAGACAATCTCCTGGACAAAAATCATGACCTTGAGCGCAAATAGCTGGCCAAAGTCCGCCAGCACAGTCGGCGAGTGTAGTTTGCCTTCCCACTCGAGTGGAAGGTAATGCGTGTATCGAACAACTTCGCGCATGAGATATTCCGGGTCGAAAACAAGGGTGTCCTCGGGAATCATTCCGCGGGCAACGGCCATGATGATCCCAAAGATGCCAAGGTAAAAGACGACAGATCGGTGCGGCGTGATCTCGAAATTGAGCGCCAGGTCGGTGTCGAGGATGGATACGACAGCGAGCACGGCGGCAAACGCGCCTGCAATGAAAGCGACAAAGCTGGAGTCAGTCAGAGTACCGAGCCGCGCACTTACCGCATCACTAATGCGGTGCGCTCCTTGGGGAACTGATCAATGTACTCCTTCGCAATGGGGTAGCTCTGGTTAAGGCGGCGTTCAAAGAGATGAGGAAGCTCGTTGAACTCGCGGAACTTCCACTGCGCGTAGAGGGTGTACTGCCGGCCGCCCATGGAGGAGGGATTTTTGTGATACTCCTGCACCGTCAGCCCGATGGAGAGGCAATACAAAGCTTACCTCGAAGTAGCGGAAGAAGGAGTAGACGAGGATGTACAACACGATCACCGGCGCGAAAAGAAGATTAAGCACGCCCGCAAGGGCAAAGCGGCGTTGAAGACTATGGTCAGCTCCCGAGAATAATGCCTTAGCTCACATCTTGACCAGATCTTTGCGGCCCTTGCCATGCACCACCTCCTTGCGCACTTCGCCCGTGGGCCCGAAGAGGAACGAGAACAAGCAAACCCGGAGATTGTGCTCGAGGGCTAAAGTGAGGACGTTCCCTCCGAATGTCAGGTACTGCATCTCGTCCATTCCGGCAGTCTTGGGAAGCGTTGCCTGTGGAGGTCCTCGAAGGAGGGCAGGCGGGAGGACTTTTCGCACGGATGCGGGCAGCGGGATGCGCACGCGTAGATCCAACAAGTCCTTGTTGAAAAGCGCGATGAGGTAGTTCTCTTGACGCATGACACGGCTGGTATCAGCGCACGGCCCCTTGAAGAGCTCACTTGGCGATGTCATGCGCGTCTAGCTTGGCCTTTGGCTCCCCGCGGCCTACCATAGTCACCAGTGCATTGGCACCGCCATTAGAAAGCGAGGTGACAGGGTTGTCCTTCTTTACGTCGTTGATAAGGCGCACGATCGTAGGCCACGGCACGGTCTGGATGTCGGACTGGCATTAGCCAACCATTGTGGGATTTTGGGCTTACATCTTCCACGCCGAGCAAGTAAGTGTAGAAGCGCCACAATGCGTTGAGGCGCGGGATGTTTCGGATAAAGAACATGAGGCGCAGCACGAAGAACGCACACCCGGAGATGAAGAAGACCCAGTTAAAAAAGCCGCCGCTGTCGTCAGCCAAGCAGCTCACTATTTCCGCTGCTCAGCTTACCGTATCATGCACCGGCTAACAAGGACATCGTTGAGCCGCCCATGCTCGCCAAAGTCTGAGTGAAAGCTGAGCAGCCGCCCATAGTCGACGCAGCTCGTAAGAAACTTGAAGAAGCCGATCACGAAAGCGATCGTACTACTGTCAGCTGGTTCGACTATGACAGCTCACATCAAGTTGAGAACCTGTGCGAGCACGATGCACCAATACCCCTTGTTCTTGTAGTACTCGTAAACTTCCTGGAGGAAGGCATCGAGGTTAACCACATTCGCCCACGCCCACAGCGCCTGATTGTACTCGCTCAACCCTGCCTTCCTCACGCTCGGCCTTGACCGGTCAGGCTCGCCGCTGGGCACGGAGTAATACTTGTGCTTTCCTCGTCCCTTAGCCCGCCTGGAGGGTCCCGGAGTGGGCGGAGTGGGAGGATGAGGTGGGGCGGGGTCGGAAGTGCTGCTCGGAGTTGGAGGCTCGGTTGACACCGTGGCGGTGGAGGCGTGTGACTCGACGCGGTGCAAGTCCTGTAACGGCGCTTTGGGCCGCTCGGGTGACCCTCGCCGGCTGGGACTCGAGCTACTGGGACTTGGCCGCCGTCTCCATGGTCCCGGCGAAGGACTTGTAATGCGCCCCTTCCCCTTTATGGCACTCGCCTGGAAGAGCAGCGACCGCGGCGGTTCGTCGTCGCTGCTCGTGTCCTCGGCGGGATTCCTCCCAAAGGGGTCGCGCGGCGTCGGTGTCGGTGATGTCGGTGGCGAGCGAGTCACCGTATCACTCTGCAGTTCACGGAGCAGTTCTGTGCTCGGCGAGTCCAGGGGGTCAAGAGGGACCCTATCCCTTGACTGTGAGCGGTCGCGGGGATAGGATGACTGGGCGACGGAGGCGTAGGGGTTGAGGAGATTGAGGAGGGAGTTTGCCGGAGGGCTGGGCATTGTCTCCTCGTTACACGGGCTACGGAGCGGTCGATGGATGGCAGATGACGAGAGGGATGGCGCTTGGTGGCGTGGAGAGACATAAAGACGACGCGACTCGGTGGCCACGCTCGCGCGGTTGCTGATGGTATGGATGGTGACGCACCCCGCGGGGTCGGGTGGCAAATGACGCTCAGCTCACGCGAGGTTAGGCGTACCAGTCCCTTTCTCATCTGCGTGCCTAGATTGATTAGGCGTCCGACGCGTCGCGCGAGATGAGCTGGATGACTGTATGCGCGTCTGATGATTTGGTCTTGACCTTCCTTCAACTCCGCTCACATCGATCACATCTCGAGTATGACAGAAGCCATGGACATCGACGAGCCCACACCGGCGCCGGCTCCACCCGCCAACGCCATGGCAGCGCTCATGGCTGGTGCTAAGGCTAAGGGCAAGCAGAAGGAGACCGCGGTGGACGCGCGCGAGGGCCTGCCATGGTGCGTCATCACATTGACTGGGCATCGGGGTGAGCTGACAACAGGGTTGAGAAGTATCGTCCGGAGAGCCTCGACGATGTTGTATCGCACCAGGACATTACTGCTACATGTGAGTAACTTTGTGACGACATGGCTGACGACAGTGGAGAAGTTCATCGAGGCCGGCCGATTGCCACATCTCCTTCTCTATGGGCCACCAGGTGAGATCCTCAGCGACTAACGAGGCTGACAGTCTAACGGTAGGTACTGGAAAAACGTCCACGGTGCTCGCACTCGCACGTCGACTATACGGCCCAACATTCAGGAAGCACATTCTTGAGTTGAACGCGTCCGACGACCGCGGCATCGACGTCGTGCGTGACCAGATCAAGAGTTTTGCGGCGACCAAGGTGCTCTTCTCGTGAGTTGTCCTGTGCAACAGCGCTAACGCCCAGCAAAGGTGGTTTCAAGTTGATCATCCTCGACGAAGCAGACATGATGACCCAGGCTGCACAGGGCGCCCTCCGCCGGGTCATCGAGCAGCACACAAAGAACGTGCGGTTTGCGATCCTCTGCAACTACGTGAACAAGATCACACCGGCCATCCAGAGTCGTTGCACGCGTTTCCGCTTCTCCCCGCTGCCAGAGAAGGAAGTGGCGCGTAAGGTCGATGAGGTGGTTGAGAAAGAGGGCGTCACCTTGACAGCGGACGGGCGGGCAGCGCTGCTGAAGCTGGCGCGCGGCGACATGCGCCGTGCACTCAACGTGCTCCAGGCGTGTCATGCTGCGTATGACAACGTCGACGAGACGGCTGTGTACAACTGCACGGGCAACCCCCACCCAGAGGACATCAGGGCGGTTGTAGAGAGCATGATGTCTGACGAGTTTGGGACAGCATTCTCCCGTGAGTTACTGCTGCAGCACTCGCTAACAGAAGGCATCACGGCTCTCAAGGCCGAGAAGGGTCTCGCACTGCAAGACCTCATTGCGGGCGCTTACGACTTCCTAGAGACAGTTGAGCTGCCCGTTCAGTCGCGAGTGTACCTCCTCGACCATCTCGGGCAAGCAGAGTACGTTCCCTGCGCCGGATGCGCTGACGCAGACATCGCTTGTCTCTCGGTGGCTCAGAGAAGATGCAGCTTTCGGCATTGCTTGGCGCATTCAAGGTCGCCGTCGAGCTATCGCAGAAGAAGGCGTAGATCCGGCTTCAACTGTATATGCATGCACACTGTAACGTACAATCGACCTCATTACACAATTAGGCTGGCACTAGAACAAGAAGTCGTCGTCGTCGACCGTCGCTAAGAACGATGGCGCACTGTCGTCACGGAAAAGACCGCCGCTCCGAGGTGGGGCTGGGCCAAGCGAGCCCATACCGCCGAGAGAGCCGCGGAACTTGGAGAACTCCGATTGCAAGTCGCGGTTGCTCCCACGCATGCTCATGCTGAGCTTGCTGAGACGAGTGACCTTCGGCCCAAAGTCGGCGTCGAGACTCTCCCGCGCGGCTTTGGGGAAAGCCTCAGAGTCCAGCGTGGGCAAGTCGTCGTCCTCTCCTTCCCCTTCTCCTTTTAGCGCTTCCGAGATCCACTGGATAATGGCATTGACCTTGGCCTCGGCCACGTTGCAACGCATCGCCATGTTCTTGTTGCTCTCCGTGAGCATGCGGCAGTTCTCGTCGAGACGCAGCGCATACACCGTCTTCACGCGCATCTTCTCCTCGAGCCGCTGGTACTTGTCTGTCCACTCGCGCTCGACATCTTGCTTGACCTTGCGCGACGGTTCGCGCAGGTGTCGCTCGTAGTCGGCCGCAATCATCCGCAGCTGACTGACCTCCTCTTGTAGTTCGAGAATTTTGGCGTTGGGCTCCACAGGCCGGGCGTCCAGAGCAGCCTTCAGTCGCTCGATCTCCTCAGCCTGTTCTTGGGCCTTCAACTCCGCCTCATGCAGCTGCTCGCGGAGGATGGCCTCCGGTTGCGCCATATCGACATGGTACTTCAACTTGGCAGGGCTGAGAGGTCGTGCGGCGGGAGTGCCGGGCACGGCCAGATTGTCGACAGAGGACGAGGTCAGAATCAAGCTCATCAGCTCGTTGAGACGCGATGACATCTCCTGGCTCTTGGCGTTGTCGCTCTTGCTGGACATGGAGGGGTTGTCAAACTCCCTCTCGCGCAACTGTGATTTGAGGTCGGCGATCTCGTTCTGGTACTGTTGAATGAGTGCCTCGGGGTCTACAACCTCCTTGCGCTGCGCCGAGAGCATGACGCGTTTGAGGCCTTGGGCAAAGTTGAGGGTGGAATTAGACTCAGCCATGTTGATAACGGCAGGCGAGATCGTGCAGATGACAGAGATTAGAGCGTCGCCCGAGAGCGATGGTTGCAGCAGACGAGTGCTGGTTATCAGCCGAAGATGTGTACATAAACTTACAGCTTGCTGTCGCGGTAGGGGACGTGCTTGACGTCGCGGTTAGACGCCATGTCTGCAAGCTTCGAGATGACCAGCTTCAGCGTGAGCAGCCTGGTGTTAGTCACGTTGCGACATCGCAGCTGCAGCTTACGACTGGTTGATGTGCCTGCCCTCGACATTGCGCTCTTTGGAGCTAGTGTGCTTCTCCGAACCCGCCAGGTCGATGATCGACAGAGTGCTGATGCGGGTCGCCTTGTCGCGGCCCGGCGTCTTGGATCCGTCCATGCCCGTACGCGACTCAATAGTCATTCTGAACACACAGTGAGAACGGGACGAGCGTGCGTTCCAGTCGGTGCCGCCGACTTTGCGACGCTCCTCGCCCATGCGCAGAAGTCTGCGCACCTCGTCTTCTGTGCGCACACCGCACTCCGTAAGACCGTTGATGACAACCTCGCCCTTGCGCCGGCCTTCGCTGAGAGTGAGCTCCCGGCCGTCAGGTGAGAGAAGGTCGATGATCGTCTCATTGTACAGCTCGAGGTACGAGGCGCGGAGGAGCCATTCACGGTCAGGGGAGGCGCGGATCTGCTGGAAGAGGTCGGCAATGGCAAGCGGAATAATGCCGGGGCTGTGCGGAGCGCCCGTCAGAGTGAATGTCTTGCCCGACGCCGTCTGTCCGTATGCGAAGATGACGGCATTGTAGCCCTCCATAGCAGCTAAATGTCAGCGTGTAGTCACCGTGACAACTTACAAAGGACGTGCGCTCGGGCCGCCGTCGCGTACGTGCGCGCGTTATCAGTCTCAGGATCGATAATACGGTCTGTGATGAGCGTGACGACCAAACAACAACACACCAAAGAACCACTCCTTCTTGTCGCGGGCGGCGTCGCGCACTACTGCGGGCTTGATCATGCGTAGGTCGTATGCTGGGGTGACCCATGCGATCTGAGAGCTTTGTCGAAGCTCAGCCTCCGAGGGCGGCCGCACACTTACGATTAGCCAGCGTTTCCTTTCCTGCTTGTGAACTTACCGGATAGACACGAGGACACGCTCGCTCTTTGCAAGGCTTGGGGTCGGCTCCAGGTTCTGTAGCACGTTGGCAGTGTGGTTGGACTCGTTGGTCCACACATCCTTGGTGTCAATGGGAAATGGGATAGGTCGCCCCTTTGACGGCCCGTTCGATGACCCAAGCCCCGACGCAGGTTTCGGCTTGACGAGCACCCGTGGCCTGGCCTCGGGGGTGGTGGGGGCCTTGACCTTTATCTTGGGGCGATCCGGCGCGGGGCTGAGCATAGAGGAGGGAGAGTCGGGAAGGTTGTCGTTGTGCGAGCCCAGCGCGGCTCGGGTAGTGCCCAAGACTCTAGGAGTGATGGCCGACCTTGGACGAGATGACATCTTGACCTGTGGTGATCCCGTGGGCGTTGCGCGTGCAGAGACGAGGGACGACATCGTCGATGCAGTGAATGTGAGATCGGAGGGTGGGAGATGTGTGATTGAGGAGAGATGGAGAGATGGGGAGGGCAATGTAGTGGAGTGACCAGCCACCTGTGTGGACACAAGATGCGAGTGGGGTGCGAACGACAAGGCACTCTGAGATGGGCCCGAGGCGAGGTAGAGTTGGCGACGAGAGGAAAAGAGCAATGTCCAGAGATCCAGAGAGCAGTTGGAGCGGCGAGAGCGAGCGATAGAGGCCAAAGAGAGGAGAGAGAGTGGCCAAACAGAGTTTGCTCGGGTGTTGGATGGACGTGACTGCAAGACGTCAAGCCCCAGGGATCCTCCGGTCAACTCCATGTTTACGTTCTTCTCCTCCCAACCCTGTGGAGAATTTGGTTCCGTCAAATCATTCGCGTCCCGCCTCAGGCCCTGGACTCTTCACCACCATACATGGACTACATCTGGGCTTGGAAATGCATACGTTGCTGAAACAGTCCACTCACCATCATCTGTGGACTTGTTCATACGGGCACATCCGCGCTCGCCGTAAATGGTGAAGTCGCGTCCGACTGAAGAGGCAAGTGCGCGCCTGCTAACCACGTAATGACCATCCCGCCTTGTTACGGCAGCGCGCTCTCCGATATCTGTCTCAAACTCTCCTGCCCGAGCAACTATACCGGCCTCTGCATACCCCTCATATTGCGCACTGCAATGTCTGGGCTGGGCGCAACACTGTAGGGAACACAGTGAGGTTCCCAGCAGAGGTAGCGGGAGAATGATGCCGTCAACAAGCGACATATGCAAGAGTGTTCAACGATTAGTAAATGCTGGGCATCCTACTCCATCATCATATTACGCTGCTGGCTATTGGTAGTCTTGGATCGCACGTTTCGACTCCTGCGACATTTTAACTACGTGTTTAAAGAACTATCCAAGATCTCGGAGGTGAAAGGCTGTTCTAATGTACCAGTCCGCCAGTGGGATGGAAGCACGAGGCTTCCAGTGAAAGAGGTCATGAACCAATCTTGTGGCATACCTGGAGGCCGATCTGGGGTGTCGCCCGCTGGTCAACATGCTGCTTGGCACCTGTTCCACGGTGTCGGAAGATTCACACCTTGATTGCAGTGGCATAATCGATGGAGTCACCGCACGGTAAACGTAGACTCCATCTAGCTGTCGCATGTCGGTCGCATGTGACATGCTACCAGTCGTGATTTTCCACATGGGCGACGTCGCTCGGCGACCTTCAACCACTGTCCGTACACGTCAAAATTTACGTCTCGCAACTATTGAATGTTCTCATGACGTACACGCAACGCCCGCAGACGTTAGTCACGCACAGTTGCTGTATAATGCTGGCTATCTTCGACACGCTGCGCCTTCGGTCTGGTGGTCTGTAACCCAGTGGGAGACTGATAGGTTGAGAGATCAAGGTGCACACTACTTACACTGCTCCCCGCGCTACGTTCAGTTACCGCTTCAAGACGTCACGCTTTCATCTGCACCAAGTGCCTCTGTCATGCATGTGCCTCCTCGCTTCCATCATCTTAGCGTTGCGGGGACAGGAACCCGCCTCGGTCACTGGACTCTGTCGATGACGAGTCACTCGGTGACAAGTAGCATGCGTCGCCTTGTCTTATCTGTTGGGTGATGACACCGGGCCATATCGGCGATCAAGCGCGTAGATCCATCGGCACGAGGGCTATCTTCCCAAGCCACGGAATTCTGCTGTTTCAGCATGCCCTTCCAGATTTCCAGAGAGGACTTTAGATCTGAGGGGTACGATACTGGGCCAAACGTCTTGTCCGGGCGTCCTCGCCCAAGTACGACCGCAAACTGGGCCAGCTGCCAATGGGGTGCAGCGTCATCTCACCGCCCAGGGGGCTACCACTCAGTCAGGTCTCAGCCGTCTGCTTTACCCTCTGGCGGTCGGCGACAGCAGACACGTCCGACGTCAAGTGCCACTTCACCATCCAGGAAAACGCACCTTGACCTCATTCTCCGCCCACCACAGTGGGATGAGGGGAGCGCCAAGCGCCGGTCCTGTAGCCATCTAAGTATGCTCGAAACCGCAGGAGGCGGAGGCAGCTTCCAAAGCTAAGACGCATAGCCCCAGCTCCCCAGCACCCTGGAGCCCACCCATCAACTCTGATCTGAGGCCCTCCCGTCCCCACCTGAGAATTTCATTTCCCCACAGACCAGATGAGCGGTACAAGGCCCGACCTTGTGTCCGAGTCTCTGCCTAAACCTTACTGCTCCGTTAACTGCGTCATTGTCTTTAGCCCATGCCAGTACTAGTCTCAGGCCAAAAGTTCTAGACAACATGACGACGCTGGCGGACACTCGCCGTGACCCTGGATCCATCGGAGCCGCGCCCGCAACTAGCTTCGGAGGGGCCATGCCGCCGTTCATCCCGACGAGGGGGGCATGAATTCTTGAGCTAACTAATTCCCTTCGTGTACAGGAGCTTCAGTTAGCCCAGCCCTTCCGTCATGTCCAGCGCCAGCGGGCTGTAGCGATGTGAGTCGGTTCGCTCGCGACATGACGGCCGGCATCTCGGTGGCTTCGGCAGTTTCAGAGTCAGAGGTCACCGACATGCCGACAGGGCGCCGAGTTTGCATCCGGATCAATTTGGGGGTGCAAGCGGGGCGGATATACACAGCGCCTTGTGCTTGTAGCTCCCGGATCCCCGGAGGCGTGGAGAAACGCCGGCGCACAGGGCGGAAGTACAGTGGAGACGGGGTGGGGGAGAGGTGGGGCGGGCGCCATGCGGTAATGCGATGCACGAGGGTTTGAGCTTGGACGATAACGTTGATGGCATGATGCGCTACCGAAGGTACCGAAGATTACGAGAGAAAGAATTGCCAGAATCAGTCGAAGCAGAAATTGTCGCCGAGATATGGGTGGGGCCGCTTTTGGTGGGCTTGGCAACGACCGCGGCCACGGCATCAAGCAAGCTTGTACGCATGAAGAACTCTGCCTATGGGCGCGACAGCATGGGGCCAGTGACGACTGTTCGCTTCAGAAAGGGGTCGGTTGAGCACTGCGACCTCGGGAGCAGGGGGTGGAATGAGGATTCCCGTTTTGTGCGTAAGAGAACCGAAGGGAGACGCCACAGTGCACAAGTGAGGAGCACTAGACAACCGCTTCCAAAGAGGCGTTCGAGAGGCCGCAGCGCGCAGCCTGCTACCATGGCCAGAACGCTGCCGACCTGTCACCAGATCTTGCTGATTCACGGTGAGCGCGTGAAGCCATGAGGTCTCATCAGCTCCCCGATTCAATAGAATAGCTGCGGAGAAAAGATTATCTCAGTCCAGGCCCCCATCAAAGCCCACCTCCCTGGCACCAGAAGCCCGGATTAGCCTTTACCTGCAAATGCCTGGGCCCAGGTGCCATGCCATGATGGCCTAAAGCCGCAATGGCGCATATGCTTACTCGATTCTCCGACTCAGGCCCCAGGCCCAGCGCAGGGCGGTGAACGACCTCCGCCCTATACCCCACCCCCGTTCCTTATCTGTCCCTTATCCATCATTTTCAGTGCCCCCGGCTCGGCTCAAGTCCGTCGGGCCCGCATTGTGCGTTTCTGAATTTGTGCTAGTTGTGCATGATTAATCGGGGGCCAGTGCAGCGGAGTGCGCCGCGGGCCTGGGCACGAGGGCAAGGGCGAGGGACGGGCACCGAAAAGGTATCCCAAGCATGCCGCCGGCACGGTCACGGCCCAACATGCCTCCTCCAGACACCCCGAAAAATCTGGGCGTCCAACGCTGACGCTGGCGCACCACTGCTGCCTAGCGATCCCTAGCGAGCTGAAGAACGTGCAGATGTTGCGGTGGCAGTGGCAGGCATGACTGGCGTCCCGAATGAGATATAAACCCCGCTCGAGACCGTCGAGAAAGGCCATCACCATCTCAATCTCGGACTACCACACCACCGCTTGACGCGCCACAGTTCTCTACACACCAAGCTCTACAGCACCCACCACCAACCAACAACCAACATGTTCGCTCTTGTCTTCGCTACCCTCGCGGCTCTTGCCACCGCCGCCCCCATCTGCGCTCCCGCCGCCGAGCAGTCGCAGGCCGCTGCTCCCGCCCCCGTGCTCGCTGCCACCGACGGCAACACCACCACCTCGAGCACCACCGGCTCCTCTACTGGTGACGCCACGTACTACGCCGTCGGCCTCGGCGCGTGCGGCTGGACCAACACCGACTCGGAGATGGTCGTCGCCATGAACGCCCCCGACTGGGCTGCCGGCAAGCACTGCGGGCAGTACGTCCAGATCACCGGCCCCGCCGGCACTGCGACCGCCAAGGTCGTCGACCTCTGCCCCGGCTGCGCCTCGGGCGACCTCGACATGTCCCCCGTCCTCTTCGAGGCCGTCATCGGCGACAAGGGTATCGGCCGCGCCAAGATGGACTGGAGCTTCACCGGCCAGGTCGACTCGGCCGCCGCCCCCAACGCCCACGCCCTCGCTGGCCTCCAGTAAGCGCTGAGCGCTTAATCGACCGCTGGACGAGTCACTTTCGCGCTGGACGCACCGCGCAGGACGCATAGCGCTGGACGCATATTTCGCATCTCACCCGGCCCCGAGGGCCTATCTCTTCATCATTGCACTTCTCACCAGGCATTAGAAACTAGACGCGCAGAGCGCACACCACACTCGTTGTACCCATGCATTTATAAGTGTATCGCACGATATTTGGTGACTGGAGGCGGTGGGTGGAAACGGTGGAAACCGGGTGCACTGACACTTACTTCAAGTGATTTCACGCGGAGGAGTGGACAGCCGAGGCAGGGGACTCCCGTGGTGGGCGTGATCCGCAAATAGATCAGACCACTGCTCACCAAGACGAGGGATGTGACTACAATACACCGTCTCGGAATTGATATGTGTTTCCCTTGTTTTGTTGATCGCCGAGGTGCTTAGAATATGGCTGGATGATGGATGAGGAATCCGCCCAGGCACGGACCGTAGTCTCCGCAGCGTCACCACGCGTGACATGCTGGATGCGCCTCCTCTCATGTCGACGCGTCGCAGCGGGAGCGGCGTATCCTGCACTCCTACTATACTGCGACACTGCGGAGAGGAGGGCATCAATTCATCCCCAGGGCCCCGACGCCATGTCGCGCCATGTCGCCGCCACCCTGTGTTTCTGCTCTTTGACTCCCTCACCTCTGTGCAGTACGCCACTGTCATCGTCCCGTTAGTGAATTTGCTGACCGGTCCTTCTACAGAGCAGCGCATCAGGTCTGTGAGAGTCAGATCGGCGAAACCTCGACTTGGGCTGTGCTCGGGTGTCTTATCCTGATTATGCTGATAGCCGGATCAGCCGGGGTCCGCGGTATGAGAACGCGACGCGTCGTGCACGGCACCACGAACCAGAATTCTGGAATGCGTGACGCGTCTCACTTGGGTTCGGCTCACCAGCGATGAGCAACAACCACTGGCAAAGAAATGTCAGCCCCAGGGTGCATGCTGCGTGGTGGAAGCTTCTTGTTCGTACCGCACGCCGTGTGAAATGCGGATCGGGACAGGGCTACCGATACAGTGCATAAGATGTCAATGCAAGGTTTTGCTTTGTGAGGTGGTGTTTGATGACGTTAAGGATGTTGAGCAGCGACAGAGCGGAACGCACGGTCGAGCCTACCTTCTTCGCTTTCCCCGCTCGCCCATCTACTTTGCCTCGTCAATCTTCTTCTTCTGAGCGTCGGTGCAGTCCCACAGCTTTTTGAGTGCGCCCCCGCATTCGGCTTGCACCACCTCGTCCGACTTGGATCCGTGCTTGTCCAGACAGGTGCGATACGCCTCGATGTGAGTAAAGCATGCTCGCTTCATTTCTGCGAGGTAAGGCACGCTAGTGTCAACTGGGGACTGCATGATGTCTCGACGTAAGTGAACTACTAACCTCTCATCGGCGCACTTGGTAAGCGCTCGGCCCTGCTCCCTGCAAATGGTTCCCCAGTCGCCGTGCTGGTTTGCCTGCACGCACTGAGGTTAGTATTTGATGTGAGAAGATGAGTTTTCTCACGTTCTGATACTGCGCCATTTGGTGGGCGCACTCTAGCAAGTTAGCGGAGAAGTATATACTTAAGGCAGCTCACTGGATGCCACTGCGTCGAAGGAAAAGTCCATTGCTAACGTTTGCGTGTACACAGAATGGAGATTGAGGCGGCTGAAGATGGAGCTTGACCGGTTGATGGTGGTGGAGAGTGAAACACGGCGAGGTGAGGAATGTGAGACTGGGGCGGTGGAGGCGGATAGCGGGAGCAAAATCAATTAGGCGTGCAGAGAGCAGGCAGTTACGTGAGCCTAAATACGGAAAGGCGGGCGGACTCAGGGCCCATGAGGGCGCGTGTCGTGTGTACCCTGAATGTGGGGTGTCATGGGTGATGAGGGGTGCGAACTTGGACAATGGTCTATTTGGACTTGTATTAATCTCAAATACACTTGAATAGATATCTTGAATTGCCTCCAACTAGTCCACTCATCTGATCTCCCTCTTCCATCAATCCATCCACTCGATCCTCTCCTACTCTTGTTCTCTTAACGCGCACAACTCTCTCTTCTTCTCGCACGTCTCCCCCCATCCGCTCATCTCCTCTCCCTCATCTAATCCATCTTCAAGGTCGTTTACCACTGCACTGCTGCCTTGTTCTTGTACCTCCCTCTCTCAACACCCACCCACAAGGAGCGCTGGGCCACCGCTCCCTTGGACGCGTCCTCACCATGAGTACCGCTCCACTATCCGTGTGCCCTCGCAGTGGTGTCGATGCCGCTGCGGCTTCCGGTCCTGCTCCGAGTAAGGCCGTCCTCAAAAGCTCTCGGGCCCGCCCGATCAAGACGCAGCGCGGCTGGGGCAACCTTCCAAGCCATCCGCTCCAGTACGTACCTGATCCGAATCGCCACCACCAACACCATAATCACCACTACCATCATCCGCTTCCAGCGCCCGCAAGCACCGCTGACAGGCTGACTGATCCTCACTGAGGCCATCAAGAATCTCAACCTTGAACATGCCCATCGTGTACCAGAGACGGCCCATTTCGCTGCGCTCGCCATGGTCCGTCGCAATTGGCTCTCGGAGATGCGGCTTGTCTCGAGCGGATGGTCCCAGACCGGTGAGCTTAACGTCCAAGATCCCACTCAAGAGGGCTAACGAGCTAGTAAAATCGCATCCTTTCTGGGGAGAACTCATCACAACGATGCGTCCGGAGTTGGCGGGCGTTTCAGGCAGCCCGACATTCCACACCGCGCACATGATGACCAAGGATGTCTGTTTCGCCTGTCGCATCTCTTGTCCATCACGCCGTCATCTCAAAGCGTTATACCGCGTCCCGGCGCTAAACATGCGGCCTCTCCCTACATGCGATGTCCACTTTGGCCAATTCTGTTCGCAGTGCCTTCGCGTGCAGAATGCCGACTTGCGTGCCGAGCCCAACCATTTCCTCCGCCGACCGGTCTATGGAGACGTGGACGAGCACGGCATCCCTCGCAACTGTGAGGGTTTGCTCTGCGCCCCGTGTCGAGACATCGCCTTCAATGCGGCGCTTCGCCGCGACCTCGAAGCCTGCTCACGGGGAGGCGCCGTTCGGGGACTCGACAACCCGTGGATGCAAACAGTTGCCTACAAGGAGCACGTCTTTTTTGGCGTTGGCCGCTCCGACTTCATGGCACGCCAGGCTGTAGATGACTGGTTCCTCCTGCAGCATACGCCATACAACCAACTCGTTCAGGAGATCGGCACCGTCCAGGCCATTCTCCGCAAGCAGAAGGTCTTGCTCTACGAAAGTAGAGTCATTCAATCGGCACCACTAGAGCTGGCCCAGATTTCGAGGATCGTCTGGAGCGTGTTTGACGAGGAAGACCAGGTCGCTTTCGACCTGTCACGCCTGTGTCGTCTCTGGGTCCTCGAGATGGAGAACAAAGCCTACGGTGATTACGAGTATCGCCTCGACGTGGAAAGGATGAGGCACAACATGAGTGCCACCGCATTATGGCCGTGGCTTCGTGAAAAGGCGGTACAGCGTGCTGTCGAGCTTTGGGCCCAAGCCCGCTTCCTCAACGGGTACTGGGTCATGCCCTCGGACGAGATTGAACAAATGCTCGACCCCAGCCAAACCGTCCACACGCCTCTTCATGAGATCGCGTGCAATGTCTCCCGAACGTCGGAGTACGGCAATCCACTGGACCGCTGGCATCACGGGACTGGCCGATTCCGGTACCACTCGAACCTCCCCGATGCGCGTCACCGCGAGCGTCAGATTGCCCAACAGTTTCTTCCTCCAGATCGCCTGTTGCAAATGATGAACATGCGCTTCATCGAAGTCGTTGCTCTGCGGATGGACGCCGCTTTGGCGGAGGTTGTCAGGCCATTCACGCGCCTCCCGTATGATGAGTTCGATCGCATTGAAGCACACCTCGATACTTTCACAGTGCCGCAGATCATCACTTTGCTGGAAGAGCCGTACCCTTGGTTCGAAGCCGAAGACCCGACGGGCCGGTGGCCCATCACGATCTTCCCCCTTCCTCCCGCCTCTAACGTGACCGCGGCATCAACCATTTCCGAGGAGGAGGAGCCAGAGGAGCAAAGTCTCGCCAAGGAGGACGACGTGACGTCTGAGGGGCAGCAGCGTGGGGCAGGCAGCGATGTCGACAACAAATCCCGCCAAGACGATGGACTCCCAAAGCCAAGCCACCAAACCGAGCCTATTGTCGAGGTCGTGGCCAGCACGGACGACCTTCCGAACTGTTACGGAATTGTTGATGGTTGGAGCACTACATCAAACGAGCACGGCGAGTATGGCGCAGTCGAGGACCACGAGGATTGTGTGAGCGATCGCAGCGGACTAGAGTCGGCTGCCGATTGGAGCAGTCCGTCCTCCAGGCTGAGCAGTTTGAAGCAGTCGGATGATGAGGCGGCCTCGCACGCGCCTGGACAACGGAGTAGACTCGGGTCTGGACAGACATCGCATTCTGGCGGCTCGTCCAACACTGCGTTAATTACTCCGGACGATAGCCCCCCACTGCTCGCTCACGAGCGCATCCGAGTCGCAGAGGACGACGACGCCACAACGGATACGACTCCCATCGCTTCGTTGAGGGTTATCACGACTTCACCAGGTAGTTCACCAAGACTTGGTAAGCGCAAGTCGCCCGACGACGACGACTTGATTCGTCCGCCCCGTAACGTCGCGTCGATAGGCACGCCGTCCCGCCCAGATGACTGGAGCAGTCGTGATACCGCCTCCCCGGCTACATCACCGAGACTCGGGAAGCGCAAGTCGCCCGACGATGACGAGCTGGTTCGTCCGCCTCGCAAGTGCGGATTGAACGGCGTGCGGTCACGCTCGGCCAGCCCGAGCAGCTGCGATGACACGGAGGAGGATGGTGTGGAGGGCTCTGACAAGATGGAGCAGCATCAGGGAAAGCCGACTTCGGCCAGCACCGAAATTTCAGGCGTGGACCAACCGGCGGTAGATGCTGCCATGAACCACGGGATGACCAAGAACGAGGCGAAACTCAACGCCGACGCTGGCAAGCGAGACTCTGAGTCGTTGTCGATCAAGGACGAAGGCCTTTCTGAGGCGCTCTCGTCGGCCCAAGATTCACCTTCCGGCGTCGTTAAGGTTGCCCGCGCAGTTGGTGTCCCGGAGGGGGCCTGGACTCGCGCTGAGTCGGAGTGCTCGGAGCTTTACGACTCACTCTCCGAGGCCTCTATGGACTCCGACAAGTTGGCTGAGGTCCCGTCTGTCCCGCCACCGTGGGCCAAGCTCGGCCCGGGCGTCGAGGACCTTTTGGAGAGCACGTGGTACCGCTCGCGTGAGCTGCTGCGGATATGTCGCTGTGGCATCTGCATGCGTGCGAAGTATGCTGCTGAAGCGATGCGTCAGAATTATGATGTGGAAGACGACATTATGATAATGCCCCCCCTGCGGATTGCGTAGGTCTTAGGACGGAAACTTGGGCATGTGTTGTTTAAGCTGTATGTTATATACGTGATGCACTTGCGTAGAAGTGCACTGTTGACGAGTCCTATGGCAGTGCAAGACTTGAACTAATCGCCTCTGCGTGCGCGAATCGAACGGAGCAGTGCAACGGCCGTGAGTGGAGGTGCGGGGCCAAATCGACTTGTGACGATTTTGTTTTCGCGCAATTCTTAAATGCTGCCCGCTGGTCGTTGCAGCTTGCCAGCACAATACACATCCAGTGTCTCCGCTAGTCGTCTCCATCCCGGCCGTTTTTTGAGACCCCTCAGCTCGCTGTTTTTCGAGCTTTCCGGACGACCCAACCGACCCCGTCGAGCGTATCCTCCGGCAGCTCTCCTCTGCGCTACGAAGCTACAGCCACACTCTCTGGTCGACTCTCCGCTCCATCCCATTCACTATGTCCGACGCCGAAGCACCCGCGAAGCGCCAGCGCACGGAGGAGGACGCGATGAACGACGGAGGCCCCAGCACGCGCGGCAAGTTCCAGGGCGGCCGCGGGCGCGGCCGCGGCAAGAGCTTCGGCCAGCGCGGCGGCGGATACAAGGGCCCGAACCGGGGGGAGCGGATGAAGGACAAGGGGCGCGAGCGTGGGCGGTTCCCCAGCAAGCCGAAGCTGGTGAGTCTCCGGCTCTTGTTCTCTGCGTTGAGGAAGGTGACGGTGAGGGACTGACACCAGAATGAGGAGGAGATGATGAATGCCGAAGCGCCGGTGGCTAAGACGGAAGAGGATGGCACGCCCAAGGAGAAACGGCTGCCGAAGAAGCGTGCGGCCGTGCTCGTCGGGTACTGCGGCACCGGGTACCACGGGATGCAGATGTGAGTCGCTGGAGGCGCGGACGCGAGTGTGGGCGTGCGCGAGCACATGGTGTGTGTCACCGGTCACGCGCCGATGTGGCCCGCCGCAAGAGTCCGAGCCAAGAGCGAGATGGGAGAGAGGAAGTGTGCGGGGCGATTGCTAACTTCCAAGCCAGCCCCACGACCCCCTCACCATCGAGGGTGACATCTTCTCGGCCCTCGCCAAGGCCGGTGCCGTGTCGCCAGAAAATGCCGTCGACCACAAGAAGGTCGATGTGCAGCGTGCTGCACGCACGGACGCGGGCGTGCATGCCGCCGGTAACTGGTGAGTGTGCAAAAGAGCCTGAGCTGGTTCGGGAAGTATCTGTGCTGCCAGCGCGCCAGCGCCAGCTCTGCGCTGGCAACGAGTCTTCAGTTACGGAACGTTCCTCCGTCGATGTGTTCACTGCTAAACACTCAGCATCTCCCTCAAGATGATTCTTGACCCGCCCGTCCCGCCTGAGTTCCCAGACCTTACGGCCTACGTCAACTCGTTCCTACCCGCTCAGATCCGGATGTGGGGCTTCGTGCGCGCCATGAAGTCCTTCCAGGCGCGCACGGCCTGCGACTCGCGCGTGTACGAATACCTGCTGCCGTCGTACTGTCTCCTCCCGCCCGCCTCGACGGACCCCTTTGCCCAGACGCTCGACGAGACGTCTCCCGGGTGGAAGGAGCCTCTCAAACAGGCTCTCGAGTTCGTCGACGCCGCTCCCCCCTTGACCGCGGGTGCGGAAGGGGAGGAGCTTGACCCAAAGCTGCGTGGCGAGTTTGAGCGCCGTCGCGGGTGGCGCGTTGACGAGGAAACGCTCAAGCGCTTCGATGCCCTCATCCAGCAGTACAAGGGCACGCATAACTTCCACAACTACACTGTGTACAAGGCGTTCGACGACAGGTCTGTCAAGCGGTACATGATCCGGCTGGACGTTCGTCCTCCAGCTGTGTATGGCGAGATTGAATGGATTTCGGTGCAGATCCACGGACAGAGCTTCATGCTTCACCAGATTGTGAGTCTTGAGATTAGATCGCATCTTAAGAAACCGCTAGCTGACATCAGCGTAAAATGATCTCAATGGCGATCCTTGCCTGCCGCACAGGTACACCCCCTTCGCTCATCCCCGAGACCTTTGGCCCCAAGCGCATCCACATCCCCAAGGCGCCCCCTCTTGGCCTCCTCCTTGAGCAGCCGCAGTTCAAGGTGTACAACGAGCGCACGCGCTCGATCCCGAACCCCGACGGCGAGCCCCGCGAGATCGTCGACTTCAGCAAGCACGCCGAGGAGATGCAGGCATTCAAGGTCAAATGGATTTATGACGCGCTGCGCCAGACCGAGCTCGAGACTAACACGTACCACAAGTGGCTCAAGCAGATCGACCACGGGAGTACCAAGGACTTCACGTACCTCAACACCCGAGGCGTGATCCCGGACGAGGCGTGCCAGAACCTTACCAGCAAGAAATACGGTGGGCCAGGCGGGCAGCCGGTCAAGCGCTCGCTTGAGGGTGAAGCCGAGGGCGAGGAGGGAGGCGCCAAAGAGGAGGTCGACAGCGATGACGAGGACAAGGAGATTGACCGCAGAGCGCTTGAGAGTGGCGAGTTTGACAGCTGAGCACGCAACTGTATGCACTATTGTTTCCAGGATACCTCGGATTCTCGCGAGGCTTTTCGCCCATCGGGTCGCCGAATGCCTACGCCCGGCCAGCCGGACAGACGTCTAACACTAGTCTACATACTGGTAAAATCGACATGCCTAGTCTAAACTATCTACGCGACAGCGCCAACACGCTCAACCTTGATCCCACGTCTCCGGCGCCACTTCTCCAGTCCCTCGTTCCAGGCTGCCCGATCCGTTCCTCGCGTAATCAACACCATAGTAACCCCGAGCTGCTCGACCTCGAAGTTACGGTGCTCATCGTCAAAGAACAGCTGCGGTCAGCTCGGCCCAAAGCCTCACCTACCATCTGCTCGTAGGGGATGCCTGTCTTGCGGTGGATCTCGCGGAAGTGCCGCAACTTGGAGCCAGGATAGATCTCCATCTACATCAGCTGGGCCTCGGAACAACGCACTGTATTGAAGTAGCTCTGAGCGCGGACGACGCCGTTTTCGGCGGGGAGCAGAAGAAGGTTGAGCGCGTCACGGGCGCTGGTGTCAGCTTCATGTGGCGCGATGACCCACAGCTCAGGAGTATGTGTACGTGATGCCGCCGCGACGTGAATTCGGCGCTCCTTCAGCTCGGCGAAAAGGGCGGGCAGTTCGGGGTAAAAGCAGAGTGACGATCCACGGCTGAAGTCAGAAGAGCTTCTTCTTGAGGGCGGGACGACGTGCACGACTTACCGGTCCGTCAATTGATTCAGCTCGTCGCCCTTCCGCGTCAGCGGCGGGGTGATGTCTGTCTATCGTCAGTCCTGCGGCAAGAATTATACCGACATCAATCCAAAGATCCCAGCAAGTGTAGCTATATTGGTCAGCTCAAATTCCTGGCCCGGTAGCAGGAAGCAAGGACGTACTCGAGGTCGAATACCGCGGCCAATGGGTAGGCGTTTGGGTCGTCTGGAGAGAGGACGCTCCAGCCCCCAGGTGGCGACTGTGGCTCCGCTGGTTCCTTTCGTCGCCTGGGCATCCCAGTCAGTGTCAATGAAGTTGGTGAAAGCTTGGAGAGATGGCAATCGCCGAGAGAGAATGTAATCTGTGAAGACGCACATGACGGGGCAACAGAGCCTCATGTTCGGTTGACCTCCACTCGTTTTGGACGAGGTGGTTTGTCACCGAAATGGAGATGACGCACCTTGTGGCCACGTGGTGCTAAATTACGTGGCCACTGTGTCGCTCGGAGATGGGCGGAATGCCCTTATCAGTCTCGGCATTTGGATTGGTGGAGGCGGAGTCGAGTCAGATTACAACCCAGGGTATACAGCGTGATAAGGGTAATAATACATGAATACGGCCGCACTCCGGTTCAAAGTCGAGTCGCGCGCACCGGTCGCTCCGCTCGGCCATTCAATAAAAGTCGCCAGCGACTACCTCGTTTGTCAACTCTCCCTCCGCATCCACAACAATCACCATGGGAGACCACCCAGACTCCCAGGCCAAGCTCCAAAGATGGGCCAAGCGTCTCGGGACGCTGCCCAGCCTCGCCCTCCCCACCGACTACCCGCGGCCTAGTGAGCATTCAAAGGACCAGCGAAGCCGCAACTAACCCCAGCCCCGGCGCGCTTGGTCGAGTCGGCGCAGACCGTGTCGCTGCCCCCCAGCCTCGCTCCGGCCCTCATGCACCTCACCTACGAGTTCTCCGAGCTCTTCCCCTCCTCGGGCCTTCCTACGCCGTACCACCTTCTCCTCACGGCATTCGTGATTCTCCTGTTCCGCTACACGCCTGACCCGTCCATGGTCATCTGCACGTCGGTGCCGGGAACCAGCACCCCGATCCTCCTTAAGCTCGACATCACGCCTGAGATGACCTTCTTCGACGTGCTGCGTCAAGTTATGGAGCGGGAGGCTGAGGCGGCCGCAGACGTCGTCCCCCTTTCCCAGCTGATTGACCACCTCAAGCCGGAGGGCCCGCTTTACCGCGTCCGCTTCTTTGACTCGACCCAGGTTGAGAGCGACCCCACCGCTGGTCTGTCCACCGACATCACCCTCTTCCTTCTTGCTGAGCACACGGACGTCCAGGCAACCCGCATGGCCATGCCCAAGCTCTATCTCCGCCTCGTGTACAACTCGCTCCTCTTCACTCAGAGTCGCGTACAGAGCACGATCGACTCGCTCCTTCAGCTGCTCAAGTCGGCGTCTAGTAACGATCCCACTCACCCCATCGGCTCGCTGCCGCTCCGCACCGAGTCGCAGGCTGCCGTTCTCCCAGACCCCTCGGCGGACCTTGACTGGTGCGGCTTTGTCGGCGCCATCCCCGACATCTTCTCGGCCAATGCCAAGGCCCATCCTGACCGCACTTGTGTTGTCCAATGCGAGCAGGATGACGACCACAACGACGGGCCCTCGAAGGGAAGAAGGACATTTACCTACCGCCAGATCGACGAGGCGTCCAATGTCCTCGCTCACTCGCTGCTTAAGAACGGCTTGCAGCGTGGTGAGGTCGTCATGGTCTACGCTGCCCGTAGCGTCGAGCTTGTGGTGTGTGTCATGGGTATTCTCAAGGCTGGCGGCGTCTTCTCGGTTGTTGGTGAGTATTCCGCTCGGCGGCAATCTCTTGACGAGCCGGCTAATTTGCAGACCCCGCATACCCACCAAATCGCCAGGTCGTGTACCTGCAGGTCTCGATGCCCCGTGCACTCCTCGTTATCTCGAGTGCCGGTGTGCTCGCGCCCGTTGTCTCGAAGTACATCAAGGAGAACCTTGACCTCCGCGTCCAGATCCCAGCCATCTCGGTGACTGAGAACGGCATCGCTGGCTCGCCGGCTGGCGCCAGCGAGGACATCCTCGCCCAGTACCAGCAGTACGCGCAGACCGCGGCCGGCATTGTTCTTGGTCCCGACTCGAATGCCACTCTGTCGTTCACCTCGGGCTCGACTGGTATTCCCAAGGGAGTCAAGGGACGGCACTACTCGCTCACCCACTTCTTCCCATGGATGGCCAAGACGTTCGGCCTCAGCTCCGAGTCTCGTTACACCATGCTGAGTGGTATTGCGCACGACCCTATTCAGCGTGACATCTTCACGCCGCTCTTCCTCGGCGCGTCGCTGTTTGTCCCCACCGCCGACGACATTGGCACCCCCGGCCGCCTCGCCGAGTGGATGGACGACAACAAGGTCACCGTCACCCACCTCACCCCTGCCATGGGCCAGCTTCTCTCGGCCCAGGCCACGCGCCAGATCCCCTCTCTTGAGAACGCGTTCTTCGTCGGTGACGTTCTTACCAAGCGTGACTGCCACCGTCTTCAGTCGCTTGCCAAGAATGTCTGCATCATCAACATGTACGGCACTACCGAGACGCAGCGCGCTGTCTCTTACTTTGCCATTCCTTCGGTCAATAAGGACATGACGTTCCTCTCGACGCAGAAGGACCTCATTCCCGCCGGCCAGGGCATGATTGACGTGCAGCTGCTCGTCGTTAACCGAACCGACCGCAACATCCCGTGCGCTGTTGGCGAGATGGGCGAGATCTACGTCCGCTCTGGCGGTCTCTCTGAAGGCTACCTTGACCCCGCCGCAACAGCTGAGAAGTTTGTCACCAACTGGTTCACCGAGGGTATGGAGCGCGAGGACACGCTCGTTGAGAGCAACCCTGAGGCTGCGAAGTACTGGTTCGGTGTCCGCGACCGTATGTACCGCTCAGGTGACCTTGGCCGGTACCTGCCCGACGGCAGAGTCGAGTGCACTGGCCGTGCGGACGATCAGATCAAGATCCGTGGATTCCGCATTGAGCTCGGCGAGATCGACACGCACCTGTCGCGTCACCCGCTCGTGCGCGAGAACGTCACCCTCGTTCGTCGTGACAAGGACGAGGAGAAGGTTCTAGTCTCGTATTTCGTGCCCAACGATGTGCCTGAACTCGCGGGCATGGCAAGCGCCAGCGAGGGTGACGGGGACGAGAACGAGGTTGACCTCAAGTCGGAGATGCTTCGCGGTGTGCGCCGCTACCGTCGTCTCATTCGCGACATCCGCGAGCACCTGAAGAAGAAGCTGCCTTCGTACGCAGTTCCAGCAGTCTACTTCCCTCTGCGCAAGCTGCCGCTCAATCCCAACGGCAAGATCGACAAGCCTGCACTTCCCTTCCCGGACACGGCACTTGCCGCCAAGCCCACCCAGACCTCGGCAACAAACCTCACCCCGGTGCAGAAGACTATCCACGACATCTGGCTCAAGCTTCTGCCGTCGCCGCCCTCCTCGATCGGCATTGACGAAAACTTCTTTGACCTTGGAGGCCACTCGATCCTCGCGACTCGTCTCATCTTCGAGCTGCGCAAGACGTTCGTTGTCAACGCCCCGCTTGGCCTCGTGTTCGAGAAGCCGACGATTGAGCTCCAGGCTGCGGCCATCGAGGACCTCTCCTCCGGCGGTGTCACCGTTGCGGAGGAGACGCCAGCGAAGGAGGCTGTGCCTGAGGTTCCCTACGCTGAAGATGTTGCCAAGCTCGCAGCCAAGCTGCCCGCCATGTTTGCGCCCCTCCCGTCCGACTTTTCCACCAAGAAGCTTACCGTGTTCCTCACTGGTGCGACTGGCTTCCTCGGCGCCTTCATTCTGCGTGACTTGCTCTCGCGCCGCACCGCCAAGGTAATCTGCCTTGTACGCGCCAAGACGCCTGAGGAGGGCCTCAAGCGCCTGCGTGACTCGGGTGAGGGCCGTGGCGTGTGGGACGAGAACTGGGTTAAGGAGGGTCGCGTCGAGGCCGTTGTCGGTGACCTTGCGTCCGAGCACTTCGGCCTCAACCAGGCCGACTGGGACCGCGTCGCGGCGGAGGCGGACGCTGTGCTCCACAACGGCGCTGTGGTGCACTGGGTGTACCCCTACGCCAAGATGCGCGACGCCAACGTCATCTCGACACTTACCTGTCTCGAGCTCTGCGCCCAGACTAAGCCCAAGCTGTTCAGCTTCATCTCGTCGACCGCTACGCTCGACAACGAGCGCTTCGTGCAGAAGTCGGATGAGCTTCTTGCCGAGGGCAAGGCTGGTCTGAGCGAGGAGGATGATCTTGAGGACTCGCGTACCGGCCTTGACACTGGTTACGGCCAAAGCAAGTGGGTGGCTGAGAAGCTCATCATGGAGGCCGGCAAGCGTGGCCTTTCTGGCTGGACTCTTCGTCCCGGCTACGTGCTCGGCGACACTACAAGTGCCGTCACAAACACCGACGACTTCCTGTGGCGTATGGTCAAGGGATGTCTCCAGCTCGGCCTTACGCCTGACATCAACAACACGATCAACATGTGCCCCGTGGACCACGTCGCATTGCTGGCCTCGCTCTCAACCCAGTCATCCGAGGGCTTCAAGGTCCTCCACGTCACTGGCCACCCTCGCATGCGCTTCAACGACTTCCTCGGCGCCCTTGCGACATACGGATACCCGGTCAAGCGCATCGAGTACATCCAGTGGCGCACCAAGCTCGAGCAGCATGTTCTCCAAACGCAGGACAATGCCCTCTTCCCTCTCCTCCACTTTGTTCTCGATGACCTCCCCACAAGCACCAAGGCGGTGGAGCTCGACGATGCGAATGCGCAAGCTCTCGCATCGTCGGCCGGCGCGCGCCCCACAGCGGGCATTACCGAGGACCTGTGTGGGCTGTACCTCGCCTGGCTCATCCGCGCGGGGTGGATGGAGGCCCCGCCTTCTGGCCAAGGCAAGCCGCTACCGACACTCCAGGGCGGTGTGTCGCGTGCTATTGGGCGGACGACGGCCGGCGTTGCGTAGGTTGAATAGAAGATAAAACGAGTCACCGCTCGTGTGTTGACATTAGTGGGATGAATGGTTTCAGCTATTGATTCATGAGACCCTTAACGCTAGTAAATCGGTGTTGGCTAGTTGCCCTTAAGCGAGCATAGGCTTCAAAGTTATGGCTAAAGAGAATCACCACTGCGAGCCATGCAGGCTCTTCAGTTGCTAGCTCCGAGCCTGACGCTGTACAAGCCGTTATCACACAGCTGCGGCCTTGAACATTCATGTGGACGCGGGTAGTCACTGCCAAGTGCCGACCGCCTAAGTGCACGTCATATCACCGCCTGCTAAGTCCGGAGACCGACGGCATCACGCAGTATTGCAGCATTCCCAACCATTCTCCATGAGACTTGAGACACGCAGCAGTGGCGGCGAGGGGTGTGGCGCCGCCATGGCGTGTTGTGCGGTTCGAGGCCACTCCTCGATCCCACTTCCCTGGCGCCCAGTTGCGGCCCTGCTCTGTGCGCTTGCGCCCTCGCAGTCGCTGCGTCTCTGGCGGCTCTGTCGCTTCTCGCAACTCATACCCTGCACAAACTGCAGCTGCAAATCGTTCACATGGCCTGCTCTTGCCATTTACTGCCGATGCATCACGGGTAGTAACCACGGTTCAGTGATCGTGGTGGGATGATTGGCCACCTCGCCGAAGGCGTTGGGTAAATAGATGATGAGGCGCGGAGTGTGACGGGGATGAACTGGGGCATGGGGGCGCCGAGGATAGGATGGTATGGAGGAGAGTGGGGGTGGTGGCGCGCGGCATCGCTCAAAGGAGTATTGAAAGTCGAAAGCCGAGATGGACGGTTCAACAGGTCGAACACAACAAGCACAGTGATGACAACGAGCCAGAACGTGGAGCGGCGCCGTGACCATTGTTGCACTGCCCCGCATCACATCAGCCGACCATTGCGTCGAGGAGCAGGGTGTGAGTCCAACTCCGACGTCGTCGGCGGCTGCATTCAATCATCTCATCGCGTCGCATGGCCCTGCATTATCAAGCGTTCAGGCGGCTCTCCAATGTCCACATCGGGCCGCGGCGGAGATGGCTTTCCTTGTCCTGAGCAACAGCTTCATAGGAGCTATTTCGAGTCGACTTCCAGACCAGCCTGGCGTTCTTCCAGGCCTGCCAAAACCATATGTAGATCGGCATCTGTCGAGGCAGAGGAAGCGATGGAGGTGAGCCAAAATGTGTTGTGAGATCAGTGGCGTACTTCACACGTCTGAGGCGAGCGCCTACGTCGCATTGTTCGATGAGAACTCGGGATGAGAAGCTATTGCTATGTGAACAAAGCGTTTACTGGTCGATGCGTGACATGAGCAGCTTCTTGACGGCTTCCCACGGGATCGAGTGGGACGTTGGGAATGTGTGGTGAAGACAAAACGACAGTGGACGACGTGAGACCTTCTGAAAAGGTAGAGGAGTTCCGCGGCAACGTAGTTTCGTGATGGTTTCGAGGCACTATGGGTGGACCTCGCCGCCGCGGGGTGCCACTGTTTGAGATCGACGCTGATCTTCCCGCCACACACACAGCTCAAACCCGAGCATCTCCGCCCTCACTCTCCCACAGACAGCGCCTGCCACTCACTGGGTACACCAGGCCTGTCACCCGGGCCTGGCATGTGCGTGCCGGTATGGTATCGTTGTCAGCGATGGGAAGCGGGCAAAGCTTCGTCTCCAGTTCCATGCTGAAATCAACATCGGGAGCTCCTCCTTCAATGATCAATGATCACGCGACTCTCGCGACGTCCGGTGGCCTCCATCGATGCCAACACGTCTTTGTCAAGATGTTGAGCAACTGTGAGAGGTGGGAGTTCGCAGTGGGGCCTTAATAGTGTGAGATGGTGTGCGGTGATGAGATCGTGGGAGCGCGAGATTGTGCGGAAATCCTGCCTGGAAGAGGCACAACAAAGGCTCTCGGCGTCGAGTCGGGGACGGGCGGCGCCATCGGAGAGCCCCTAGCCATTCTTCGACCAAGGGTTGCCTGCATTGTGGGTTCCTTCAACTAAGCTGTTTGCTTCTCCACGGCTCCCCAGCCCCAGCCCTACCTGTCCGGAGGAACAGCGGGGCCTCGTACGAGAAGTAGCAAAGAGCCCATGGGCTCCCACCGAGCGTCTTTGTTGACGTGAGAGCCACACATAAGAGCGGAAGGCATGCAGGACGCCCAGCGATTACATGCATCCGCCGATACAGCTCAAGTACTGGGAGCGGCGTTGGGTAGCGCGCCACCCACCCGCAGGAGAACAGCGGCGGAGCAGCCGAGACAATGCTCAGTGGTATTTGCCCATTGTCCCTTAGGCGCTGTGGATTTTCTTTTGTTCTCAAGACCAGTTTGGCTCTGCTACCCTGGCCAGTCGATTTGTCGCCATTCCTCCGAGGCGACGTGCGCGCACGCACGGCAGGTGTAGCGAAGGTGTCAGCATCGCAATCGACTGCGGTCAGCTGACAACACCTGCCTGATGCATGTCACAAGAGGTCACTACCGCGTCCCGTCATCGGGGGCGCGGGCGTGTTTGAGCCAGACCACATGAACCCACCTCCGTCTCGGCTGTCGCACCTTTGTCGACCATCTCCACGTCCTCCTGTATGCATGCACCCATCCGCTTAATGGCGGAGCGGCTAAGAGACGGCTGCTCGCTAGCTTGCTCGCTGCCAACAACGCGCTCCCTCGGCTCGTGCTCAGGAGTTGTCAACCCAACTGGGACCGAGAGAAAGCTGGTTGGTCGGATCCAGGTACAATCAGGAGTCGAGCAGATGCTCGAGCAACCTCTGCCTTTTGTTCTCTGGCGCATCTGGCGCACCCGCTCTCCTCTTCGCCTTTATGCCCCCTACCCTGATGACGCCCATGCTGCATGCAGGAATCAATGCGGAGCAGGCGGAGAGGCAGCGCAGCACCTCCGGCAGCGTTATTGCATGCGGCATGGGTAAGAGCATCCGCTGCGCTATGAAGCCACATGATACGCGCAGGACAACAAGACACCAGGAGTAGGGAGAATAGCCAGGTACACCAACGATGTAGGAAGCAAATGGCCGGTGGACGTCGTGCTCGGTCGTGCGGGGTCAAGCGGCGCAGGTGAGTCACTAATCTCAGAGTCAATCAGCAGAAGCCCTGTCGCGCCTGTCGCAGCCTCTTGTTTTCCCCTCTGGCCCTCTGGACTCCATCCGGCCCTCCGGTCGTCCCTTCGAGCCCCTGCGACGCCAACAACCCCCGGGGTCCTCGAGCCCCCATCCCCCAGTTCCAACAATGCCACTGCTGATGCTGCCGTGTTGTGCAGTCTGTGTGGTGTGAGAGCAGTGCGCGAGCAGGTTTTATGAGCAGGCATCCCCGTGCCGTCCTTGTTCTGCTATTATCCTGCCTCAGTCAACGACGACGATCGTTCGCGAGCGCGCCCTCGAGTCCGCCCAAGCTCAAGTCGCCACTAGCCTCAAGTGGCGAGCTGTGCTCGTTGTTCTTGTCGTCGTCTCCTCTTCTCCTCTCTTTCTCCTTTCTCCTTTCTCCTTTCGTCTTTCGCCAACTCTTTCTCACAACTCCTCCCGCTTCAGTCTCTCAAGCAACGACTACTACCGCGTTGCGCCCGGCACCGACGATCATCACATCAGCAGAGCACGCCGAGACCCGTCTTCGGAGTGGACGCGCGGACGTGAACGCGACGACCGAACGCTGGCGTGGAGGAATGGCTAGTGGGGCAGCCTAATAGAGACAGCTGCGTCGACTCCCTCTCCCTTGGCACCCTCGGTACCTACCTAGCTTGCAACCTCCAACCCCCGGTCTTCCGGCCTAACCTCCGGTCCAACCCTCCAAGCCCCCACCCCCCCACCCTGCACCCAATCGATCTCTCGTGCCCCTCCCCCCTCCCCTTTTACGTACCCCACCCAGCAGAGCTGCTGGCCGCTTGCCTGACACCACCCACCCCGGCCTTAGGCCAGTCGAGAGTTCCAGCCTCGAGTCTCTGCTTGCCCGCCGGCCTCTCGCCTGCGTTTCCCCCGATCCCCGCCTAGCCAGCTAGCTTGCGAGCCAGCCAGCCCACATTCATTTCATTGATTGATCGGAAGCTGGACCAAGACATGCTCTGCACCCAGCCATCACCCAACATCTTGAGCGAGCCAGAATACTCGTCGGTCTCACCACCATCCGGTGCTTCACACCAACCCTCTCCCAACCTTGCATCCCCCTCCTCTGACTGCATCCATCGCCAGAATCCGTCACTCATATTTCCCCATCACTTGGACCCCGCCTACGACCCAGACTCGCAGTGGCCCGGGCGCGCGCCCCTCGGCTGCCTCTCCCATTCTGCGCGCCAGCCCGCTCCCGCTTTCCCACCCCGCCGCGCCGTCTCGACCACGAGTTTGACTCCTGCACACACCCCCATCGTCACCCCCGCCCACGTCCACGTCCCACTCTCGGCGACGACATCGTCGTCGTCCAGTACCTCGTCTCGTAGCAGTACCACGACATCCACTTCTACCTCTACCTCGGCGTACTCGTCGGGCTCGAGCTCGAGGAACAATAGCACTCTGCCCTTCGCCATGTCGCGCATTCCACAAGTAGGGCATGCGCCGGTGAGCGCCGCTCTGCAGGCTCAGGCGCTGGAAGCGATGTACGAGCGACCCTCTGAGCGTAATTCATCGGCTTCGCCGCCACCAGAGGGCGCCTCTAACGGGCCGAGCGCGGGCGCTGGGTCGGGCTATGGATCCGCGGGGGCGATGAATAATGGCATCAGCAGTCGGCGAGCAGGCGCTTCGCATCGTCGTCGATCGCACGGGCACGGGCCGATGCGCACGCCGGTCCGTCCGCATACTCCCGGCATGTCCCCGCACGGTGGGCCCACACCACCTGGTCGCAAGATGCCCGGCGCAAATCCTACCCCAGGCATGTTCAACCAACCCACCCGCGCCTTCGTGCTCGAGCGCCTCCACGAGTACGCCCCGGCGGCTCTATCGAATCCACGCACCAGCGACGTACGCATAGGTAAGTGTCTAGCTGTGCAACTTGTTGTGAGAGGGAGAGCGCGAGGTTGAGCACGGTCATTGCATGCTGCAGTGCCGTACGACGGGGCCACCGAAAGGCTCGTTCATGCGAGCGGCGACAACAATGGGTGGCATTTTACGTCCCCTGAAACCGTGGCTGACGCCACAACAGTCGTCCCCAGCAGGCCCAAGAGGCAGGACCAGCCCCCAGATTCGCGGCGCGGCACCCAGCCGCCGACACCAGAGTCGACTTCTGCGTCCGACGCGCAAGGCAGTACGCCCGTCACACCCAGCGGGGTCGCCGCACAGGCCCCCGCAGCAGCGCAGGCGCAGTCCACAATGCCCGTGCGCTTCTACGCGCTACACCGTGACTACCTTGTGCCGCAGAGCGCCTTGTTCCGCAACATCTTGACCGGGGGGTTCAAGGACGGCTCGCCCGAGGCCAAAGGCTGCAAGCTACTGCCCTACACGTCGCTGCACGGCCCGCGGCCCGTGTTTGTGCCACTGCCAGACCCCGAGAGCTTCGACGCACTCGTGCACTGGATGTACTTCGGCGACGTGGCCAAGCTAGAGAGCCAACTCTCGAGCGGCGAGGTCAAATGGCGCGGCCTCATCCGCAACATTCAGTACTTGGGTTGCGACGAGCGCACGCGCGCGGTCGTCGCAAAGTGGTGGCAGCGATGGGCGCAGGCGGACCGACGCATCGGCAGGCCAAAGGACGAGAAGAAGGAGAAGGAGGATGACTCAGATGACGAGCACGCCGAGGGACTGCCCGTGCCGCGGCGGCGAGGGCCGCGGCCCGTCGTCGACGACGATGACGACGGCGAGCGTGAGAGCAGCTACGACAATACCGACGACAAGCTCAGCCCGCCATGGCCCTCCGCCGAGAACCTTAGCTACTCGGTCGACGCGGACGAGATGACCCGCCGCCTTGGTGGGCTTTAGGAGGGACGTATTAGCTTACTGTTGTACACTCAGTACCATATGCACTGCTTGAGTTAGAGCAGGGGCAGCGGAGCGGCGCCGAGCGGCTGGCATTGACTGATGACGACGATCGCCGATCAGTGATGAATCTTGGGCAGAATTCCATCAGTCTCGCCGCAGTCAAATCATATCGCGAACACGCGACTCTCCGGCAAGCACTGAGCAATCTCGGACCCCCTCGTCTTGTCTGTTCGGGAGAGAGAGAACTTTTGCTTCCTACAAAGTACAAACATTACATACCCATGCCCACACCGTCCTGGAGCAAGGCCATAAGGTCGACGTCGCTACCGAGCGGCATCGTATTCTGGCTAAACAGACTGTGGATAAAGTCGTCGAGCGTCGCGTCGCTCGCACTCCAGGGGTGTTCGAGCGTGGTCGGCGAAGGGTTGGGATGGTCGCGCGCGAGAGGCACGGTCCACAATTGCGCGGCGGGGTCAGGCGCATCCGTGCTGCTCTGATACTCTGCGACGAGCTCTTCAAGGATGAGCGCTTTCTGCGCGGCCGCGTGCCATGTCTCGCTGGTCTCACGCAACATCGCCAGCATCTCGTTGCAGTGCGCCAGCGCCGAGGAGGCGTGGGTTGCGTCCGCGGCTTGCGCCGCCGCAAGGAGAAAGGACGTGCCAGCCGTGTATACGGCCTGTGCCATGGTTGGGGGTGTGAAACGCAGCGTATGCTGCGCACGGTGGAGCTGAGCGAGGCGGTGGATCCGGAGCGCCGCGCGGTGACACCTCTATGTTGTCAGCCGATGATTTCCGGAGAACTAGGGCTAGTAGGGGGCAAGAAACCGGGAGGGATGCAGACGCTGGGAGGAGCTCACCGTCATGGCGTATTTCCCGAAGTCGACCTCCTCCTTATCTGTCACAGTGACCTGCGAGAAGGGTTGGAAGAGGAAGATCGCAATCCACGAGCATCCTAAATGGAGAAGGATGATGTGAGGCAGTGCAAGGTCATTCTCGTCTTCGCTCAGCTGCAAGGGTGCGGGTAGACTGTTGAGCCATGCAGTCAGCTCGTCGCTGAACCGCTTGACAGTGCCGTTGTGCACGAGCTCGGACTTCTGATAGCGACCCGTGTAGCTGACGTTAGCACCAGTTGATAAGGTGATGTAAGCAAGCGACTACCCACATGGTCGTAGTAATCTCCGTTGCGATTCGCATCAGCGCCGTTGTGTACACGAAGCATGTGGAGAGATACGTCTTTTGTGGCGGTGCGCGGCTGTCAGGCCACGTCCACTCCCAGTTGTCAGTGACCAGGTCGGCGGACGGGTACGGCACGCTGTGCCACTGGGTCATGAGCGGCGTGCGGCCCATATAGATTGCCCACATCTCTTCTTGGACATAGCACGACCAGTAAGTGACGCAGCGCTGTGTGTTCTGCTCGACCGAAATTTTGCCGCGTTCCACAAGAGGCGTAGTGTCCACGTGCAGGCCGAGCGCGAAACACATTCGGGTAGCCAGCCCGTTGTAGATCCACCCGACGCTATAGTCGCCCACCGTACTTGAGAAGGAGCTCCTGAGCGCCAGGCCTTGCACTGTCGCGAGCGAAGGGTTATTGATCTCGGCGTCCAGCCGCCGATTTGCTTCCTTATGAAACGCACGCCGTGTCGTGACAGCCCGCAAGTACCCTTCGTCCGCGTACGCTAATCCCAGCGAGAGGATGACGTTGTGCAACACCGGACTGTAGTTGGGCGCGAGGAGGGGGATGTCTTCTTCTGGGAGGTCAAGGGCAATCTCCATATCCCGGTAGAAGAGATGGGGTGTTGTCCGCTGGCCGAACGCTGAGAAGTAGCGAAAGAAGCGGTCCACTGCTGTGTCGTGTGCGTCTCGTGTAAGGTAAATTTCAGGTAGAAAGCGGCCCCACCGCTTGTCGTCGCCACGGGCGCTCAAAGGGTTCACAGAGGGTGGGTGTGTGGGTTTGGCGCGGTGGAAAGCGCTAGTGGGGCCGAAGAAGCGCAGTGTGCCATCATCGTCGTGAAGCTGGGATGAGCTATGGCCGACAGCGAAAGGGGTGCGCTGACGACAGGCTGCGAAAGTGTAGTGCGAGGGCCTGCCTCTCCGGCCCACATCATGCGGTTCTTGTCTCTCTCAGACCCTCAAATCCACAGTTCTCTATGTACCGCCCAGGTCGCATGACTCACCACATCTTCAACATCATCCTTATGTCGCGGCGGGGCGAGCTTCTGCGGCATCGGTGACCGTGTACTGCTCTCGATGCTCGGCGGCGCGCGCTGGATCGAAATGAGCTCCAACCTCGTCTTATACTCCTGTACAAGCCCCTCAAGCTCGTCCACCCGCGCTCGCAGTGCGTTCGTTTCACTCCGCGATAATGGCTTGCGCCAGTCGTCCTTGCCCCCCCATACGCACTCGTCCTGCCGTCAGCCTGGCCTTGCAACAACGCACCTTGTACGCGACACATGTCGCACATGGCTGGTTGCCGTCACATTTCTTTTTCCTGCTGTCAGCCTGGGGACCCCGCGACGGAAGAGGGGGCAGTGGTCACTGGGGACAGCGATGTCCTTGCGGAAGTCGGGCGGCTGCCCCATATGGCTGCGGATCACTCACCTCTGTCGACAGTTAACACATGCCTGGCTCACGTTCTGCCGTGAGCGCTTGTGCGCTCGCTCGTCACCCGAGCCCGACATGAGGGATGGTGGACAGTGGAAGGTCAATGAGCGTTGATGTTGTGTTGAGCATTTTGTGGATATGTTCCGCTGGATTCCGACTTCCCCTCCACCGAGTCGGAAGTGGCGTCACGCCTTATCACCGAGAGCTGATCTCTACGCTGGCACACTCGCGCCACTCTCCGCTGCCGGTGTCCACTATGCATCCAAGAGGTTCCATACGGACGGCTTCTGTGTAGCTTACTCGGCTCTGATGCACGTCGGGACGGGAGAATGTAACCGGCTCTGGCGTCCGCTTGCCGAAAGGAGCCGGCTCGGCGACGGAAGCAATTCATTTTCAGAGTGGCACAGCCAACCACCGCTTGCGCTCGGCGTGTCAGTCGTCACTCCTGTGATCACTCGCCTTTTGCCCCTGCCGCTTAGAGTTCCAAAAAGTTCTTGCCCGGGATCGAACCAGGGACCTTGCGATGTACTGGATGCGCATGCGCTCCTTGCAATCGCACGCTCTAGCCACTGAGCTACAAGAACGTTCGAGAATAGCATTTATCAAGTGATTACAAACACAAGCGGCGCTGACGGCCATACGATGAAGGCTGATGATGTCTTGACACCTGTCGCTGCGCTTTTTGTGGAAAACGAACGTCCATGGGGGAAATTGGGCCAGAAGATAGACATCAATTTACTTACGGGCTGGATCGGTTATGCTCACCGGACCAGCTATGTGGCACTGAGCGTAGATCCACCTGTGGAATGTGAGCATGACTTTGCACGGGCAGTTCACTTCCGATTCACACCCGCCATATCCATTCCCGTGCAGCGTCCACCGGACGCCGCGGAGCTGTAACCAGGTTCTAGCCAGCAAAGGGCATATTCTAGCGGGCGCGGGAATCTTGTTATCCGGCTCATCTTACAAGGTAGGAATGGTAGGTGACGCATAATGACCGATACGTGACGACTTTTGCACAGCTGTCGTACCAGTACCTCGCCGCCAGAAACTACACGTCGCGCGGAAATGCTGGCACGCACTCCAGTCAGTAGACAGTCCATGAGAGCATTTGCTTAGCCCAGTGAGCGCAGCAAGGCGACTGATGGAGGGGAGTGTCATGAGATGTATGGTCGTCTGGCTGCCCTCAGCTTATCACATGCAATGCAAGCACTGGCTGCACACAAAACCTTTTTGCCGGATAATAATAATACTGTAGTCGCGCTTGGCCCTGCCCTCCGGTCTCATTTTCGTCTGAACACCGTTCCTTCCGAACTATCGAGTCGATCATAAATCACGGAGGAGCCGCCCGCGGGCACCAGTTCCAAGTCAACGCGCTGCTGGCGACGGTATGTAAGCGCCGCGGCTTTGCCGGTGTTTTGTGTTAATGGTGAGTTATGTGGGCTTGCCATCATGAGTGTCGGGCCGCTCAACCAATACTAGTACGGAGCGTTCGGTGATTCCACTGGGCCAGGGCCCGGAATTGCGGTGCATTGCGCATTGGATGTGATCGATTCCCAACGTGGTTGCGCTGGAACAGTGGGGGGACCGAGCAAGCTCCAGTGCCCCTTGGAATGGGAGATCGGGAGCATTGTCGGAGAGTGCACGCCACCCGATGCGCACTGGAGATGAGAGGCGCGTTCGTTCGCGCCACAAATCGCGCATCATTGCCCGTGCACCGACTACGCCCGCACAGAAGGCATCCGTCGATATCTATCTGGGCAGAATACATCAATATGAGCCAATCTTTTTTTGTGGTGCCAGGAATGTGCGGCTGCAGAGGGGGCGGTGGCGTTGTGTAACATATTCCATGTTAGTTCTCGTGGCACACCGACAACTCCCCGACAGCCCCTCCGTGTCACAAGCTGAATGATTCATCGGTGCCACCTGTGGCTCGCCTGGGCATCTCACCCAGCTGTACCCGGGGAAATATTGCTAGCCGGCGTTTGCTCGGGGAGATGACAGCCAGGTCCCTCGTGCTACACTTCATCAGCTACAACCGGTCCTGGGCCAGGTATTATGGGGCAAACTATAACTCTCGCATTGAACAAATTGAAGGATAATACATGCGTGTATGAGAAGGATCTAAATTTGAGCAATGGGTAATTGCCAGCCAGCATAACCAGGGGGGTACGTGTATGTGGGAACCAGGTCTGCGTTGCAAGTAAGGACAGTGCTGGCGCCGACGTTGGCTTTCTTCCAACCTTTCTATTCGGTAGTGTGCACTGTCCTCTTATCCTCACGGGATCGAGAAGAGCGAGGTAGGGGAGTTGTGCCACTTCGTGTCGGTACGATTTCCTTGTCAAACCACGGCCTCCTTAGCGGTGGGGTATCCTCTACTGACTCGCGGGATTCTTGCCCAGAGTTTTCCGAGCGTGGTTTCATGACATACTCTTCGTAGAAGGCGGTGGGAGGCAGAATCGAACCTCGGCCGGCGGGAGGCGACAAACTGGTCAAAGGGGAGCGCGAACTGCCCTCGCTGACGTCGGGATTCGAGCTTCTCAGAGGCCAAGTTGAACGCTCCGTAGGAGTTGTTGACCGCGACTGAGGGACAGAAGGCCAGTTTGACGGACGATGACGAGGCAGAGGCGGTGAGTCGCAAGAGACGGGGCGGTCGCGACGGTAAGCCTGAGCGTAGTTCATAGGAGGCACTGTTGTCGTATGCTCGACTGAAGAAGAATACCGGGATGGATTGGGGTGAGTGGATGGGGGGTAGGAGGGGTATGAGCAATTGTCGCTCGGCCGCCAAGGCCTGTGACACCGGGGCTCAGGCCGAGCAACTAGCGGCGGCGGGCCCAAAGACAGCTTTGTCGAATTTGCGTGCCGCTCACCAGCGGGGAGTCTCGAACGTTGGGAGTGGGAAATGTCGATGTGTGAACGCTCGGATGGGAAGTAGTGGTAGGAAGTGTCGTCAGAAAAGTGACGAGGCCCAGGATGTTGATGATAGGCTGCTGGACCTCGTTCCGTGTGCTGAATTTGGGAGGGGTGTGGGGTGCTACTGTCTTCCAAGCCGACAAGGTCAGCACGGTTGTATAACTGCGGGAGCGATCGTGACTGAAACGGTGTTGAATGGGACTGGTAGTCGTGAGAAGGGGTGTGGGACAATGCTGAGTCGCCCAACAACGAGGAGGGGAGAGGCCCAGAGTGAGGGAAGCGAGAGCGATGCCGCTTCACCCTCCGCTTCGCGTTTCCCACCTCCTGGCATCAGCTACCAGCCCTCACAAAACCAGGCTTCACAGGTGGCTGGAGAGGAGGGCGATGGGGACAAATAGTGTACAACACGCACCTTTGCTAGGAGCTCAGCCTCCTTGAGGAGCTCAAGGACTGTTGACCAGGGCGGGCCGTCACCGCCAATTCCGCAGGGCGCTATCACTCGATAAGTGTGCTTAACGGTTTGCCACAGCTGAAAACGAATTGAAAATAGATCCTCATCGGTCTCGTTCTGTTGTTGTCAGCAGGCAAAAGACGAGGACAGGGAGAGAGTGGGGAACAGACCAGAGCCTTATTCGCAACAACCCTGCTAATGAGCACGGTCCCACTCACCGTCTGGAACACCTCTGCGAGCTGGTACAGATCCTGCAACTCAGAGAAGGGTGCGCCTCCTTCTCCCAACTTGCGCGCGACGCGTCGGATGTCGCGAATAAATCGGGTTACCAAGTCGAGCTTGTCTTCCTGGCTTGCTGGGGAATCCATGTGAGTGAGCGACGTGGACAGTGCAACGTCAAAGTAATTCGCGGGGCAACGGTAGGTGCGAGCGCGAGTGTGTCGGGTGCTCAGAGTGGGTGAACGATGCGGATGCGGACCCTCTCCTCGCCGATAACACGTCGTGCTGGCCAAGTTGCCCGACCGAATGTACGTGACTTACCTTGCGGCCATGCCCCGACATATCATGAAGCTACATTCCTTCGCCACCGCCACCGCCACCAGCCATGCCCGCGGGCGCGACTGCCGATGGACCCGTTGCCACCCCCGCCCGTACTAGACACATGGGTAACAGTCGGGCCGTCCGGCGCCCTCTCAGCCGTCGTTCCGCACGGTTTTACATGGTCGAATGTGCTTTATTCCGGCCCTGGGCTGATGGGGGAAGGGCTCAAGCCAAGGAATGACGGTATTAGTTCTTTTGAGGGAGTGATGGAAGAGGAGCCGACAGCGACTGGTCAGTCCGCAGCATTCTGTGCAGACTTTATGAAGTAATCTATCTCCAGCCTCGCACACTTTCATACCCAGGGATTTACGGGGAGTATCCATGTCAGGCGAAAGAAGCGAAACAAGGAACCGACGTAGACAGCTGCTCCAAGTATGGGCAAGGTTAATTTTTTGCATCAAGGATGGCCATGACGGATGACAGGACATCCAACGTGAAGAGTTCTCTCAATGAGGGAGCCCCTTGACGTTTCGACGGCCAAGTATCAACCTCCTGAAGCTCTCTTTGGCACGCACCAGCACGAATATGGCGGGTCAGGGCTGTTGTGAGTACTGAACATGCGTTGCCCGATATTCAGCAACTGAGCTCCGCACTTGAGAGTGATGAGCCGGAGACAGAGCGGCACAATTGCTGCTATTGCTGGAGGCCAAGTCATATCCTGCCAAGTCCGGCAGAGGCGAGGTGGGGTTCCAGAATGTGGCGTCGCCCACTGCGGAAGTCTTCAGAGTGAGGCCCGGTTCAGTGAGTTGCCCTTGTGGCCTTGTAGCGGGGCCCAGTGGTCCATCAACTACAAGGAGAGGATCCCAGGAACAAGGATCGAAATGCAATCATGAAGCAGCAACACACGGCAAGAAAGAGATGGAAGGTGTGGAACAAGAGCAAAAGAAAGGGCAATGCTCGCACGCTGAGTCGAACAGCGGTTATGTCGGATGCTGTAAAACCACAACGACATGTGATAACCACCTACACTATACGAGCTGGAAACCCTGAAACTTTGACAAGGCTGAGCGTTTACTTGAACGTTCAGAGGTTGGTGCTCGCTGGTCCCCTGTCTTTTCTTCAGCTCTTCCATAACCCAGAGTAGATGCTTCTCGGTTCGTTTGGTATCTTAGAGAGCGCAATTGACTGCTTAGAGAACACCCATTGCCATCCGCCACGCCCGCCACGCTCAAGGGGGTGCATGCGGAATCCGGATATGGGAATACGCGAACCCGCACCGCATGAGGTTTCCCACGGCCGCTTTTGGTCTCACGTTGACCCACTCCTGGTCCACGACCCGGCGGCACGGGGACACGAGGCCGCGTATCTCGAGCAATCGGGCCCTGGCGCACGCTGGTGCTCCATCTGTCCGGCCGGCGATGAGGTCACACCACTCCCGAAGAGCGCGGAGCCGAGCCTGCTACCAATTGAGATTCGCCTCCACTCCGTCCGAGCACCAAGCAGAGCGACAAGGCACAGCTTGGTGGACATCGAACCAAAACGCTGCAACCGCGTTCTACGCCTGTCGAACCAACTCTTTCTTCCCGGCTATCTGACACGTACCAGCCCGGCGCGCTCTTGTTACCGTTCTATCCTCTTATAGCCTTGCAACTTACTCTTCACGCCTTCGACTCGTACGCCTTAGACCACCTAGAACATAGACAAGATGGCGTTCCCTAGGCCCAAGCCTACTACGGTTCGTTTGCTAAACGGATAGGAGCTAACGGCAGATGGAGACTCTCGCGGTTGTGAGCCGCCAACACTGACGGTGCTAACGAACAGGAGCGCGCCGACCCCCCCTTCAATGTTCGCAAGATGGCTGTTGCCCTGCACGGCTCAGAGGAGGCGCTCCAGCTGAAGGAGAAGTTCATGGCCGAGGTGAGTGAGCTCGCAGGACGGGCTTGGTGGTGGCGCGGACGTCGACGTTGTTAGCAGTGGCGAACGGTCGTCTGACCAGGTGGTTGTCTGTTACGGCCAACGATGCCCCCCGCCACTGGTTTGCCTTGGGCAAACCCTTACATCTATTGAGACGAGCTTGCACCACCCTCGTCGGGAACTGTAACTGACCGTAGATCGCGAGAAACCCCGCGTTCAAGAACAACGATATCCATGACATCTCGAAGGACGAGATCCGTGAGCGGACGATGGAGAAGGTGAGTGGCCGGCTCTCAACAGTCAGGACATTCGGAGTCTGTGCTAACGCAAGTTTGGCGCCATGGTCGAGTTTGTAACGTCCGAGAGCATCGAGGTCTTTACTCAGCGCATGGCGCTCGTCGGCATCGCCGATCCTGCTTTCTGGACGCGCTTTGGCGTGCATTATGGCCTCTTCCTTGGCGCACTGCGTAGTGGCGCCACTTCCAACCAGATGAGTGAGTGATCGGCGGATCGACGAGGCACGATCGACCTTTACATTATATCCGGCTAACGCACAGGCTACTGGGTCGAGAAAGGCGTGCTCGGCCTCAACGGTGTGATCGGCTGCTTTGCCATGACTGAGCTGGGCCACGGCTCGAACGTGGCCGGCCTCGAGACTACCGCAACCTTTGACAGCGAGAGCGACACCTTTATCATCAACACTCCTCACCTTCGCGCCACCAAGTGGTGGATCGGCGGTGCCGCCAGTTCGGCCACCCACGCAGCTGTCTTCGCCCGTCTGATCGTTGACGGCAAGGACCACGGCGTGCAGACGTTCATCACCCAGCTCCGAGACACCAAGACATTCCACACAATGCCAGGCATCACCATCGGCGATATTGGCAAGAAGATGGGCCGCGACGGCATCGACAACGGCTACATCCAGTTCACTTTCGTCCGCGTGCCACGTGCGCACATGCTCATGAAGAACACGCAAGTGTCGCGCGACGGCACGGTAACCAAGCCGCCCCTCGCGCAGCTCGCGTACGGAGCCCTCCTCGGTGGTCGTACCTCGATGGTCGCGGACTCATCCAACTCTGCCAAGAAGGCGCTCACCATTGCGGTGCGCTACGCTGCGATGCGCCGCCAGTTCTCGTCCGGTGGCAACAAGCTCGAGACTCAGATCCTCGACTACCCTATTCACCAGCGTCGCCTCATGCCCCTCGTCGCACAGGCCGTCGCTATTGGCTTCACCGCCACCAAGCTCCAGGAGATGTACGAAGACATGACGCAGTCGCTCGACCGCCTCAAGCCCACCGACCCGAACCTCATGGAGACGCTCGCAAAGCTCAAAGAGACGCATGCGACGTCGGCAGGTCTCAAGGCGTTCTGCACCTGGTCGACGCTGGACACGATTGAGAAGTGCCGCCAGTCGTGCGGTGGCCACGGCTACTCTTCTTACTCGAACCTCCCTGCTCAGTACAACGACTTTGCTGTGCAGTGCACGTGGGAGGGCGACAACACCATCCTGGCACTGCAGGCTGGCCGTGCTCTCGTGTCCTCGTACATTGGCGCGACGCAGGGCGCCAAGCTACCCTCTGGTGTTGCGTACCTGTGCAACGAGGCCAACCTCACTGCCAAGTCGGATGGCTCGCTTTCGCTCGACGACATGGAGCGCGGGTGGGACTGTGTCGCGGCCAATGCGGCCAAGAAGGCTGCTTACGAGTACGCTGGCTTCCGGAAGCAGGGCAAGAACAAGGATGAGGCATATGAGCTTTGCTCGCAGTCGCGCTTCATTGCCGCCAAGCTCCACACCACTGGCTACATCTTCAAAATGTTCAAGGCTGCGCTCGGTGACCTGCCTGATAGTTCCGAGAAGGCCACGCTCACTACGGTCGCTAAGTTGTACGGCGTGTGGCAGGTAGAGCAGAACGAGGGTGTTTTCCTCAAGTACGGCTTCCTTCAGCCTGAGCACACGGACGAGGTGCAGCGGCAGGTCGACGCATTCTGCGCCGAGGTGCGCAAGTACGCCGTGCCGCTTATCGACTCGTTCGCCCTCTCCGACCACATCATCAACTCGCCCCTCGGCAAGTGGGATGGCTCAGTCTACGAGTCGTACTTTGAGCAGGTGCGCGCGCAGAACCCGCTCCCGAAGGAGCACCCGTACTTTGCACGCCTCATCAAGCCGCTTCTGGAGCGCGAGCCGTTCGCGCATGAGGATGTTGAAGGCGAGATGGACCTCGACAACGAACTCCAGGAGATGCAGGCCAGGATGGCCAAGCGCAAGAGCAAGAAGCCCACCGCCCAGAAGCAGGAGTAGTGTATCACCACTGTAAATGTTAAAATGTAGACTCGTGCTCGGCAAGCTTAAGGTTGCGACAGTGTGATCTTGCGGCAACGGGTTGCACCTCCCGCGGTATGCCTGGTGAGCAAAACGCTAGGTGTGAGCGTCAACTCTGCCAGTGCCAGCACCGCAGACAAGATTTAATCTCAGCGCCGCATCGTCATGCTTCCCGCCTGTGCTCCCGCTCACTCGCTACACAGCGGGAGAGCAATACAACACCGTATCTCGGTGACTCTGTCGCCTCATAAGGCAGTAGCATCGCGGCTCATGCTCTCAATGCCCACAATGCCATCCTCCGCCCGCGCGTCCTCCTCTGCTGTCCTCGCTCTAGGTGGCTCACTTGTGGCATCGGCTCTGCTGGCTGCCGGCTACCAGGCAGCCTGCATTGGCGGCGTCGCGTGCGTGCACAGCAAGTGGCTCTTTCTCCCGATAGTCCCGCTGGCAACCATTGCGCACCTCATGTCATGCGCGGCCGTCGCGGCAGACCGCGCCACTTTCAAACGCAAGTGGTACCCGCGAGCATCGGTACGTCGTGTAGCGAAGGCGCTGATTTCAGGCTGCAGCGCTGTCCTTGGCTATACTTGCGTTCATCGTGTCTTTCACTGAGTGGACCAAGGTCGACCTACAGCCAGCATTAGCACAGCGGACCGGATATGGGGTCATGCTTATCGGGCAAGGAGCATGGGTTTCGTTCCTCACGTAAGTCCGCGGACCCGGAATGGGGTCCGTGAAAGATGCCACTGGAGGCTGTCGTCATTCCCTCGGTCACTGCACGGGGTGACAGAGCACGCTGATCCCAGGTTTCTGCTTGGAGACGCTGTACCCAGCGAAGGGAAGTATACGCTGCCCTTGCGTGCGAAGAGGGACATGCGGCCTAGGTCATGGGGTCGGTGGGGCAGTTTTCAGTGGAATTAGGTGGAGGTAGATTCAGTACTCTTCATAGTGGCACACACGCAGATCATGATGCCCATCACTCAACTGATCAGATACAGGATGCACGGGCGTCAGCGTCGCGACTGACCTCGTATGCATGTTTGACTCCAGACAGTGTCAGAAGCGTCTGTCGTTCATACCAGTGAGTGCTGGAAACTTGCTTGCGGAGGGGCACGTGGCTAGACCGAGGTGCTGACCAATATCTGCCTGGGGTGCGTCGGTGCTGAGCAACGGTTCCGCGCTTGACATACACTTTGTTTACGTTCCTCGGTGGTTCCTTGCGCCGTCATGTATCCATTACCACATCACGTAGGGACCAGCTCCGAACACCAGATGCAGATCGGTTCACATATAACGGCGTCGGCAACGCTTGGAGTGTCTCACAACATTTCATGTTCCCCCAACTCCCCCGCCAGCTCTCGCTCATCGCACCGCAACTTCTCCTCCTTTCCCGCAATTTCACCGCCATGGCCCCGAAGACCATCACTGTGGACATCACGGTGAGTTCCCAACCACTTGCGACTCGTGCTGACCCCAGTCCGACACCGTCTGCCCCTTCTGCATTCTGGGCATCTCGCAGCTCAAGCAGGGCGTGGAGGCGTACAACGCCGAGAACCCGACAGCGCCCGTGACGATTCACCACAAGCTACACCCATACCAGCTGCGCTCTGAGATGGCGTACGAGCCCGTGGCGCGCAACGCCGACATGGACGCGCGCTACGGCTCGGGCGGCCGCGGGCCGGTAATCCGCGCCAACCTTGCGCAGCAGTTCGCCGACGCCGGGCTCAAGTACGCGCCCGATACGTTGCTCGCCAACACGCACCGCGCCCACCGCCTCGAGATGCTCGCCCGCGAAAAGGGCGATGAGGTATCGTGGGACGTTGGAATGGACCTTATGCGCGCGTACCAGATCGACGGGCAGGCGCCGTCCGACCCCGCCCTGCTCGCAAAGGTTGGCGTCAAGCATGGGTTGTTCTCGTCCCAGGAAGAGGGCGAGAAGTGGGTCCTCTCCAACGCACTTGACAAGGAGACCAAGGCTGCGTACGCCGAGGGCCGTGGGAAGGGCATCAACGGCGTTCCCAACTTCATCTTCCAGGACAAGTACCAGACTTCAGGCGCCATTGGCAAGGACGGGTTCAAGTCTGTTATTGCTCAGATCGTCGCCAAGGACGCCTAATTCAGCCCGCCCTGTAGCCATAGCATAGTTGCAATGTGACATTAGCTCCACCGTTAAAGAATCTGGGAGTAGCCTATATTAACAGGCGAGTTTAGCTGAGAAGCCACGCCGTGATAGCCCCTACCCCCCCTCCAACACCGCATAGGTCGCCTGCCCCACCGTTGATGCCCTCTATCGGCCACTTGGCGCCTGCGCGAAGTGCATAAAGCGCAAAAACGCAACCCCCGCCGACCAGCGCTCCAAATCGCTGTCGTCAGTTTGTCAAAAGCATCGAGTACTAACAGCAACAGTCACTGCGCGACGGCCGGAGGCGGCGAGCGCGGCCAGTGCGACCTCGGCGACTGCCGCTGCAATTAGCGATTTGTCCTCGGCCGGAGCGATGTTGTAGTTCAAGGGCAACTCACCTATCGGCAGCAGCATCAGATACCGCTGGCTGCCATCTAACAACGGCGAGCGATATGGCCACAGACGGGTGCATCCTTCAGGCGTGCAGAAGCCGAAGACGCCGAAGCGGACCCACGTGTCTCCGGACACGAGGGTGAGGAGCGCCAGAGGCGTGTGCGGCGCCGACAGGGATGCGGCGGTGCTGTTGTCAGTCGGTTCGCCGGAAACGGGTCAAACGCACAGGAGGATGGCGCTCAGCGCCGCCGCCATCAGTGCTGGAGTGAGCATGGCGAGTGTGGAATGCCAAGATTGTGACGTCTTCAGGCTCATCTTCAGGCCCCAGATCCCGCGAACGCCGCGCCTGTTTTGCTTTCCTTGGCCCTTGTTCTCAGGTGTTGGCGTTCCGTTCTCGTCGTTATAGGCCCCCACAGTCAAGGCTCGAGCGAGACAGGAGCTCTTCCAAACAAGAGAACAAGCTATGCAAGCTAAAACCACCACTTGTGATCAGCTGACCTCCTGCTATCTTTTCTCAGGGCCGAGCGCTATCTCCATCGGAGCATCGGAGCGATGCCGCGATACCGCCCATTTGCAGGCAGGGCAGCCGGTGACCCGACGCCGATCCAGTGTGGCGTTGCCAAGAGCCGCATCGCACAGCATGCTTTGGCCGTGTGCCAGCAGAAGCGCGGGTCCGAGCCCGAGCTCGCTACATGAGTTGCGTCTTGCGATCTACCTCTTGCATTTCTACTCCTCCCACACACTCGTTTTTATCGGCGTCTGGCACGCCCAGCCAACTTCCTTATCTCCGTATCTCTTGGCCCCCTCTCACCCCCCTTACACACACGATGCCTTGTCCCGGCGATGCCGATGGTGACGGCGCAGGCGGTACGTCTGAGCTTTTAGCCAAGCCAAGTTCCAATGTGGCTGACAGCAGCCGAGTGCGCGTGGCGCAGCATCGGCGTCGACGAGTGGGCATGCGCCTACTGCCGGCGTCCCTACGTCGTCGAATAGTGTACATCTCACACCACTTACACATTTCTACTCCTACACTTTCCACTGCAGCGCAGTCCTCGTAGCTGGTCTACAATGTTCACATGCAAGCGCCCAAGCGCGCCTCTCATGGCACATTCTTGCACGTCCCCTGCCCATCAGACGTGCACGCGCCAAGGTTCAGTCTGGCGGCGAGCCGCCCCACGTCGGCGTTGTGCCGAGACACGAAACCACGAAGGGTGGCGTGTGCACTGCGTCCCCAGTCGAGTTCGTCGAGGAGGAAGCGCCAGAGGGCGAGGAGGGACGCGTCAATGCGTGCCGCTTCCGGGGTAGAGATTGTATTAGAAAGCCAGGCGAGCTGGGAATAGTAGGCGCCCACGTTGATCGTCTCAGATTCGAGGGCGATGGTGAAGGACTCGGTAGACAGCTCGGAAGCTGGGGTCGATGTGGTGGAGGGTGAAGGCGACGTCGAGGTTGAAGCCGTCGCCGAGAGTGAGAGTGAGGACTGGGGTCAGCCAGCTGGAAAGAGCATCGACTGACCTGCGGAGACATTGTCTGTGTAAGAGACATTGTGATGTGAGGGATGTGCTGGTCGTCAGCGCGTTCATTGGTAGATGTAGTGCATCTGCTGATGGCTGAGAAGCACGGTAGCAGGTGGTTGACCGCTAACAAGCAGACTGAGTTGCACGGAACGGATCACTGCAGCTTGCACCAGAGCACCGCAAGTGCTCCGTTGCGGAAGACGGCACATCGCACTGTGTCAGAGCGGGCGGCCGAGTGATCACAGCACGGCAGAGTTAGAAGAGGTCAATTCCGTGTAGCATACAGGACGGGGCACCGCAACTCCCGGTCCGTGCGGGTATCGGTCGGTCGAGGGCTCTAAGAGCAATTCAAGAGCAGACCAAAGGGAGGCGTCTGCGCTGAGCTTCGGCCGCGGCGCCGCGTGCGTCATAGAGGTGGCACCAGTCTGTGCTGTCTCTCACACTCACGCCGGGGCACTCATCGGGTGCGGAAAGGTACGTCAGCAGGCATTGAAGGCTTGGGGATAAACATTTTGGCACCAGTCCTCCACAGGCGGACAGAATCTGGTGGCAGTACAGCTGTGTGGCGCGCAGGGCACCCACCCACCCCAGACCACAGCACTGGTTCAGGTCTTGCATGATCGAATGATGCCTATACGCGACGGCAGATTACAGGCCATCTTGTTCTCACAAATTGCATAACCCTCGGTTCTCCCCGCCTACTCGTCAGAAGACCTTTCCTTGCTTCACGGTGGAAGCCGTGGGGAGCATCAAATTGACCAAATATCATCTAAACTAATCTCCATCTCCCTGGTTGTCCCTACTATACATCCTATTTCTCTGTGTTGCCTTCTCAGTCCGTCCTCGACATGGCACAATGGCTCCAGTGATACACATCTCACGGCTTTAGCCCATTGTTCCGGGACGACGCTCCTAGTGGAGCTTTTTCATGCCTCCCCCTCTCCCTCCCACTCTTGTCATCTGTTTGATTAAGAAATTTATGGTTCTCTCGCGTCTCGCCTCCTGTGCAGTTTATACCGCCCATGACCCTACGGCACCATCACATCCCCCACGCTACATTATCTGGTTTTACTACACCCCGGGGTCAGAAGGTCCGCTTTGCTCGCAAAATTACTACTGTTTTGTCATCGCGAGCTCATCTTTCCAGGTCATCGGCCATATGGCCTCCGGTGGTTGCCTCTTACACATGAGTGTTGGATCGGATCGTCTCGGTCGGTTTTGACCTCCCAACCACCCTTCTTCTATGGGTAGTTGTCTCACCTGAAGGTCTCGCCGAGTAACTGTGGCATACCTGACTATATCTTCTGTGGCCGCCTCCGCACTGCAGCTTGCAACTGGCAAATTGGAGCAGAGACCAAAACAAGATTGCTGCAGCATATCAGTCGATGCAACTCGGGAGGGACACATTAAGCATCAGTCGAATCGGCACCGCAGTGACCTTCCTCCCCTCTCCTCAACGACTCTTCTCAGTCACCCAGTCTCGACTCTGTGCTTTCGCTCTTGTCCATCATCTCTCACTCCTTTACTCTTCTCGATTCTCGTCCTCTACCTCTTCCTCTCTCCTCTCTGTCACCCTCCTTCCCATCGCCCTCTATTCTACAAATCATAACTGTTTCCCATGGGTAAAGGCAAGCGCCCACAAACCCGTCTCCGCCATACCAGCATCACAAAGCAGAAAGCTGTCGAGATCATCAACCGCATCCGCGACGCTCTTCAGCCGCCCTCGCCCTCCCCGGCCAACGCCCAGCTCGAGGCCCTCGCCGCCGCTACCCGCGCGCACGAGATGACGACGACGCTCAACCCCGACCATCTGGGCCTGGAAAGCGCCATCGAGCAGCCGCCTACCACTAACCCCTTGGCAAACCTTCCTCCCGAGAACGCACAGCTGTGGCTCTCACAATCAATGGAAACGTTGCTCGACTCGCCCAATGTCGACTCCGATCCAACTCCAACTTCCAAGTCTGTGACCCGGCATGTTCGCGAGCAGGCGCCTTCCTCAGAGCTACCTGATGCGCGTAAATCACCCCGCCCAGATCGCGGCCGGTACCTTGTGAAAACTAACGGCCTCCAAATCAACGTTTTTCCCCCCTCGGAAGGCAGTGACACCTCGAGCTCCTCCATAGCCACCAAGGGTAACGATGCCGGCCGCTACAGCGATCGCCCTCTCACCTGGAACGAGCTTTGGCAGGCTTGGCCAACTCTCACCGCTCAGGAAATCAAGAGTATCCGCCAAGGGGATATGCCCGTGCAGACTATTGCCTGGTCGTATGCTCCGCCACGCTCTGAAGATGACACTGACGACAGCGACCATTTCAATCTGTACGGGTACTTCACAACTGTGTAAGTTGATCTCAGCCTTCCCTTGTCTCGCCTCACTCCTCCACCACAATTCCATCCCACTACCACTGCACGCTGACCCTAGCGATGCCCCGCTTAGCATCCATCCACCCCAGCGCACATCTTCCCACCTCATGTCACCATGGCAGATCGCTAAACTCTGGGTAACCCGCGGAATGCACCTACAGATCGTAGTGGAAATCTACAAGCTACGCTTTGGCGACGAGCATCGCCGAAAGCTTGATGGCATCATGGACTTTGTCAGGAGCGTCAAGGAACATCAGATCGAGCAGCGGCTGCAGTTTGTCCGCAGGACGTTGGCCGCCGGTAAAGAGTGTGTAATATTTGCTTGTCCCGCTCACACTAAGAAAGAAGGCAAAGGAGGATTTTGTGCAAACTCTCGGCCAGTACGCCAATGCCATTTTGTGGACACTTCCCTGGTTCGACGAGGCGGGCCCGTTTTGCCCCGACATCAACACCCTCATTGTGCTGTGCGCTACCTCTTTTCGCTGGCGAGGCTGACCGTAGACGTGGGCAGTGCTTTGCCATGATTGCCCGAGCCGTGGGCCTGCACTGTTGGCAGCCGACTCCGCTTATTCCTATGGCCAGCATCGGGTGGGATGCGATCAAGGCGGTTCTCTGGAATGCGCAACGGTACCCAACCTCGATCGTTAAAGCTACGTGTGAGTTGGCGCCGCCATACGAGATGCTGATTCCTTCAGGCGACGCTGCCGGCCTCGTGAACGACTCACTCCCCATCTCCCGTCACAGTAAACCGCGCGAGCAGCACGCTGCTTTCTTCACGGAGCAGGCAAACTTGCTCAAGCAGGCCACGTGCGAAATGTTTGTCGATGTCCCGGACCACCTGCGTTCTCCCTTCTTCCGTTTCAACATGTGGAACGAACACCACGAGGGATGCTGATCGCTGGCGGTCCGCAAGCCTCATCTCCATTACTTCCCTACTGTCAGTTTGCGCTTTACACGACAAGGAAAGAGATTCCGTAGACTGTTCGCTCAGATGGCCTGATAAGATGAGTTACTTCTGGTTCGTAATATTGTGTACCTGCCATCCTGTACGGCAAATGAAGATAGTGCACCTGTTCTACTCGGCTCTGCCTGTCACAACTATACTCGGCTCCCCATGTAATTACGCCTCAATCTCCTGGTTCTCGCGCTTCTTGAGCACAAGCTTCTCGCCCTTGATGCGCTGCCACACGTCGGCAACATCGTCTTCATGTTAGCCCCAGAAGCGCATCTGCCACTCACCAACAACCGTCTCGAAGTGCGAGGTAGCGTCGTACGACTTGGTGATGCTGATTATCAGTCGCGTGACCCGGACGCTGCCGACGGCAAACTCACAAGATGTTGTCGGTCGAACCGTCGGCGGTGGGGGCGTAAAGGGGAAGGATCGAGACGAACTTGTCCTCGACCTTCCCAAGGAGCTGAAGACCGGGAAGGATCTCACGCTCAGGCACCGAGGTCTCGACAATGGTAGAGACGATGGCAATGTACACGCCCTCGGCAGCGACGTTGTGAGCCGATGACACGGCGGCGATGTAGATGTCTTGAATCAGCTTCCAGCCCATGTAGCTGCCAGGCTCGGCACTCACCGTTCTTGCGCCCAACCTGGTTCTGAGGAATGATGATCTGGCACGAGTCGGCGTTCTCTGTGCCGGGAATGGGGTGCTTGAGAATGCAGATGGCACGGACGACCTTGCCGGTCTCGACGACGCGGATCTTGCCGCCCTCGGCCTCCTGGCCGGCGCCAAAGTATGAAGGGTCACCAATGACGCGCTTCGCCTTGACGGTCTCACCGTCCGAGGTGACGCTCACAAACTTGCCATCCTCGTCGACATTGACCGAGTCGACCTTCTTCGACAGCATGTAGGTACCGCCGTAGACGGCCGACAGACGCGAGAAGGCCTGGGGCAGTTCTCCGAGGCCATACAGAGGGTAAAGGTAGGGCGACTTGCCGTACCGTGCCATGGACTCGGCGTAGAGACGAATGCGCTCCATGGTCGGCTTGGCGGGCTTGGTCTTGTAGCTGGGGTCAGCGTGGACCGATGTTTCCTCCTACTCATCGTCGAGCCACAGAGCCATGGCGTGGCCGATGAAGTCTTGGGTGCCAGGCTCCAGACCATACTTGGCGAAGAGATCGGTCATGGTCTGAGTGTCCGCGTCAAAGCCTATCGACGTTAGCGCTGATCTGACCGCGCGGGACGGGCGCGCAAGGTCCGCCGCCCGGACCCAGACCCAGACCTACCCTCGTGCGTGGCCGGGTCGTCCGGGTTCCACCTCTGGAGGTAGCCAAAGAACTTGCGGGCGCGGTTCTTCTCGAAGAGCCCCATGAGCGACGAACGGATAGCCTCGCTCTCATTTGAAGGCACCTTGGCGATCTTGCCGTCACGATACACGTACGACCCCGAGATCTGCTTGAAGTCGAGGTAGCGGGTCACATCGGTGTGTACGAGGATCTTGGTGAGCTCACCCGATGCGAGGATGAACTTGGGAATAAGGTCGACGGCGTATGAACGGTCCTTGCCAAGGTTGAGCTCCTCGGGAGGCGCGCTTCCACGGAACTTCTGGTAAAGCTGGGATTAGCTCGGCGTGCATGCCATCGCACCTGGGTGAGGTTCAAGGAAGCGCTCTCGCCGCCGTAATAGTCGTTGCGGTCCATGTGGAGGACCTTCTGGCCGTCGACCGAGAGGAGGCCCGAGAGAATGCACTCAGTGAGGCCAGTGCCCTGTGCGCGCGGTCAGTACGTGTCATGTGTTACGCGTGTCGTGTAGAGCCCGGTAGACTTACGAGAACGATAACCTGGGAGTGTCAGCGGCAGCTCATAGTATGGGGAGGCAAGGAGAGGCTAGGGGCTGGGTTACTTGTCGCAAATGCTTTTGGCGACGGGGTGTAGAGGGCGTGCAGGAAGGTGCAACTCACATCATACTCCTCGTCCATAATGAGCTAGTGTCGATGGATAGTGAATGCAGGAGGTGAAGGGGGTGGCGGAGCGCGAAGAGAGATGAAGTGGGATGCTGAGGAGGTGTGGAGTGACGGTTAGAGAGTGAGAGATGAATAGAATGAGAGAGAGAGAGAGAGCGAGAGAGAGGATGGATGAGATGTGAGGAGAGAGAGAGATGGTGGACGGGAGCCGCAGTGGCAGTGGTGAGCTTGACACGCACGGCAGCCAGCAGCCAGCCAGGCGCGCGTGCCGGCGCGCGCCACTGCTCCCGCTGGCCGCTGGGGTCATCGCCACGTGGATGCCTCCACCTGATGATGCAACGCACTTGCCATGTGGAGGTCTGATTCGTGCCTGATCGTGGGGGTGAGGAAGCCGTACGGTGAGGAAGCGTACGGTGAGGGAAAGGATAATGCCGGGTTGTGGCAATCTGCGGCCTGCGGGCTGCGCTGCCCAGGCATGCAAGACATTCAGTGCCGATTCCGTTCAACAACTCGTACTCGTCCTGTCCTCGCTTCCATCATCACCCTCCGCGCCCACCCCTTTGCACACCACCTGATACAGCGTCCACATCGTCGTCAATTCGTCAACAATTTCACTGCGGCGTCTTGCTCCTATCCTTGCCTACGCGTTGCTCGCTTGATTTAACTGGGAGATTGGTACTCTGATCTGGCAAGGAACGGCGCCGACAGCGTCACAGACTCAGACATTACCCTTCACAACCCATCCTTCCCTCCACCCACCCGCTCACTTCATTACCATGCCACCTGCACAAAACGTGTACAATTACCACCCCCTTGGCTACACGGCCCAGGAAGAGGTGGATGATCTCGAGCTCTGTGAGCGCGCCTGTCCTCGAACGGGCTTGATAGATCACGCGAAGGGCTGACCCGCAGATTCCCCTTCAGATGGCTCGTCCGAGGAGACCGACTCTCTGGCGTGGATTGTAAGTCCTTGATTGATGACCTGGACTTACACAGACATGGTTCACCACTCACATCCCCGGCCACGACTATTTCTGCGAGGTGCACGAGGACTTCATCGAGGATGATTTCAACCTAACTGGTGCGCAGCAGATTCATGATATCCGGAACTGACGTGACAGGTCTACAGTCCTTAGTTCCGTTCTGGAAGGAAGCACTGGAAATGATTCTTGACGTGGAGCCAGGTTAGTTCGCGCCATGCCGACATCGTTGACAAACAGAGGAGGACTCGGCCAAAATTCCAGACGTGTCCATCGTCGAGTCGTCAGCCGAGTTGCTGTACGGACTGGTGCACCAGCGCTTCATCCTTACCAAGCCAGGATTGTCAATGATGGTGAGCGCCGCGCCTCTATGTGACTAACCGCCAGTTGGAGAAGTATGAGCAGGGTGACTTCGGCCTTTGCCCACGCGTGTACTGCCACTCCACACATGTGCTGCCCTGCGGCAGGTCTGACATGCCTGGCATCGATACGGTCAAGCTGTATTGTCCAAACTGCGGCGACATCTACAGCCCGCCGAGCAGCAAGTATTCACAGGTTGACGGTGAGTTGCCAGCGTAGTTTTGGTCTAATGCCAGGCGCCTTCTTTGGGACGTCCTTCGCGCCGCTCTTCTTCCAGACGTATCCCGAGCTGCTGTCTGCGCCATTCGCCCCAGTCGAGCAGCCACCGACGTCGTCGTCGACACCCAGCAACCGTTCATCTCCGTCCAGAATTGCCGAGTCGATTGTTAACCCGAACGCCTATGGCGGGCAGCGGGCCGCGCTGAACAAGGTCTACGCGCCGCGCATATTTGGCTTCAAGGTGTCGGAGCGCGCGCGCAGCGGACCGCGCATGCGCTGGCTGCGCGAGCGGCCGGAGCGATATGACGAGCTCGAGGACGTCGACTGGAAGGGACGGTGGAAAAAGGGCAAGGGCGTGGTCGCCGACGACGATGAAGGGGTCAAGGCTGAGGGCCGCAATGGGCGTCTGTTTGACGAGGACGATGATGACGATGAGGAAGAGGAGGAGGAGGAAGAGGAGAATGCCGGCGCAGCGGCCCCGGTGGCTGGGCGAGTGCGTTAGTGTATTGTAGCGGCATGTCCCGTCTGACATAGATGCGTTGCTAGCATCAGAGCGCGCTTTTTGGCTCTGTTCTGTCTGGGTTTCCGTCAATGTAACCTGCATGACGAGATTATGAACGGGCAGCATTGAGGTGAGCGGAAGCGGAAGCTTTTTGTCCAGTCCAAAAGTTGGAAGGCCGGCGATGTAACCAGTTCGCAATAATACACTATCATGTTCCGCCTCGCACGACTTGCCCCAGTGCGGCCGCTGCAGACACGGAGCTACACCGGGGGTGCGCTTTACCCGACGTCCTACCTGTTTGCCGGGGCGCGCGCACGTCCGACATTCACGCCACGGCAAGCCGGCGAGGAATCTGGTCCGAGGAGGGACAGCCGGTCTTCAAGAGATGGAGATGGGCGACCCGGCCCTTCCAACCGCGACCGCGCCCCGCGAGACACGCGATTTCCCAGAGGAGACCGCTCGTCCGCGCCCTGTGAAGGATCGCGGAGCGGCTCGTTCTCGCGCGGCGCACCTGGCGCCGTTGCGGGCGCGGCGGCGTTCCGCGGCTCGCGGGGTCGTGATTCGAACCGTGACGCGCGAGGTGACCGTGACCGCGACCGCAACTCGCATCGCTCGGCGGACCGTCCCGCGAGGGAGTGGAAGGTGCGCGGCATGACGCCGCCCACGTCCACAAATCCGTATACCCTGTCGGAGCGTGTTAAGAAGTACCTCGCGCGACACCCGGACAGGATGACGAGGCCCCAGATTGACGAGATGCTTGCTATTGTCCGGAGTGCTCCGCCGTCTATGTCGACTGCGCCGGTGTGGAACCTCGTGCTCTCGAGGATGGGGCGGGACGGGTATCACACTGCCATGTGGAAGGCGTTTAATGAGGTGAGCCCAACTTGCCGCCTGCCACCTGGGTGGACATGGTGCTGGGGCGTTCTCTAGGCTCAGCCCGCTAACCTCAGATGAAGAAGCGTGGTACACATGCCTCGTCGCGCACCTTCACTGTTCTGTTGAACGCGTACGCAGGAGTCGCCCACTCTGGCATGGTGAATGAGACATTCTCTCCCGCGCACCGACCGGAACGTCTAACTCTCGAGCGTGTCCGGCGTATCTACGACCTCAGCCAGGCTCACATCCGCAAGATGCTCTCAAAGGCGTCCAGGAATGAGGGCAGCCGGGACGACCTCGGCGTCGCCTACCCGGAGGGCGAGGAGGGTGAGGCACCCATGCTCCCCAGCGAGGAGGTCAGCGTCTGGCCGACCAACGCGTATCTCAAGTTCCTCGGCCGCTACGGCATGTGGACTGAGATGGAGGCGGTCTTTCTCGCTATGGACAGGGAGGGCCCGCTCGCCCCCGATGCCGCGACTTACTACACTATGCTGAGCACGGCCAACAACGTCGACCACTACCGCCGCTCGACGAAGGAAGATATTGGCCTGCCCGTTATTGAGGTTGGCAGCGTCGGGCGCGGATACTTCGACCAGGCGGTGCGCACGCTCGGCGGAGACCTCGACGAGCGCCTTGCGCTCGCGGCGCTCTCCTGTTTCGCGGCCGGCAGCCCCTCCGACCAGCGCGTGGCGGAGGAGCTCGTTCCGCGCCTCTGGAACCTCCCCGCTCCGGGGCAGCCTGCGTCGGCCACGGGCGTCAAGGGGAAATACACCCTCCTGCCTCGGGCATGGGCGACTCTCCCGACTCTCAAGCTGAGCGTGCGGTCAGCGACGGCCCTCCTTTCCACCCTCAGGCGGATGGGCAACAAGTCGCTCGTGGCCCACTACACGCGCCTCGTCGCCGAAGGGCCGCTGGCCCGCGACGCCGACCTCGCGCTCCTCCGGACGTTTGTGCACAACCTCTCGTTCGCGGGCGACGCCGACGGCGCCAGCGCCATCCTCGAGACGTTCCAGCCGCCGAGCGGCCCCGACGGCTGGCCCGCCGACGTGTACCTCTCCGTACTGGGGGCGGCGCGCTGGGCCGCGGACTGGGACATTGCGCTCTCCACGTTCCGGCGGATGGTGGCCCTCCCTCCCGCGGCCGAGGGCGGCGCAGGCAAGTATGTGTGGAAGGCGCCGAACGGGCGTGGGCAGGACGTGCGCGGCCGCGCATGGGTCCCGCCGCGCCCGCACGACATCTCGGCGCCCGCCATGGGCCTGCTGTTCAAGACGGCGCTCGCGTGCCTCAAGCACGGGATCAGGCCGCTGCGTGCCGCCGCGGACATCTACGACTTCTTCGGCCCCGACGCCTTCTTCGAGGTGCGCACGTCGGCCGGCGTCGTCGACATGAATGCCGGCGAGGCCAAGCACTGGGATCTGAGCGGGCGCGACTACCGCATGATTGGGGAGGCGGTGGACTTTGCGCGGGAGCTGGAGCTCGTGGCGGAGCGGCTGGTGGAGACGCCGCGCAGCCCCGAGGACAAGGCGAAGCACGAGGGATGGCGGCGGGACGCGGCGCGCATCGTGCGTATTTGGGGCATGAGGGTGGAGGAGCGGGGAGATAGGAAACCCAAGGCGAGGTTCTTGCGCTCCCTCGATTAGACACATTCGCATTGTACCACTATTCATGCACACATCGTTCCAGGCTGTCAGAGATGTCGCCCAATGCACATGCATGATGCCAACCACTACTGCGTCTAAGAGAAGTCCTGCGCGTCAAGCTCGCCGAGAAGCATGTTCGAGTCCTTGGACCCGGTCAGGATGATCGGTTCCCTGTCCGTCAGCGTGGTTCATCGTGCCGTCTGCGTCCCAACATACCGAGGATGCAGGTCCACACCTGTGACGGCGCCCTTGTGACCCGGGAGCTTGTACAGGATCTTGCCCGTCTGCACGTCCCACACCGTCACCGTGCGGTCGCCGCCGCCCGCTGCTATCCGCTGCCCGCCGTCGTGCTTCGACCACGCACAGCGGATCAACGTCTGCTCGAAGCCCGACGGTGCGCCAGACAGCGTGCGGTAAACACGCATGGGGTCGGATGAGAAGGGCCGCACGTCGTAGATGATGAGTGCGGAGTCAAGCGAGTACGTCGCAAGGTAGTGCCCGTTAGGCGAGAGCGCGAGGGAAGTGATCTGGAGTTAGTCTGCATTGGGGGGAACACATCGGACCGGCGACGATCACACAAAGCAGAGCGAGCGCTCTGCGACGCCCCGCTCCCCTCCTTCGGTTTCTCGGCGTCGTCGCTACAGCTGGAGCCATTCCAATGGCACTCACGGTATCCGTGTGTCCCTTCAACGAATACAACATCTTTTCTGTCCGCAGATCCCACACCTGTCGTCAGCTTCGTTGGTCCGGGAAGCTCTCACCTTCACTTCGTTGTCAACGCCGCCCACGAAGCACTGATTCCCGTCGGCGCTCCACTCCACAGCCGTCACTGGGCAATCGCGCTCGTCGTCAAACTCGGCCACTGGCTCCTTCATGCCGAGCGACGGGTCCCAAACGCGCGCAATCCCGTCATCGCCCCCCGTCAGCACGAGCTCATGCCCGCCCGAGATCGCCACAGCAATCGAATTCAGGGGGCCAAAGTGCGCCGCATACTTGGCTACGCGCGCCCCATCCTCGAGATCCGTCGCGATGAGGTAGCCGTCCGCGCCGCCCGAGTAGAGCACCTTCGAATCGAGGGAGAACGCAATGTCCAACACGGCTTGCTTGTGCACGTGTGGGATGAGACCGTAGTTGTCATGTGGAGGATACGTCCTCCACAGCGCTGCGGGTTAGGCTTGCTGACCACATACGCTTACAGATTGCGCGGTCGATGGAGCACGCCGCGATTGTTTCTCCTCGTGGGTCAAACTTGCACGCCGTAATCTCTCCCTGCGTGTCAGTACGAGAACTCTTAAGGTGCTGTCCAGATGGGACTGGCATCATGACACCTTCCTGTGTCACTTACTCCGTGAGCTCCCGCCAACGACACAATCGGCGCCTCCAGCCCACTAGTACGCTTGATCGTGCGCACCAGTGCGTTCTTCCGCTGTCCTTCGCCCGACGACGCGACCGTCAGAGTCATCGTGTTCTCTTCCTCGTCATCCTCTACGCGCGCGCGCTTCGCGACGGCCATGCCAGGCCCAGAAGGGGGAGGTGATTTGCGAACAGACATGCTGCACAAAGGATGGTGCAAGCCCTCCGGAAAGAAGGTGCGAGGGTGGCGCAGGTGGCGCGGAGAGGACGCAGTTACTTTGCAGCTTAGATGCTGCGAGTGTAATGAGGGCGGATGGCTGAGCAAGTGCTGAAGGCGAGGAGGAGAGAGAGAGGGATGGAGAGTTGCTCTCTGAGTCTTGCGAGTGCCAGTTGCCAGTTGTTGGTGAGGAGTGGAGAGATATTCTTATGGGGGTACTGAATAAGGTGTTATTAGCGGAACCAAACGATGGATTGTTTGGGTGGGATGCCGGCCTGGGCGCGAGATGCGTGTGTGGACGCCATGCATCAGCACCATCCACCGCTTCGGCGGCAACCACCACCACTCTCTTTCAACATCTTCCGCCCCTCCTGCCCATCAACGTCCACATTTATCTATACTCTTCACTTGGCCCATCGTGGCCGGACGCGGCCAAACTCCCGCCATTCACGCGCGCCGCAAATCTAGCCGCCTCGGGGCAGCGCGAACATGGCCACGCCCACGCGTAGAGCCGCGTCGCGTTCCGCTCCTTCCTCGTCGCGCAGTACCAGGACGCCAACGCGCACCCGAGGCGCCGTGCAAGGCACTCCTACACCACGCAAGCGAGCGACTGACGATTTTGCCATCGACCCCGCATTGCTTGATGAACAAGATGGCAGCGTGCAGGAAGACATCGACGCCGAGGGCGAGGTTGATGACGGGGTCGGCTACTATTTCGCTGTAAGTCGCGCGATATCAGTTCGCCCCGAACGAGGCTCTGACTGTATCAGCCAGAGGGATACTACTATCCTCCCGTCGCAGACCCGGCACTGGAACCACCCTTCGTCGCCGCCAGTGCGCCCCCCGCCGTTGAGAACGACATTCCTCTCAGCGCTGACCCCTTCATGGAATCACATCTCGCGTCAACCTCGACCCGTCACTCGCTCCCCCCTGCCGAGCACACTCTCGGGTCCCTCCACAACTCACTCGCGCCATCACCAATGCCCATGACTGCAGGCAACGGCCCCTCGATGAAGCGCAAGAGAGCACGCTCCCGCAAACACCCCATAGAACCAATCGCGAATGGTAGCGACGCAACCCCCAAGGCCAAACCTAACGGCAAGCTCGCCAAGGAGGGCTCGACTGCACCGCGCGCGAACGGTAAGACGTCCAGCAAGGCTCTCATCGTCAGAGAGGAGGTGTGCGGTTTCTGCCAGAAAGCCGACTTCAAGAACGAGAACGGACCCAAGGAGAAGCTCCTCAGTTGCGCGATGTGCGGTCGCAGCGGGCACCCTGTATGCCTGGGCTTCTCCAATCCGCAGCTCAAGAAGAAAATCATGAGCTACCCTTGGTGCTGCATTGAGTGCAAGCCGTGTGAGACCTGTCGCTCACAAGGCGATGATGTGAGTTGTTGATTGTGGGACGGAGAGATGATTGACGCCAGAATCGCCTGCTGTTCTGCGATGGCTGCGACCGAGGCTGGCATAGCTACTGCCTTGTACCGTAAGTCCACGAAGTGCTAAGCGCTGACGAGAGCAGGCCACTGAAAGGACCACCTCAAGGGGTATGGTACTGCGATACTTGCGCCGTCGATTTCAAAGTTGAGAACAACAAAGCCTCCACCTCCACCGCACGCGCACCCAGGACATCCACTCCTGCTGCAAGGCCCACAGCCCCGTCGAGGAAAGGCAAGGAGCGCGCCGTGGAGACACCGCTCGTCGAAGTGCAAGCTCCCACACCGCGTGACCGGAAGCGCAAAGCCAACACCTCATTGTCCCGCGACGACTCTCCTCTGAGCGAGCCCCCACCTAAGATCCGTCTCAAGGCCAACGGCCACCCAAAAGACCGCGATAAAGCTCGACGCGCCCGCGATGCCTCAAACCAAGACACATCAACAGGCACATCACCCGCAGGCGGTCTCGTTCTCAAGCTTCGCGTTCCCAGCGCTGCACGCCGCGACATTGAGGTCGAGGAAGAGCCCGAGGAGCAGGTGCCATACGGGGGCGTCATTGAGGGCGAGGACGCAGACACCTCTGGGACCACGATCCTCGCGTCCGACAAGGCGTTATTCGACAAGAGTCGGAAGGCAGCTGAGAACAGGCTAGGCGGGCCACCACTACCTCTGTGGGACCCTCAAGCCACGATAGCGTCGCCTGTCCCGTCACGGCCATCAACGCCCGGACCAGTCAAGCCGGGGAAGGCTCACTCTAAGGCTGCGCCAGCAACGCCGACGCTCTCAACACCCGGATTCGCCACACCCACTTCCACCTCGACTGCCATGCGACCGCTGCGCGATCGCGTCCTACTTCATCAAAATGCTTCGTCGAGCAATGTGCCCACTGTAAGCAGTCTCACATCATCTATCGCTGCGTCCGCAGCTTCTGGAGGTCACCCCGAGAAGATCAACAAGATTCGCTTCGGAGTGTACGACATCGACACCTGGTATCAGGCGCCATATCCGGAGGAGTACGCACAGGTCCCCGATGGCAGGCTGTGGTTGTGCGAGTTTTGCTTGAAGTACATGAAGAGCGGCTTCGTGGCTGGCCGGCATAGAGTGAGCTCAGCTGAAGGAGGGTTTCCGCTGACTTTAGATGAAATGCAAGGCGCGCCACCCACCAGGCGACGAGATCTATCGTGACGGGAACGTCTCCGTGTTTGAAGTTGACGGACGCAAGAATAAAGTAAGTGGTTCTACTGTGCGTTTGCTGACCGCTCACAGATCTACTGCCAGAACCTCTGCCTTCTTGCCAAGATGTTCCTGGACCACAAGACGCTTTACTACGACGTAGAGCCATTTCTGTTCTACGTGATGACTGAGGTGGATGACCTTGGAGCCCGGTTCGTTGGATACTTTTCCAAGGAGAAGCGCAGCCCCGATAACAACGTGAGCTGCATCATGACGCTCCCTGTGCGCCAGCGCAAAGGTTGGGGTCAGCTCCTAATCGACTTCAGTGAGTTATCTGTCTTCCTCACGAGACTGACGTCAGGCTACCTGCTCTCCAAAAAGGAAGGGCGGAGAGGCTCCCCAGAGCGACCTTTATCAGGTCTTGGTCTGCTTAGCTACCAGAGCTATTGGCGCAACACCGTATTTCAGTTCTTGCGGAAAACCACTGGCCGCATTCGCCTAAAGGGTGAGTCAAGGAGTTGACCACGCTAAAGCGCTCAGACATTGCCGCCGCGACCTCGATGACATTAGCAGACATCTTTACGACATTGCGCGACCATAACATGATCAATGTACTGGAGCCCCCTCTGCAGGTGGCAGCCTCTCGACAGAAGTTTCGCCGCGGGCGGCCTCAGAAAAACAAGCGCACCCTTCCCGATCAGCCGCAGTTCGAGGGCAAAGAGAACGCAGTCGTCATCCCAAAGCGATATCAGATCGTCCCTAACCATGAGGTTATCGAGACGGTCCTGCAGAAGTTTGAAGCCAAAGGCTACCTCAAGCTTCGTCCGGAGCGCCTCAAGTACACGCCGTTCCTCACCACACGCGACCCTGCATACCGCTCGCTCCTGTCCACGACAACCGCGGGGGAAGAGGAGGACAGCGACGACGAGTCTCCAACACCATCGTCCAGCAAAGAGATTATCTCTACACCGGCCGATCTTGATCCTAGTGATGCCGAGGATACGCCAGACAAAATTGCCGCGGGCGAGGATAAAGCCACACTGCAGCTCGTTGCAGCTCTCACGGCTTCTCCTGTCCGCTCTCTGAGAAAACGGTCAATCAACAGCAGTAACCCGAGCCCGGAGCACTCGAACAAGGCGCTGCGCCGCACCATATCCGCGAGCCCCGCGAATGGGCGCCGAAGGAGCCAGCGGGGAGACAATTCGAATAGGGGTTCACCACAGAAAGCTGCTGCACTTCCAGCACCACCACCGCGCAAGAGACTGATTCTGGAGAGCGATGACGAAGAGCAGTCGGATGAGGATGCAGAGGGAGAGGAGGACGCGGAGGGGGAGGATGAGTATGAGGATGAGGTGGACTGAATGTCTGTAGCAACCATGAGCTCCAAGCCCGATGCTATATCATGTATGCTTTCAAAATCAGTCCTAGACTTGATAAGCTCTGAATACTAATCAGATTACTATGGCCGCGAATTTCCGGCCGTGGCACTCAGGCACTCTCACTTTTCACCGCGACACGACTCTGTTGTCCACCAACCACGATACCCATAACCACTCCAACCACCATGACCAATTTGGATCTCTCAGATTTCTCAGAAGAGGAGCGCTACGAGATTGAGCTCGAGCTCAAGGATGGCTACGCCGACATCGAGAAGGAGTAAGTCATACACGGGCGCTGCTGGCCTAGTGGTCACGACACCGTGGGTAGACGCTGACTTCTAGGTATGCCGTGGACTCGCAGAAGGGCTTTGAGAATGTGCTCGTGGTCGACAACGTTCCCATTGTTGACGAGGCAAAGAAGGAGAAGCTGATCCTGCGTCTCTGCCAGCTCTTCCAGAAGGCTGGTGCTCCCATCGACGAGGACCACGTCGACATGCCATGGGACGACAAGGCGGCCACGTCCAAGGGTTTCATTTTCCTGTCCTACCCCGATGCCGCGCAGGCTGAGAACGCGCTCGCTGCCATCGACGGCTCCAAGTTCGGCAAGAGCACGCTCTACGTGAACCGGTTTGGTGACATTGAGCGCTACGCCAACATGTCCGTCGGCGACGACGAGCTCCCGCCTGGCTGGAAGGAGCGCCCGTACACCGAGAAGGACCACGCGCGCTCGTGGCTCGGCGACCCGGCCGGTCGCGACCAGTACCTCACCTTCCGCGACAACCTTGTCAGCCTGTTCTGGAACGGCCGCAACTTCCAGGAGGAGCCGGTCAAGACTCCCGACGGCAAGAACCTCACCAACCCTCTTTGGGGCCAGTACTACGTGCAGTGGTCGCCCCTCGGCACATACCTTGCGACGATCCACCTTCCTGGTGTTGCGCTCTGGTCGGGCCCCAAGCTCGACAACATGATCCGTGTGACCCACCCGGACGTGCGTCTCATCCAGTTCTCGCCCTGCGAGAACTACCTTGTCTCATGGTCGCCGGAGCCCCTCAACGTCGCCAACCCTTCGCCCAAGGTCGAGAAGGCTGTGCGCGACACTTTCGGCCCCGAGGACGAGGGCTCGCAGTTCGTCATCTGGGACGTCAAGACTGCTCGCATGCTGCGCACGTTCGCCGGCGAGAAGCCTGACGAGAACGGCCCGCGCGAGCGCAAGTGGCCCGTGTTCAAGTGGTCGCCTGACGACGCGTACGTTGCGCGTTGCGTGCCCAACGAGGCCATCCAGGTCTACGAGCTGCCCGACATGGGCCTGCTCGACCGCAAGTCGATCAAGATCGAGGGTGTGCAGGACTTTGAGTGGTGCCCCATGGGCGACAAGGACTGGGAGGACCGTAAGGCCAACAAGCCTACCAAGCGCGAGTGCATGCTCGCGTACTGGACGCCCGAGGCGCAGAACCAGCCGGCCCGTGTCAACCTCATGGGCATCCCTAGCCGTAACGTCCTTCGCGCGAAGAACCTGTTCAACGTTACCGACTGCAAGTTCGCATTCCAGAACCAGGGCGACTACCTTTGCGTCAAGGTCGACCGCCACGCGCGCAAGGCCAAGAACAAGAAGGCTACGTTCTGCAACCTCGAGCTGTTCCGTCTCCGCGAGAAGGACTTCCCCGTGGAGGTCATCGAGCACAAGGAGTACGTGACCTCGTTCGCGTGGGAGCCGAATGGACAGCGCTTCGCGATTGTGTCGACCTCGGACCCCAACTTCGGCCAGAACATCCCTGGTGTTGTCATCAAGTACAACGTCTCCTTCTACGAGCCTGACCCGAAGAAGGGCGACTTTACCGCCTTCAAGGTTCTCGAGGGCAAGGTGTGCAACACTCTCCTCTGGTCGCCCCGTGGCCGCAACGTTGTCCTCGCGAGCGTTGGAAGCCCTACCAAGTTCGACATCGAGTTCCTCGACGTCGACTTCACGTTCGACGACACCCCGGGCAAGGTTGCCAAGGACACTGAGAACCGCGGTGACAACGTCCAGTCCCTCGCGACCGGCGAGCACTACGGTATCACCGACATTGCTTGGGACCCCAGTGGACGCTACCTCGCGTCGTGGGCGTCGTCGTGGAACAGCACCCCGGAGCCGGGCTTCATGCTGTGGGACTTCAAGGGCCAGAACCTCGGCCACCAGGGCCAGGACAAGTTCAAGCAGTTCCTGTGGCGCCCGCGCCCGCCCACTCTGCTCTCCAAGGCCGACCGCCGCAAGATCCGCAAGGAGCTCAAGGAGTTCTCGCGTGTCTTCGAGGAGGAGGACGCTGCCGCCATCAACGCCGGCACGGCAGAGGTGCTTGCTGCCCGCCAGCGCGCCATCGCCGAGTGGGACGCCTGGCGTGCGCGCAACAACGCCCGCCTCCTTGCCGAGCGCAAGGCCCGCGGCAAGCTCATCGTCAAGCCTTGGGACAAGGAGGGCGCGGCCGAGAAGGTCGAGGAGGTGTTCGAGGAGCTCATCGACGAGACCGAGACCATCGAGTAAGCGGGAAGTAGGAGGGCACACAAGGTGGAGGGCACTGCACCACGCGACTACCACGAGCATGTTATTGCTGGTCGGACAAAACCGGGCACAGCATTCGTAGATTGCATTTCATGTATCCGTCGCCTGCATACGTGTTGAGTCTGTGAGTCGAAGGGAAGCGGTTGAATTAGTTTGTTGCCATGGGGTGGGGAGTCGGGTGAGAAGGCAGGCACGTCGGTCACTCGCAGCCGCATACCTCGGGTTGCACCTCTCACGTTGAGCGCGTTGTACGCGATTTGCATCCCCATCGTTTCCAGGAGTTACCTGACACGTCGTCCCACTGCCACACTGCCACACGGTAATGACACCCGAGTGCTGCCTCCATTCCGAGTGGCGTCAGCGACTTCCGACACTCTTAACATCGCCAAGTCCTCCAATCTCACCTGATGAGGCATTGTACGCCTGCAGGGACGGAGCGGGCATGCAGATCGGGGGCGTTCCCGCCATTCCATTGCCGCATGGCGTGGCGATCACGATCGCGAGGATAGCGAGACGCCTCTGCGCTGCAGAAGGCAGAATTAGTCCACTCGCGCAATGTGCGAGTTTGGATGCGGACGAGTGCGCCGGCGCAGATCACCGAAGAAACGGCTCGCGGCATGCCACAGGCTCCGGCGAGCGTCGGCGGCGGCCCGCGGTGTGCCGGGACTTGGCGCATTTGGATGCGGGCAGCGGGCAGGGACAGACGCAGTCAGGGGCTAACTCCGCCGCATGGTGTGCGACTCAAAGTGGCACTTGCAGGTGCGACAGGCATGCAGGCTCAGCGACAAGGGAAGCGGGAGCACGGATTACTCATTACTCTACATGGTGGTACACTACAGACTGTCCGTATCTAGTCGAGTATGAATGGTTTTGTAGGGTAGGGTTTCTGCATGCCTCCGACCTCGGCCTACCTCGGCCTCGGCTACGCTTCGCCGCTTCCCGCGGCTATGACAGCTCCATGCTCAGGCCTTCCTGGCGCAGTTTCTGCGGCGCGTAGGCGATGAGGTGGCGCAGCAGCTCGGACGAGACCGTGACGCTGTGCTCGCCGCGGTCGAGGGCGAGGCACAGGCTCCACATGTTGTTGACGGGCGTATCCGAGTGCCCGTAGAGCATTTGGAGAGGCTTGTCGGTGGTGGCGAGGGTGGCGAGCGAGTCAGGCGTCGCGTGCTCCGTCGTCACGGGGAGAGTGGCGGAGGCGCTGGACGCCGAGCTCGTCGTTGAAGACGGGACGCCGCCCATGCTCGCGAGCCAGTTCTCGAGGAGACCATGCTCGGCGGCGTCGGAGCCCGTGACGCCGGAAATGCCGGAGACGCCGGAGACGCCCGATACGGGAGCGAGGCCAGACAATGGCGCGTTGGCGACGTCAAAGTTGAAGAGGTCGAGTGTGGGCGGGACGGCTCCGAGCTGCGGCAGGTGCCAATCGTGGTCGTGGCTTGGTACGTGGGCCGTCGAGTGGTGGGGAGGGTGCTGAGGCTGGCTCTGGGCTGCCTGGGCGAGGAGTAGGTCGACGTACGCCCCCTCGGGAGAAGAGGCGGGCGAGGAGCGGGCCGGGGTCGAGGCGATAGACGTGATCGAAGGAGCAGCGGCGGCAGGCTTGCGGTACTTCCTCGAGCGGTTGCGACAGGCAATCGGAGAGCGGCCGGGGAGCTGCTCTGCAATGGCGGTCCACTTCGGGCCCTTCTCTTCAAGCAGCGCTAGGAGGAGAGCATCCTCCTCGTCGCTCCATGGCTTCTTGCTCGTGAGCTCGGGAGCGAGCACGTCGCGCCAACGCTTCGACACTTGGTCGTCTTTGCGGCCGGGAATGCGGAGGGCTGTTTGCGGAACAGGATAGTGGACAATGGGATGCGGTGGGATGGGGGTGGCGCGGGCAAGCGGCAAGCGAGGTGCGAAGATAGGAGGATAGCGTCAGCATTTTGGTCTGTGCGGGTATCGGAGGGGTTTACGCACCAATTGCCTTCCACTGGGGGCCCAACTCAGCGTACAGTTTGCGCAGAAGCTCGTCCTCTTCGGGCGACCAGCGACCCTTCCGCACGCGGGGGTCGAGGCTGTGGAACCAGCGCTTGCGGCAGTCCTTGGCGTCAGTCCATGTACAGGTGTGCGAGCGAAGGGGCGATGAAACAGTGTGCACGAAGAGATAACAAGGGGCCAGAGCCATATCGTCTGTGTGGCCGTGACGGCGTGGCTGACGCACACAATGCCACAATGCCACATCGCCACATGCCCAGCTCCGATTCGGAACGCACTAGCCACTATGTCGCCATCTCCGCCGGCGGCACGGCCCGCATACCGTCGCTTCCCATTTCGCACCGACAGCAGCTCGACTCACCTTGTTGGTCCGGCCGGGCAGGCCGGCCGAGATCTTGGACCACTGGCTGCCGGGTCCGCGCTGCGAGCCGTACTTCTTGACAGCCGCGATGAGGCGCGCGTCCTCGTCGGCGGTCCAGCGGCGACGCGGGCGGTGGCCCTCTGGCGTGGACGTGCTCTCCACCGGAGTGGGAGCAGCGGGGGGATGGGACAGAATGTCCATGTCGCCAAGTGGGTTAAAGAGAGAAAGCGTGGCCGTCATGGTTAAGTGGCGGCGGGGCGGCAATGGGATGCGTGCGGAGAAGAGTGAGGGGCGCTTGGGGCTAAGGAGGCTAGCGCAAGCGTGGCGGAACGGGTTTGTTGAGACGGGACGTCTGGCGGAAAGCCATCACGGCGTTGGCGTGTGCAGGACTAGGGGGGTTGTGCTTTGTCTCGAGTTGAACAACAAGTGTGAATGTGTGAGGACTCTGGTACGGTGGACGGTGGGGGACCGATGGGATTGATGGGTGTGGCACGGAAAAGGCCGAAGTTTATAAGGCAGATGACACGGTTCAGAAAGGAGCCGTGTCAATTCATACAATTCTAGTCGACGTGAAATACTCGCACTCAGCCGCCGCTTGATCTCTCCCTCCAGCCTAGGTTGCCGACCGATCTATGCATAGCCCAGCCCTTGCCCCTGCATCCCGTGGCTCTGCGGGCTTCGCGCTCTGCGGGGTCTGCGGGCTCTCGTTCCATGCCCGCTCCGAAAGCCCAGTCCTGATCATAGAACCCCGCTCGGTACCTGCCCGCAGTTTTCTGTCGGCATGCCAAGCCTTCTGGCGGCTCTGCACGCCGGAGCGTATACGGGGTGGCGTGGAGCGCTCAACCAAGTTCCCCCTGCGTCCCTGCACAAGACTTTCCCGGCGGCAGACGCTGAGCGGAAACGGCGGCCAGGGGTGCGGAGGTGGAGGGTGGGGGCGCGGCCAAGTCGTGGCCAAGGCGTGGCGCCCGAGGACAGGCCGAGGCCCGAGGCGGCCGGGCGGCCGGCGGATGTGGGTGGATGATCACACCGCAGATGAGCCTGAACCATGGGCTCATCCGCCCGCCGGCGGCGTGCCGTCAGCGGCACACCGCCTAGCCCGGCATGCAGGCGCGCGCGTGCCTCGCCATGAACGTGGACATGGGCGTCGTAATGGCCCCAAGCTTAGAAACCGAGCCTTGGCATCGTGCGGGGGATCTCACGTACCCGACTCTGACAGAGCGGCGCCGTCGATGCAGCAAGCCGTCATGGGCTAGGATAGACAAGCATGTGACAGCTTGCAATGTCGGCCCCACATGCAGATCTCGTTTGGAGGTGACTAGCCGCCGCAGGCCCAGCCAGTGGCCACGTCACGCTTCTCAGCTTGCGTGTTACAGCGTCAGGCGAGACAACCTGAGTATACCCCCTCCGCCATGACCGGATCATGGAGCTCGAGTTACTTCCGGGGCGGCTCATGCACATGCGCGAGAGAACGAAAGGCACCTCCTAATTCTGTGGTGCGAGACGGAATCTCCGATTGCGGAGGCCAAACTCACCGGTAGCCGTATCCGGCAGCGGAGTTCTGCGCTGACTTGGTGTCCCGCAGCGTGGAGAGAGCTGGGGTGAGCTATTCAGACATGTGAAAGTGGCCTGGTACAGATTGTAGAGAATGGTGTTGGGATTATCTCGGTGGTTGGGCCACGTTGCATTTCGGGTGAACAAGTCCATCAAATATCAGGATATTTACAGGTAGTGGACGCTGGCTGTGGTGGAAGGGTGAGGAAGCAGTCGAGATGCAACGAACTACTCCTCTACAGAATTATCTTCGGCAATGCTCCTAACGATCTCAGCGTTCTTAAAATAACACACGATGAGATGCACAGGTACGAGATAACGGCCTGGTGGATGCACGTGAACATTGACAGAGGCGCCGAGACTGACCTGTGTCACTTGGATGGGCGGAACACCATCGACACCGGCCAGCTCCAACGCCGAGATAAAGAATCGACACCGGGCATGCCATGGAACTGCCACTGATCATCAGGGCGCGCTGTCAGTGGTTGACGCGGAAAAAGCATATGTGTTCGGTTACTTTTTTCGTGATTGTGATCGTCATGATCATCTTTTTGCCGATTGCCGATGGTGTTACGCATGGACCGCACAGATAGTGTGTGTGTGGGTGTGGGTGTGTGGGTGTGCAGAAGCGAGACTTCGAAAGCTTCTGCCGAGATCAACGGTGATCTCTGGCAACTGACGGTGGTTGAGATCGGCGCGAATGATAAGGAGTGAAGTACGTGACGTGAGACACAGAGGCTATGATGTGAGCAATTCGCCACCCGCCCAGCCAGTGAGTGGCAGTCATCTGGCGTGTTGAGGGTTCGCAAGCAGTTTCAAGCTAGCTGGGTGCAAGTAGCTGCATCCAGCGCTCCTCCTCCTGATGCTCTTTGCTCGCACTGATGTGCATTGGGCGACGCGAGGCCATGAAGCAAGAATCCGCAGGTGGGCAGGCATAGCATGGTCGACACGCGACTACCACACGCCTTCCACGTGCTGTTCACGCGACATTGTTCGGAATCGCAGAGTGATGTCGATTTTGGTCGCCTTGGGTGGAGGGATGATTTGTGGTGGTGACCGAGCACGCCATTCCTCACCCAAGCGATGAAATTGTGACGAGCCCTCATTCTCTCCTCCCAAGCCTTGGTCAGCATCCTCTTGCGGCATCGCACAAAACCCAGCACCACCCTCCATATTGCATCTCTCCCATCTCTCCAACTCGTCCAGCTCGACTCCGCCACCACTCCTCACCACGCCTCACCGCTCGCCACCTCCCACAGCCCCCAGGTGCCTGCCACACTCCCAACCTACATCCCGAAACGACCTCCACCATGTCTCTCCGCGCCGCCACTCTGACGCGCTCCCTCGCCCGCTCTGTCCGCCGCGGCGGCTGCGGGTGCGGCCGCGCCGCTATTTACACGCCTGCGCGCGCCCTCTCCACTTCGCAGATCCACCGCAAAACCTCGAGCCCCACCATGGCAGCCGCTACGCTGCTGAGCCACCACCCGAGCCCGCTGTCTGCGCCGCTGTTCAAGGAGGCGCGCGACACATGGGCCCGCGACCCCATCATCGACTACGACGAGGTCAAGCAGCTGTCGCAGCAGCCCACGGACGACGTGCTGCTCGTCGACGTGCGCGAGCCGGACGAGAATGCGCTCGGGAGCATCCCCAGCGCTGTCAACCTCCCCCTGTCGCGGCTTGACGACGCGCTCGCCGTCGGCTTCAACCCCGGTGCATTCCAGCAGGTGAGTTGGCCAGAAATGGACAGAAATGGACGCGGTGCGCGAACCAACTCCATAGGCACGCCGATTGAACTTGCGCTTGCCCGCCAGAGTTTGCCAGCCATCGCGCCCCACCCGTCGTGCCATTGCTGACGACGTAGGAGTTTGCGTTCCCCAAGCCCGTCAACGGCCAGAACATCGTCTTCTACTGCCGGTCAGGCAAGCGCTCCGCCACTGCCTGCGAGGTCGCGAACCGCCACGGATACCTCAACACGCGCAACTACGTGGGGTCGTGGCTCGAGTGGTGCGAGAAGGAGGGCATCGACAACAACGAGGACTAGATCTGCATGCTCCGCGCCCCACCACCACAGCCATAGACTTTGCATAGACTTGTAACACGATCCGCACGACCTTCATGTATTCATACATTGTCCGAGCCTCCGCCCGTCTTGGAGCTGTCGCTCGTGGGGGCTGCGCCACTGACGACACCAGAGTGGCACACCGCATCCCGGGGGCGGTGTCGCTTACTCACTTGTGTGCTTGCGTGATAGTTGTGCGATCTCACGTTGACGCTGACGCACTCTTCGCTGTGTTCCATCCATTCCTCGCCGGCGGCAGATGACAAGCTTCGGAAACGAACAGCACTGACGTGCTTGAATCTACTTGTATTCCGAACATCACGTCTCGTGCTCAAGTTGCAGTGTGGAATGTACAAGTGACCGACGCTTGCGGTCACTAAAAGCTCGCATCATCAGGCCCCATCTCCCGAATACATCCCGTTATCGATGGCGACGATATGATGCACTCTGGCTCCATGCAAGCCTAAAAGATGGAATACAATGCAGGTTGTCTACTCAAAGCACGAGCTTGGTGGACGCGATTCGTACGTGGAGACACAGGCCGTCAGACTTCGCGTGATCTTCGTATATTGTTCTCCCTTGCAGCGCCCTACGAGCGACAGCGAGTCCGAACACACCTCTGGCATGACACAGTTCTCACGCCATAAACTGCTTGACAGCTTTGTCGACGGCGCTCTTGTCCGTCGCGTCCAGCGTTCCGGCGTCCACGGCTTCGATGATGCGCTGTAGGGCGATTGTGCCATCGATACTGGCTGCTTTGAACCACACACGTCCGTTCAGTCCAATCGCTGTCTCGAATGGGATGTGCGCAGCAAGGAACGGGAGGAGGGGGTACTTTGGGCCAAGCAGTCTGAGGTGAGCAGATAACCCAAGATGGGGACGGGGCTGGAGGGTGCCGTAGGCCAGAGGGCATAGGTACGATCGCCCTATAGGATGTGGCGGATCCCAAGAAAGAGCTCTCACTCAATATCACGGCTATCCATGCGCTTAGACTAGCCGTTGCGTGACACGCCGAGGCACAACTGGTCAAGGCGCCAGCACCTTCCGCTCTGACAATTGACTCACTTGCGACACAGCTGCAGCGAACACGGCACCATCAGGCCACCCTTGAGCTCGCCAAAGCCTTCTGATCGCCCGGTCGCGGGATCGACACATTCCAGCTCGGGCTCCATGTCGCGGTTCGCGAGCGATACGCGGGCATATACAAGCGTTCCAACCTGGTGTCAGCGCAAATACCTTAGACACTGGACATCGGCTTGGCGAAGGGCAAAGCTCTCGTAGCTGGTCGCTGACCAACGCAACGCCCGACCATCAGCCTCTAACCTACCTTCAAGTTCGGCTTGCTCCGCTTCGTCGCACCCTCAAACGCCAGCCCATCGAGCGCAGCCGGGTGCGCGCTCCCAATTTCGACGCGGTACCCTTCAGCGTGCCGCGCTATGATGGAGCCGAGCACGATGTCGCGCTGCGCGGGCACGTAGCGCTTGCTCACGCCCTCGACCCACAGCGACTCTCCTCGGTCTGCCGCCTTGCCCTTGGCGGCGGAGGAGAGGAGGCCGACGCGCGTGGAGGTGTACGCGGGATCGGTGGACAGCGGGTCCGCGCGAGACGGGGCGGGCGCGATGCCGGGCCCAAGGGTGACGCGGGAGGAGGAGGGGAGGGGGATCTGGGTGCCGGGGAGAACGAGAGACATGGCGGCGGATGGGAGGTGAGCAGGGCGATGGAGAGGAGCTGAGGGGGGGATTAAACCTCGAGGAGTATGCTGCCGAGGGAGAAGTTGAGCGTTTGTGTGGCGTGGATGATGACAGCTGAAGTTGAGCCTGCGTCAGGTTGCGGAAATGTTGACATGGATTTGGTTCCGTGCTTTGAGCCTCCACTCTTCAAGTGGTAATTACCGTGACATTAGTCTGTTGCTCAACGGCGAGCATAAACACGCATAATTACACTTGCATGTCGCGGAGTACGAAAGGATATGTGACTAGTCCCACTTTGACGCCCGCCGTGTTCCGTCTCTCTGCTTGGTGGAACTCCTTCACTCCCCGCCTCTCCTCTTCGGATCCTATCCCCAGCCGCTCCAGGATCTCAGCTACGGCGGCATACAGGATGTCCATGTTACCGTCCTCAACCTTGACCGCAATCCCCATCTCCCGTCCCGCGGCACGCACCCCGACACCGTAGCACGCATCGGCACCGACCTTGCCCACGACGCCAGGTATGCGGGCGACTGCGGCACAAAACCGCCCCGTCCCGGAGACCAGTAAGGGATGATCGTGCATTGCGTCGAAGACACGCGCCATCTCCGCCTCCCTCCCTCCTCGCGAGGCGTCAGCGGCAGCGAACGCAGCGTACATCGCCGCGAGGGAGGTGAGGGGCATCGCCGGCGCGGGGAGGTTGCAGCCGTCCACAGCCCACTTGACTTCTCCTAGGTGGCTGATTAAATCTTCCACCACGCCCGTTACGCGGAGCTGGACAGGGTGCGAGGGGAGGTGGTAGTCTGTGTCGGCGGCTAGAGCGCGCGCGGCGGCAAGCATGCCGGCGTGCTTGCCGGAGCAGTTGTTGTGGACCCCCTCCGGTGTGATCCCTTGCCTGATCCAAGCTTCGTTGACGCTCGTCGAGATCGCGGGATGGCCGCCGCATTTCAGGTCCGCCGGGGAGTTCCCCCCTCGCTGCAGTAGCGAGCAAGCGTGGGCGAGATGCCGGTCTTCGCTCGAGTGCGAGGCGGACATGAGCGCGATGTCTTCGGCCGTGAGCGAGAAGTTGGGAGGTAAAGTGGAGTCGGGAGACGGGGACGCGAGCGCCTCGAGCACCGCGACGGATTGCGCGGGTTTGGCGGCGGAGCGGATCAAGGTGAGGCGGCTGGGGTCACCGACAGCGTAGAGTAGCTCGCCGGTGGCCGTCGCCACTGCGGCGTGAATCAAGTGGCGATTTTCAACCACACCGCCGCGATCCTCGACCACGCAGTCGAGTGGGACGTTGGTCATAATGAGTTGGGAGAGTTGGCGAGCTGGCAAGGGGAGACGTAAGGAGAAATCGGTGAGCCATATTTATGGACCGGAGAGTCTGTAAGTAAGGGACGGCGCCGGGCCGGTGCCGCAGCGGCGATCTCCGAATAACGCGTATGCCTCATTACACCGTGTTTCTGCATGTCGACATCGGGGGGATCGCATGCAGGCCGCGAATGGAGATACCTGGAGGCCGCTGTGTCTTGGAGAACACATTAGCTGCAGCTTACCGCAAACCATGTGTTACGCTGGGCGCAGATGAGGCCTCATAAGGTCCGCTTGCAAACAATGGGACACGACGTGGAGTCGCTTTCACTCCTTGCGAGTCGTAAAACTCTAAGCAGTGAGCGACATCAAGAGGCCATGCGGACCTTCTCAGGCTCCATGGTGTGCCCGGTCCTCACGACGAAAGCAGTCTGCGGCAGGAAGTAGGTCGTGATGACATGTTCTGGGGTTTGATAAGTACCTGCGTGGAAACGCCATGAGCAATCATACGCCACAAGAATAGCTCTCCTCATGTCGGCTTCATCATGAAGTCTCGTGCCGATGCCCTGATGCCCTTGGGTGCTCTCGGTCAGCGCACCATGCCGTGCCACTGCATGGCTCGGAAGCTGGCGCAGCGCCTGCAATCCCTCCCAAACATCCGGGACTCCATGGCCGGACAATGAACTCATCCCAGGCTCGCCGAGTCGTGATGGGTGATGCATGCAATCATGTAGTCTTCATAAAGTTGGTCGCCTTGATGTTCGCCCTGTTCCTGCCTGTCAGCGTATCCTGCTCTCCAAATGACCCGCTCTCAGAGTCAGGCAGCTGCAGGAGCAGGATGGTGGTCGAGCTAAGGCGAGTCCCACGCCTGGCAGCTTCCCAGCACTTTTGGAACCTTTTGGAGAGCTCGAAATGGCTCCCTCAGCCGCTGGTCTGCCTTCCCCAGCGCCACTATGCCCGCGCCCCTCGTCCGACTCACCTGTCGCGCATCGCCTTGCGCTCCGCCAAAAAATTGCGCTCCCCTGGAGCAGCAACTGGTTGCCCCTTGGGCTTGTCGAGCAGCGTCCACAGCCACTTCGGGTACTGGTCCTCGGGTAGCGAGACTGGGTCTGGCACGTCCTTGAACACGGACAATCCCTCCATCTTGGTGCCGGCCTGAAGCGAAGAAACGACTGCAAATTAGCAACTGCATGAACTGGAAGCAAGACAGCCAGGTGTGGACCGGCCGGACGTGTTGCATTGATTGCTCGGGGGAATGGCGCGCGCGGAACAGCACACTGGATCCTCGCGCTTGCAATTCGACCGTCTCGCTGGCGGTGCTCAAAAGCGACTCACTAGCCTTGCCTGGCTTTGGAGCTCCTCGCAGAGCCGAGGTCGAGAAGGTGCGCGCGCTGGCGGCTGATGGTGCGCGGAGGGCGGCGAGCATGGTGGGTTGAGCGATGCAGTCGGTCTCGGAGGTCACGAAGATGGACTTTTCCTTTGGTGACAACCACGTGGAATTACTCCCGCCGCCACCCAAGTGATTGTTGACTTTCGAGATATGGACAGCGATTACAACATCCGCCCATCTTCCATCTCTCACCCCACCCCCCTCCAGAGTCTACAACGAGCGATGCGCGTGAGTGACGGGAAATATAATCAGCTGATTCCAGATTGCGGTGCAGGGCTGCTCGCACGGCAGCCTCTCGGCCATCTATGACACTGTTGCCGAATACACCAAGCGCAAGGGCGAGACAGTGGATCTGTTGCTGCTATGCGGAGACTTCCAGGCGCTGCGCAACACGCACGACTTTGCTAGTCTCGCCGTCCCGCCCAAATATCATGCGCTTGGCACGTTTCACGAGTACTACTCCGGCGCGCGAGTTGCGCCGGTGCTCACCCTTGTGATTGGGGGCAACCACGAGGCCAGCAACTACATGTGGGAGCTGTACCACGGCGGCTGGCTCGCGCCCAACATTTACTACCTGGGATGCGCAGGGAGTGTTATGGTCAACGGTCTGCGCATCATCGGTGCCAGCGGTATCTACAAGGAGCACGACTACCGCAAGGGTGAGGCATTGGAGCTCCAGAGCTGACACCAGGCCACTTCGAGAAGGTGCCGTACACGCCGTCGACGCTGCGGTCGGTGTATCACATCCGGAAGTACGACGTCGAGAAGTTGAGTCACCTCCCTCCCGGGGTGCCGACGATCTTTATGAGCCACGACTGGCCAGTTGGTATCGCCCATCACGGGAACACTCGCGCATTGCTGCAGCGCAAGAAGTTCTTCCGCGAAGAGGTGAGGCTCCTGGGAAGGGGGAGCTGATGGCTAGGTGGAGAATAATACACTAGGGTCGCCACCGCTTCTCGAACTGCTCAAGACCATTCAGCCGGATTACTGGTTCGCTGCGCATTTGCATGTCAAGTTTGCGGCATTATACGAGCACTCCCCAGAAAAACAGAAGGCAGACGCGCAGTCGGTGAGAAAGGAGATCACGGAGGTGAGGAAGGAGCTGGAAAAGGTTGAGGTTGCGGAGCCCGAAGAGGAACGAGGGTCGGGGTACGACGGCGTCGACGTGGGTGGGAGACATGCCAACCCCGACGAGATTGCGATCTCGGACGACGACGGCGACGTTTCATCACCTACAAAGCACGTGGCGAACCCAGACGAGATCGCCATCTCGGACGATGACGACGGCGAGTCACTGGCCAAGGACGAGGGCAATCCCGACGAAATCGCAATTTCAGACGGCGAGGGCGACGGAGGCGAGACACCAAACGCGCCCAGGGAAAATCCCGACGAGATCGCCGTGTCGCTGTCAGACGAGGAGCTAGAAGGCGAGCTGGAAGCGGCGCTCGCGCAGACGTTATCGCCAAGCTCACAAGATTCGGCAACACGAGAACGGTCTCCAGCATCCACTTCCGCGGCGCCAACATCACCGGCTGAGCCTAAACCACCTTCGACCACCCGCTTCCTGGCGCTGGACAAGTGCGGGCCAGGAAAGGAGTTCATCCAGGTAGGCCTAAATGCTTCAGTTAAACTAACGCAGTTCCTTGACATACCCGCGCCGCAGGAGCAGTCACCGCCACGCTTTACATACGACCCTCACTGGTTGGCGATTACGCGCGCCCTCCACCCCTACCTCAGCCTGGACTTCTATGGCTCGATTCCTCCACGGGAAGAGCAGGAGGCGCTGGTGGCCGACGAGCTCGTCCGCATCAAGCAGGAAGGCGTGCTTGTGCCGGAGGAGTTGGAGGAGGACGACCTGATGGCTGAGATGAGCGCCGAGTTTGACGCACTCGAGCGGCGCGAGAGCGCGGCGGAGCGCGCTGCTGCTGGGTTGCCGGAAGAAGAAGAGCCGAACGGCGAGCCGAAGAGCGAGTCAGATCCTCTACCACATTGCACGCCGCTCGACTGGGAAAGCGCGGACGATATCGAGGTCGGCCGCGTTCAGCAGTTCTGGCCCACTGCGCCGGCATACCCTGGCGGCGAGCCTGGGCAATGGTATACCAACCCGCAGACGGAAGCGTTCTGCGGCATGCTTGGGATACAGAACAAGGTGAACCCACGTCCAGTGCTGCGATAGGAGATGTTACTGTCCCATGCATGGCGCGCTCGAAGTGAGAATTTACCATGATCAACCCTGACCGCCTGTGCAAAACATGCATATGCCTAAACTTTAGATGTTTCACTGCCTACACCAAGCGTCGGTCTCCCGAGTGCACCTGGTCGGCGAAGGTGTTCTTCGGTTTGGACGGCTGCACCTTCTCGACGGCCTCGACCTTCTCGATCTCCACGACAGTAGGTGCTACCTTCTTGTCGGCGGGGATGATGGCGATGGCAGTCTCAGCGACAACTGCGTCTGGTGTGGGAGAGGAGGCAGGAGCAGCCTCAACGACCTCAACACCGGCAGGCGTCTCGATGACAGCGGAGTGCACGAGCTCGCGCACGGCGTCCTCGGGAAGACCCGTGCCGTCAGCGGACAAGGTGGCGGCGTTCATGGCCGCCAGATGAGCGAGGGCCTCGTCCGCCTCAGCTGCGAGTCGCTGCGAGTCCATCTTCTCACGGATCTCGGTCAGGACGTTGCCGAGCTCACGTGCCTCGGCGCGCAGCTTGGCACCCTCGGCGGCCACACGCGCTGCGTCCCACTTCATCCCTGCGGCACCTCCGTAGTCGGCACCGACCTGCTTCTCCCAGCTCGCGCCGGGAGCGAGCGTGCGCGCGATCTCGTCCTTGAGCAGTCGCGGCGTGCCTACCCCGCGGTACCCGAAGGCAGTGTAAACCTGGACCATGGACGCACCGGCGCGGGCCATGGCCAGCGCGTCGGCGCCGTCCCACACTCCACCGGCGCCGATGATCGGTACATTGGGAGGCAGAAGGGGGCGGAGCGTCTTGAGTGCGGCGAGCGCGTACGGGAACAGGGGGCGACCGGAAAGGCCACCGGTCTCGCCCGCGTTCTCAGACTGGAGACCAAGCTCGTCACGACGGATGGTGGTGTTCGAGACGATGACGCCGTCAACACCCGTCGTGCGCACAGCGCTGGCAACGTCCGCGAGCTCCTCCTCGCTCAAGTCGCAGGTGACTTTGACGGCAACCTTGGGGAGACCGTTAACGGCGATAGCATCGCGCTCGGCGACGACACCGCGGAGGAGGCGCTCAAGTGGCTCACGGCTCTGCAGGGCGCGAAGGCCCGGCGTGTTCGGTGACGAGATGTTGATGACAACCACATCGGCGTAGGGGCCAAGCGTGCGCACGCCGCGAAGATAGTCGTCATCCGAGTCGGCAGGAGACGTCTTGTTCTTGCCGAGGTTGACAGCGAGGATATGTCCCGGTCGAAGGGAGCGGGGGAGGCCGGTCGGAGGCGCCAGCGGGCCGTTGGGGAAGAGGGCCGGGTGCTCAGCGGCAAATGCAGCAAGACGCTTGCGAAGCTGGCTCAGCGCCTGCCCGTGACCTTGCGAGTTGAAGCCATAGCGGTTGATGGCAGCATCGTCCTCCTCAAGGCGGAAGAAGCGGGGGAGGGGGTTGCCAGACTGCGGCTGAGGGCAGACACTCCCGACCTCGACGTACGCGAAGCCGAGATCAAACAGGCCGTCGATACACTGCGCGTCCTTATCGAAGCCGGCGGCAATGCCCACAGGGTTGTCGAGCGGCATGCCCATAAGCTCGGCCTTGAGAGCCGGCCCGTCCTCTCCCATGTCCTTGGGCCGCGCCCAGCTCGGCGCCGAGAGCACCTTGACGGCGAGCTTGTGACCCTGCTCGGGGTCCGCAAGAGCCCGAATGACGGGCATGACAACGTGCTCGTGGGCGACACTCCTCGAGTCGTAGTAGTACACTGCGCCGACAAGGGCAACGGTACCAATGAGCAACGACGAGCCAATCCAGCGCCCCGGGTGCGTTGTGCCGCTCGCGTGCCGTACTCCGCCTACGACGGGAGCGCGTGCAGAAGCCCGCAACGGCGCGGCGAGGGGGCGCGAGAGTGTCCCTGGGAGCCGGCGGAGCATGTCTCGTGGATGATGCAGTTGTCGTTTTGCTGCTCGCATTGGACGCCGTCATTGAACGAGCCGGAGACGGAGATATTGCCAATGTCCAGCGTCGCTGCCCCACTTGGTTGTCACTCGACCCCTGTCAGAGCGCGCCAAGAACGGGCCTCTTCACACCTCACACTCGCTAACTCTCCTTCACCATGTCCTATCGCGATAAGCCAGAGGATCTGGCCGCCGCTGCAGAGGAGTACGAGCTCAATGCTCGTGACAACGAGCCGCTGCTTCCACGGTACGAGGCCGACCAGCGCCAACCCTCGCCTTCTCCAGCCTCCGGAAAGCGGCGAGAGCGGCGACGCCGCTTCCCCTTCCTCTGCCTAGGAGTGAGCGTCGCGTTCGTGCTCCTCTGCTTCGCGGGTAGTGCTGTGTACTATAAGAATGGAGGCGACCTGAGTGCCATCGAGGACAAGATTCCTGCGCCCGTTAAGAGCTGGGCAGACACCATGTTCGGCGACGAGGGTTCGTTCAACGACAATAAGAACTTCCCTACGGAGTGAGCTCAACGCGCAGTGTCCAAGCTAACAGCAGCATCGGATACGCTGGGCCGACGCCGACCGGCGCGGAGTGAGTACCCGCGTCTTGTTGGCCTGCGCCACCGCCACCCATTCCTGAGTGCTGACGCCCAGGGCTGCTCTGGTTGTCACGGCGCCCGCATTCCCGCTGTACAGCGGCGTATCACCGCTGGTACCACCCACGACCGACCGCGAGGGCTTCGACATGATGCGCCACTGGGGTAACTTGAGTCCGTACCGCTCCGTGAAGAGCCACGGACTCAAGCATGCGTCTCAGGCTGTCCCTGATCATTGCGAGATTGAGGAGATGCACTGGCTGCAACGCCACGGCGCGCGGTATCCCACCTCAAGCCCTTTGGGTCCTGCTGGTCTATCACAGCGCCTCAAGGAGGCTGGCAAGTGGAAGGCAACGGGGGCTCTCTCCTTCCTCAACGACTGGGATTACAAGTTGGGCGCCGAGCTCCTCACGCCCTTCGGCCGCAGCCAGCTGTGTAAGTTGACCACGGGTAGCGACTGCTGACTCAAGACAACCTTGGTGTCGCTGCCCGCATCAAGTATGGCTTCTTGCTTGACAGGATGAAGGACCGCCTTCCCGTGTTCCGCACCGAAAGTCAGGATCGCATGCTGCGCTCCGCCCAGAACTTTGCAGCAGGTAAGCTGCCTACAATAGTGAGGGCTGACGACAGGCTTCTTCGGAATTCCTGCGGAGGAGCAGTACAACCTCGAGGTCATGGTCGAGTGGCCTGGGTACAACTGCTCGCTGGCACCGTACCACTCGTGCCCGAACGACCTCAAGGTCTACCCTCTCGTGCGCGAGAAGCTCGCCCAGTGGGACAAGAGGTTCCTCAAGTCGGCCCGCAAGCGACTTCAGGAGCTCATGAATGGTTACGAGTTGACTCTGCACGACGTAATCAACATGGTGAATGTCCTAGCCATTCACAACTGACCGCAGATGGATCTTTGCCCGTATGAGACGGTCGCACTGGGCCACTCAGCCTTCTGCTCGCTCTTCACTGAGAAGGAGTGGCGTGGCTATCAGTACCGCAACGACATCTACTGGTGGTACGCCGCATCGTTCGGCTCGCCTGTGGCACGCGCCGAGGGCCTGGGATGGATGCAGGAGCTCACGGCGCGCCTTACACACACTCCTCTCACGCAGTTCAACTCGTCAGTTAATTCAACGTTGCACGACGACATCCACTTCCCGGTTAACGAGCCCCTTTACGTCGACTTCACGCACGACACGACGTTTGCCCAGCGTAAGCCTGCTCATAGTGCGTGTCACAGCTGACACCAGTGCTCCCAACGCTCAACCTGACAACGTTTGCGTCGCAGGGCCCGCCTCCACTGGACCACATTCCGAAGAACTGGCCCTTCGTGTCCTCCAAGTTTGCTCCATTTGCGACCAATCTTCAGGTGCAGGTCCTTTCGTGCGCCACGCACAGAAAGACGTCCGTTGACGACGACGAGAAGGAAGGGTGGTGGCCGTTCAAGCCGGCCGACGAGGAAGCCACTGTGGAAACCACGTACGACAAGCGCGACGTTGACGACGGCGAATCCGATGTCGAGCGCGAGAGTGATGATGAGGCCGAGAAGCAACCAGAGGCGTCCGACAAGGGCCGCTTCGTGCGCATCATCCTCAACGACGCACCGGTTCCGCTCACAGGCATCCGAGGGTGCGAGAAGAACAGCGATGGCTTGTGCGATATCAGCGCTTTCGTGTCGAGCATGCACACCCTCATCGGCGAAACTAATTTCGCGCAAGCGTGCCACGAGGACTATGACTTCCGTGACGAGGTCATGGATGGGCGCCCACTCTAGCTAGATTTCTTTTCCTAGCCCTTGCACGCCCTTGCACCTTGAGTTTATGTATTATGCAATGTTGCCACCTTGCTGTTTGCTGTCGGAGTGCGGGAAGCAAAGAGTAATTGACGAGATACCAGAGTGTTGCGGAATGTAGGTCAGGTTCGGGCCGGAGTTGCCGGCCTTGCTGGACCACTCACACGTCATGGCGATCTGGCGAAGCGCAGACCTCTCGACTGAATGCTTGATCTCTCTCACAGCTCCAAACCGCTTCACTCATCTCTCCCTCGTCACGCACTGCTATTTGCTGCCCATCTTTCTCCACGATGAGCACCGACAACATCCAGGCTAGCCTCTTCGCGCGCGACCCGCCGCCACTGGTACCCAAAGCCCCCTGGAACGACGAGCTCAAGAAGCAGATCGCCGCATTGCAAGAACATCGCTACATCATTGCCGGTGAGTCATTCTTCATTCCTGCTAACACTTAGCCCTCCACCTCGCCAACGACGACATCTACGCCTGCCACGACATAGTGCAAGCCGACGAGGGCGAGCCCACCGCCGACCTGATGCACGCGCTCCTGCACCGCCGCGAAGGCGACACGTTCAATTCGAAGTAGTACGTCGGGCGGTGCTTCACGGGCAGGAGGGCGTGGGAGGGAGGGGGAGGGCTGACAACAGCTGGTTCTCGCGTATGCGGCGGCATGCGCTGTGCCCCGAGCCGGCGGAGGCGAAGCGCTTCGTCGACGCGTGTGAGCGGCGCGAGGCGGGGTGTGAGGAGCGGCAGTGGGACGAGCTGCGTGAGCTCGTGCGATGGACGCGGGAGACGTACAAGTCGTCCGCGGACCCGTGATGCGCGCGACACAAGGCTGGGCTCGCGGCCACTGGGCTGTGAGCTACAAATGCTGTGGACATTGCGTGGCGGCCGCAAGTGCCACGGGCTTAGTTGCGTTCGTAGATCGGGACTTGCAATCAGCTGGACGCTGCGGATCGCAGAAGCAGCGGTGCGTATCCTGCGGCCTGCGGTCGAGTCCTCGAGATTTAGTCGTCGACGTCATGCATCCCCAGTCTCGTCCACGTCCATCATCCTCGACACTGCTCATGACGTCGACAGCCTCCTCTTCGCCGCCATCATGACGGCGAGCCGCTGTCCTACTCACATGCTGGGGATGGTCTTCCAGCGTCTCGACTACAATCAATCAAAGCTGAAAGGGGAGCTCCGCTTGACACGCACGCATGTCAGTACTGCAGTGCTTCGATGCTCCAGTGCGCCTCCCACTGGCAGTGAACGATCTCCAGCCAAGTGTTATTTTCCAACCCGTGACACACCTACCCACTTCACCACTGTTTTGACCAACAACACCAGATGACACTTCGCTGTGCGCTACACATGTACGTACATTTCCTCGCGTCGACCACATCGCTTTGACGGCCCAGTTAGACCCCCCTGCGCCCTCGCAATCCTCAATGGGCATCATAATGGATTCTCCAAGCCCTCCCATCAGAGAGCGCCAGCCCTCTCCTCCACACCCGCCGAGCACAGACCGTGAGCAGCGCCTGTTTCCACTCATCGTCTTGAGGAAGCGATGGCGAAGAGTCGTTGCAGAAACGGAGGCTGAGCGTTACTGAAATGATTTGCCGGCCGGTCCACGGATATACCACCCATGGTGTTCACACGCATAGCCCCGCTAGCTCAGTAGGTTTAGAGCTTCGGTCTTTTAGAAATCCTCGGGTTATGAAGAACCGACGGTCGCGGGTTCGACCCCCGCGCGGGGCTATATTATGTGTCGCAGAATCGTTTTTGAAGGGTGGAGGAATCTTCCGCGCGTTTCAATCCTGCATGGCCACGAGGCCTGCATGGTCACAACGAGGGGGTTCGAGCAGAGGGGAGGCTTGGATGACTGTAGACGACGCCGGTTAACCGGGGTTGGAGTGATGAGGGATGAAGGAACGGAAGAACAGGTGGTTTAAGCATGCGGAGACAACATCGCCGCAGCCGTGTTTTAGACAGCAGCGCGATTTTCTAGAGGAGCACGAGAAAACACAAAAGGACACTGCTTACAGAATGGCACTCGGCACATGATGCACATGAGCAAGACGCGCCGCGCCGTGAGCGTCTGATGTCAACACATCGGCATGAGGGACCCAGGGTTCAAGTTGCACCGGGTCGATCGATGTATAGCGCAAGGCGCGCAAGGCTCGAGTACTTCGCATCATTTGTTGTGCTTCTCTCTTGCACTCCCGGACATTACGCATGACGCATAACGCATGGTATCTGATGCGAGGTCTAGCGATCTAGATCCTTGGAATGTAGTGCGCTCGAGGTGGATGGCTTGACGTGACTGCTTTTGGGGGATGGGCGGAGGCAAAACATGACTGAAGGGGGAGTGGTGACCATGCGAGAAGAGGGACCCTGGTAACGCCCATCCATCAGCACATCAACATCCTCTCTCTTAACAACACGCTCCATCGCGACACCTCTCCATCTCGTTGTCATCCTCCAGTAACCTGTCTATCCTCTCCACAACTCGGTTACAGCCACTGGTCGACACTCCTCCAGCTCTCTCGCTCACCAGCCAGTTACCAGTCGCTGGCGCCATGTCGGTGAGTCCACTGTTTGGCCCCCATCTTCCAATTCCCACCACCCCCGGTTCTTGGCGACCACTCCGTCGTCGTTTCCTCGTCACCTTTTCCTTGCCACCCTCCACCCATCGCTCACCACAGATCGACAATATCCGCCGCCCCGACCTGAAGCGCAAGCTCGTCGTCGTCGGCGATGGCGGTGAGTTAGCTCCTTTCGCATTTGCCAAGCTCACACCAGGCTGCGGCAAGACATGTCTTCTGACCATGTACGCCGAGAACCGCTTTCCGGAAGTGCGTCCTTTCCGTCGTGCTCGCGTGCACCTCCAGCTCGCCACTGACAACAGGAATACGTCCCTACCGTCTTTGAGAACCTCGTCACCAATGTGCCGCATCCCACGGACCCTGGGAAAACAATCGAGATGGCACTGTGGGACACCGCTGGACAGGAGGACTTTGACCGCCTCCGCCCGCTGTCTTACAATGACACGGACGTTATCCTTATCGTGTTCGCGTGCAACCACCGGCCAAGTCTGGAGAACGTGTACGACAAGGTGAGTGGTGTGGCGTGTGTGATGGCTGTGCAAGGGTGCTATGATACCGCCAGCGGGTAATACAGCCGGCTCGCATCTTGTCACCTTGGCTTTTCACTGCGTCGTCTCGCCATGATGGCCACCGAGCCGCATGTCCTGCAACAGCTGCGGCATCACAGAGACCTTTCTTTCGTCTCGCTTATCTGTTCCCTCCTACTCCCATCACCCTTTCCCTGCAGCATCGCGCTAACACCTAGTGGTACCCCGAGATGTCGCACTTCTGCGAAGGCGTCCCGCTCCTCCTTGTCTGCACGAAGACCGACCTGCGAAATGACCCGACGACCAAGAGCCTCATGGCGGCGCAGGGTGTAACGCCAGTGACGCCCGCCGAGGGCGAGAAGGTGGCCAAGGAGATTGGAGCGCGCCGCTACCTCGAGTGCTCGGCCAAGGAGGGCCGTGGCGTCAAGGAGGTGTTCGAGACGGCCATCCGCGAGAGCTTGCGCAAGGGCGCCGCCGTGTCGCGCATGGTCAAGAAGAACGGCAAGAAGTGTGTCGTGCTGTAGCGTGGATTCTTTGGCGAGGAGTGTGCTGTTGTTCATTTAGCATTATGGCATCCGGATTCTACTAGAGTACGCGGTGGTGCAGCGCTGGAAGTCGCATGAGCAGGCGGCGGCATGGCGATTGGCGACAAGACGCCGGGGTCAGTGCAGGTCGGTGCAGAAGTCAGGCGCGTGGACGAATTTGCTTCCGCTCCAGCTTCTCCATACCGCCCTCATCACCGAGAATACGGTCATCACCACAACAACACTCATCCGCTTCCTCGAGTCTCCCGCATCGCGACTCCTCCTCTCCTCCTCAGACCGCGACAGCTCGCGCCAGACTCCTGGCGCCATGTCGGCCCTCGACGGCTTCCGCGACCGTAAGTTGCAGTGCTTGATGAGGGCTGTGATTGTGCTGACGGCAGAACTCGTCCAAGTCGTCCTCTTTGATGGGCGCGTAATTGTCGTGAGTTGCGCGGTTGGGGCGGGTGTACCCAATTCTTCTCACTATCGCGGTACGCGGTGCGGCGATTCCTTCGGGTCGCGAGGGTGGACAGAGTCTTCGTTCGCAAGTTTCTTGTCGCACGCTGCGCAAAGCGCACAGCGCCGCGCAGATGCGCCGCGAAGTCTGCATGACACTGACTGTGCTCTCTGACTCCTTTGCGAGTAGAGCACAGCGATACCCGGCGCGCAATGAGCGCCCGCCTAATCCGTTTCGTTAGAGTCCGGCACCATCGATGTCCACTCTTCCGCCATGCGCACGTCGTCAACAATGCGCGGCTGCTCTTCTCAGCGCCGCTCTATTCTTGCCGCGCCCCTCTCCTTGGGCCTCCACTCCTGCAACCTATGTTCCCCTTCTCGCGCTCATCCTCCCCCACGCCTCCTCACCCCTCTACATCCTCGACTGACCCCAGGGCAAGCTCAAAGGCAGCGACAACTTCTGCAACATCATCCTCTCGGACAGTGTTGAGCGCGAGTATGCTCCGGACCGCGGCGTCGAGATGGTCCCACTGGGTCTGTACATGATCAAGGGGGATAACATGTGAGTTGGTGGCGGTGGGCGGTGGGCGGGCAGGTGGACGGGCAATGTCTCTTGCGTATGGAGGAGCCTTTAGCCCTGTACTGTTGCTACGTACGCCTGGCACACTACGCTCGGACATGCGCTGACTCTAGCGTGTTCGTGGGCGAGATCGACGAGGATAAGGACAGCAGCCTCGATTACTCGGAGATCAAGGCGGAACCGCTCCGCGAGGTGCACTTTTAGATCGGCGGATAGACACGCCGGCAAGATGAAGAGCTCAATTGCAGGCGGCATATGTATCGGGTACTCGTGTGTTGGCGTGTGCGGGGTGTCGAGGCCAGTCGGCGTGCAGCGGGCCAGTTGAGCGGTGATGCAGCCGTGGACCGAGCAAGATGCTACCGGACGAAGCTAGTCAGGTGGGAACTGTCCCTGCGCTTCACTCTCGTCGGGACGCCACCTGCCTTGGTAATGCACAGCCCCAGACAGTCCTCCGTCGCTTTCATGCATGCACAATAACCTGTTGCGCTGTCCAGATGATCAGAGGATCGGTTCCCCCTCACCACACGCAACCTCCACCGCCGAAACCGCTGCCCGGATTTTTCCATTTGCTCCCGCTCTTGCCATCCAACTTCGACTTCGAGTTAACTCATCTCAGCACCATCAACCATGTCCGCAACAAGGGGAAAGGTGAGCGACTGCGCCGGGTTGGACGCGGAGAACACAGGCGAAAGGGAATCGGAACGCGTGCTAGACCTCGAGAGGGCACGCGAAGCGCGCGACACCAGTCGTCCATCTGAGGTTCGCTCCTCCGACTGAGGTCTGCGCTCTCTTGGACGGTCGCATGGCCGCGGCACGCGGCAGAGACTACAAGAGGACAATTCACGATACCATACTTGAGCGCGGCACAACTGCCGCGCTTCGCGTCTCCATCGCGCTGCGTCCCGACTCCCTTCATCACCCCACGCCCGGTCACACTGCGCGGCCTCCCGCATGCCTGCCCCGCTGACACCAGACCGCGCTGGCGCTCTCGCGCGTGTGGCACCACACGAACGCGCAAGACCGCGTGCTGGGCAACCTCGCGAGCCGCATCGCCTGGGTCCTGATGGGCAAGCACAAGCCGACCTACGATCCTGCGGGTACGTTGGGCGGTGGCGGGCGTGGTGTGGGGCAAGCTGATGCCAGTCGACGCGGGAGACTACGTCGTCGTCTCCAACGCCTTGGGCGTGCGCCTGACGGGCAGCAAAGCCACGGAGAAGATGTACTTCCAGCACTCGGGGTTTATGGGCGGCGAGAAGTTCGTGCCGATCACGCGGATGCGTGACAGGCGGCCTGAGGAGGTGAGTTGGGAGGTGGGGGGTTGAAGGGGAGGTGGGGACGCTGAGGGAGGATTGGTTGAGAGCGAGGAGGATGGTTGAGATTAGAGCGAGGAGAGGGGCGGGACGCGGCGAGAGGAGAGGGAAGATGATGGAGGACGGAACGCAGAGCTCCGTACTCACCCCAGATCATCCGCAAAGCCGTCTCGGGAATGCTGCCCAAGAACACGTTCCGCGACCGCCGGCTGGAGCGGCTCAAGATCTACGCGGAGGAGGCACCCGAGAACGTCATGAGCAATGTGCTCACGACGTGGCGCGACGCAGCGCCCAAGCAGTAGGACGACACATAGCATGCATACCCATTGACCAGAGTGGCAGGGGTGGGGGTGGGAGTGGACGATGATTGCTAGGACAGTAGCTGAGGCAACGAGTGAAGGATGCATTCACTCATCCCCCCTCCTCCCTCAACATCGGTCCGCCGAAGGGTACAAGTAAGCCAAAAACCACATCCCCCCGCCGCCATGTGTGTGGACGAGTTGGAGTATAAGCCCAAATACCCAACCACCACCCAACTCCAATTGGTCCGTGGTTCGAATACGGTTGCTGGCAATCGGCCAAAAGGGTGCAAACCGCCGGATGAGAATCACCTCGACACACATGCTTGGGAACATCTTTTGTAGTTGTCTCTTTTGTATCTCCCAGTGCTCTCTTCCCCTCTCCTTCTTGTGCAGAACGCAGAGCTTCAACATATCACATCTCATTCCTTCTCAACTGCATACGAATAGCTTAGTTGTCCGAGATGCCGCTGCGCGTCAGCATATCATCGCACAAATCACTCACATGACACCGCAGGCAGCACGGCCGCCGGCGTTACCAGTCTTGAGCGAGTCGGCGTGGCCGCCCTTGCCGAGGTCGTCCTCGCCGGCGTGGACGACGAGCGAACGGCCGAGGATCGAGTAGGGGCCGACAAGCGAAATCTGCGAGTCCTGGATGTTGACGTTGGCCGAGCCCGAGCCGTCGGTCTGGACGTTGCCGAGGTCACCGGTGTGGCGCTCCGAGTCGGTGGGGCCGCCGTGGTTCTTGCCGTGGGGGTTGAAGTGGGCGCCGGCCGAGGTGCAGCCCGACGAGAGGTCGCCGAACTGGTGGACGTGGAAGCCGCGCTTGGCGTTGGCGTCGAGGCCCTCGATCTGGGGTTAGTCAAGCTGCGACGAGCTGCGACGAGCGGAGCAAGGAGCAGCGGTGTGCAGGAAGGGAGAGAGTTGCTCGAACCGCCGAGACGTGCCAGCTTCGCCAGTGACAACCAGACGGAGAACGCGAGCCAGACCAGAGCACGCCATTCGTCGCCAACACTCACCTTGCCGGTGACGGTGACGGGGCCGCCGTTGTCGTCCTGAGTGAAGGTGATGGTGCCGGAGACCTTGGAGTCGCCCTTGAGGACAGCGATAGCCTGGGAGAGCAAGGAGCAGAGATGTGTGCAGAAGTATGCCGGAATGAGGCATTAAGTGGGATGGCGTCAGTAAGGAACGGGGACCCGGCCGGCGGTGGGAGAGGACCGGTGCGGTCGATACGCTGGAGAAGGAGAGGAGGGATAGCGAGGGGTAAGGAGGGGAGGGGAGGGAAGAGGAGAGGAGAGGAGGAGGAGGACGTACCTTGACCATTTTGAATGTGGTAGCGATGAAGAGGTAAGTGATGGAGAGGAGAGAGGAGAGAGAGACTGGAGACGCTGGAGTGGGAATCAAGTGCCGCAGTGGGGGGGAGGGGCGAGGAAGCTCAAGGAAGGTGGGCGCCCGTCGTCCAGCTCACCCAGGCAGTGACCGAATCGCGTCATCCCCCTCCCCCTCCGGATTCCTCACACCCGAATATACTCCCGCTCTTACTCAGAGTCGGCCTCGTCCACCCCGCTCTTCACCGAGGTCTGCCTGTCTATGTCGGGCTGGACGGCTAAACCACACCTGGTTAATGATCCTGCATGCACCGTACACTCTACGCACAGAGTAGTCTATGCACATCTAGACCTGCAATACAATCTACTCACGCCTCCGGCGCTGCATCACCCTCGTCCATGCCCTTGCGCCGCCGGATCGCCCCAAACATGCCCTGCAGCTCCTGCACCATCTCCCCGCTCACCGCGCGCAGCCGCTCCGCCTCGAGCTGCCGCTGGATCTCCACTGCCCGCGCCGGGTCCTTGGCGCCCTCGAGCTGCGCCATCGTCATGCCCCGCGCCCGCGCTTCACGCTGCAGCTGGATCCGCTCCTCGCGGGAGAGCGCGGAGCGTGCACGAGTTGCTGCGGCCGGGATATGAGCCTCAAACACCTCGTCCACTCCAGCTGGAGGGAGGTCGGGCGCCGTGTCCGCCTCGTCGTCCTCTTCTACGAGGCGCTCAATCTCCTCTGGGCCCGGTCCGGGCTCAGGCTCAGCCCAGCTACGCGCAAACTCGGGGATCCGGGGTGGGACGGGCGTCTCCTCGCGCTCGGGGCTGTCCGCGTCCGTAGTCGCCTCGAGACGTAGGCGGTTACGGTCGACGTGGCGAAGCATGTTGCCGATGTCGTTGCGCATGTCGGCCCAAACCATAGACAGGTCCGACTCGCCATCAACAATAAGCCCGCGTACCTCTTCCGTCTTGGCCCATACCCGGGCAAGCAGGTGCTGCAGGTCGTCCATGCTGCTCAAAACCGCCTGCTCGGTGCTATCGCGTGGCGCAAAGTCCTGATTGCCTAGAAGCGACATGAGGCCGCGCTTTGGCGGAGGCGTGGCAGGGTATGATTTTGAGGCTGCGGCAGCGATTGCCTGCGCGGAGGCAGCCTCACGCTCAGCATCTGCTCGTAGTGCCTCCAAGCGAGCGATGGCCTCGGACATCGTGTCCATCACCCCGCGTAGCACGAGATCCACCTCATCCCAATATCCGCTCTCTTCGGGCTCCCGGAAGCGCAAGCCGAGTAAGCAGCACGCCATGCGCCGCCGCTTCAGATGTACACCCAGGCATGAGGCCCTGAGGCCACCAAGCGTAAGAGGTGAGATCGAAGCACCTCTTTGCATCGGTGGCGGGCGGAGAGGCGAGCGTCCATAGCCGAGGCTTGATGCGTCGCGGGTCATGGCGTCGGGGAAGAGGAGGGATGTCCGCTTGGAGCCCGGGGTACTCGGTATACTGGGTCTTGTTCGGTCCGAGAGAAGGGACAGTCGCCGAAGACCGCTGGGGCTATCAGGGCGCGTGGTATTACTCCCAGGCGACGTGCGCATTGAGGAAGCGGCGGTTTGAGCACGCTGCACTCGAGCAGTATCAGAATGTGGGAGCGAGCGCGTGCGAGTGAGGTTGGAGCTGGTAGCCAACGCGACGTCGTCTCGTGTGTAGTCGATTGCGGGGTATCCGGCCCCAAACGGAGTCTGCAGTGATCGGCGCTTATCGCTCGACATCGAGGTCGTGGCCCGAGCAACAGCCAAATTTTGGGCCTGTTCATGGCTCGATACCGGGGGAGATGGTATATATGCAATGTCCTGTAATGACCGGCGGAAGGGCGACTGGCCGGGTGTAGCGCTGATGCTGTGGAAGGAAGGCGTGGGCGGCTGCCTTGACCACTCGGGCATCTCTAACCGCGCGAGCGTCTGGATGAGCGGCGAAGCGCGCTTGGGTGTGAAGGGAAGTCCTTTCAATACCAGGGGCGGAGATAGTGCACCAGCAAGCGACCTGTCGTCGGGAATCGACGCAGGCATGCAGCTGCTCTCAGTTGATGCGGCCGAGAGCACGCTGTCACTACCCTCCTCGCCGTCCGAGCGCACGTCCGTCTCTGACCGAAATGGTCGTTGTGGACGCGCGTTCCAATCGACGCTGTAGCTCGTGCGATTGAACCTCGGAGACGCGCGGCTCGGGAGTTTTGTGAACCGATCGTTCGCGTCGAAGGGTGGCGCGAGGGCGCGGATCGGTGTTCTCGCATGCCGAGCAGTTGGCGACAACAAGGAGGCGGGGAGAGACGCCGGCGGAGACATGGGGCCAGACGAACCCGCTCGTGGACGATTGTGCTTGTGAATTGCGGACGGGCTGGCGTCCTCTTCATCGCTGCTCGACGGGCGTCGTCGACGCTGCCCGCCCACCAGCTGCACGTCGTACATGTTGCTCAGCACGGTCAGCTCGCTGCGGTCGCACATGGTGGTAAGCGACGAAGTCGCCGTCGCGAGACTGTCCGTCATGTCTTCGAACAATCGGTGCAGCGCGATGCGGAGTTCGTGCGCGTGGTCGGTATCATCGGGCCGTCGCGCAAGGATCTGGAGTGCGGCAAGAACTGTCTGGTCAAGCGCCTTAGACTCGTCAAGAAGGCCTTCCAGCCCGCGCATCACGCGAGCGCGACCTGTCGTGTTGTGAACAGCGCGCTCGGGAGCCGATGATTCGCGATTCGCCTCTGGCACATTGCCTTCCTTTGCTGCGCCCTCAGTGGGGGCTTCGGCCTTGGACGTCAGCGCGGGGGGACGCGCGGAGCCGCTCACAATTCTTCGCGCATATAGCGCGACGCCCGTGGCTAGCGCTGTGCCGGGAATCACGCTGCCCACGGGGCCGAGGATGTACACGATCCCCGCGACGACCGCCGCGATGGCAGCGATGATATCCCACCGCAATAGCTCGGGTATCCCTGCAGCCCCGGGAGCGTCTGTGTGCGAATATGATGCGACAGAGGCCTTGGAGGGCGTAACGTCGACATCTGTTGTTCCCAGACTTGCGATCTGCGTCTTCTCCAACAACCCGCTCGATGCGACGAGATACTTGAAACGCTCGGCGAACTCGTCCCGCGGTGGCGAGTCTATCCTCGCTGGCGACGCGAGATGGCTCGGCCCTGCCTCGGCATTCTCAGTGTCAGACATGGCGCTGGGGTGCAATGTCAGTTTCCGGGTGGTGGCAAGTGGCGCGATGCGTTCGCGCGAGCGTGGCCGCCTCCGCCTGATGGTCGTGTCGTCTGCCGGTGGCGAGTCGTCGAACGACTGCTCGGCCTCTGTAGAGTTAGTGGGCGGCCAGTGGGGGGACGAAAAGGGCGGGGCCGGGCCCCCCTCGTGGAGAAAGGGGTTGGATGGCACGAGCGGGGCAGACGTACGGGCCAAGTAGTCGGCGAGGGGCGAGGAGTCGGCGGCGTCGGCGTCGGGTGTGGGGGATGCTGGTGGCGAGGGGAGGGGGTAGTGAGTAGCCATGCTGCCGATGTTGGCATGACCGGGGGGGATAGAGAGATGAGAGATGAGAGATGAGAGATGAGAGATGAGAGAGAGATGATGAAATGGAAATAGCAAGAGTGTATAGGCTCAATAACAAACGTCGACGCGCCCAGGAGCAAGACGCCACCTTCCCTCATCGACCTCATCCATCATCCTCGCGATCCGCGCTCCGCCCCGCCCCACGTGGTGAGCTTATTACATAAATCTACTTCATGACACTTTCTTGGCGCGTCGATCGCTCAACAACATCTGGCTGGGCCATGTCCCATTCATTCATTAGCGCGCAGTGCATTGTCATTGTTGCGAACAACTTGTTCCGCATACAGACGATTCACACTAGCCGCTTCTTGCAGCTCGATGGCTCATGTTTGCACTACGTTTCGCGCCCACTCAGAGCCCAGGCCGCGCGACCCTTGATAAATGATGGTGCGTGACAGAGCCACATACTCGCTGCGTCGCATGCGTTGCGTGCGTAGGTCCGTTACTCACCGCTGCACCGCCTTATCACGTCCGAGGGTGTCAACTGCTCGGTGTCCAGCCATTCAGTCTGTCGGGCTAGTTGTGGACCTGCAGCATCCAACCACAGGAACACCGCGGGTCCGTAACCTCTCGCTGCTTCCAAGCCCTTGGTAAACCCAATTAATGCATGATATTAGGATATGCTAGTGCTGTCTATAATGTTGCTTGTCTAGATTACTGCCCGGTCGTAGAACGGGAGCGGGAGCGCGACACGGAGCGCGTAAAGGACATGGAGCGTACGGGGCGCGTGCGGGGATCGCTGAGCTCCTCCTCCATCGAGATGGAGCGCTGGAGGTCGAAGAGTTCCGGCGAGTCGAATCCCGCTTCGGACTGCACGTCGTCGTCGTCGTCGACGCCCCGGACGTTCTTCTCCGCGTCGGCGCCCGGCGCCTGCGCCGCCGCGGCCTTGCGCGCCGCAATGATCTGCTGGTAGATCCGCGCGGCCTCGCTCGCGTACTTGCACTTTTCGCGGATCGCGCCGCCGTACTTGTAGAAGAGGAAGGGGAAGGGCGCGCACGCGAGCGCGAGGAAGCCGGGCAGCGCCGCGGCCCAGTGCACGCCGAGCTTTTCGTACATCGGCTTTGTGAAGAGGGGGAAGGCGGCGCCGAAGAGGGAGCGGAGCACCGAGTTCGCCGCGAGGACGGACGCCGCGTAGATCACATACACGTCCACGAGGTAGCCCATGCACGCGAGGAAGAGCATGACCATGCCCATGCCGAAGGGGACGCCGAAGATGATCGGCGCGATCCAGTGCGTGTTTGGGCCGTCGGTGGCCGCGAAGCCCGCCAGGCCGATGATGATGATCACGCCACCGGACATGGCGGGGACGAGGCGGTCCTCGGGCACAGGGTAGCCACGCTTCTTGATCGTCTTAATGTACCGCGGGTTCGTCCAGACAATGGTGACGATGACCGAGAGAATGGCACCGATCATAATGCCCAGGAAGGCGAGACCCGAGATACCGATCGACCAGCCGCGGCCCTGGCTGAAGACGATGGGGTACGCCGCGAAGTTGAGGTAGAGGATGCCGTAGACGATTGCGACATAGATGGAGAGAACGAGCACGATAGGCTCCAAGATAAGGAATTTCCAAGGGCGGACAAGTGACGCCTTGAACAGGTTGACGATGTTGAAAGGCTTGGCAGCGTCCGCGCGGTACCGGTAAACCTTGCCGGTGACTTTAGATAGCTTGTCTGCGCGCTGGCGCAGCAGGAGGGGTGCGTACGTCTCGGCGCTGAACAGGAAGAGAAGGACGAAGACGAAGCCGCAGAATATCGCGAGCATGCCGATGACCCAGCGCCATCCAGCCGCTTCACCGAGGAAACCACCAGTAATGGGGCCGATGGCGGGACCGAGGAAGGGCGCGACGGAAAACAGCGCCATGCCCAGGCCCATCTGCGCAGGGTCGAGAACGTCGGCGATGGTGCCGCCCGCGTTGGCGAGGGGGGAGGAGCCGAAGAGGCCGGCAAGGCCACGGAACACGAGGACCGAGCCGGGGTTGGGCGCGGCGCAGGTCACGGCCTGCCAGAGAGTCAAGAAAAAGTAGGAGAAGAGGTAGACGCGGCGGCGGCCGAACACTTCTGAGGCGGGCGCCCAGAGGAGCGGGCCGAAGGCGAAGCCGAGGACGAAGAGCGACACGCCGCCAGTCCAGAACAGCGAGTTGGGCTTGTTGAAGTCCTCCATGAGGGAGGGGATACCGCCGGTGTACGCGGACGAGGAGAGGGCTACGGCGAGCGTAGCAAAGGACGCCACGACGATCTGGCTCCATTTCCACAACTGCGACCAGCTCTGCGGGTCCTCAGCGTCCTCGGGCAGCCAGTCGATGATGTACGGGTCTTCGTCTGTTCCGCTGCCCTTGTACGGGTAGTTGAGGATGGTTTCGAAGGGCGTGACGTGTGGTCGCCAGGGGCGGCGAGTGAGAGTGTGGGCGCTGAGGGGCTTGCCGTCGTGCGCGGCGGGGTGCGCCGTCACCGACGAGGCGTCGGACATGCCTGTTCTGTTAGCCATGAAGAGTGGGCGGATGCAAAGCTCCATCGGGCCATCGATCGGGATGGATGCTGATGACCGAGAAAGACCCTACACTTACTGGGTGGTGTGGAGGTGGTGGCGGGTATGTTGTGAAGACGGATGATCCGATTGGTGCTGTTAATGTTGGCTTTGATGTTGCTGCTGGAGTTGCTGATATCGATACAGTTGCCACGACCGAATGCACAAGACAAGATGGGATGGAAAGTGAGAAATGAGATGCGAGAAAGAAATTACATGCAGTGCTAAAGTAAGACGGCTGAGCGCTGTCCTTGTCGCCGCCGCTGATGTTGCGGCCGCCGCGTGACTGTCTGCACCACTTGCCCGAGGCTGGTGACCCTTAGAATCCCGGCACTTGGAACGGTACATGGTGGCGTGCCGCGGGGCGCTGATGCAATTTTTGCCGCAGGCTATTACGGGCTCTCACTTCCACTTCGACCTCGGTGACTGCCTGGACCACCGGCGTGGCGGCGGTACGTCATTAGCTAAGCCGGCGGGCAGAATCCCCAAGCGGAGGGCCGGAGCGCGCTGGGCAGCGAGGCATGCGGGATGCGGTACGGCCGTCGGTTCCGTGCCTGCCCTGTCTGTGTCCAGGTGGGGAGATGGCGGAGGGGTCAGAGATGGTGACACAATTTGTCCGTCATGATTGGGTGCTGCGGAGTACTGGCGGATATAGCCGCGCCGCATCAGTGCCGCCCGTAGTGTCACCGTGTCAGCATGCCTGAGGCGCGTTATCAAGCATGTTCGGAGAAACTTTGGCGATTCGGTGGCGATTCCAGCATTCTCTGCCTGCATCTCCGCGTGGTCAGTCCACTGCCGCCGGCTGATGTCAGCTGGGGCCGCGATGCCTCACCCTCGAGACCAGCGCACGGACGTGGAGCTCCGTGACATGACGCAAGGTCGCGGTGGCGATGAGTATGGCTTTGACCACGTCGCCGCGATAAGGAGTGATCGGGGGCCGGGGGCGCCTGTTCACCGGGCCGGCCGGCAGGACGAGGTGCGAGGCGAAGTGCGCAGCTGGGAACGTGTGGGAAACCGGGGTAGTGTCGTGCTTTCGCCCGAACACGCCTCGCACGCCAGTGCGAGATTGCTGAAATTGGATACATGGACTTGTCTCTCAACACTTGTCTCGTCCCCTCAATCCACTGTCCACACGTTACAGCCCCATCTCCATTGAACCAATAATGTCGGGATACAGCACACTCAGATCGAAGCTCATGAGATCAAAGTCGATAATGTTCTGGCCTGGTACCGCGTGTCCAGGCCACAGCGCCTCAGCAAGATCGGTATGTGCGTCGGCGTCGGCGAGCAGCTTCTCGCCCTCGGTGATGATGAAGCGTGCGGCGCGGCCGAGCGTGCGCACACTGCGCGCCGCGTCGTCCAGCCGCCCACCCTCGATCAGCTTCGCGTCAGGGTACGCCGTCGCGACGTAGCGCACGCTGCGCCTGAACACGATGACGGCTGCGGCGGCGATGAGCACGGCGTACTCTGGTATGAGGGCGGTGTCGAGGATGGGTGAGGGCGAGTCGCGTGCCGGCGTCACGATGTCCAGCACCGCAGTCATGTTGCGCGGGAACTTGCGGAGGCACTGCAGGACGGTCTCACGCATGTCTTTCAGCGGGGAGGGGAGCCACGTGAGAAATAGGGCGATGCGGATGTGCAAGGTGAACTCGATGATGCGCGCGTCCATGCCGATGGAGGCTGAGGTCAGAGGTGACAGGTGGTGGGGTGACAGGAAGGATGGGCACGAAAGAACACTCACGGCTTTGAGGATTCGCAGCCGCCACATCAGCTGCAGCGTCCTTCGCCTGGTCCCATGCCGCGACCAGATCGCGCATATCCTCGTGATTCCACTCGCTCTCGCGCTCCACGGCAGCGAAGCGCGTCACAAACGGCGTGAACGCCATGACAAGGTGTGCCTCGCTACGGAGATGCACATTAGCCGCCTCGAGCTGCTCACGCACGAGGCGTGGGAGACGGAGGGCGAGGGGTGTGGGTGGCGCAGGTTGCGGGTACATCAGGCTGAGGAGCGCATAGCGGTTAGACACGGCGCACCACTGCAGTTAGCTTTGACTTTGAGAGCGAGGACGTACCAATTGCAAAAGCCACAGACTGTCGGCCCACACCGCGTCGTTGAGTTCCTCGCCCTTCCGCACAGCCGCGAGCGCGCGCGCCTCCAGCCCCATTGCAAGACACATGCTCCTGGCGAGTGATACCATGCGCCATGCCGTTGGCGTGATTGGTGCGCCCTCGGCCCCGTCATCCGGCAGCGGCGGGGCCAAGCTCATTATTAGGAGAGCAAGCACCACGTCGACGCTGGCATGACTGCCCATCGCAAGCGCCATACATTCGTCGACCAAGCCGCGCAGTGCGCGCTGGTCCTTGACGAGCGCGGGGACGTGGTGGAGTGCGGCGAGGAGCACGAACCCGTGCCCCGGGAGCGGGGTGGACACGGCTGTAAAAGGCGGGATGGGGAGGAGGCGGGCGGCGCGCGCCTTGAAGCCGTGCCAGGCGAGCTCTGCCTCGGCGGGCGAGAGGAGGCCGCGCCCCACGGGATCGGGGTATGCGCGGGTGCAGGCAACGCTCCAGAGTGTCTCGTCGTGCCCCTCGAGCTGGAGAGCGGAGAGGCGGAGTGGTCCAGCGAATAGAACGTGCCTCTCCTCCTCCGGGATGCGGTAGTGTGGATGATAGCTTCCGCTGGTGCTGGTGCCCGCCCCGGAGACGCGGGCTTCGAGATCGGCGAGGGCGCGCTCAGTGCGTGCCAGCCGCGCTTCAGCGTCCGCTAGCCGCGCACGCACATCCTCGTCGGCTGAGGACCCAGCTGAGCGCCCCACTGCAGCCGCCGAGACCGGCGCAGGCGTGCTCACCCCGCTCAGGTTGTTGTCGAAGCCGCCCACCACGGCTGATAAGGAGCACGGCTTGCCTCGGCGACGGCATAGCGCGCACCCGCCTGACGTGACGTCTTCGCAGCGTGTCTTTGAGGACACGCATGCGGCGCACGCACGGAATATTTTGGGCCGCTTGCGCGGAGAGGGGGAGCGCGAGCGGCGCGACATGTTGCTGATGGTGTGGTGGTGACGGAGATGGAGAGATAGCGAGGGAATCCCGAAGTGTCGGGGGCGGGGGATCCGGGCGGTGGGCGGAAGCTCCGGGGTCACGTGACGGTGTATCGGCACAGCCGGCGGTCTTCTCCGCATTCTCACAGGAGATTAGACCAGATCGACCAGAGCCGATTTGTCACATCCATGCTCAATCCGCACGCGAGGGACGCCGCGCCGGAGCACCAGCGACATCTGATCATGGTCTACTCGCGTGAACAGAAGTCTCGAGCCATGCCAGACGCAGTCTTCGGTCGAATCCAAATGATACTTCTCGACAGAGTGGAGGTCCAAACGTGATTCATACCAGTTGCCCGCTTCTTCACTGCTTGACACCATCCACCTCGCTTCGTTGCCGGAAGCATCGCACGGACCACTCTTGACAGCGCCAGGAGGCTTTGGAGGCTTGCATGCTCCTGCAGGCTTGCGGAGCTCCTTACAACTCACCTTCCAACCCCGATCGATCACACGATTCGAAGTCGATCATGCCAGAGGCCAGAGGGGCGAAGGGGTCGGCACCGTGCGTTGCACTGCAAGGAGTGGAGTGAGTAACATCCTGTACAGAGAGAGTTGTGTGAGTGGCTGCGTGTACGCGTGCGGCGGGACCAGTGCCGAGAAGGGCGCCGCGGAGAAACGAGAGAGAAGCGAGGGACGCGCCCAAGACCGAGGGAGGGAGGGTGGGGAGAAGGAACAGGCAAGGTGGAGGTCGACCGCGGATGGTCGAGTAGAGAGGTCCGAGCTAGGATGAACGTTGGCGACTACGCCACCCACAGCCCCCGCCCCGGCTCCCCACTCCCATCCCATCCCCCCCTTGCTTTGCCTTGCTTGCCGCATAACCCCTCCTGTCTGCTCTTCAGCCTGCTCACCTGCTCGCTCTCACTGCAGTGCTGCAGCTGCCGCGCAGTTGGCTGGCGCCGGCTCAAGTCGCCGAGATGAAGCGCGGAATGAGTGAGGTGGTGGAGGAATGAAGGCTTGGAGACTCGTAGGAATCATGTGCCGGGAGAGGTCCACGCGCGTGTCGAAGAGGAGTACAACGACAAAGAGTTACCAAAAGCCATTGAGCGTCACCATCATTCTTCGAGTGGTGCAAAAGCACTTGGCGACACGCAACACAGACAACACACACTCGTCGTATCCCTCCTTGCGTCCTCCTTGCCATCTGCCCATCTGCTTCCCAACCACCCCAGGCAACTCGCTCCCCCCTCGTGATTCCCCTTCTTCCCTCGTCAAGAGAGAGGCCGCGTACGCCCCCTCCTCTAGCGTGGTCCAATCACCCTCCCACTCTACCACCACCTTCCCCCCCCCCCCCCCCCCCCCCCCCCCCCCCCCCCCCCCATTGCCCCAGTTATCAACCACAACACCTCCCTCCGTCTTTTCTCTTTCACTCACTTACTCACTCTCTCTCTTTCTCCATCTCTCTCCCTCTCTCGACTCTACTCCAACACCCAGCACCCAACACTCCACCCTCCTTCTCCTCTTCTCTAATCCAACCCCCCTCCCCCGTACTCCCTCCCTCATCAACATGTCGCATGACCCTCCAGCAGAAGCCCCGGACGACAACCCCAATGCCACTCCCTACACAAATGGCACCCCCCGCCCTCGCTCTCTTGGTGAGTACCTCGCCTCTTGCCGGCTCGGCCAAAGCCTTCACACGACCCCTCGTGCCATCTTTATTCCCCCTAGCCACCAGGCTTCTGCCCGACACGCCCCAATCACCTAAAATACTCAATCTAAACGACACCGCTAATCGCAGACGCACTGCCCCACATCCTCCGCGTCAGCCCTGAAATTGCACTAGACGTCCTTACCGCCTCCAAGGCCACTCACGACATTGTAGCCGCTCATCTTTACCACAACATTGATGTAGCAATCGCCCTCGCCGGCACCCTAACTCCGGCGTCGAGCATGACTGCCGCACTCGACCGCCCCTGCTGTCCCAGTTCCCGCGAGCAGCTCAAAGTTGTTAGCGCCCTTCGGTGCGTCGCTGCTGATACTTCTCCTCTGACTCTACAGCAACTTGGAGTATGCCGCCTATGTACGGGTCATTCGGTTTCGCCACCCTTGCCCCACACACGCTCCGGTTACAGCGGTCAACGACGTCACTCGCGAAAATGATCGTCTGGACGCTTGGGCGCTGGCTAGAGCCCTGATCATGCACTGTCCCCAAGTGCAGCAGGTAACTTGGAAGACAGGCTTTGGGCTCAACGACGAACTCTGGACAGTGAGAGATCACCGATCTTGAAATGCTGATACGAGGCAATCTCCAACTTGACAAGTCTGCAGCGTCTTCACTTGACATACCCTCAACCGCACCCAGCAATCGTCATCAATCCGCTGTACCCGCGCTTGACACCTGTGCTCCAGCAATTCGGCGAAAACTGCGCTGACAACGTGTTTCTGGCCGAACGTCCCATTGTCCACGCCATCGGCCGCGAGGGACTCGCCCTTGGCGTGGCCTGGGAAGGCCTTGAAGAGCTCAGCTTAGAAGGTCTCAGTGTGCAGGGAGTGAGTTGACTAATGTATGTGTGTATGATGCAGCTAACCACGAGGCGTGGACCATCGCCAGCCACCTGGAGCTTCTCGCTGAGCAGCACGACTCGCATCAACCTCCCCGGCTGCACACACTTTCGCTTGCGACGCACTTCCTAGACTTGCGACTGTGCCGAGCGGTGGCAAACTTTGGTTCTCTTGGTAGTCTCAAGCACGTTACGTTGTCGACGACGGGTACCAAACTCAACGCGGAGTGCCTCAAGGATCTCTTGACGGGATGCAGCGCGCTTGAGTCTCTGAAATTGACAGACATCGAAGGTCAGTTGATTGAAACAACCGGAGCTGATTAACCTAGGCCGTCTCGATAAGAACACTTGGGGAATGATTGAGAGCTGGCCTCCAACTTTGACATCTCTGGTGCTCGAAATCCGGGAGAACGGCTCGCGCCACTCCTGGGTGATGAACCATATCTCGTCCATTGCAGAAGTACCTGTGGGACAATTGAAGCGCTTCGTGGTCAAGCGCGTTGTACATCCCATTGCAACACTCCCCTTCCCTCCACTAGGCGTAATTGTGCCGCAACCCGACGCCACGCACAACAAGGAGCCCATCCCGTACGAACTTTTGGAACTCATTCGCAATGGAGGCGACCTCCTGGAGGACCTTTGCTTAGATTGGTGGGACATTAGCGGTCTCGCCTTTGAGGCGATCCTGCTCGCTTGTCCGCGTCTTCGCAGGCTTCAAGTCTCGATCCGCGCGACTGTCCTGGACATTGTAGGCGCTTTTGTGGGCTCAGCTGACGGTAGATTGGCATGACCACCGCATTTGCCAACGTGCCAGACCTCGCGGAGCTGAATATCACTACCGACCCCAAGCTTGCAACTCCGGCTGCGATCAAGGTCAAGGCGAGCAAGAAGAAGCAAGTTGCATGCTCTAACCTTCCACCATTCCTTGCAGAGAAAGTCGCTGAGTCTGACCCCGCACTTGTCGAAGTTCGCGACCTACGCAAATTCGCTCGGCGGCTTCCCGAGTTCAAAGTTCTCCGCTGGATCGGGCGACAGGGCAAGGGCGAGTGGCGTTTTACGAGCTCGAAGAAGGCGACGCTCTCCCCAGTCGACTTTGTCCATTCAGCTGAGCTCACCAAGGAGATTTGGATTCAATGCCAGCTCGAGCCACCTTCGTTCCACTTCGCAGAGGATGTGGTAGGAAGTCCGCAGCAGCTTCAGGTCCCTGTGTCGCCGGAGCGGTTGGCCGCGTCAGAGTTCCCAGCATTGTCGCGCTCAACGACCGCGACGTCTCTGCTGCAGTCGCCCACCACGCCAAGCGCCCCGGTGGTACCATTAATGCGTCGCTCTTCGAGCACAACTTCCGCCAATGCCAACCCTTTAGGTCTCGAGTGGGACCCGCTGCCACCAAACACCAAAACGGCATCCCCTCCTGCCACCTCGCCGCGTAAACTTCCCAACGGAACTGCAACAGTTCGTCTGGACATTTCGCCTTCCAAGTGGGGCGATAACCGTAACCGCGGCCGCAGTCGCCGCGAAGCGAAGGCGCACTTGACCATAGGGCCACCGAGTCCTTCCAAGGAGCCGCGCCATGTTCCGGGCTCGGCCCCCAAGAAGCAGTCGTGCCCGCCAAGTCCTAGCAAGATGGACCGGGACGGCAAGCGAGAAAAGGAGTACAAGGCGCGGCGCGGCCCAGTGGACGAAGGGTGGACGACTGTCGGCTGCGACCGGGTTCGGAAGAAGTAGCGTAGCCTACCCAGATCAAGGCAGGCCGGTGCCGCCCTGTGCAAACGCCAACTCGAAACCATCCCGAGACGACATACGAAAGTCACGGCAGCCATGGTTTGAGACGGGCTTGTGAATGTATTATCTGTTAAGTCCGGGGGCTCTATGTTGATTAGGCGGTCCGTTGGTCTGGGCATGCTGGGCATTGCGTGGGAGTAGGTGACGCTGGTGTGGTGAAGCCGTGGAGCACCCTGGCGCATCGCCCGTCAACCCTGGTCACTGCGTTTGGACGATTCGTGTCGAAGCCTGTGTCAAGGGGACATGCTGCGCTTTCAGCAGAGGACTGACTCTGGCTTCAAGGCGTTGCTGGTGAAGGTTGATCAATACAGTCCTCAAATAACCGGTTTCTAGGTGAATGGGTACATCCACCTCTGCGCACGCATTCCACTCCCACTACCCCTCCTATCGTTACAACGCACGCTGCGAGTGTCGTCTGCATCTCGCGTCAGCCTACATGGGATTCTGGTCAATGTTCGATACAAAAAGCTTGGAGGAGTGGAGGATTGAACTCCAGGCCTTCTCAAGAAGGTCGTAGTCGAAGCCACGGTGCAAATGAGACGCTCTACCACTGAGCTACACCCCCTGAACAGGGATGAAAACTGGCCTGTACCGCTGCGTATGGGTGCTGCTATCCACATCTTCAGCCCAGTGTCTATCTTGTCACTCCCTTCCTGTGCCTCCCATGCCACAAGTTATTGGCGCCACAGCTCGTCAGGCAGGTCCCTATCGTTCAGCACAAGGTCATACATTCATATAGCCCTACAAGTCGCGCGGATCAAGCCGCATCACCTCGCCCGCCCCGGCACCCACAACACACTCCGCCTCGATCTCAAGCAGCGCCTCGGCGCCCACGACATACGTGAGCCCCCCGACCATCGTGTTGGTCGGGAGGACGCCGTGGCGCGCCATAATCTCACGCTCCTGCACGCGCCCGACGGCGAGCCAATCACGCTCGACGTCAGTGTAGAGGATACGGGTGCGCACGACGTCGGCCATGGATCCGCCGACGGCGGCGACCGCGCCGCGGATGATGTCGAACACGAACGTGGCCTGGTCCTCTGCGTCGGCGCCCACGACGCCGCGCCCGCTGGGGTGCGGCTTCGTCGTCGTCCCGCTCACGACGATGCGGTCGGCATACCGCACCGACCGGCAGTACCCGACCACAGGCTCCCACGGCGATCCTGAGAGATACTCTATGCGCCCGCCGCGCGCGAGCGTCGCGTCCATTTGCGCACGCTTCGCCGGCGCTTCCCACGCCGTCTGGGCTTGGGCGGGGAGGCCGCCCGAGGCCGTGAGGAACGGCGCGAAGCGCAGCTCGTCCCCACACCCGCCGGGCAGGCGGGCGAGTTTCTCGGTCGCACACGCGAGGAGACAGCGGTCGTCGGCGTCCAGCGAGAGAGTGAGGACGCCCGCGACGGGCGAAGGGAGGATCACGGCCGCGACGCCGGCGTCGAGCACGTGCCGCGCCGCGACAGCGGCGCAGGACACGCCGTGTTTCTTCGCGACGGACGACACGGCGGCAAGGACGCGCTGGAAGGCCGCCCAGCCCCCCGTGGCGTCGATCACGCGCTTCCATTTTTGTTGGTCGCCGTGCAGCCCGCTCGGCTCCGCCGCGCCCACCCACTCCTCGCTGATCAGCCCGCCGAGCGTCGCGCCGTACCCGATGATCGTGATCTCGTTCGTGCGGCAGTAGTCGGCCATCTCGGCGTACCGCGTGTCAAGGAGTGACGCGGACACTGTGTTCGCGACGATCGGGTATCCGCTGCCCACTAGAAGCTTGAGATGCGGCAGGTCGAAGTCCGCGACGCCGACGTGCGTCCCTCCCTCCCCGGACTGGAGGAGGCGGCAGAGATGGTACAGGTTGTCGATGTACGTCGGGGAGTCGTACCGCCACGCCGTGTAGGTCAGGAGGTCGAGCGGGCCGAGGTCGGCGATGGCCGCGGCGCACGCGTCCGCGCCGACGACGGACGGGGAGGGGCGCCAGTGGCCCAGTTTGACGCCCGGCTCGCCGCCAACACTTAGCCGCTCGATGGCGGCGCCGCTCTCCGCGTGCACTAGCACGCGTGGGAGTCGCAAGGGGGTCGGCGTGTCGGCACCAATCGTCGCGTACTCGTTGTTCTGAGTCATGGTGAGTGGGTGAGTGAGGAAGTGGTTCGCAACACGTTGGGCTCTCGCTACCGGTCTCAGCCGCATCGATACTTGAAGCGCCCCGGAATGCTCGGCTGCCCCAGACGGGTATACCACTTTACCCGGCGCCACTGGGAACATGCCGTCTGGGTTGCGCAGACGAAGGGGGATGAGGAGGAGGGGACATGAGGGCCGTTTGCGCGCCGAGCTCGTCCGTACAGTCGTGTCTAACTGGGATAGCTGGTGGGGTGGCGTTGAATACGATGATGCTGTTGCGACGAGACCATCGCATGGCTTGGGAGGGCGGAACCAAACAACATGTTCTCGCCCCTGGCGGGAACAAGGCGGCAAACAGCGCGACTGACTTTGGCATCCATCAACCTTCCACCACCCACAACCATCCCACAATGGACTTGGAGCCCGGACGCACCTGGAGCCTGCGCGACTTTGACATCGGCAGGCCACTCGGCAAGGGTACACTCTCTCCTCTCCGCGCTAACCCCAGGCCACTTCGGCAAAGTGTACCTCGCGCGTCTCAAGTCGTCCGACTTCATCGTCGCGCTCAAAGTCCTCGACCGGGCGGCGATTATGGCGAACGAGCGCGCCGAGACACAAGCGCGCCGGGAAATTGAGGTGATGCGCGCGCTGCGCCACCCCAACATTGTACGGCTGTACGACTTCTTTGCGGAAGACGACCGCGTCGTCCTCATGCTCGAGTATGCGGCGCAGGGCGAGATGTACCGGCAGCTCGCGAAGCGGGGGCGGTTCAGCGAGCGGCGGAGCGTGAAGGTGCGTGGGGAGGAGGCGGTGAGCTCACCCCAGTACATCCGCCAGGTCGCGGACGGGCTCGCGTACCTCCACACGCAGAACATCATTCATCGCGACATCAAGCCTGAGAACCTGTTTATCGGGCTTGGCGGCGAGCTCAAGATCGGGGATTTCGGCTGGAGCGTGCACTCGCCCACGGAGGGCCAGCGCACGCTGTGCGGCACGCTGAGCTATGTCTCGCCCGAGATGGTGCTCAACCAGCCACACGGCAAGGCTGTGGATATCTGGGTGAGCAGCGGTGCCTTTGGAAGGGGTGTGGGGAAAGGGGCGGGTGGCTGGCATGCTCTGATTGCTGACTCCAGGCCCTCGGTGTGCTATCGTACGAGCTTATTGTTGGCGCCGAGCCGTTCGCGGCCGATACGAGCACCGGTCCGCGCCTCGTTCATCAGCGTATCTGCCGCTGCGATGTGCGGTTCCCTGCCTTCGTCTCCGAGGGCGCGCGGGACTTCATCATGAGCGTATGTCGAGAACAAGGCTCCGCTGACGCCAGCTCTTGCAACTCAACCCCGCAGATCGACTACCACTCGAGCGTGTGCCCGAGCACCAGTGGATCGCTTCGTACAGCTCCCACTAGCTTCCCCGCTCCCATTATTGTGTATTATCGTTCGGCCAGAGAACCGACCGGTGCCCCCGCGCTCTGCCACCAAGCTCCGGACCTGCCGCAGTCGCACCGCGCACAGATCTCGCACAGCTGTTGAGCCACGCCGCGGCTCGTGGCGCGGCATGCGGATCATCTTGGGCCCGAAGGCTCGCCAAGCGCCTGCGTCACACCTCGCTGTTCCCCTCACAACCTGTAGAGTATAATGGGAGGCACGGAAGCCGGCAGAGGACCCCAATATGGTTGATGCCACAGATGCCTCGTGGGAAGTAGGAACGGTGCGGGGCAGAAGTAACTTCCGGCAGAACTCATCGAACTGTACAAGTGTTCAACATGTCCGGGGGTCGTTGCAAGTGCTCACAACCCGGGTTTCCCATCTTTGAAGGCGCGAGCGCGGCCTGCTTCGCGTTTCGCACCAGCCTCCGCGGAGAGCCCCGCACTGGAAGCCACGTTGCTTTTAAGTTAGAGCTGCAACCAGGCCCGGCACGCTTCTTGATGAAGCAGACAATTCAGAATGGATGCGCCATTGTTCACCATTTTGCTGCTCGACAGCCGGCATTGTGTCTATAAAGCGAAAAGCGACTGGGACATGAGACACGGGACATGGGGAGGAGTATCGGGATATTTGCCGGACTTCGGAGATGGATTATTTAATACGCCGAGACCCATCCGCAGCCCTGCAGTCCGCAGTCGCGGCGCACGCGGCGCAGTCGCAGCATGTCCTCATGCTTCGGAGCGACGAAGCATGCCCATGCGGCGCCGAGCGTGTCGCGCTCACTGACGCTCCCAACGCTGGATCAGACGGCGGCCGTCGGGCATGACCGCATGGAGTGACGTCAGTGATAAGATCCTGCACGATTGCTGTATACGGAGCCTGCAACAGCCTGCCAAGAAGGTCCGGCGACGCTTGTATGACGCGATCTCGGGGTACCTTTTCTCAGTCTTCAGTCCCCAGTCCCCAGTTCCCAGTTCCAGTATCTAGGCAATTATGCTGAAGGGTTTACGATCACGAGAGGAGACTTGGAGGCCTGGACGCAGACGACGGCTCGAAGGGGCGGAGGAACAGGCACCCGCCTGCTCCAAGCCAAGCCTGCAAGCCGGCTGATTTGTTAGTGCAGGATCGCAGGGTTGGGCATGGTCATTTGCTGGTCATTTGCATGACGACGTGAGCATGAGCACGGGGCGAATGGAAGATCGACTTGAATACTCTAGCGCGGGGCAAGGTTCGTCGTGCTGGGCGCACGTCATGGACCTCTGGCTACCTCCGGCCGCATTCGCACCGGTGCGTCTAGTAAGTGTACACAGCTGGTGGGGTGGAAGAGATATAAGGAGGCTTGTGTGAGAGGGGACTCGGTATCCATCAACATCATGCTCGCCATCTTCACTCTCCTCACTCTTCTGGGCTCGACTCTTGCGACCGACTGGAACAACGGCGGTGACGGCGGCCACGGCGGCGGCAACGGCGGCGGCGGTGCGCCTAGCAACGACAAGAAGCCCGTGCCCGCCACATGGGACGGCACATGCTACTACCCCCGCCCCGACCCCTACTTCGACCTCGACACCTACTACGGCCGCTGGTACCAGGTGGCGGGCACCGTGTTCCCGTACACGGAGGGGAGCACGTGTGTGGCGGCGTTCTACTCGCCCAACGACGACGGCACGGTCGCCGTCAACAACACGGGCCAGAAGGCCGACGGGTCGTACAACGAGGCACTGGGCGTCGCGCGCCCCGTCGCACCGTGGTACGGCGCCGCCGGCGTGTTCCAGGTCTCGTTCGACGGCGTGCCCGGCTCCCGGCCCAACCCGTGCCCCGGCCCCGACTACATCGTGCAGGACTACACTGGCGACTGGGCCATCGTGCAGAGCCGTAACTTTAACACCCTGTTCCTGCTCAGCCGCAACCAGCACCCCGGCGACGAGGCGATCGATGTGAGTGGCCTCATAGAGAGGAAAGAGGAGAGGAGACAAAGAACTGACCCCAGGCTTGGATCGCCCGCGCAGGCCGTCTCGGCTCCGACCTGAGCGCCGTTGTCAAGACCGGCCAGGACAACTGCAAGTACCTCTAATGTATTTGTTGTACTGCATAATGCTCGTTAGTGAGCCATATAGTAAATGGACAATGTCTAGACCAAGTTGGTGCGAGCTCTTACTGATCCCGTCTACTTCTTCCCCTTCGTGTGCTTGCCATACCAGCTCTTGACGTCGTCCGCAAACGCCTTGTCCTGCATGAAGCGCGCCGCGACGCACGCCATCCCCGCGGCAAACTTCCACGTGTAATCGTGCGCCTCGTCGGTGCGACAGGCATTGCGGAACGCGACAGTATGGTTGCCGCCCTCTGGGGACGCCACGCCGTAGTGCGGGTGCGCGGCCGGCATCTCATACGTGACCTGATGTCAGCCACCTCCCTCTCCCGCACCGCACATTACCAAAGTCCGTGCTCCCGCCCGCGACGCTCCAGTCGTCGATGCCGACATATGTGGGCAGATGGAACTCCTCGCCCATCGCGGCAGCATACTCCTCCGCCAGCGGCAAGTTGTTGCGGAGGTCCATCATAACCCGTTCAGTCGTATACTTGACCTTGCACCCCGTCGCGAGCGCCGCGCCATCAAAGCACGCGCACACGCGCGCAATGAGCGCCTCGACGCCGGCCGCGCTCTGCGCGCGCACATAAAACTTCATCGCTGTGTAGTCCGGGATGACTGCGTCAGCCTCTTCACATCATGCACGCACTATTCGGCGCGTCCCCGCCGCGCAAGATGATGCCGTGCACGCGCTCGGTGGTGTGGATCTGCTGCCGCAGCGCCGAGATGGACGTGTACGCGATATTCGCGGCGTCGAGCGCATTGACGCCGTCCCACGGCGCGCCGCCCGCGTGGGCTGTCCGCCCGAAGAACTCGACGTTGACCGTATTGATCGCGAGTGTAGGCGTCACGGCGCCGCGGCCGGGCGCCGCGCCCATGCCCCCGACGGGGTGGATCATCATGCATGCGTCCACGCCTTTGTCTGTCGTCAGCCAGTCCTCGCACTACCCTGGCAGCCGATGGGCGACTCACACCCGCCGCGCTCGATGAGCACGCCTTTGCCGACGCCGCCCTCCTCCGCCGGCGTGCCGATGAGCACGACCTCCCCGCTCAGTCCCGCTTTGCGCATGCCGGCGCGCACGCCGAGCGCGGCCGCGACGCCCGACACCGCGATCAGGTTGTGGCCGCACGCATGCCCGATGCCGGGCAGCGCATCGTATTCCGAGTTGAAGGCGAACACCCGCCCGCCCGAGCCGTGCTTGTAGGACGCGCGGAACGCCGTCGCCAGCCCCTTGTATCCCCGCTCGACGGCGAAGCCCGCGTCTTCGAGGAAGGCGGTCAGGTGCTTGTGCGCGTGCACTTCGTGGTATCCCAACTCGGGGTGGTCGGAGATGTAGAGAGAGAGCTTGGTGAGCGCGGGCGCGGCGTCGTTGATTGCGGCGACTATGGCGGCGCGGGCCTGGTGTGAGATTTGCGGAAAGGGGGAGGGGAGGGGGGAGGGGAGGCTCACGTCAGAAGAGAAGGGCGCGCGCGCAGTGTAGGCTGGCAGCTCGGCGTCGAGCTTGTCCCACGCACTGGCGCCGGAACACTGGAAGCATGGCTCGAAGTGTTCGTGTGCGGCGGGGAGGTGGGGCTGAAGCTGTGGCTCCGGAGGCGGAGGCAGAGCAGCCTTCTCGCGCACAGGCTCAGATGCCTTAGCTTTGGTTTTGCTCAAGAATGCGAAGCAGCCTGGTGCCATGATGAGTGATGGAGCGAGCGATATAGTTGCCTCGGTCATATATCTCGGGAGGTGGGCAGGACCATGCGGTTAGCGACGGCAGGCAGGTGGGGGATCGGCGCTGGCCGACTCGGACTCGGTGAGCGCTCAACGTCTAGTCAAAATGCATTGATTAATTTACAGTGTAGTCTACGTATATGGCGATCTAGATGCAAAGCGACGCTAGAGACGAGCCTCGACGGCGCGCGCGGCGACGAACCCGAGACCCATGTTGACGATGTAGCTCGCCCACCCCACGAGGGGAGCGCGCACATCCACGCCGCGCAGGGCGTCGACGGCGAGCTGGCCGCCCGTGACGACCGCGGGGCCGGGGCATACGCCGCCGAGCCCCCATCCGGCGCCGAAGACGAGTGCGCCGAGGACGAGACGCGGCGTGATGTCGCGGCGCGAAGGCACGTGCCACTTCTCCCATGCAAAGAGAGGCTTGGGCGCGCCTGCCGTGCGCGTCTGCAGCGCCATCCACTGGATCATGTTTGGGATGACGCCACCGACCACGATCATGGCGAGCGACGGGTCCCATGCGTCCAGTGGGGGCGGGAGGCGGAGGAAACCCATCACTTTGAGCGGGGATACCATGCCGGACACGATGAGGCCGAGCGAGAAGGTCAGGCCAGAGAGGAGGTAGGGTAGGAGCTGGGCGGGGGAGTAGCAGCTCTCTGCTTCGGAGGGTGGTGTGCTGGGTCGGCAAGCTTTGGGGAGGAGGGCGGCGAGGGCGTTGTGCGCCAGCACGGCCGCGAGGAGGAGGCCGCCGAGCGCCGGCAATGCCGCCGTCGCGGGGTAGGATGGCGCCCACGCCGGCACGGCGTCGACGAGGTATCCTGCCGGCACAAGCTTTGCGACTGCGACGGCGGAGGCCATGAACGTCGCCGTCGCGACGAGGGAGCGCGGCGAGAGCCGGCTCGCCCCGCACAAGAAGTGGCCGGACGTACACCCTGATCCGAGCTGGTGTCAGCTTGGGCCTTTGCTCCACTCACCTTGGCTCCGAAGCCGATCATGGCACCGGCGAGCGCGAGGCGCCCGGCTGGCGCTGCTGCCCACAATTCTAAGCCGTTAGGCGGGAGGGCGGGGGCAAGGCCTGCCGCTGCTACAAGCGCCGGGCCGGAGACGAGGCCGGCGAGGATCGCCCAGCGCCACCGCGCGTGGTCGCCCAGCAGCGCGCCGTCGGTGACCCCCGAGATGCCGAGCACACGGCCGGTCTCGGTCATCAGCCCGCTCGTGGAGACGTGCAGAAGCAGGCCGCCGACGAATGTCTGTATGGGCGTGAATGGCATGGTGGGTAATTAAGGTGAGACAGGTAGAATGAGTGTAGATTATTATGCGCAGAGTGGCGCGATCGATGGGGGGATATGAGGCGCAGGTGAGGCTCGAGAAGTGGGAAGAGGGGAATGCAGAGACCAGACAGCAACGTAAGTATATATATCTATGAGATCGGGCGGGGGCGGCGGAGGAGGAGGATGGGGCCGTGTTTCCGAATGATGACTAGCTCGACGAGCGTGGCGAAGAGCAAAGGCCGGAGATGGAGCGATGGAGGCGACGGGGGGAGTCGTTTCAATCACCGAAATCGACTTTGCCTCAGGGTTCCCTCGCTTCCAGACGCCGGGCTCGAGGCAAATGCTAATTACCTCATATCCTCCGACCCGACGCTCGTCGTACGTCGTACTCGTCTCCATAACAAGTCTCTATCTTGATATCTTGGTAATACTACTCTTGACAATCTTGCTCTTCTTCCGTCTACTGCTCCAGCAACCGTACAAGCAGCGGCATCTGCAACCCCGCGTCCTCTTCGCCCACCACACGCGGACGCATCACAATGCTGCCGTCAGCCACACCGCCTACACCCCACTCACGACGACTTGGCCTCGTACTCGGGCTTGCTCGGTAGCTCATCAAACTCGAACGACCGCATCAGCACAAACAGAATCATCTTGATCTCGATCAGGGCGAACCGGTATCCACTGCCGTTAGCGAGACCCGATTCCAGCTTGAGAGCAGGCTACGAGGCCCAGCCCGCCGCAGACGCCGGTGCCTTGGGCGCCCGGCGCTATGGCACGACCCAGAATACAGGCCGCCGGTTCCGCCGGGTCTACTCCGCCCGCGCCCGCGCCCGCGCCCTCCCCTCACTCACATGCAGTTACGCGCGCCGCCGAGGAATGTGAGCAGGTTACCAAACACGCCTGGGACGTGCTTGCGCGGGATGCCGCCCACGCTGAAGCGGTCGGGGTTGAACTTGTCCGCGTCCTCGCCCCAGATCTCCTTGCTGCGGTTCACATTCATAATCGCTCCTTGTCAGCATCGGGAGTCTGCACAAGTCGCAGTCTACGCACGCAGGAAAATCGTCGTCCCCTTCTTGACGTGGATCTCGCTCATCATCTTGCCGTCACGGCCCATCACGGGCTCGGACAGGGGAATCACCTGGTCGCTGACGGCCTCGCGGATCGTGCTTGCCACGGGGTTGTCGAAGCGCAACGACTCGTGCACGCACTGGTCGAGGAACGGGAGCGCGTTGATCTCGTCCATGCTCGGCCGGTCAGTGGGCACCGCTTGGCACTCGGCGCGCAGCCGGTCCTGCACGTCCTTGTGCAGCGCGAGGCGGTAGAGGAGCCACGTCAGGGCTGTCGACGACGTCTCGTTACCCGCAAGCATCTGGTGTGAGCGCAAGCATGGCGCAAGCTGTGCAGGCGCGGGTTTCCACTCACGAAGGTAGTGATCTGCGCAAGTACTTCGTCATCGGTCAACTGCTGGTCCGGACGGAGGTCGGAGGCCATGTTGGCCTTGATGACGAGTGAGAGGAGATCCTTGCCGATGTCCGAGCCCTTCTCAACTTCGCCTGCGAACAGCGCTCGAACCGCCGCCTTCTTGTTGTCCATCAGTTCCTGTGGGTGAGCTGGGGATCCACGTGTCCAAGAACTCACCTTGCCGATGCGCACGGTGACAGCACGGCTGCGGCGCGTCGCTTCTCTAGCCTTTGTCGGCTGTCGTTAGGTACCTTTCACAATCACACAAACTCACGACAAACTGGAGAATCGGGATAAAGTTCTGCAGGATGTTCATGGCCGACGGGCTGGTGCCAGCGGAGAACATGGTGCGGAACGCCTCGGCGAGCTCGTTCTTGTTATCACGCAGGGCATTGAAATCGTAGTCAAAGCCAGCGAGGCCGATCACATCGAGCGTCGCCGCGCCCATGTAACGCATGACGTCGATCTTGCGGGCGCCCTTGACCACATCCTCTGGCTTGGCGGGGGTTGGCGCGGCCTGGTCCAGTTCCGACGGCTCCTCGATGAGCTCGGCGAGCTTGCGCTGCAGCTCGTAGCTCTTGTCGTAGAAGATTGGGGTCATGTCGCGGATGGCGGCGAGCGAGAACGCGGGGTTGAGGACGCGGCGCTGGCGGCGGTGCGCGGCGTGCTCGGCGATGAGGACGCCGTTGCCGAGCAGGCGCTCGAGCATCTCCTGCGCGCGGACCGGCTTGATGAACTCGTCGTTGTGTTGCAGCACATAACCGATGAAGCCCATGTCGACCGAGGTGAGGCGCTGCGCGCCCATGAGGAACTTGTAGCGAATGACATTGCCGTACGTGTTGAACCACTGCTCGTGCATCGCATTTGGCGGCGCCTTGATCACCTCCTGGAGGTTGCCCCAGAAGAGGTGGGGGTTGGGGGGGCCGGGGACGTTGTGGATACCATAGCGGTAGTCGCTGTAGGGGAAGCAGTAGATGTATCCGAGGACGAGGGTGAGGAGGACGGCGGTGATGTAGGGGTGAGCGGCGAGGGTGGACACGACTGGGATGTCGGCTAGTTTTGCCACGAACGGGATGTCGGTGAGGGACGACATAGTGGACATGTCGGAGTTGATAGTGATGGGGGATAGAGGAGGACGCGTGGGTGAGACAGCGAGGAATATAATGACGGACAGCGGTTATGAGCGCGTCCGATGCAACGGCGACGCAAGCGCTCGGGGACGGTTAGACGGATGCGAGGAATAGCGAGCGCGGCGAGCAGCGTGGAATGTTTGAATGACTCGTGACTTGGAAGAGCGTGTCCATGAGCGCCCACGCTGTGCAACTGGGAAGAGAGATCTGGAGAGAGACGAGGCCGGCGGTCTTGGCCGGCGGTGTTGGATGATTGCTGATGACGAGTGAATAGGAAATGTCGCAGTAATAAGCCGATCCATTATCAATTATCAGCTTCATCATCATCACCCATATCAGCCCGTTGACCCTGACACTCGCTCGCCACGCGCACAGCGGTCGCCGCCGGGCACGCTTCTCTCATCCCGCCACGGTCAGCCTGCTCCGTCTTGGCGATCGGAGATGACACGGTCTCCGTTGAGACACGTGGAGTGACATCAGAACACAACAATCTGGCATCCACGCTACTACCACGAGACAACCATGTGGCGTTAACTGGAGGGATGTATTAAGTGCCAAGAGCCGACACTCGAACCACGGCCCCAACAACGTCACCGCCCCCAAAGTCACCCCTGAGCCCAACACGTCGGTCCTTGGCCCTCTGGCTTCCGCCAGTTGGCCCGCAGCCACTAGCCCGCAGCCAGCATCCAACGGCCAGCCCGTAGCATTCAACCATCGCCCGCCACTCACACTCATACAGCGAGCACAACTTGAACGACATCGTGACTCCCCTCTTCTTCATCTCTCCTCTCTCACTCTCAGCTCTCGTCGGTCGATCTCGACTCGATCTCGACTCGATCTCTCCAGCAACTGTTTCTCCTCTCTTCACTCTGTTTGCTTGAATATCCCTGACGTCGCTCTACCAAGTGGTCAATTCAAGCACTCGTCATCATCGATAACTTGTTTCTACTTTCCTCCCTCTACTCGCACTACTAGTCACTAGCAGTCGTCGTCGTCGTCGTCGTCTCTCTCTCTCTCTCGACTCTCTCTTATTCTACCACAATGTCCAACACTCCCAAGGAAGAAGGTACGCGTAGTCACCACACCAGCCCCCCTCCCCCCCCC